ATAAAATTAAAAAGCTTTATCTCTGCTATTAACAAAATATCTTAAATACCACCAGGACACCACTACCACAAGGACAAACCACTTAACAGCCAATTATTACAGCCTTAACAAGGACCAAAAGCTTTTTCGATACCTACAAAATGTCTAATCTGAAATACAAAAAATCAACTACTGGCTATAATATTCACGGAGTTTAGAAACCAATCTAAAAATATAACCCAAATAAATTCGTCTGCATATTTTAAAAATGCAAAAAGAGTTTAATGTTCGCACATAATTGGGAGTTGAATGAAACCTTGCTGACGTCGCCAAGGTTAAGCTTTAGCCGGCGGCTACTTCGAAATGTTCTTGTATATAGATGTTTGTGTGGTGTACAGAGTGCAGATGCAGACAGCCGACTTCCCTGCGACTGTAGACGGGCCGGGCCGGGGGCGGTGCGTGATTCGTTTTGCTCGCAGATGCCGAAGGCCGCCCGGTCCACTCGTCTCCCGTATCGGATATGTGTCACTATAACGCTACGCACACATCTGCTTTCATTCTGGCACTTCCACATTTTAAGTAACATTGACAATTTAATACGTCTCTCTTCTTTTGTGTAACTATATGGACACATATTTAACATGTACAAAACAAACTACAATGTGTGAGTCTCCTTTATTAAAAGAGGGGCTCCATGGAAACGGGCCTTGGTATTGATACTCAAATTTATTTGGTGGCATGAGAGTTGGAATGTAGATGGTTGTTTTACGTGTTATTGTTGCCGATGGCCTTCTATCAGCAAATATGATATATACAAATATAATATTGAGTTAAGTATACCAGCAGACATTTAATATTTCATTTATCTTTTTATTTCTGATAACTAACCCGCCTTCATCAAAATTATCTCTCCAATGATGAGCTTGTCAGTCATACTTTATATTACTATGTACCTACCATCAAATTGAAAATCTAACTGAAACACTACTCAAACCAGTACCACAAACGACCATATCTATGAGACAGTACCGGCATATTAATGAAGTTACCTACAAAATAATCGCCATCTACCAATTGACTTGCCCGCCTCGGTCTATTACATTTAACATTAAAATATTGTAAGACCATATTTACAACATAAATAGGTCTTATCACGTTATCAAAAACCTTAGTTTTACGTTAATTTCACGATATCTAATTAAAAGACACTATTTGCATATTACATTGGTATCTATTTAGGTATGCACGTAAGTAATAAAGTTTTATTGCGTCCTTGAGAGGTTCGAGGTGCTTTATAACTATAATATTTCGGCTATTTCCATAAATTCTCTGATTCCGTCAATCACTCAGCTGTATTAATTCTGATAACTAAAATTATACAATACTATATTTTCTATTATAATAATATATATTATTATATATAAATATGCTAGAGAAAACAATCAATGCGGTCTGCAAATGATTTGGCCAAAAACTGACTACTTTATACGGGTAACCAATTTTCATTAAAATCTATCCAGTCTTTTTTTTATCATTAAGTAGTATCTTTACAAAGATTCGCACATAACATTTACAATAATGTTAGTAGAATTAACGTGGGTAAGTTATTTTGCATATTTATTTATCCTAACTCCACAAAAACAAACTTGTACATAAGTGTCATTGCCGCCTCAATTTCGCATCAAGAAGGTTTACGAGCAGTGTTAGTAATCCATTATCATACTAATGGGGTGGCTTTAACCAACTAACCAGTTTGGGGGCCGACGACAACGTTGGCTTGGCATAAAAATTTAATTTATGTTAAGTGTAGTTGTTTAGATTTAGACATTCGGTAGAGCTCGGTCTAGTGCTACCTACACTGATACCTACTTAGCTGATATTTTATTGGAATAAGTAATGGACCTAAAAAATTTAGTTTTCTATCTGAATCATTGCTTGAATAGAAATAATTTTTTATGTAATTTGTATTTAATAAACTAAATTCTATATACAATAATACTAGGTATATAGTATTTAGTTTATATACTTAATTTGTAATAAGTATAAAATAGTAGGTTGGTGACAGACAACTCAAATAGTATTGTATTTAATAGATTTTTGTACGTATTTACTGAACCCCTATAATAAGATTTATATTAAAAAGAATAAGAATCACAGAATTCTACTTAATATGTAGGCAAGTTTTTATTTAATTTATTGCAAATTAGATCTGTGAATCGTTATTTTTTATCTTTTTAAACTCTTTAATTGGATCAGAAGTGGTTTTAATGGTTTTATTATCGACCATGCAAAATTACTATAATGCACCATTTTGTTTTTGCACGTAGGTGTTATTTTTTATTTTGTGTATTTTAGTATTACGTTTATTATTTGATATACTTAAAATTTGGTTAACGCAGATATAGTGTCAATAGCAACTGTGTATCTCATTTCTTTATCAATAACGACTAATACTTCGAATATCGACTAATACCAGATAATAATTGACTTAAAGAAATAATAAAGAATGTTATAGTTTTTCTAAATTATAAGTATTTATGGTTAAAATAAAGTTTTTATTATAACGTGTTTTTATTATAAGTATAGTTATAATAAATTACGAAATTAGGTTTAAACAAATTAATTGTCAATGGTCTCTAATATTTTTTTTATTTTACTACAGAGTACAAACCGTACCTAAGAACAGTTTTATTTTATCCTGCAAAAGCTTATAGTTATTAATAAAGTAGGTAAGAAGGTGTATAATGTTACAGTAATTTGAAACATCTTTCTACGTATGTAGAAATGTATAAAATTATTGATTTAATGCATACAGTAGTTTCAGTTTATATATTTAGTTATAAATATATTTAGTATCAGATTACTATCCTAAGTATAAGGCAACTAACCAATTTTATTTTCCAGTGATTGCAGATGCAATCTCAGTCTACACAGAATATATAGCAGTCTACCAGCCGTAGTAACGTTTTTATGATAGAGTAATATCTATTAAACGTCTTTCGCAATTATTCTTAATTATTGTACGGCAAAAAATTAACCTTGAATCACGTAGAAGTTAGCGACCGTTTGAATATTAATATATCGCGATGAGTGAACAAAGTGCTGAATATTCAACGTCGCGGTCAAGTAGTCGCACGCACTACTTCTGTGTGGTCGCAGAGCATGCGCACCACCTACTACCAACAACTACATCATACTAGCCATTAGTTTACCATCATATAAATCCGCGAACTATCAATCATACATGTCTTGTTCAGCACATACTAGTAATACACCCATTAATCAATAATACATTTTATTATTATACTGTACGTGGTACGTGTAATATTTATTTTCTTTATAGTCAGTAACCTAGCACTTTAGCTAGCATTAAACCCTCTTCCATTTAGGTTAAGGGAATTCCTTGGGTTCCTCGATACCTGAATCTACCTAGTTCCTATAGACTGATACTATTGATGACAAATAATCCTATTACGAAAAATGTGACAACCAAAGCATTCACGGTTCATCATCATCATCATCGCAGCCCGGTAGACGTCCACTGCTGGACATAGGCATTCACGGTTACTTCTAATGAATTTGTCATAACTGATCTAACTCTATCATCATCCGGTCATATTCCATTGATATGCACCAGCGAATCACTATTCTCTTTTACTGCTCTGTTAGACAGTTTATACTCATTCCTTCCTCATATTAATTAGGACCTGATTATCCTAATGTTCCTAGGGCCACCAATAGGTACATTATAACAACTAGAAACAACCGTATGTTAAGAAATTCTGAAATTGGCTCAACCAAGATAGAATTCCAGACCTATGAGACGTAGGTACGTCTCACTGCACTATTACATCCGCAGAATTTTACAATCTATTAGACTAATTATTACGACGACCAGTCATATAGTAGTATTATGTCATATCTGTTATACATACGTGTGTACCAAACTAAAATAATCATGCCATATTTATTTACTGTGAATAATTAAGTTAATGAAATATATAAACAATATAAGATAATCCTGATGTTTCTCTTTAATTATATCGTTCTTTCAAAGGTCAAGAGCTGTAAAACAATTACTGACAGAGGAAGTAGTGAACTTTATGAGAATAGTTCAAGCGTAACTGTAGTTACGAATGAATAGTTAAGTTTACTTAATTGCAGATGATTGAAATTAATTAACCTGCTGACTGCTTTACCTACTCAATCTATATAAGGTAAATTTACAAGTGCCCGAATCAATACCAATATAACGATCCCCTAATAATACTCAAATGTTAATATATCTGTATACATATATACAGGTAGATATACCTAAATATTAAAAAATCGAATAATTATCGTCGGTTGTTTAACTAATAGTATAGCTTCACGAAGCTTTTATTATGGTTGCATCGTCTGTATCTTACAGGTAGGTTTACCCACAATTACCAACGCTAAAGGCAAATAAAAGTATTACTTATGTAATATCGATAATCTTTAAAAAATATTTGTATCAGATTGACTTATGGAATGATTTGGCACAAATTTATTTTTAAACTACATTACAAAGCCATTAATTAAAATCTATGTAATTAAAAATAAAAACGTATGCATAAAAAGTAGACTTCTAAGCCAATCTTTAAGCCAACTTCACCAAAACACGCAAGCTCTATGTAGCGCTTCATAATTCACAAGAAAAATCTCTGAATAATGTATATTTTCCACTTGCCGCGTAACTTCTTACACTTTATGTTTCTGTTCTATATCAAAATATTTCCACCGGTTTATAAGAAATGAAACCAAATTAAAAAGCGCTAACTAATTATTATTTCCGCAACTCCACACTTAGTGATTTATTTATTTATTACCTTATATAATTTCTGCATTATCACTATTTTTTTATAAATTATAAATGGCAAAGACTTTCAATTAGTTTCGTTTAAGTTTAATATTTTTATAAATAATCTTCATTGTAATATATTTCAATATAATTTGGGATGACATTTCAATTTCTCAATTTTATTTTATTTGTAACTTACCCAAAAGCTTTCCATATAATGTGAGAAAAGAAAAACTGCCGGAAGTGACATCGTCAACAGTTAAAGTTCACTACAAGACTGACAAAAGAAAGACGCCACGTTTTTTATTTATACACTTTTTGTTTACTAACATCACATAAGAATTTCTTTATCTATCTCGATATGAGCCATGCGCGTAATCAGACGGAGAGTCGAGCAACACGCAAGCCTCGGTACTACCGACTAAGTATTCTTAAATGCGGTTCGCCCCTATATAGCTACTTACTTCTTACTTTGCCTGAACGCTTCACGCTCTACATCCAAGAATTAATAAGTATGGATCTTGGATATCGAACACTAAGTATTCAATGTAATGTATATGACTGTGTATTTAACTATGTCCGACTTTCTGCCACGCAATGTATGTATCACTATGAATACGTACCACTGACCTAATAAACGATAAGGGCTTGAATGTAAAAATTAATGAAATTGGATCAAGGTTGGCACGCAGACTCGTCGTCTTCATAGATCGTTACTATGTCGTGATAGATATCTAGTTATCTCAATAACTGTGGCTCATAGACGTAATGTTATCTGCCCTATCTATTCTATACGTGAAATGCAAAACGCCTTGTTACTACGCTGCATACGAGCTCATATCCACTTATGAAGCTGTCGCAATTTAATAAAATGTTTATTTACTGTACTAATCATAATCCACCGCATATCTCATATAAATTAGAATGAAGTGTTCTAATTATTATAATATATATAAGTAAAGTATTAATATAGGTACACACTATATTCTGTAATTATAAATTCTGCAAATTAAGCTTGATTGAGTAATAACAATGTCTATATAGGTCTTTATAATTGCCTACTGCAAAATTAATGACAAATATTTCTACAATTTATTCAACTTATTGAGATCGTTTGCATATTCACTTAATTCAATAATAATATTTATCTAAGTGTAATATTATCTCTGTATATAAAGAGACCTTTTGTATTTAAACTGCTTTTTAAATGCATTGCCTAAAATATTAAATTGATGTTCAATATCGAAATCGATATAATATCTATGTGATAACATTATCACACCGATGTTACTGTCGACTTAATTATTATTTAATGACTTAGGTTCCTCAAACTAAGTTACTCCTCTATAGAAAAACAATTATATTTAACACACAAGAAAATCGATCGATCTACTGTTTAAGCTATAGAAACAAGCGCAACAATATGCTCTATTAAATGCCAAAAAAATGAAAATTCTCCCTCAATACTTATTCACACACACGAGCTAGTAAAGTCTTTAATAGGCTTTACTAGCTCGTACATGGGTATATACGTACCCTATATATATATACGTACAAGTTTCAAAACTAGAAGAAATATAATAAAATCTTACAAAGTTTAAGTTAATAGTTATTTATCGAGAAAATATTTATGCAGATATACTAATATATATATACATATAGGTAAATTCCATAATTTATTGAGATTTGTCAATGTTCAAATTACTTGTTTATGTCTCTTATCTGTAGTTATGTATAAACGGCTAAACAAAATTGTAAATTTACTACATGACGAGTCATATCCTAGGTTGGCATATGTCATCTATACAAATGAATAATATTGAAGTGTCTGTTTGTAAATTAAAATTACCAGCTTTTCACTAAACATATATGTAAATATGTAGGGTAGACAAATAAAAAAATTGGCTGTCTGTCAGTTTGTTTTTGCTAATCTCTGAAACAAACGAACCGATTTTGACGGGACTATCATTCGGAGATATGTATTGTTATAAGGAGCTTCGGCTATTTTATTTTATAAATTTTATATATATATATATTTATATATTTATCTATTCTATATTTATCTACTTTTATAAAAAAAGTTAATGACGCGGACAAATCAGCCAGTGTAAAATAAAATCAACGATTTCATGTCATTCTTTGAATTTTAATTCACGCGGACATAACCACTGGATAGTAGGTACTTGTACAATTTTTTGCCAAGGTCGTCACAAATTAACCGTATCTAATAACCTATGTCACGATTGAATTAATTATCGTAAAAAAACACGGATAATAAAGTGATTGAAAAGTTCCGTTTCACTCATTGACTGAAGTGTAGCAATTACTACTTAAAAGTACCTAGCCATCCAACTTTTAACTGAGGAATCGCACAAACTTGACAAAAGACCTGAGAAATTGACGAAATTCGGACTGTTGATATTTTTTTCGTGATTAATAACATAATATTAATTTCATCTGTTGAATTTTCGAATTTACATTATTATTATAATATAAATCGAATATATAACAATCAATTTAAATCTTATATATAAAATTCTCGTGTCACAGTTTTCGTTCCCATACTCCTCCGAAACGGCTTGACCGATTCTCATGAAATTTTGTGAGCGTATTGAGTAGGTCTGAGAATCGGCCAACATCTATTTTTCATCCCCCTAAATGTTAGGGGTAGTCCACCCCTGCATTTTTTTTTATTTTTTAGACAAAATTTTTTGTTTCTATTTTTTTATGATACAACATACAAAATAGAAATAGAAATAGAAAATCATTTATTCAAATAAACTTATATTGAGGCACTTTTGAATAGTCATCACATTTTATTTTTAATCTACCGCTCATTCGGAATGCTGTCTCATCACAAGAAGAACAAGCAAGAAATATGTGTGTTGCTCTTTTAAATAATTTATTCTTACTTACAATTTAAGTTTAAGTGTATGAATACAAACTACCGATTAGTACTAAGTCAATGATATAATAAAATAATAATAAAACATTCAATACACAACAACTGGTTAAACAATTAATAAGAGGAAATAAGTCATAGTGATTAGAGCAGACCAGTCCACACAAGTAGTACCCGTTCACGAGTATGACGGATGAGCCAGCCATCACTGCGCTCGATCATATTAAAAATACATACAATCCTAAATTTTCACCTTTCTATCATCAACCCCTATTTTTTGATAGCGTTATTAATTTATATGGCAAAACAACGTTTGCCGGGACAGCTAGTAATCTATATATTAATATGTGAAGCAAAAACTGTGTACCCCTTGACCAAATTTTTTCGGCCTCCGTCAAATTTAGGTAAGTCTGGGTGTTTTCTATATATATTTTAAAAAAGTATAGTATAGTATAAAGCTAATCTATAGTGTGGCTAGCGCCTACTTTTGTAATATTTAGTGCAGTTCCTGGGCCTTGTGATATGCTAGTCCCAGGATCTGCATGAAGTTTCATCCCCTGCCACGCGATGGTCCCACGCAACCGCATGGTGAATTCATGGTATTCTAATAAATTCGTCTCAATATTCGTATAATATTCGATAGTCTCTTAGCAATAAGTTTAATAACCATTTATCAACTGGTATATGAACCTACCTACCTAGTTACTCGTACCATTTAGATTGCGCCAATTTATAGATCATACTTAGAATGAGAATACTTACATTCTTATGTTACCACGCGCAGACAGTAAATATACCTATCAGAAGAAAACATGCAACAATGGCATTTTTAAGTTAGGGCTTTTTGTAAGGTGAGTGCGCCATTTCATTCCAGACTTTGTATTAACTGGCCTTGCAAGGAATATTCCTTGCAAGGCCAGTTAATACAAAATCGCAGTTATTAACGTGTTATTTTTACCTTCACGTGACGGTTTTTACTAACATAAAAATTCTTCCAACTCAATGACATAGACTCGACGCATGTTTTTACGTGGTTATTTTTACCTTCACGTGACGGTTTTTACTAACATAAAAATTCTTCCAACTCAATGACATAGACTCGACCGCATGTTGGTGGCACTACCTCTTTGTTAATGCGGTTCCTTTTTCTCAGGGTCAGTTTTAAACGCTGAAATTCTAAGTTCTACCTACACTAGAACTCAAGCGTAAAGTAACTAGTTGTTACCCTCGACATCGTCTGGGTTTTTTTTTAGATAAAAATACCCTATGTCGGTAATCATGATACAATCTATCTTCACGTCTCATTTAGATCCTTTTCACATTTGTATGATATATATATATATATATGTTTTATATATATGTATTTTTTTATATTTCAGTAGATATAAAGAGAATTAAGAAGACACTAAAATTATTAGATCAAATAATAGGCATAAAAATAAATGGAGTGACCAGAACATAACAAAGACCATTCATCCATAATTACTATTTATAAATGATGTACCTATAGGAAAATAATTACTCTCTATTTGAAATACCTAGGTACATGAAAAATTTTTAAATGGTCAAGTCGATCTCTGCTAAGCACGAAAACTGATGTGTTATTTTAATCTGACTTTGTATATAATAAAATCATGACTCCTTCGTAACTTGTCTACTACTACTGGGTAGCTACGTAATAGGTACTCCATTTCATTACAGACATGATAAATAACAGACTGCAGTGGTCACAATACTTATCTATCATTTTCCATCAGACAGCTTACTAACTTGTTTACAATTAAAAAAATATATAGTCATCGTTACAATTATTAGGTTTAAAATCATCAAGTAATTGATTATTAATCTTTGATAAATGCTGTTTTATCAATATCTATAAGATTGTTATTTGTTATTTTAATATTTCTCTCATAAATATTTTTTAAATGTGACATGTATAGACAGACTATGATTATATCTAATCATGAGATTATACGGGATCAATATGAAATTGTGTGTATACGTACTAAAAAAATACATAAACTGCATAACCGACAACTATTATCCAATTAAGAAATTAAATAAATCTTTATGGTGTTAATTAAAAATTCTGCTTGCCTTAAGAGAAAATTATCTAGCATTCTTCAAGCCTAACCAGAAAGACGAATTTCTTGATGGAAGTTTTTGTTATACATTCTATTTTGTTGCTTAAAGTAATAGAATCTAATATGTAGGTAGTTTCTTTTTTACATTTATATAATTGATAGTTAAAAAATGTTAACCCGCTTGCGCTAACAGTACCTACACTCTATCGAAGCGTCAGATTCAGTAGTAGATTATATAATAATCAGTTCATTGTGAATAATTCGCCATTTATCACAACAATTTACAGTTGGGACTGCGAGGAGGTGGAGAGAGGAGGTGACACACCTATACTACTAGTAGTGGGACAACTCGTCTCCATTACCACAGATAAGATAATATTACATACCATACTAACAATCCTCTCCGCCTTAACTAATAGACTGTAATTAGATTCCACGATAACACCTACCTATTATTATATTAACTATGCTCTAGATCACTCTTTAGTCTATAATCTTAAGTCTAAAGTCTAGACACAGCGCTGACGTCATTTCTAAAATCATGAAGTATTATTAACATTAGATACATACTAGACGATTGATAGAAATAAAAATATAGCTGACACGAGAACATTTTTACTATTCTGGATACATTTTTACTCCATTTTTTTATGGTTAGTACGAAGAAGCAAAACCTATAAAAAAAAACCTAACGCCGATTATATCTAAATTTACCTAACAATAACTTTTAAAAACCTCCGTCACACACTTCAGCTTATTCAGCAATAAAGGAAAATCTAAATACGGAAAAGTAAGCAAAGCTCAGTGAAGGAAGAGCTACCATGTTATAACGTCTACAAAGAATTTAGTCTATTTAATCAATATGCATTATTTAGTTTTAAATAAACTTCTAACACATTGTCTCAGGACAATAATCCCGTAAGGCTTATTTCGGAGATTTCATTGACATAATAAGGATAGAATCTGTAGGTTAAGACCGCAGTCGCAGTCCCCCTGGAAATCCCAATGCTTGATTTCTGGCGAATTCATCACGATAGGCTTTCTTACCTCATACGGATGAGTATGAGGTAAGTTATGTATGTAATGTTATCTGTTACATGTGATTAAAAACATTTCGATATGACTCATTTTATAAAATATATACTATTTGCACAGGGCAGAATTAACCATGGAGAGGTTATTTAACCATGTAGAATCCTAGGTGATGGAATTTTCTAGGCCCTTCCCTGTATAAAATTGAGAATTTGCATTAATTTGATTTCCATCATTTCATCCCACCCCTTATCACTTTTTAATCTAATAAGGGGATAGCAATAAAACAGCATGCCTCGAAAAAGCAAGGACACAGTATACATCGTGATTGAACATAATAATTTTTCCATATATTTGTTTTCTCTATTAAACATTTTCATTTCTTTCGTATACAAAATATATAATAATATAGTATGTCCCTCTAGTAAGCAAACAGACAGACAGACATTTTTTTTTTGATGCAAGAATCGTGTTTACTTTTATGTTCATACAGTAAAAAGCGGGATATTTAAAATTAGAAACAGACACTTCAATTCTATTTATTAGTATTAGCTATACTATATTAGCTGTACCCGCGACTTCGTCCGCGTTGAATTTAACTTTATTTTCTAAAGTAAAAGTAGCCTGAGTTACCCCTTATTACATTAGCTACCTGCCAATAAAAATCTCGTCACATCGGTCGTCATTTCAGAGAACAAACAGACAGACAGACAAAAATATATATTGGTGTATGTACCGTATTTATATTCATATGTATGTAGTAAAAAACGGTTATTTCAGTATTGCAAGCTCCAATTTTATTTATATGAAAACTTCGAATTAGAATGATTTTCAAATATGCATTCGATAGAATTTAGAAGTCTAGATTTTAAGAGACTTATTTGATTTTTATCCGAATCGATAAAAGTCAGAATGTTTTTCGCCATCTGTAATTTAAACTATAAACTTAAAAAACTTGTTTTGTTCGCACCTCGATTTTTTGTATCCATTTATTACGCTTCAAAACTCTAGACTCTACTCTGCGTAATGGACTCTCCACCTTAAAAATCAATATAAGACTTTTAGCTCCTTTGTACCAGGAAAAAATTAAATCTGAAGATGACATCCCTATTCGGTACAGTTTACTTACAGTCCGTTTACATTATCGTGACTGACATGAAACTCTATTGTTTGTAGAAACGGATATTATCTTATCTGTGGAAATTAACAATCTACAGCGGTGTCTGAATTTATGTTTGACAATTTTCTATTTAGTTTGTGGTTATTCAATATTATTCATATTTCATGTTACTATTGCAGTGAAGTAAATTTGTTTCTCTTTTATAGAATTTTTAACACACTCAGTAATTTCTACCAATCTGTATTTTTTAAATAATATAAAATAAGATAATAATGCAGTACAAGAAAGTATCCCACGTTTTATTTGATTTAGATGGCTTACTTTTAGGTAATATTTTTCATAATGATATTGATATTTTACTTAGATATCATATTGTTACACACATTATAAATCTTATTACATAATTACAGATTCAGAAACTTTGTATACAGAAGCTTTTACCACAGTATGTGCCAAATACGACAAGAAATTTACATGGGAATTAAAGGCTAGCTTGCTTGGTTTTCAAGGGTCTGAGTGTGCTGATAAGATAATAAAAACTTTGAGTCTACCCATCTCTAGAGAGGAGTTTATGAAGGAATGTTTTAAAATTTATGAGGTACTGTTCCCCAAAGTGCAACTTATGCCAGGTAAACTTAAGAATTTTGACTTCCCACAATCATCTAATTGGTTTAAAAAATAAAAACACTAACTTTTATTTAACTTTATGAAATCCAAGTAATAATGAAAAAATAACAGTTATTTTCTACCAAACATAAATTGAAAGTGGGATTACTTCAATATAATAATATACTAATAATTCCTATGCTTCACTTATACTTAACTAAAACTGAATTTAGAAATGAAATTAAGTTTTAGTCTTATATATTTTTTTATTATGGATGATAATGAAATTATACACAGCCTTTTCTAACTGTTTATGCTGGTGGGGCACTAGTGGAGGTTGACTAAATGAGTGTGAAGTTAGATCAGTTAGCCTATCTTAGCAAACCTGATGTGTTACATTGCTAGCAATGGTATTAGTCCACATTACTAATAATCCCCTTCCCCCTCTATACTGATATCATAAAGCGGTAAACTTAGTTTGTATAGTCCATTTATTGAGAAATGCAGTCTAAGATCATGCTGTAGCCAATAAGAGCAGAGCAGCAATGAAAAAGGTTGCAAAAACTGTGGTACATACATAGTAGAGAGTCTCCATCAAGAGGACTTAAAATTTATTGTTATATTTGTATGATTAGGAGAATGTGTACTGCATGTAAATATTCTTAGTAAACTAGAAGTTTACCTTAAAATAATGTGTTGAATAAAACCCATTTTTTTAAAGGTGCACAAAAGTTTGTTGAACATTTACACAAGAAAGGAATACCAATAGCACTGGCCACCAGCTCTAGTAAAGATAGTGTTGATATGAAAATGCAGAACCATAAGGATTTATTGAAATTATTCCACCATCTTACCATGGGAAGTTCAGATCCTGAAGTCACAAAAGGAAAGCCTGATCCTGCAATTTTTTTAGTATGTGCATCCAGGTTTCCTGATAAACCAAAACCTGAAAATGTTAGTAATTTTTGTATTATGAGAAATATTTGTCTACAATTACACTTGTATCGTAATAATATCCTAATTTAAGCTTAACTATTATGATATTGAAGAATTGATATTCTATTTTATTATTACGGTAAATACTAGTAGTGACATTATTAATTAATAAATTGCACCAATATTTCAATAATAAGATGGAGATTTTCTACTAAAAACTACCAAAAATGAATGATTACTATTTGGTTTTTTTTAGTGCCTTGTATTTGAAGATGCAGTGAATGGTGTAAAAGCAGCATGTGCAGCCAACATGCAGGTAGTGGTGGTTCCTGACCCTCGAATAGATACTACGTTGCTACAAGATGCTACTGTAATTCTCAAGTCACTAGAAGATTTTAAACCACAACTATTTGGTCTTCCCGAGTATGACTAATATGTAAGAGACTACATACAGTAGACAGTGTAGAAAAATATTTATTTCTCACCATATACTTATACAATAGTACACTTAATTTTTAATCTTTTCCCATAATAGATTTGTGTTTTCTGAAATGGTTGTTAAAGCTATTAAATAGATGTTATGATGATAGATATTTGATTTTATTTTTAGTTGTATTATCTGTATGTATATATTTTAGTATTCTTAGATAATTTTAACAAACATTGCTGTTAATAAGTAGTTTTAGATATAAAAGCTATGCAATACATAGTTGAATAAAATTTGTGACATGTACTTTGTTATAGTCTGTAAACCAATTATGTTAGATTCCTGCAATATACAATAATAAATCAAGGTTGCCCTTAACGATTTGAATCATAGGTACATTTATTTATAAATATTACAAATTAATCTGACTAAAATATGTAATTCGTCCGTTATTTTAACATAAATGCATAAGGTTCATAAAATTATGCTTGACATAAGTAAATGTCATATGTATATATATGTACTAATGATGTCTTTAGACTATTCAATTCATATATCTAGTCATTAAAATTGTACTTATCTATAAACATTGTTAATATAGGTAATAAAAGAATATTTACAGAATACCTATATATTTTATTTTATTTTAAACTGCTTATTAGTGATTCATATTATACATTAATTTACTAATAATTTCCAAATGGTGGCAATCCAAATAATTCCGGTTGGAACTCTTCCATGCTATCCAATATAAGTGTGGCCTCAGTAGCGAGGGATCGATCTAGACGTGGATCTGGTACCATCACTACTTGCATACCAGCCGCGACCGCAGCTTTTACTCCATTGATTGAATCTTCAAACACCAAACACTAAATAAAAAATAAATATATAACTTATATTTTTCATACTGTAGTGTTTTATATTATAACTATATGTCTCTGAATATATGTACTAGGTATTTGATAGACTTTTTTGTGTCAACACAACTAAAACAGACTTCATAAACAGAAAAGTTTGTATCGTGCTAGTAACGAACTCGCGACCATTGATCAAGATGACGCAGTACTCATGAAACTGCTAATATCAGCAAAGAATATAAATCGTCTAGATCCATAAATTAAAAGTAATAAATTTTGAAAACTCAGTTTAAATATCGCAATTAATTAGATTGAGAACTTTACATCTAATCTTCATTCAACTTATAATCATTAATTCTTTTGACGCGCTATTTTATACGGACTATCTCCAAAATTGAGTACATAACATATCGGCCCAACGGCCCGACTAAACCTAAAATTTGCTCCTCATTTGCCAAGTTACTAAATTCATAAATACATTTATGTCAATGCTAAATAAATATGTAGGGAGAATAATGGATCATCAATCGGATCAATATACCTTTTCATTAACTGGTTTATCTGGAAATTTATTTGCAGCTACGAAAAATATATCCGGACTGGGTTTACCGTTCTTGACTTGTGGATCTGACGTACCCCATGTCTTAAATGGAAGTAAATCAAATAATTTCTGATGACGACCTGCTTTCAGTTCATAACTTTCTATACTGCTGCTTGTTGCTAAACCCATTGGTATATTATTCCTGTGCAGGTGATAAATAAGCTTTTCAACACCTGCAAATAGTGATCAATACAAAGAAAATATGATACCATTTGCTTTTCTGGAAGAGACATATATGCACAGACACATATTGTCAAAGAACTTGGAGAAGTGGACCTTACTGTATTTTTCTTATAATATGAATAGGTACATAGTATACGCATATAATCAAATTATTTTACTCATTTGCATAATATAGCAACTGGTAAAAAAACGGATTTTCGGTTCGGATGCTATTGAAAAACGGAATTTTCCAACAGGTTCAGTGAAGTTCACTTCTTCGTCTCATCTGACAATATAAGTGAAGAGGAACAATCTGAAAATGTGAGCACGATTTTAGAAAAAAAAGTACGACATTTGTTATGACTAACGATTAGCTGTTTCTCTAATTAGATAGATAACTCACCAGGCATTATTCTGCATTGCGGGAACAAATCATTAAAAACTTTACGTATCTCTGTTAAAAATTCATCAACTGTTAAGGGTAAATCAAGTTCATTTATAATAATGCTAGCAAATTCCTTGCTCTGCTGGCCCATTATTTTACATTTTAGGGAAAACGTAAATTCTTTGCCATAACGCGAAGCTACTTTCTGAAATCCTATAGTGTATAAGTCTTCTGTATCTGAAAACAATATATATAGACAATTATATGATATTATATCACATACTTACCGCATGTATGGTTTCAGTATTTAAGTCATATTTTGCAATAATATTGTACTTGTTCATTATATACACACATATAACCCATGCTCTATAGGAGAAGATTTAATAATCACCTCCATTCGTCCTCTAAAAGTATTATTATATATTTTAAGGTTCAAAAATAAAATAAATATAATCAATGACATTTTTATTATTAATACTTTGTACACATAAATTCATAATTTGTTATAATAAATATATATACCTACTGACAGTATCACTTACTTAGTAATAATCCATCCATATCAAATAGCACGTGGGTAACCGGCTTAAAAGACATTTTTTTTATATATCACAATTGAAATTGTATTTCTATAATATTATATACCGTAAATTACCGTTACTATACATTACTTCCTTATAAACTAGGGAAGAGTTACTCTAAAACACATAACTGATCTTTTATCTTATCTACATTTTATGTAACTGACTGAGCAACAACAACAGCTTGTTATATTTTTTCGTATGAGACAATGTCTTTTATGTATGTATGTATGATACCTACACTACATTTACAAACACAGTTTTTTTTGTGGTAAAAATACAACTTTATATATATACATACATAGATGTAGAATTGTCCTAGGTTTTTTCTTTAATATGAATATGGACTGCTAAATTTAAACCCGCCTGCGCGGGTATAAGTTTATAAAATCAACTGTACTTGTAGCACAAGATCAACATTGATGTTAACCAGTATTTTGTAAAAACGTCTTAAGATACATGTTGAATATGTAAAGTACTTTTGAATTTGAGTTCATAAAGAACAAGTTGTGAATGACAAAATTAAACTTTTGTAGGATTACAAGTATTTTCCACTATTAAAACCTGAGCTATAATTTGATATTTACAAGTTATTTCGCTATTCAAATATATATCTCTATAGTGTCGAGTCAATTTAATTTTTCTTATCAACTTATCCTTTTGCTTATCAACTTATCGTTATTCATATTAAATCTCCAGTTTTTTTTCGCGGCCTTAGATTATGGCATCTTAAATTACTGTATTTTCATTCGATCACTCAAAATGTCCAGTACACTTGATATTTAGCGCTATTCAACTTTTATCTTAACAATTGGTTTTGGCAAATCTCTGACTGTCAATCTGGCTTTGGCAAGACAGATCTTCGCCTTATCTGGTAATACATGTAGCGTAAAAACAGTCCTCAACTTATTCTTCATCACCGATATAGAACTATGTATCATTATTTTACTACTTGCTATTGAGTTCTCTACAGACACAAACCTAAACTTACATCTATGGTCAAAATATGTAGTTAGTAAAAGCTACTGAAATTACTTATCAAATGGTGGTAAACCAAAGACTTCTGGTTTGAAGTCCTCTAAGCTTTTTAGCACAAGAGTGGCCTCCACAGTTTTGCTTTTGTCAATTCTTGGATCAGGGACTAAGACTACTTGCATTCCAGCTGCACGAGCGGCTTTTACTCCATTCGGTGCATCTTCAAATACTAAACACTGTACAAACAATATTTACACTTATTTACAGAAAAATATAGATACAAATATACAGTTGCTTATAAAATTATACTTTACTACATATGTAGTCAATTGAAAAAAATATGCAAGACAAAAGTAAAAAATCCTGAATGTATAAATGAAGCCCATTCATATGATGATCAAACCAAATGTGGATAATTAAAATATATTTACCTGTTCAGGTTTTGGTTTATCTGGAAACCTTGAAGCAGCTACAAGGAAAACATCAGGATGTGGTTTACCTCTCTTAACCTCAGGGTCTGATGAGCCAATAGTTTTGTATGGAAATAGAGTGAATAGCTCTTTATGATGTTTATTCACCTTCAACTCATAATTCTCTAAATTAGAACTTGTTGCTAATCCAATTGGCACATTATTATTATGTAAATGTTCAATTAATCTTTTGGCTCCTGCAAATATTTAAAAATAAAATCAATGTTATGATAATAAAACAACTAATATCATATATTAAGTACTGCTTACAACAACCAACCCTGGCTAGCATGACAAAAGTATGCTAGTTTCTTCCACTTATAGGTGGTCCCTACTAGACAAGTCTGGTAGTGGAATATAATAGAAATTTAGAAACTCAAAATACTTATTCTGTAGACTAATTGAAAAGATATTCTGCATATCTAAAATACAAATGACAGCTCTATTGTTCTCGCGATCTGACCACCCTACTACTGATGGTAGCTGGTTTAATTCTTTGCACAATTCAAATATTAGCACTTACGAGTATGATTGTGTGAATATAAGAAGATTGTAAGATTGTGTAAAATATTTCTATTAGTTATATAGTACCCATTAGACAAACTCTGTTTATTGTCCTGAGTTATTTTTCTTAAACTATGTTTTATAAATCAATTTATCAATCAACATATTTTCATTGTAATATACCTGGCATTAGTTTTGATTCCGGGAACAACAAATCATATTGTTCTTTACATTGTTCCATAAACTCTTCAGGAGAAATTGGTAAATCAAGACTGGACACTACAATCTGTGCAGACTCATGACTTTGACGACCCATTATCTTTAACTTTATATCAAATGTATATTCTTTGCCATATTGTGATACTATATTCTGAAAAGCTACTGTATATAAATCTTCTGTATCTGTAAGTAAACATCAAAATAATTTGAAATCTGTATTTTTTCTGTTAACTTAGTAGCATACCAGTTCTAATTATAAACTCATTTTAATGATTATTTGAATATTAATTGTTATTAAAAAAAATTATCACCTGAGGCTCATAGGTTTATCTATTACAAAAGCAGTGATGCTTGATGTCCCTAAAACCTACTATATTAAATTGGTTTACATGTAATAACCTATTATAAAATTCCAGCAAAACAGTGTATAAAATTTACACTTCCTAATGTAAGATCAAGAAATACACAGTTATTACTTAATGATGAAATAGTAAATTTTGTTAATGATACAGTTTTTTTAGGTATAACAGTGGACTCGAAATTACAATGGGGGCCCCGTATTTCAAAATTGGCCAGTAGACTCAGTTCTGCTGCATATGCAATTAGAAAAATTAGGCAATTAACAGATGCGGCGATGGCTAAACTTGTATACTTTAGTTATTTACACAGCATTATGTCATTTGGCATACTGCTGTGGGGTAAAGCAGCCAATATAAATACTATATTTATTTTACAAAAGAGAGCCATACATTCTATTTATAGTATGGGTTTGAGAGAGTCATTATGTCAGTGTTTTAAAAAATCAAATATCCTCACTGTCACTTCACATAACATTTATGAAAATATAATGTATACACAAAAGAACTTAGAGAGTTTAAAAAAACTCAAAGACTGCAAGTAGACACTTACACACTAAAAGTAAGCTAATTTTACCTAAATGCCATCTGTACAAAATCAGTAATTCATTCTATGGTAATTGCATAAGATTTTATAATAAACTGCCACTAAATCTGACAGAGAGGCGATTCAAATCTTATATTAAACAATTTTTGTGTAAGAAAGCCTATTACAGGATAGACGAATTCATAGATGACAACATATCAAGTAAATAATTAGTTTATTAGCATACAACATTATAATTTATTTTTCTCATTGCTTTCTTGATTTAATTATTTTAGAAATATGAAAGCATAGCGGGTTTTGTATTGATTGCCGCATGCATTCTTGCATGTAAAATGTGAATACTATAACTATCAGATGGCAATTGTAAGTAGCTATGACGTGGTCTAGTGTTTTGAGTAGTCATGCTCACTAAAATGTCCAAACTTGTGGCTGCGTGGTGGGCCGGGTCATTGGGCCCTAAAATATGGTCAAACGCAGTGATGGCTGGCTCATCCGTCATACTCGTGAACGGGTGCTGCTTGTAGGGACTGGTCTGCTCTAATCACTAGGCCTGAGTTCCTCTTATTAATTGTTTAACCAGTTGTTATGTATTAAATATTTTTTCTATTTGATTATTTAAATGAATTAGTGCTTGCTTAGTGAATTAATGTAATTAAAATCTACTTACTTAATATTAAACCGTCCATATCGAATAAAACGTGGGTAACATGTTGAAATTCCATAATTATAATGATTTTAAAACAATTGATTGCCACTAATAATCAATGAACAAAAAAAACTACTTTCAGTAAATTATACTTATTTTGGAAAGGATTGCGACACACTAGCAAACAATTCGATATTAATATGTGATATTACTCAAAATGCATCTTGAGCCTACTATTGTTTGACAGATATATTTATATCAATCACATGGCTTCGCTTATCATGATGTATACCGCAAAATGGTAAAAATCACACAGGTCACGCTAAATAATCAATTAAGAAAAAAATACCAATAAAACTATTTAATATTCTATTTATTAAATTCTATGGGGTTATTAAAAAAACTATTCTTCTTTAAAATCTACTTTTATTAGAATATATATTTTTTGGTTTAAAAAATTCCCGCCTAAAAGTAATCACAGTATATTTTTTTGATTTCTTAGTTTCACGGCTTTGGACACGTGGACATGCATTTATAACTTTCGAATGGTTTACAAAAAATATTAAATTTTGTTACAAACCGATATAGCAGGATTTAGAGGTCTACATATAATATAAGAACTTTATTGAGAACTCTGAATTCCTAAATTCTGAATAATGGATTAAAATTATGGGGTTTGCAATTTCACGTGAAACATTTGCACATGGAAGCTAAGTTGTAAACACACGATTGTAACGATCACTAAACAACTACAAACTTCTAGATTTTATTTCATTGTTATTGAGAATTATTATTAATAACGTCGTTGTAGCTTATAAAACGCGCAACATATTTTTCTCACCATCGCAATTAGTATTTAGAGGTAATTTAAAATCGTTACTGTTTTCAATTGCATTTTTTATCAAAAAATCTAAAGATAATGTAATTGATAATTGTAGAGAATGTAATGCAGCGAAATGTTTTTCTATTTATGAAATTCGTTTAAATTATAAATAGTATTTGGCAAAAAAGTAATGTAACCAAGCCATTAAAATATAAAAAAAAATCTTAGTTGTCTAAAGTACTGTAAAGTTGACTTTGCTTCATGTTTTATTTGAAACTTCGTTTTTAATTTTGTTTACCTAAGAACAACCCACATTTCAAACTCAAATTAGCCTAATAGCTTAAAATTATATTATCTTTCGAGTTAAATATTCCTCAACTATATCTACTATAAACTTTTGAAATAATATGGAAGGTCCAGGCATGAGCCTGTTTCAGGGTGCACCGAGCATACATGTAAATAACAGTGCCCAAGACAGGTTGGAAGAACAGGAAGAACTGGAAGATCAAAAACGACGAAATGAGGAAGTAAAAATGCCTATTTTATTATAATAATGCACTAATATAAATTTAATTTCTAGATATCTATATGATCCGTTATATTTAATTTCAGCTCAAACATAAATTGGCTAATGCTTTCGATGATCTGTTAGACGATGACGAAGGGAGTTCTGTAAACAGTAGTGCAAACTTTACTATCGACGCTGTTCACACTAATGGTAGTAAGTATTTTAAAAATCTCATGTTTAATTGTTATATATTATTTCAGGAAGTTCCTACTTCTATACAATTTATTACAACCCAATTTAACTCATATAATATCTGCCTTTGTAATTTTTCTTACAGCACAACAACCTAGAACAGGACTGCTACCCACATATGTTGAATCTCTGAACCATTTAAAAGAGCAACACACTCCAGAATCTCCAAAACTATATTGTGGAACTCCAAAAAACCATATGGCTCAAATGAGGCATCAAGATGATCCTCTAAAACTCCCATTTAGTCCTTATGGAGCTGGTGATGGTCAAAACTATTGCTTCCAACAAGATGTGAGAGGTAAAATTACAAAGCCTTCTGAATAACTTTCATATAAATTTGAAAGAAATTGCTAACTTTACTGTACAATCTTTTGTATATTTTAACAGTCAAATTGAAATTTTAAAATTTCAAATTAATATGTATACCAACCAACCAACCAACAAATATATATGTATACAATGAGATGTCTTAAAATTAACTAAAGAAAGGTTTATAAGAATAGTTGCAAAAGTTGAAAAATATTTTTCTTGACATGGATAATATCAATTGCCAAACTATTTTTACAATTAATTAACAGTCCACTACTTCAAATATTGAAACCACTCTACATTTCAGAAGTTTTATTTATTGATCAATGAAATATTGGTTGCAGGTCATCTAAATGGCATGAATAATTTTGATGCAAGGCATGAGTATATGAATAATGAACAGCTAAAAGTTATGTATGAGGTAATGTTAAAATGTAAAAGGTATATGTACCCAAGAGACACTCACTAATCAGTATTTTATTTATCTTTAAGTTTCAACTTACTCCTTCACATTCTACTTTGGTTACATAGACTCTCTTTCTGCATTTAGCCTCTTCTTTGGGCCCTTGATCTGCTTTAATTACATATTTTTAATAACAGTAATAACCTGGATAATTTACACAGCACCATCTAGTCCCAACATGAGCAAAGATTGTATTATAACTAAAGTACTGATACATGTTATTATATTTTTTTACTAGGCCACTAAGGTTGTCAAGGCACTTTGAAAAAGTAGCCTGTTCTTTTCTATACCAAATACTATCTTTATCTATTTTATGATGTGAAATACTTTACAAATTAACTTACATTCACAATAATAATGATTATTTTTCCCCAGATGTTAAAAAAAATTGTTTTTATAAGACAAGTAAGATTGCTATAATTAAATTCACAATATTATTAAGTATTATATTTCATAACTAATTATTATGACATCATAATAAACAGATGCGTGTGAAAGAATGTCAACAATTGGCAGCTCAAATAGAAAAGCTGGACAGTGAAATTGACAGCCTGCGAGCTAGACTTGCAGCTGCTGTCAGTGACCGAGATAAAGCTGATTTATCACTGCAAGAAGCCCATCATTTGCTAGGTAAAATTATTTAACTAAAACCAATATAACAGCTAATTTTTATAAAATTAAAGATTATTGTCTTGTCTTTATGTATGTTGACACATCAAACTCGATCCTACTCTTTTGTATGCATACTATTAATTTAATTACTTTAATACTTGATATTTGAATTTCCAATTTTGATAATGCACCACCCACATGAATGTTACATGAATACTTATGTTAACATAACATTGAAAGTTCAAAGTTATAAGCCTTTTACTTAAAACATGAATTAAATAAACTTAAACAATGAATAGAAAAGTCCATAAAGCTTTGACTTTTAGTATGATATCATTATTAAATAGATATATTTTAAACCTATATACTATTTTAATGTTATAAATTTTATTTTCCAACGTTATATACAAGATGGAAATAAAAGTGATTTCAACTTGCTAAGCTATACTATTTTGATATAATGTAGGACTTTAAACAGTAAAAATAATTATTTCTGGTTTAATTCAACTTTATACTCTCCAAACTCTCCAAAAAACTTCTCATTAAGCAAAGTAATGAAATGCTAATAATAAGGTGTGTAAACACACAAGTATGACATTGAATAATATTTTAATTGTTGTATAAATATTATTTTAATTACCACCCCTTGTTTAGAATAGCTTTAAATAAATTTCATAAGGTAAAGGGGTGTTCTATTGTGTCAAATACATCAATGTGATAATTAGATTCCAAGTCATGATATGTCTCACCCATCTTTTCATTTAATGATTAACTTGAAATTCAATATTGTTTTTGAGATTTATGAATTGAGATATGTCACAAAGATTATCATATCTTAAGAGACATGGTTGTATACAACATATTATGTGATTGATTATGGCTTCCTTTATTTTTATATGTTTTGTTTGAATATAATAATTGTAAACTTTTGAATACTTACGAATTAAATAATTTCGATTGTATAAAAATTTCAGCATCTAGCAAGCATAAATTGATTGAGCTTGAACAACAAGTGAATACTCTCACAGAAAAATTAGTGGAGAGTGACCAAGATAAAGAACAGCTTAAAATAGAATTGCGATCAGCTAACATTAGCCTACAGGATGTTCAACAAAGGCTACATACACTACAGGTAAAGAGCTATTACTTCAATATTTTTTTTTGTGTGTTTGGATGCTAAGGCCTTTGCTGAAAATATGCAGCTCTGGTTGCAGCAGATTAATGTTTAAGAATTTTTTTATAGTATCATATTGATTTTTAATTGTTTTATTATATTTGTGTGACTATGTGTATGTGTAATAATGTGTATATATGCTGCCAATTTTAATTTCCTCTATACTATTTGTAATGCATATTAAGTATTAACATCAATAATACTTACTAAATAAATTTATATTATTATTATTACAGGTTGCTCATTCTCACGACACAGATGCACTCTTCAGAGAACAGCAAGACAGGTATGTATTTATATATAATTTTTTTTTTATTATTTTTATCCTGCAATTGGCTTACCAAGCCTTTAACAGATTGGTTGTGGGACTGTTGACGGGAGAGAACTATCTCTGTATACTCTTGTCCTGTGCTCTATTTCTTCTCTGATTGTTCTCATTCCTGTATACTCGTGCAATTCTGTTATTCTAATGAATAGAGGTGCAGCAGTTATGGTTTTGAGTGTTTTATTCTGAAACCGTTGCAAAATCTCTATGTTGGAATTCTTTGCTAATCCCCATAACTCGATGCCATATGTCCAGATTGGCTTTATTATGCGGTACTCCGGCTTTTATATCATGAAAGGTAGAGTAGGTGTCATTGATTTTGACTCTAAACAATCTGTCCTTTAAATAAGATTTTAAAAGTATGTAAAAGTTATCTGAAAGGTGTTTCTTCAGTTTGAATAGCTTCTCTAGAGCTTCTCGTATTTTGTTGACAACTCTATTGACTTGTTCAATTGTTGAATGGCCAACTCTGAATCCAAACTGATGTTGAGGAATTATTTCTTTTTCATTTAATACCTGTGTTAGCCTTCGTAAAATTATTTCTCAAATAATTTCGATAAGGTTGGAAGTAGGCTTATTGGTATGTACGAAGACAAGGTGTGGAGGTTTGCCAGGCTTGGGAATCATGACTATCTCTGAAACTTTCCATAGCATTGGCACATGTCCAATCCTAATTATACTATTGAATAGTTGTGTTATACCGACTATACCTTTTTTAGGAAGCTGTTGGAGAACTTCAGCTGTAATCAGGCAGAAGCCAGGGGCTTTCTTTAGTTCCAAGTTTTTTATTTCTCTTTGGACTTCTCGTGGAGAGCAGCTTTTAATTGGAAGAGATAATTGGGAGTCAGGCCTAATATAGTCAAGTATCTCTTTTTCGGCTTCTTCATCACCGCTATTTGGAGTAAAGACCTCATTTAGGAACTGTCCGAATGCTCTAGCCCAAGTATTATCCCTAGTTTTGATGGGGTGTTGTGAAACCTGTGGAGCCATTTTGCTACTTTTAACCATTTTCCAGAGTGAGTATTCGTTTTTAGCTTGGGGATTCAGGTTAGCCAATTTATTCTGTAGGGTCTCTTCCTCAATCTTTTTAAGGTACTTTTTTTAGGTCTGCAGCTGCTTTATTAAACGCTCTTTTGTCTTGGCTATGTCGACTACAATGCCACACCCTTCTAAGTCGTCTTTTTTCCAGGATTTTATATCCCTGGGTATATTCTTACTACCATGTTTTAATGTGGCAGCTGGTGTGCTTTTCCATGCTGCTATTTGTATTAAGTTTGTTAATGTCATTGCGTAACCCTCTATGTCATCTTCCGTTTTAAGTGGTACTTTCATGTCGAGGTTTTCGTTTAGGTAGTCTCTGAATGCCTTCCAATCAGTTCTTTTACTGTAGAGGCGCTCCTTAACTGGTCTTTCAATAATGGTGGTACTTATTGTAGCAATTACAGGCGTGTGATCTGAACTACTGTCAAGATAACTCTCCACCTTTAAATAGTTGTTTGACAATCCTTTATACACAAAGAAGTCCAGAAGATCGGGTATTTTTGTGGGTCTGTTGGCCAGTATGTGGGTTCACCTGTGCTTAGTATATGTAGGTTATTTTTATCTATACTTTTTTTCATTTCGCGGTCCCTAGGTACGGTCAGTCGTGATCCCCAGTGAACGTTTTTGGCGTTCCAATCGCCTCCACATAAAAACCTATCTCCAAGAGTTTTGAAGTAGTTAGTGAATGCTTCTTCTTTTAATTTATGTTTTGGTGGACAGTATACAGCTGATATAGCCGTAGATCTTCTTTTATCCTGTAGCATTATTGTAGTTGCTTGTATTGGTTCCGTTTTATACTCCTGAAGAATATCGTGCTTGATGTGCTTCTGAATAATTATGACTGTGCCCGCATGAGCTGTTCCATCGGGGTGGGATGTCGAATATATGCTATAATTTTTTAACCTTAGGTTGTGATTTGGTAGTAAGTGTGCTTCAGATACAAGGAGTATATCAACATTCTCGTATTCCAATATAGTTTCCACATCATACTTGTGCGTGACCAGCCCGTTTGTGTTCCAGGTTATATATATATAATTTTTGTAAAAATATTTATAGTATATTCAACATTTAATTTACACATGATTTTTTTATAATTTTAGACATAGAGATGAAACGGACAGACTGCAAAATGACCTGTTAAAAGCCAAAAACAGACTTGAAGACAAAGTAAGTATCTAATGTGATATTACATATTTTTGCAACTAGCTGAACGCAGTCATTAATTTATACATATAAATAAAAATAAAATTATTTACAATTTTTGTCTGTCTGTCTGTTTGTTGACCGATTTTCACGGGACTTTTTTTGGCTTGGCAGGTAGCTGATGTAATAAGGAGTAACTTAGGCTACTTTTATTTTAGAAAAATAAAGTTATTTTCCACGCGAACGAAGTCGTGGGAACAGCTAATATTTAATAAACACCAATGTGTGAACTTATAAATTTAGTATATGAAATTTAAAAAGGTTTTAAGAACTCCATTATCACATGTCTAGTATTTATTACATTGCATATATAAAACTTAACTAATCATGTTTAATTCAATACTACATTTATCTATGTTGTGAATAAAATGCAAGTTCGACCAAGACTGACTTTATTATCCATGCACCCACAAATACATGATAAATCATTTACCCTCATAAATATTACAACATCTTCCCTATCAAAAATATGTGTGGGAGTATGTATTATTCTAACACAGAACAATAATTTAATTAATGTAAATTAACTGGTCGTACATATTTTAAACATAACATTCTAGACTATTGCCCAGCAAATAGGCAATAATTATTATAATGTTTTAATAAAATGAAAACTATAGACCGTTGTATTGTATACTTGTTGAGATAGTAAATAACTATAATCAATAAGTAGGTCTACTCGTTTACTACATTATTAAAATTTAAATTCTTATGTATGTATATATAACTTACATTCTACTAAAGAAAAAATTAAAAGAAAATCTGTGCTGAAGAATTAAAAGTAAAATTACTGCTAAAGAATTAAAAATAGTACATAACTGTAGGTTAAAATTAGATCATTCTACATTTCATTACAATATAATTAAAATAATAAAATACATAACATGCATTATTAATTAAAATAATATGACATATGTATAAACTATTTACATGCGTACTGTTGTAAAATATTAAAACAATCACATGAATATAATTATAATATCATTAGGCATTAAATAAGTTAATTTTGATACAATTTCGCTATATTAAGGCGAGCTGCTGCAGCAGCCAGTCTGCGTGTCCGTTTTGTGGGCTTTTGTGCATTGGATATGGTGGGAGAGTCTTTCACATTTCCATCATTATCGCCACCACTCTCTGCACTGGACCAATGGTCAATATCCTGGGTATCCTGTCCCTCGTCCTGGGGTGAACTCTGTGTTTTTATATCAGTCTCGACTTTAATCAGTTGACGTCTGTTGCGTCTGTACCGTCGTCCTGTGGAGTCGGTTACAAAGTATGAACGAGGTTGTGGGGCTCGTCCTTCCACCCGTACGCATTTTCTACCACTAGTATCTGCCATGACTACCGATTGACCCGGTTTCAATTCTGTTAACGCCCTTGACCGTTGATCGTAATATTTTTTGCTAAGCGATTGTTTACGAATTATAGTCTCATAATCTCGAGTGTTGTCGCGATATGGTTGTAACTTGCTTTCATGCACCGGTAACTTAGTATTGAGCCTTCGTCCCATCAACAGCTCTGCTGGTGAGCTAATACCGTCCCTTGGTGTGGCTCTAAAGTTTAGCAATCCTAGATAAAAATCTGAACCAGAAATTAGGCACTTAATAAGAATGTCCTTGATAGTCCGTACACTCTTTTCACTTTGACCGTTGGATTGGGGATAATTCGGTGACGTTGTAATGTGACTAAATTCCCATTTCTTGCAAAATTCATTAAATTCTTTGGATGCATATGCCGGCCCATTGTCAGTAATCAACTCACTCGGGATGCCATGTCTTGCAAATTGATCTTTCAAGACTAGAATAACAGACTTACTATTTATATTTTTTAAAGGGGATACTTCAATGAAATTTGAAAAATAGTCAACTAATATTAAAAAATATTTTTTGTTGTATTCAAATATATCCGAACCTACTTTCGACCATGGTAAATACGGAACTGTATGAGACAATAGAGGTTCACGTGTGGGACGCGCTGCCCGCAAAGCACAGGTGCGGCAGTGACGTACAACCTGTTCCACGTCCCTTGACATCCCTGGCCAAAACATAACCTCGCGTGCATGTCGTTTACATCTATCTATGCCTAAATGCCCGTCATGTAATCTTTTTAGCATTTCCGATCTCAACTGTAATGGAACATAAACCAAATCATTCTTGAATATTATACCATTTATAAATTCCAGGGTTTCCCTGTAAGACCACTGTCCTCTCACTCTTTCATCTACTAAATATTTATTATCCGGCCAACCTTTCTTTATGTATTCAATTATTACTTGACATTCTTGATCTTTCTTTACTGCCTCCCTTATTAAACTTATTTTACTATCACTAAACCTTACATTTTCTATAAGAAAACACGATTGCTCTGCAATTTCCTCATTTATATTTTCCTGTAATAATTCTGGTATTGGGGCTCTCGATAAAGCATCAGCAACATACATGTACTTTCCCGGTTTATATGTGACTGTAAAATCATAACACTGAATGCGCAGCATCATACGTTGTAATCGCGCGGGAACCGAATTTAAGGATTTATTAAATAGTGTTTGGTGGACTGTTTCGACCGTAACATACACACATATTGATATAGCAAATACTATTGCCAACAGATCTTTTTTATTTGTGCGTATTATTGTATCAGTGAGTGTGGATGATGCAAATTTGGACGGCCGGCTTTTATACTCCTGAGCGATATCGCATCTACTGATAACAGAACTGGTTCGCGAGTAGAATAATTACGGGAGCACCGCACACTGAGTCTTTCAACTGCTGTACCGCCGTATCGTGAAGCTGTTCCATCGGGGTGGGATGTCGAATATATGCTATAATTGGATTAATTTAACCTTAGGTTGTGATTTAAAACTAAAAGTGTGTCCTAAATGTGCTTCAACACAAAATACACTTTTCTTTATTGAATTTTATACCTGCCTCGCGTGCCCTATCCAGCAATAGTATCAATCTTTGATTCTCGTATTCCAAACCAGAACATCATCAATGAATTTCCACATCATCCACTAATATTTGTCGTATTTTGCGTGACCAGTTTATACCGTACGGTAAACGTTTGTGTTCCGAAGCATAGATTATATATATATATATATAATTTTTGTAAAAATATTTATAGTATATTCAACATTTAATCCTTTTTAGCCGCGACAACTATTGCGATTTTTTTATAATTTTCGATTTAACTGTATTTAGAGATGAATCTTAACGGACAGACGGCTGCGCGCCCGGCATCGTTATTATCTTATACATTCCTGGTAGTTTGCCTAAATGAAATAAATCACTATATTGTTCAAAATTGATTGAATACACACGTTTAAAACAGACGTATTTGCCTAACACACTTTGACAATTATGTCGGACAGTAAATTTTAACATATATGTATTGTTTTTATATATCCACTTTATATGGCATGATCCCATTATAGGAATAGGATTTCCACAAAATGATATAGCCTTAATTTTGTTAGTATTTAATTGTGACAAGTGTAGACCTAATTTTTTATACATATAGATATAAAAATCGGAACCCGTATCTAATTATTTAACACCATAGTAAATAATGATAAAGTTTCATACCATTTATTGTCTGTCTGTTTGTTGACACGTATAACTCTTGGTCATCACTAGATATATCTTCCTCAATTTGATAGACACTGTTTTTTATTTTAGCACAAGCACTTTTAAAATGACCTTTTCCACCACACCGAAAGCACTGAGCATTTTTGGCAGGACAACGAAGTCCCCCATCACAATGAGGTTTCATGTGCACACAACCGCCCAGCATTGAACGGAATAAAACGTCGGGCGCTGGCCATACTGCCTTTTCTATTTTAGAACCATTCCGCGACGCTCGGCTTGCACCGTAAATACAGCCGATGCCGTTATTTATCCACCTTGGTGCCTTCAATCTGTCGCTTCTCTTCATTAGCGACATATCTTTAACGAGGGTAAGATCATCGTAGCAGCCGGTCGCGCAGCTTTCCATCAACGACGCCACAAATGATGCGATATAAGACCATTCGAGATGCTAAACACTGCTGTGTGTTTTAAACTTATAAATTTACCTTGCTGATTTCTGGTGAAGAATTTATGAAATGTTCATCAAATTTGTTCACCAGTAAAAGGTCAAATTTGAAAGTGGTATAAACAACTCCGGACCGATTAAGTTTATTAATAAACTAGCTTGTACATCAGATGATTCCTTATTACATCCAGATGCCTTCAAAAATACAATATATACGCATCCGCGCGACACGCCGGTCCTCCTTTAATTCCGACGGTCGAACCATATTTATTGTTGTTTGTCACTATCTTTATAACAATATTACGCACTAATATCACTTTATATTTGATATTTGGCTCTAATAATTAATAAATATATAGGACCGCTGTCACCATGTTGTGAATAAAATGCAAGTTCGACCAAGACTGACTTTATTATCCATGCACCCACAAATACATGATAAATCATTTACCCTCATAAATATTACAACAATCTATATGAACATAGTCACGATAACAAATTTATTATTTAAGCAATCACATATGATTCCAATTTGATGTTATTGTCTTCGTAACTTATATTTCAAAGGAAAAAGAAATAAAAACTCTAGAACGCCGCTGTATGGAAAGAGATAGAGAAAAAGAAGAAATAATGATAGAAAAAGGTGCTACTATAAACCGTCTAGCGGCTGAATTAGAAGCGGCGCAAAGTAGATTGGTAAATGGAGAGGCGGCGCGGCTTAAGGAAAGAGTGGCGCAACTCAATAGTGAGAGGAACACTGCCAGGGAACAAGTCAAGGAATTAGGGGTAATAATTTATCTGTACTAACATTATAAAGATCAATCAAAGATTTGATTTTTGTATGTTCGTAATGAATAATCTTCGATAATACAAGACATAGTTTCTCCAATGGATAACTACATTATCAGAGAGTAATATACATATCTCTTTATGCAAACAGACAGTGCCAAGGCCTTTCACCTTCTAGATGTTAAGGAAGTTTATTGTTAATGTAACACTTTTCCCATTTTAGTCTAAATTAGAGGTAACGGCCCATGAATTGGTATTATGTCGAAACAAGTTAGCCTCCAGCCAAAAAGAACACGAAAATTATCGCGCAACGCTCAATCAGATACTTTGTGAATCACTGCCGGATGGTAATTATTTAGGTATGTTAATATATGTTCTGACGCTATATGTCATAATTTTTTTATGCGCCATTGACGAAGAATTGTTAATTCAATCAGATTATGAAAATATCTCATTTTTTGCTAAGTAATTATATTTAGGTATGTAGTAGAACATCCGCTTCTGCACCATAACTTTTCAAAAAATATGTTACTTGTAATGTAGATTTTCTTAATAATTAACTTTTGCTGACATCTTTTTTAATAGGAAGTCTAATCAAAATATAACTAAAAGTGCCTTTGCGCTTTACTAAAGACCATAAATAGCTATTCACATTAAGGATTTTGAATTTACATCCATATCTGGACCTGCTGTATACAAGAAATGTAAATATATTTTATAATACCGTAGGAGATACACCATCACCAGGACGACTAGCATCACTGAAGGAAGTTTTGAGTAGATACAAATTACAGTTACAGAAGTTGTCTACACTACAGGAAGAAATTGTGAAAAGGTAACATTTTGCTTAATTAAAACTAATAGTGTTTCAAGTAAGCACAATATTTGTTAGATATAGTTACGAAATTCAATTTACAATACCTATATAGGTTGGAAATTCTAGATTCCAGAAGGCACAACCTCATTAAAATATTTTATTCGCTTGAGCTCAAAATAAAATATTTTCGCTTAGTTAAATCTGTTTTTAGGCGTAACTAAATTGAGGGACTTATATATACTAAAATTATAGGGACAAGAAACTAGAACATCACCGTAAACAAGAATCGGAGTTTCGATCGAAGATAGAAGAACATAAAGGTATAGAAATGCAGTTGAACTCATGCATCGCCGTACTGCAGAACAAACTTGAACTGTTGGGAAGCAATACAGATAGTGAACTCCTTGAAAGTTACAAACAGCAAAATGAGCGGCTGCAATCGGAGATAGAAGAGAGTAGAGCTGAACTAAAAAAAGTAAAAACTAATCATATAAAACTGTAAACTTTCATATATATGTATTGAAATTTCAAATGTAATGAGGTGTTGGAGAATGAAGTTTGCCATTGTTTATATGATAATTAATTTAGTATGTACTGGATAAGCAATCAAAAGCTATTTAGGTCTAAATATAACATTTGTTTACTCCCTATTTTTTTCACTGTGTGAGTGAGAATCAAATACAGATGAAAAGCATATAACATATATAAAAAATATATAGGCTTTTATAATATTTACTTAATAATTTCGTATTATGATTGATTTATTTGTATTCATATCTCTTTACCTTCACATTAATAAATCGTAAAAGTTTAGGTTAGAACGTACAGATAAATTTTTAAAAATCTAGCAACTATCTTTCAGATTTTCAATTATATGTCCTATTAGAACAACACGTGAATGAAGCTAAATGATCAAAAGGAGTATTATTCGTAAACTAAGTAACAACTATAGATAATATAATTTATATTTCTAATTCTATTTAGACAGTGGTTAAAAACTCTCATTATTGCGTTTTTTTAATTCAGCTCTCTCATAATATATATATAATGTATATTGTGTTTTTTCGTTATAGCTAGATATCAAATGCACAGAACTGGAGATGGAATACGATAAAATGAAATCTGAGAAGGGTAGCCGGGCTTCTATAGTACAAGATGCAAATGCAGGCTTGCTGCGTGAATTGGAACGATGTAGCGCACAACTTAAAGAGACTCTCAAAGAGAATGGGGAACTGAAAAATTTGTATCTGCAGGTAACACAAATGAACTTATTTATTGTTTAGTCTTACTTACTTACATTTCAACCCTGATTGACACTTATCTATACAAGTGTTATAAAAATTCCAATAATAAAACTGATGAAAAAGACCATGAATAGTGAACTGAACACTTCAAAGGCCATTATTTGAAAAATTTAACTTTCTATTATTATTTAACTTATATAGAAAAAAAGTAAACTTTTTTATAATGTTATAGGCTTGCAGTACCCGTGATGCTACATCCAGAGAATTAAAAGACATACAAACAAAAATACAAAAAGAAAAGGAGTTCTTCAAATCACAGGAGAAAGAGTATGTCGAAAGAATAGAGAAAGAAAAACAACAAACCACAAAACTAACATCTGATCTTAATAACTCGAAAGAAGAACTAGACAAAGCTAATAAAAGAATATCTGAGTTACAAAAGGAATTTACAGATAAACAAAGAGAGTTTACTGATAGACTCAACAAGTATCTTGCAGGTAAACCAGTAATTTCATTAGATACATTTAAACAATTTATTTTTATGTAACTTGAACGGCAAACAATTAATAGTTTATCAGATATATGGCCGTGATACTTGTACGTTAATATTCCGTAGGACTAACGTGTCATACCTTCATACCCTTCATGTCATTGATTTATACTCAAAAAGATAATTTTGTATTAAATATGCCAGGTAATAATGACAGAGTTACTGAGGTCTACTACGGCCGTCAGGGGGGGGGGGTTTGTTAGTAATGTGGACTATGATCTCATTGCTAGCAATGTACCATGTCAGGTTGACCTCCACGCGGTTCCCCCTGGAAACCATCGTGTTAAATTCTTGATGAATTTGTCACGATGGGCTAACTGACCTGACCTCATGCTCATCTTATCATCCTCCACTGGTGGCCCGCCAGCGTACACCGTTAGCGCAGGCGGGTGCACCATTCCATTATCATCCATAAAAAAAAAAAACTACGGCCGTCATGTAATGATATACCCTCTGCCATGCCATAGGACACAGTTATCCTTACCATCATGTGGCTTATCAGTTTTATAAAAATATCCTACTACAAATTACCACATTTCCAGATGAGAAAAGTGCTATGCGGAAAGAAATGGAACCATGTACACAATGTGAAAAACATATAAAACATATTCGGTACATTGACGATCAACTTAGCAAATGTAACATTAAATTAGGTGAGTAGCATTGCTGAAATTTAATTATAAAACTTACCCACCCTGGCTTCGCACGGATTCAATATTTATTTAAGGGTTATTTTATTTTGAGCCCATATTGCTCACTGATATCTATATGTAAGAAATACTTTTTAATTTATTATTTTGGAGTTTATCCGTTATGAACCAAAAAGAAATCTTTCCTCTTTATAACCTTTGTTCGATCTGTAAATTCTGTAATGGTATTAAAATATATTGAGACGAGAATTCAATATTTGAAAATAATTGTTACTGTTGTTGATAGCTTGTCATAAATATTTGTATGATTTCATTATAAAAGAGACATCAAAATACTACAAATTTAAATGACTGTAGTATTTTTATACATCTTTTTTGTGTCACTTTTGACTTCTTTGTGAGCCGTTTTGGGAAATAAACATACGCAATTATTACATCTATCTATACATATTCTTCTTCTCTTATCCTCTCTCTCACACATACACAACACACACACACACGCACACACACACACACACACACACACACACACACACACACACACACACACACACACATACACATACACTTTGCAAGTAAATAATGATAAGCTTGTGTTATTAACTTATTTAATTGTCTTTTTATAAATTGTAATTCCAAACATTGTGAATTGTATGTAAGAGGAGGGAACTGGTACCTAAAATACAAGTTTCTACTTAGTTTAGGTACCAGGGAACAATTTAAATTGTAAATATTGGATGCAAAATAAAAATTATTATTATTATTATTATTATTATTATTATTATTATATAAATAAAATTGGAGTGTCTGTACTACTGATATAACCATTTTTTACTACATGCATATGAATATAAATACGGTACATACATCAAGTATGTACCGTATTTATATTAAATAACATTTTTTACTATTTTTGTCTGTCTGTTTATTCCGGCTAATCTCTGAAATGGCTGGACCAATTTTTGGCAGGTAGCTGATGTAATAAGTAGTAACTTAGGCTACTTTTATTTTAGAAAAAATAAAGTTAAATTCCACACGGACTAAGTTGCAGGTACAGGTATATAAAATATACCATTATTATATATATTTATAATATTTTTTTATTAAATAGTTGAAAAGTTTCCGCTCTAGTCACAGTTACTACTACAATAAATAATTTCATTGACAGCGTCGCAGGAGAGTAATGAGGAGTTGATGCGAGAACTGAAAGGGAAAGCCGAATTCTTCCAACAGTACATAGTGGATCGCTTCCGCAAGTTGGGCGAGCAACGCAACGTGGCCACTAATACTGATACAACCAATACTTCTACTCCCACCACCTGTGACGATCAGGACGATCGTGATAACCGTGATAACCATGATGACGACGGTGGTCTTGCTGCAAAGGTAACTTATATTTCATTTTAAAATATATCTCGAGAGTGACTGTACGAAAATTATTTGTTTTCAGTAGTTAGTGTAATAAATCTAAATGTCCTATCAACATTGAATAGAAACCTAACCATACGACTATTGTATGAATGATCTAAACCACACTATGTTTGTGGAACCTGTGATAATCATTACACTAGAAAATTTAATACAAGTAATTTACAAATTATTAGATTAATTTTAATAAACTTGTAGCAAATTATAATTTTGATACTTATTGAATATGAGACTTGGAAAAAAAATATTAAATCAAGAAGAAATCATTAGATTTGTCACTAAATCCAATTTTTTGTTAGTAAATTTTTGTAAGTTCTGTGACATAATTTTGACTTTCTATGTAAGTTTCCAGAAAATTAGTCTAAAGTACAAATTTTTCCTACTCTTCATTTAATTATGATGTTATATTAGGATTAACACAATCATAATTCGTTGTTTCCATTAATTACAGACAACTTTAATGATGAGAGAAAAAGCAATAAGAGACCAAATAGCTGAAAAATTTACATTGGAAATGAAAACAATGGAAATGAATTGTGCAAGACGAATTAAAGAAATGGAGAATGAACATCTCAACACTATATCTAAATTAAAAGAACTTCTAGAACGAAAAGCCCAGGAAGTAGAAACTTTGAAAGAGTTTATACTTACGGAACGAGCGAAGGTGACACAAATACTTGAATCTAAGGAAAATGAAATTTCAGTGCTCATAAAAGATCACAATGAATTGCAAATGGAATGTCAAAAGGCCAAAGATAGTGTTGTAGAGTGGAGATTGAAAGCCGAAAGGTATAAAGAACGAGCAACGCGATTCGGTTCACTAGAAGACGTGTTGAAGAGTGAAAGGGATTTATGTGCAAAGGAGCGACATGCCATGAAGACAAAATTAACAGATTTACAAGCTAAGCAATCACAACTTGACGAGAAATATGAAAAATTACAATTAGAACATAAAATTTTACAAGATAAATATAAGAATGCTAAGAAAACAGTGTTTACTTATAAGGTATATAAAATATTCATAGTTGTTTATCACTATCAAATTATCTTATTTTATCTATATCAAATGGTATATTATTGGTAGTAATCCATCCTATCTCATTCCAGTGATCTATTATTTTGAATTGTGATTAAACCATAATAGTTCAAACTTCCCAAAGTTATTACCATTTTTGGAAATAATCATGTTTTTCTCTAATTTTACAGTAATAAACTAAAAAAAAAATCTATGTTTTTAATGTTTATAAATAAATCATGAAACTTTTTTTCCAGGATTATGTGACGAAGAAGGATGCACATGTTAACAATGAAATAAATCGAATACAAGATGAATACAGGAAGATATTTTTGAAATTACAAAATCAAATAAACTATCATGTAAACCGTAGGATACAAGAAGAAAGAAATAAAGGAAAACATGCACAAACACATGACTGTGATGTAAGTACAATGATATTATTTGAGGTATATATAGTAAATGTGAATTAAAACAAAAAAATATTAATGTAATATTTAAAATTTACAGTTTACCGAAAAAATTAATAAACTAAATGAAGATTTCGCTCAACTTACGCAATCTCGGTTTAAAGATGTACCTGATTTGAATAATCAGTGACAAAACCAGATGAGTTAGCTCTCTGCCTGATCTCCGTCCCGTCCTCAAGGACGCCAGCCACTCACGTAGCTAAATGTTACTTTAAGTTGTGTATATAATATAGAACTGAATGGGGCCAAGCAGTTGTACTTAGACATATTTTTGATTCCTCAATATATTATACGTTATATACCTATTTTAATCGAATTGTACTGCATTTGTTAGATGTAAGCAATGGAAATGATAATATTTTCCTATGATAAATGCCCCAATTATAAAGTACAATAATTTTACTTTGTATATTAGAAATGTCATTGACTAATAAAGTATATTTCTATACGACTATTCCAAGCTACATAGAATACCTGTTATAGTCTAATACCAGTATTATAATAGTAGGATCAGTATAATATTTAATAGATGACAAATGTTCAAATCACATTGTACATTCCTAGTAATTCCATTATACATATCGTGTATTAGTTTAGTGCATATGTTGCATCTTGATAATTTGACTGCTCAAATTGTTGTTATATAATGTTAATTTTGATATTTTATAATTTAATATTTAATTAATTGGATTGAATAATCGACTTTTCGCTATTTTGTGTTTCCCTGTTAGAAATTTAATAAAAGCACTATTTTTAGAAAATGTATTATTTTTTTGTATAATAATTAGATGGGACGAACGGCATTTTGGCTACAACACAAGGAACATCTTTGCCCCTTATATTTACTAGAAGTTTAGTGCCAATCTTCTTTAAAGATTCGTTAACATAACCCATAGCAACATTTCCGCCCAGATAGGGGCTGGGGCATCCACTTGTTACTTTACCAATTACCTCAAAACTTGCCGCATCTTTTAGCAAAGCGTTTTTTCTTGCCGGTGCACCAGTTTCCATTCTTATACCTACTCTTCTTTTGGATACGCCTTCTTTTATTTGGCGTAAAATTATATCAGCTCCTGGAAAATCAGCTTGTTTTCTTCTCGGTTTTGCAATTAGCCAAGTCAAATTTGCTTCTACCGGAGTCACGCTTTCATCGATGTCATTGCCATATAGGCATAATCCTGCTTCTAGGCGAAGTGAATCTCTCGCCCCCAAACCTGCAAGTTTAACATCTTCATAATGCAGTAAAGCTTCTGTAATTGTCTGCGCTTTGTCAGCTGGTACAGAGATCTCTACTCCATCTTCGCCGGTGTAACCACATCTAGTGATCCTGCACTCAGTACCGGCCACAGACCCTATACGAGATGTCATGAATATTAGGTCACTTAGAGGAATATCAGTAAGTGTTTGCAAAGCTAATATAGCCTTTGGTCCTTGGACAGCGATTAGACCTCTTTGATTCACGTCCCAGTAACTAATATTGACGTCCTTGCCTCGCTTTCTAAATACTTCAGATGTTTCTGTCATATGTTGCTTATCTACTTCCAAACGTCCGGCGTTAGAAACAATATACAGACATTCATTATTTACTTTAGTGACAATCAAATCGTCAATGATTCCTCCTTTGTCATTTAGGAATACTGTTAGCGAACTGGTTCCTTCCGCCATTCCCTTCAAATCAACGGGACATATGGATTCAAACCACGCTATACAATCCTTGCCACGAACATTTGTCTGAAGCATGTGGGATACGTCAAAAATAGATGCACTTTGTCTAGTGAACAAATGTGAAGCAGATACACTTAGATCTGAATACTGTACCGGCAAGAGAAATCCAGCAAAATCAACTAATTTTCCCCCATATTTACTGTGTAAATCATGTAGCGGCGTCTTCAATGATTCTTTAGCACTGGCACTGTATAAACGAAATTGAACTGCAGTCGACGTTATTTGTTTTGTGTTTAATATTTTCTTAGCCAGAAAAGCTGCATTAAAAGTTCTCGAACACATTTTGACTAGTAACTTACTTACGACCACTTCGCCGTTAAAGACAGTAACTGAGCATAAACAATTGATTTATCAGTTATACATAAGGTCATTGGGTCCTATTTGTTGATAACTAATGATATTGCATTGTAAATATTGTTACAAGACCACAATATGTCTCATAGATTACATCAGTAAAACAATTTTTAAGTGGTCCTAAATTAATCAACTTAAAGTCGTTTACTTATAGATAATTAAAGAAATATTACAAAATAAATTGAGGCAGACTGTAAAAATCGTCTAGGTACCTCTGTCCAATTTTAGTCGTGAAACAGTTTGTTTTATAAGCTGTTTCGATTGTGGGATCAGATATACTTAATCATATAATATAGTGAAATTACGGGATAAGAGCTATAACAACGTAGTCCTATGAAATTGAGTGGTATCACGGATGTCACTGTTATAATAACAAAGACCGTAATCTTGCTTGTTGGACATAAAACTCCTTTGTTATATTGACATATATTTTTTGTATATAAAAAGAGAAAACATGAATAAAAAAGACGACTGCGAATAAAATGGTGTTTCCTTATTTGCCCTCTGCATAAATAAAATCCCAATATTGCTTACGTTATATGTAACAACCATTTGATACACCGCCAGCTAAGGCCAGCTGGCCTTAGCTGGCATTTTTTTTATCTAATGTAGCTTACATTAGATAAAAAAAATGTCATGAAATGACAACCGCCAACCTAAACAAACCTTATAAAGAAACGGCCTTGCTGTTAGTTGAAAAAAAAACCAACGTCACGCAGTGTTCCCAGGCGGTCACCCGACCAAGTACTGACCGCGCCCGACGTTGCTTAACTTCGGTGTCTCATAGATACACATGAATAATGAAAAATAGATTTATAGCGTGATCTAAATAATAATTTATTTCGATGTCCGTTATATTGAACAATATAGTAGCCACATCGAAATAAATATATATTAAATATCTTTTTGTAATACAACCGAAATAACTTATAACGTTTTTTAAATGTGACAATATCATTCAATTCTATTAAGCCGTTACAGAAATTACTATGCACAAAGTTTTAAACAGACAAACATTCAAGAAAATATACATATTCAGTAAAGTTGTTTACATACCCAGTCGTTTCTAGAAATAAATATTGAATGTTCAGATACAGCTTGTTTACGATTTTATTATAATGGACATTGTATGATACGCTTTGAGAAATACATAATAAAGGGGTCAAAAACAGTAATGTATTCATGTCAATACCCCCCTATATTTACATCAGGGATATAGATGATAATATAATTTATGTATATGTGGTCTAGGTATATGTCTTCTCAATAAACAACTGTTATATTACATCCGATGGTAAATTGAGGATCGATTTTTAAAAATACTCACAGTTCAAACATGTATCCATGAGTATAATTGTACTCAGTCTGGGTGTATTCTATAATAGGTATATTATGTAAGCATTTGCAATAAATATGTATTTAAAAATATATAGATTTCATACAAATAAAAATATGATTTAAAATCGTAGGTTGGTCCATATTTTTTTATTAACACAAGACTTGCTAAATGAAATGTTAAAAATATAAAATATAGGAATAGATGATAAACGCTTTGCAAATTGCTTAAAACTTATTATATACTTTTGATGAAAATTTAAATATATTACTAGTTTCTTAACTAATTTGACACCTGTGAATACTATTCCTTCTTTCCTACAAAATGTCATACTACTCATAGATTCACCTGTATTACTTCAACTTTAGTTTCTTTTCAAAATTAAAAGCATGAGCCCTTTTTAAATCAAGGCTATATTGTCTGTGCATTATTTGAATTTATGATTATAATATTCATACAATATTTAACTTACTTTGACATACAGTACAGGGTAGGAAATAAATATACTAATTCAAATCTAAAGTTTATTATTAATTCTTACTGGCTTCATTTGCAATTATTTTCATATAATCTTCATGCGATAATAACTCATTTTTTGTTGCTTCAGAAATTGCAATACTAGATAAAATTATGGCAATAAAACCATTGGAATCAGGCATTTCCTTCAACAGCTCAGGATGTTTTACTAGTTCTTCATTTACTTCAATTAGAGTTCCCTTCATGCAACATGGAATATCAAAGCTTTCACCATCATCATATTCTACCTTACAAATAACTGACTTTGGCAGCAACAACTGTCCACCTTTCTTACCTTTACCTTTCACAGAATTACTTAATCTATCAATTTTACCAATATCAAAATTTATTTTAAATTTTTCATTCTTCTTAAAAAAATAATGGCTTGGGGCTAAAGAGAGAAGAGTTATCCTGTTTGAATGGAACATTAGCATTATGTCATTATTTTTAATCCCCTCCACATTTAATATGTATCGTTTACTGAAATATCTATCTGTGAAAGATTTAAACTTAGCCAAGTCTGGTATAGAGTCCAGTATTTTAAAATCCATACTGCTATTGTTAATTAACTGCAAATTCTATATTGTAATATAATTTTTAAAGCGGATATTAATGTGATGCCTTTTCTTGTGCTAATATTCTTTCTCTGATTAATGAGTGCCGCCTACGAGACTCATCTAAATTGGCTTTTTGACGTGTGAGTCTTTCAGCTTTCAAACACTTTCTCATTTCTCGATCATAATCATTGCAATAACCTGTAAATTTGATAAATGGATGCTGAAATAATAAAAATTGATAAATTTTATTAAAATCTATATAGTAAAAATATATATAGAGCAGTCACATATTCCATTTACATCTTCTAACAAGTAAAATTAAAGGTGATCCAGTTGAAGTAATCTTTTTTATTTCCTAATTGAATTTTACTTCAGAATTAGGTTATCCAGCATGATTTTTAATTTATGCTGTTTATATATATTAATTCTGTTGCTAAGAATAGGGTAACTGTGACTGCTCCTTTTATTATCAAATAGCTATTTGTTCGTAGTTTTAATTAATTTACACAAAACCTAAACATAGAATCTTCCTAGGAAATGACTTCTTTAAAGCATAATATTAAAGTTATATTTAAGTAGTTATGCAATTTTTTACCTCCGTATGACAATCCATTAATTTTTTGATCAGAACATTACATTCATCGGTATGTAAATGTGGGGATAAATCTGTGTGCATGCCTTAATGTTGATTGTACTGAACACGTGAAATTGTAAAGAAATAGGTATAAATACTATAAATTAATAATTTATTTTTATTGTTGGTAAGAAAATGCAGAAATCACAAATGCTGTGTAACACTGTGACAACAATGAAGCAAAACATACTATAAATTAACAGCTTATCTTTTACTCTAAAAGAACTCTGGCGATTTAGGAATCTGTGCCGGACATTAGCAGTGTTGCCAGATAAAACAAAATTTATATGTATTTAGATAGCTCATATAATTTTCAAAATGTAATCTTTCTAATGGCTATTTGACAGTTGTAGAATTAAAATATGAAAATTATTTTTTATAGTAGCTTCTTAGTAAATAGTAATCATACAATATGTTTTTTGCATTAAAAAACATGATTAATATTTTATTTTTGGAAAATAAATCAGAGTTTTTTTACCTGTGGTTAACATGGAGCGGCCATGATCCATCATCGTATGACGTCAAAATTCAATAAACAATTGTTCTATAGTTTACTGAGAAAAATCGCTCAAATATTTCAATTTGTTTTGTGTAAAGTTTCATGAAATGGAGTTAGGGTATATTAAAACGGATAATGCAAATCTGCCCAGAATAGATTCGTTTATGATCGCAAATTTCTTTGCCTGTAATCCTGATTTTTGTTTTACCGATTTCATTATTTGATGTTTATTTTACCAATAGAATATAATTATACTGTATTGGATGTAATTTTCCGTATCATTAGATACTTATAAAGAAAAACAAAATGTCATTAAATTAATAATTTATTTTTATTGTTTAAGAAAATGGAAATCACAAATGCTGTGTAAATTATGGCAAAACATACTATAAATTGTTTATTCTATAGTTTAAAAGAACTCTGGCGATTTAGGAATCTGTAGGTTAGGTTTCATTTATTTTTGGAAAATATAATATATTCAAAATTTCTTCTAAATACTTACATTAAATTAAAATATGAAAATTATTTTTTACATAAAATAGTAATCGCATACAATATGTTTTTTTTGCATTAAAAAACATGATTAATATTTTATTTTTGGAAAATAAATCAGAGTTTTTTTACCGGCGCGGCGTGATCCATCATTATAATTCAATAAACAATTGTTCTATAGTTTCGAAAAATCGTTTTGGGCATTTATGGAACGTATATTAAAAATAATTTGTTGGGACATTTCTTTGCCTGTAATCCTGATTTTTGTTTTACCGATTTCATTATTTGATGTTTATTTTAAGAATATAATTATACCGCATACGTTCATTAGATACTTATAAAGAAAAACAAAATGTCATTTAACAATTCCAATAAAAGGTTTCATTTATTTTTGGAAAATATAATATATTGATTTCTTCTAAATACTTACATTAAAGTAATAGCTTTGTTTCGTTTATTGAAATACGACGTCATAGCTCGGAAATGTCAAGTGACATAGTGTTTTAGCGCCAATTTCAAACTAAGAAATAAAATTCATGTTTTCTCTATCAAATATAAATTTTTTTGAAAATTAGATAATTGTAAAGGGTTTTAATTAAGTCTACAAAAATTATAAAATATATTTCAGAAAATTGTCAAGTAGCCAATTCGGGGTATTGTATCCTAAAAATTGTAGACGAATTTGATTTACATTCATTGGAACAAACCTATTTGCTGATTTTTAAATATCAAATGCTTTATGAAGCAGTATACATGTATATATAAATAGCGCCATCTGAACTTAAAATTTGGACTATATAAATAAAAATATTTTCAATTCTCTGCTACAAGTATCTTAGATGTTTGGATTAGTACACAGTACCTATATATTTTTTTCATGTAGGTACACTGTAATTTCAGATACTTGTTTCTACAAAAAAATCTAAAAATATGTTCGGTGCAAACTTGAAAATGTCAGCGAGCCAGAGACTTTTTTCGTCAATTACTTTCACTCGGTCAAATACTTAAGAGGGTTAAGAAAGTTGTGATAAAAAAGAATAGAAGCTTAGGGACAGTCAGCCAAGTAACTTATGATTTATTAGCCCAAATTGTCACTATATAATTAAATATTTTCAACTGACAAGTGTGGGATACTTGTGAGATGTTATTTAATTATTACAACCAGCTGACAATTTTATTTATTCGAAACAGCATATAAACTAACATTTGACATATTTTGGAGGGAGAGGAAATCATTGATTTTTTACACGTTCGTGCTATCAGCTGATATACAATCCAAGAGAACATGCTACGGCAATCTTCAATATCTATTGTTAACTATGATTTGAACCGGGAGGAAATGACTGTTTTTTTATAAATTTGCAAGGATACCCCACAACCCGCTGCTGACTAAATTTCATAACACAATTATCTTAACTATCTTAGAAGTTTTGGACCAGAAGGAAAATGGTCATCTTGACCTGTTCTTGGTTCGCAAGGCCGGCCGTCCCTTGTAAGCGACAATAAAATATTGTTATATCATTTTCAGGGCTCATTTAAATTCATAGGCCTTACCAGGTTACCTCTGGAGTTCATACCTGGTAATATTATGGCATGTACATTAGGACGGTCCACTACTATTTTGCTCTTGAAAGCGGGACGCAGTTTGCAAAGCAAGCTGGTGGCGAGTTGGTGGGGTAGAGATAAAATCAGGTGCCTTTGTAGAAAGTATATTATAGGTCGTTTAGGTAAAGAAACTTTTTAATAGGTACCTTTACTGGTAGTAATAGGTTAATAGGTATACTTAAATGAATAAGTAAAATAAAAAACGAATTATTTTTTTGTTTTATATTTACTTAAATAGTCACATTGTCTTATTTAATAACTAACAATGAAATAAGGCAGAGACCGCATAATAATTATATTAGTCCTAATCTTGAAGGAACTCACCTCAATAAATAACAACCTTTTCACTAACAAACTTTACATAGTGACTAGATAAATTTACTCTTACGTTTGAGACATGTATAAAAAGACAGTGTTAATTAGGAAATTGGAAGTTGTCTTGTATTTATATACTATATAATAATAACATTATCAGCGTCAATTAAATTTAAACGCATGAACAAAATCACATTACAGTACACATACGAATGCCACACATCATTCATCGCAAAAAAAAACAGGAACAAGCGAGTATTTAAGCCAAAGAACATTATAAATTACGGTACATAAATAAAAACAGAAATGCGATTTAAAAAACAGAACAATTATTTCGTCGCCTGATTAGATAAGAAATGCATAATGTGCCCAAAATATTTACGTCCAATCGAATTCACTAAAATTAAAAAGCGAGTGTTAAGTGTGACGCGGGTTTCGTTCGTTCGCGAGGGCATCAACTTTTGGGCATGCCTTGAGGCGTGGCAGTCTCCACCATCTTCTTGTACTTGCCCACGAGTTCGGGCAGGTCATAAGCGATGGCGACATCCAGCCGCGTGATGGGGCAGCCACGGAAGTATGTGCACGTCGCCGATAATTGTTGGAAATCATACAGCTGATTCAGCCGGAAAAAGTCCCTATATGTTTCAGGATCTGGCAAGTCATACCTGTGATACACGCAATAATACGAGTTTATTTATATCAAGTAATAAACGAAAGTCACATTAAAATTTATTGAAATATGAAACACGTACCTAGAAATATTAGTCAGTGTGCTGAGTCCCTCATAAATATGGTAATTCTGAGGGTTCTCAATAATAGCATCGGCAATAAGTTTCCTATTGCCGAAGATTGTTTTATGGTTATAATAAGTTGTCAGATAACAATCAACCATCTTAGCGTGATTCCTTACGCGAACCTGTAACAAATAGCAATTTATCCACTAACGCATGAGGATAGGAAGTGGGCAAATCGATTGTGATATTGGAATCTACAATAAATTTAATAATACTTGGATAATTCACACAGTGTAATCTATAGATATAGATACTTAGATCATTTTTATAAATAATATACATTTTTTATAACACGATCGTGTGCATTAAACAAAAGAAATAAATTATAACTAAAAGGCAAAGAAAAGCAACGCACCGCAAATCTTCTTGCGCTGGAGATCTTATTCTCAATGCGCTTATCAATTGCTTGCCGTAAATCACGAAGAAGTTCCCGTTCTTGGGCTTGCAACAGTCTTACTGGTGCACTAGGTTCATAAGGTATTGACCATAGTGACACTGTGTACATAACTGGAGGTTGCGCAGAGCTCATCAGCGGTGAAATGTTCCAAATCAGTGCACTCTGTACACGCATTAATTCTTCAGGCTTTACTGTATCCGCTTTATTCAAAACGATACGAGTCTGAAAATAAATTATTTCTTTCTTTCAATATTTTCTTTTTATACTGATTTTAATCATAAATCACATTTAAGTAGTATAAGTAATATTAGAACAAAAAATTTAACCAATTATGATATAAATATACAGTCATACTGCAGATCCCCAACGACCCTCCCGTTAGAGATAACAAGTCATCTATATATCTATATCTCACAGGCTATTTTATAGTAGGTATACTGTTATTTACTAATCATACCGAATTCTAATTAAATTAAGTAGGAGTACATATTAATCACCTGAGATTCTCTGCCCTTGAGTTGATCGAGGATGGCTTCAGTTTCAGGGCCAACATCCAATTTCGAGGGATCGTACACTAGGAAAATTATATCAGCACGATCTATAAACCACTGACAAGCATCGTTAAATGGAAAAACGCGAGACACTTGTTTTCGAACTTCTAAAATTCCGGGTATTTCTACAATGTTCACCTAGAATTTTAATAATAAATATATTAAAACTATTTTGCTGTACATACTTATTCTGTTTATAGAATTAACATATCTTCTTACCTACCTTTTCTAAAATTTTGCTTGGATGCTTTAAACCTCTCAAACGTTCTTCAAGACCTTGGCCAAATTTCTGTAGCCCCGAAAAAGTCCAATCGGCTGCCAACTGTGTGCCATCTAAGACTTGTGGGTCTTTACCATGCATCAATATATTGAAATAAGCTGGTGATGGCTCGGCTCCTAATTTAATAAACAATATCGAATTCATTATAGCCTGCTTATTTATATCACTGTATAGTCGTATAATTGATTCAACATTATTGGGGAAACAGAAACAGAACTTAAAAGTACTTCTACTTTTTGTAGGTACATTTTTATCTTTAGGGAACAGTGAAGGTGTCTTTCCTTCATTGTAAAGTTGTGAAACTTGTGATACGAAGTCGTCTGCATATTTCATTACCATTTTGCTCCTATTGGGCGTAGAGTAATGTTATATAGCAAATCCCTCGACGAATGGATTATACAACACAAAAATATTTTTTCAATTCGAACCAATAGTTCCTGTGATTAACGCGTTCAAACAAACAAACAAACTCTTCGGCTTTATAATATTCGTATATATTATTTTATAGTGCTAAATAACATAATAAAATGAAACCAGTGTGTGAACTTACCAGTTCTTAAAGACCACTCAGTAAACTCTAAGCCGGTCAAATAATTAACAATACTAGATTTTCCACCACTCCATGGCCCCATAAAAAGTACTAAAGGCTTTGAAAAAATTTCAGGATCACCAAAATGTCTGTTACTTAAATCTCTGTATTTATAAACGGTTTCTAAAGGTCTAATGGAATTTTCATATAATCTCTTTAGATCCCTCAGGATTATATCTGCTGATCTTTCTATGGTTATTTCTGCTTCGCTTGCTTCTTCATCTAATCTGAGAATTTGTTTTATATGATCACGAGGTCTTAAGTTTTCAGGAATTTCACCAGTCTGAAAAAGTACATTATAAATTAAAATGTAAAATAAATAAATCACCTACTGTAAAAATAGTGGAGAAATCAACATTTTCATACTTTTAACAGATCTTCCTCAGGCGTTCCTTCTTCGCTTGATGCTTCATTTTGTTCATTACTTTCATCGGTTTCTTCTGATTCTGCATTGTCAGTAGTTTCAGATTCTTGTTCAATAGGTTCCGATTCCGATTCTGCATCTTTAGTTTCTGATTCACTAGTACCATCTTCATTGCTCGCTTCAGTGACACCGTCTATAGATGTGGAATCAACATTCTCTTTGTCACCTTGTGAGGCATCACTTTCTTTGCTGTCATCGTCATTTTGTTCATTTGTATCTTCTTCAGATTTATTATCAGATTCCTCAACAGTAACAGCAACTTCTTCAACTGATTCTTCTTCTTTTTCCTTCGAATCTTCTTTTGATTCTATAGATTCTGCATTACTTTTTAATTCTTCTTCACTTAATTGTTCATCCCGAACTTCTTGAGAATCCTCTTCACCTCCAGTTTTATCTTCATCTTCCTCTTGAGATTCAGCCTTTTCTTGAGATCCATCGTCTACTTCTGTTTTGTTGTTGTCATCATCATCATCATCACCTTGTGTGGTTTCTTGAGATATATCGCTGGCTTCATTCGAACTTTCTTCAGTCTGGGCTATTTCTTCCTCAGCCTCTTTAGGCGTGTCGATTTCTTTGCTTTCCGTTTCATCTGCTTCATTGCTCTCATTATTGTCACCTTCCGTTTCGCTATCCTCATCTGCCTCATCAACTTTAGCATCGTCTTTTTCATCAGAATTATTGCCACTGTCTAGAAAACAAGAAAGAAGAATAAATGTGTTAATACATTTACTTCATTATTTAACGATTAGGTAACTCTATTTTGTTACACAAAAATATATACCTAATATTCTGTAGTGATACTTTGTTAAGTATAAGAGCATATCGAAATAAAATACATGAATATTTTTGCAATATGTATTTTATTTCGATTGGTTTATGTGGAATGAACTACTAACTGTCAATAGGATACTTAACTAAATGTAGGAATAAAATTATAAACTTAACTAAAATTAACAGAAAATATAAATTATTATTAAAGAAGTATTTCAATAATCAAGGTTATTAATTCCACGGAGACAAGTAAATAATGCTCTTTCGGAAACTAGCTCTCCCATCCTTAAATACTATATTACTTCATTTAGAACATTACGGTCTACTAGTTACTCACTCATTAAATCAATGAGAATATTTTGTTCCTAATATATTACCTTTCTCGGCTGTTTGGTCTTCAGCGGATGCTTCCTCGTTGCTATCTCCGTTACTTTCATTTTTGTTTTCTTCTATTTGCTGTTCGGCACTATCGTCTTCGGTTTCTTCTTTTGTTACGTCTTCATTCGTTTGACTGTTATCTACACCACCTTCAACCACTTCTATTGAAGCTTCGGGTACATAAGGTTCATCTGCAACCTCTAAAGGTGGTGCTTCATTTTCATTACTGTCTTCCACATTGACTGTTTCATCGCCTTCTGCTGATGTATCTTCTTTCGTATCGGCATCTACGCTTATTTCACTACTTTCGTTTTTTTCTATAGACTCTGTAAAATATTATTCTTTATGTTAACAAAGGAAATATTTACTAAGTCAGGCATACATTTATATAATAAGACATTATTTTAATTGGTGTTCGGAAACATACAGCGTATTAATCACATACGAGACTGGATAGATGTTTTCTATTATAATTATTACAATTCGAAGTCTCTATGCAATTCCATTTTCTTTTCCTTTAAGTTCTTATTGTCCTTTTTTTCTCAAAGCCCCTTTCTACTACATTCTTTCTAAAGATCGGTACTCTATTACTAATTATTCTTATTTTCTCTATCTAAAAGGTTGTTTTGAATGCTGAGCGATAAGACCGAATTTTTGTAAATTATTATCTTTATCTGATTTGCAACAAAGAGTAAAAGTAAGGAGTATGAATAAATCATTTTTATTTAAGCAACAATGTAATAACCTACTATATGGGACTACACACATACATATGAATAATTATTTTATCAATATTGGTTAATATTTGCAATTTTTCAATTTCACATTTTTTTAATTTACGAGTTATCGCCACCTATTTTATAATACAGTTGAATAGGAAATCTTCTTAGATTTTGTTTAAAAATAACTCAGGAATGTGCTATTATAATAAATAAATAATTAAAGTAAGCGAACATGTGAATTAGTGGACGCGTTTTACTTTTTTAATAAATTCAATAATGATTAGACCAAATCAAACGACTACACAGATATATCACATTGTAAGTAATGTAATAAAAACGTATAATACTTTTCGCTCAAACTTGCAGGCCTGCCGGATACTACATAGGTACATTATACTTACCTATAAATATTGCTATATGTTCATAACGTAAACGCTAAACCAATGTCGATGTAAAAAATAAAAGTTAAGCTATACCAACTCAAACAAAAATTCGTGCGCTTCACCAGGCGAAATTCCATATATGCCTCTAATGCATTTATTGTGTAATGAATGCTCTATTTTTATCTGTGCTGTCATCCCATATGATTAATCCTAATCCTGCTATCTACTTTTACTAAATGTGTGTATATCTATACATACGTCGTCGTTCATATAATAGTAACTTAAGTGTACATGACTCCGAATATGTAGGTAATATTTTATATCCTAGTTTAGGTCGTTTTGAAATTTAAATTCTTATATTCTGTTCCTTAAGATTCAGCACGTTGTTGTCACAGTATAACTAAAGTTAACTACTTAATTATGCAAATTACAGTTTAACTTGCCATGTGCATAAAACACACAGCAACGTGTGAATAAATGCACAATTACCTACATCTAATTAGGTATTTTTACTACTTAACGGTTTAATTTGCGTTCCTTCGTTTGTATACCTATGAGTATACAAATTCACGTTCTATGTTGTTCTTGTGGTTAATATTATATTATGTATGTACCTATATGGTGAACTACGTCATCAGAAGTAAATCTTTATCACATTAACATTGAAACAGGGAAGAAAATCTATAGGTTACTAGGTACAATGTATTTTCATTTTCTTCAGTCACATAGAACGTCACAATATTAACCTTGTCCGCTTCGTGAAAATATACTAGTTTATAAAATTGAACGAGAATAATTTTATATTTCGAAAGGGAACATAGTAATAATAAATTGTTTGTTTAATGATTCATTTGTGTCCAAGACGTTGGAGATGGTTCTATTATTGAACTAAAATACGATGTTGTCGCTACTCGTTTGCCGTCGCAATTAAAATAGAATCAAACCTCAAACCAACTAAACTGTATCACATAGTCAGTGTCAATCCAATGTAGTTCATCTATTATTTGCGTTTTCATGTTTTCTATGATAACTAATGAGGAAGACGGTTCCCTAATGGTGACTCTCTGTAGCAAAACATTTTGTAGGACGACCCCATTAACCGAACATATAGATATATTAAGAACGCTGGAGATTATTTATGAATTCTGGTAGGTCAGGGCCGTACTATTTTGTATGATAAGCAGAAGATCTGCTTGTGTTAGCTGCACAAAAAACATAAGCTTCTTGTTACGTCATATTGTCTCACTTGATCGAAATTTGTTGGTGGTGGTTTTGGTGGTTTTGTAATGGTTTTCCTTTTATCAAATTCTAATCGATCTATTAGGGTATACCTGTTCTTGCATATAAAGTTCACTCTAGGCAAATACAAGAAATACTTAAATTTCTATGAAGCACTATATACTTATATGTAATCAGAAATTGAATCAAGTATATATACATTGGACTAATTTTACGTAAATTAAATGACTAGTTCGTATGTTAATTTCTTTTTAAAATGATTAGTGGAGAAATAAGATTAAACTTGAGTTGTCGAGACTTTGTTGTTTTCTACTGATTCTGTATGGGAAAGTTAATAAGCAGAGAGAAAATAATTAAATAAGTTATAACGATAGTTAAAAACAGATAAACATTAAATACCTCGTTCAGTATCTCCTGACTCCTTCTCTTTAAGAGCTTTCTCAATGTATGGACGGCATTGTGATTCTGAAGGTACGTCAGTGTCAGCTGAAATAAATAGGAAAATATTGGCAGTTATATATCTAAAAAACAGAGTTTGTGCATTTCTACACATATGAACAGGGCAGGATTAACCATTAAGCAGAGTAGGCAAATTTGTTGGACCCGGAATCTAGGTTACTATACAGACCCGCGTGTTGGGCAACGCGGACTTGGTGAAGTAAAAGAAATCGAAAGTATTTTATAGTGTGAAAATTTCAATTATAAAATAGGTATTATAAATAATATTTCTTTGTGGTATGTCAGAGTGAAACTAACAATCGAGCAAAGAGAATCAAGTTATAAAATTAATAATATAGGTACTTTACGTGGTTCAAATTTTATTCTTAGATGTACATCAACTTTTAAATGATGAAGAATTTTAAACACTTACTTATTATTTTGTAAATATGTAGAGCTTTAAAGTATCATATTGCTATATAATAAGATTGAGAGATTCAATACTTTCTGCAAAACAGAGTCTCTGACAATTGCATTGCCTAGGAGCCCCGATATGTTTAATCCGGCCCTGTTTACGGATTCCTTATTATTATAACACTTTTTATTAATGATATAGTATAAACATTAAATGTAATAAAATATTAGATACGGCACAGGCTGCATAGCATATTTAGATGCGAAGGAAATGATCGATTATGAGTCAAATTAGCAGATTAAGTGTGCCATAAGAAGATCCACAATAATTAAAATATCAGAACATTACATACTGTGAGCCAGTCTTTGCGAATTAAGTGACTACGCAAGTAGATGTTGACAAAAGATCCCAAATGTTTTACAGGCACTGGTTGGTTTTCACTGGTTGCCTAGTAAATTTTTGTCACTCAAACATAGCAATAATATATAAATGATTTTTTGTAAAATAATGCGAGATGAACATACTTTCACTTTTCTATAAAATAAAACGAGGGTCTATCATCTAGAAACTGTGGGTAATTGCTAATTAAACTATTTCCTAATCATTTATTACAATCGAAAGTGTCTGTTTATTACCTTTTCACGACTAAACAGCTGAATAGATTGTAATAAACTTTTGCATGAAGAATTACCTATATCACAAGGCCGTATCACCATATAGGCTATCATTTACTAAACACAAGCAGTCGAATCCTTATACGTCGAAATATTTGCCGCCTTAATGTCTAAGCTAATCTGTATTAAATTTGATACACACAACAGAATGTAAAATGAAGAAGGGCAATATATTTTTATGTTCCCATCAGTCAATTCCTTGCATATTCATAAAGCTACAGGTTAAAACAAGTAGGTATATTTAAAAAAGCGTTATTTTCATATTTATAATTTACTTTCCGGTGACGGATACACCGTTAACAAACCAAAATATTCAAATTACTATGCTTGACCCTGACATGTTATAATTAAAAGAGAGATATATTAATTCTTATTTTAGATATTTATAATATACCAGCTGTGCCTGCGACTTGGTCCGCTTGGAATAATAACCATACCATTGTGTACCAAATTTCATTTAAATCAGTTCAGTAATTTTAATATGAATATGCGACAGACAGACAAGACAATTAGACAGAGTTACTTTCGCATTTACAATATTAGTAAGATTTTTTTCACGGTAACATTTTTGAATTAGTGAATTTCTTATGTTAAACAAAGATCAAATAATCAAAGTAATTCCGCGAAATGTTTATGCGTATTAAATCATCACGGATTTTAGTTTCCACATTCATAAATATAATGAAAGGCTGAGAAAAAAAAACAATTTCGTGATTTTTTTATTTGACCTTCAACAAACAGTTGTGTGTAGACAAATATTCCTCAATCGAGATGAAGGGCTCGAAGCAAATGTTTATGCAAAATAGCTAAAACGATACATTTCCCTTCAATTCTATATTAGTGTTTTAATCGTTTTAATTATCTAACTTATTCTTTCAACTAAACAAAGTTTTATTATACCTGGATATTATATTCATTAATCTAACCCACTACATCACACTAAGCAAAAACAATTGAATATCACAGAAAATGATCCTAATACAAATAGAGTGAAACATCTAATAAAAAGTTTTTTGTCAGGAACTAATAATCTGCAATTTATCTAGTTTGAAATATACCTGCTGGTATCTACAGGTGTTTTTTATAGTATACTAGCTTCTTCCGACGACTTCCGCGACTTTATCTGCGTGTCCATGAGACATGAGCTACCGGGATGAAAAAAGTAAACATCATCCCAAATTATATATGTGAAGTCTCATAATGATCGGTTATTCCATTAAGTGAACTTGTAATGAATGAACAAACATACTTTAGCATGTATAATATTAATTAGGACTAATTCGGCTTACTAAGGTTATATAAAAAGGACTAAGATTGTACGGACATATTCTGCGTAAACCTGAAAACCGCTTTCTAAGAAAGTGCCTTTCCATGGCTACAATAAAAAGAGGACGTGGCAGGCCACCAACTACCTGGTTGACTAATGTCCATAGCATATGTTATGGGCCTGTCATGACGATGCTTACCAGCAAAATGTATGGCGCCTCAAGATTAGGAAAGCCGACCCTGCGTATCGGGAAGAGGCAAAGATGAAGAAGAAGACTAACTGGGCTTACTAGTGGTAGTACGTACGCACGTCTTAAGAGAGATATATCTGTTATTTGATATTGACTTTATAAGATTATTAGTAATAGCAGATATAAGAGAGGTAATACACTGACATTCTATATAGTTATGGACGACTAATAGCGTCTTTCATAACTATATACCTACTATGTCAGTATAACTTCCACAGTCCACACGATTGTCCTGGAAACTATCGTGGTTTTATTTATTAGTTAATCAGCCATGATAGGGTAACTGACGTCAGTTCATAATCATTCTTTCAGCCTTCACTGGTATACAGGCGTATACTATTAACGCAGGCAGGAACACCAATTCATCACCTATTATTAAAAATATAAAGTATATCTGTCTCATTTAAGATGCAAGATCGCCATTTAGCGATAATGCAGCTCATCGTTACTTCGTCTACTCTACGTCTTTATTAATGTAGTTAGGTATATGTATTTTTATATTTGTATACGTTTTAGTTTATTTTATTATATTATCTGTTAAAGGAACAATAAACTAGTTTTCATTTCATTTTCACTACATACTAAAATTATAATTATATAGATAATGTATATGTCTTCACGCAAGGTCTTTTAGTTATAAGTATGGGCAAACTAAACTAAAGACCAATACTGACATGTAGCTTTATTCATCTTTATAATTAGTGTTTTTATAAGTAGGTATACTGAACACTATTCTATAATAATGTACCAAATTGAACTGAACATTTTTTTTTTAAATTATTACATGACCTACTTTAATGGCACATTTTTATAATGCCGTTCAAATCCTATCGTTTTTCACAAGATGGCGACGTACTACGGCAAATCCCTGTATTTCTATTTACGTATCTAGCATTGGGAGTCAAATGTTTGGCAACGCACTGTCCTCGACAAATAACATGATCAATCGACACATAAAGGACACGTCCTTATAAAATGTGGGTTACTAAATCGTTCTGTCATAAAAAAAACCTAAGGTTATTGCCAAAAATAGAGCACATACGTGAGCTTTTTACATAATTTCAGCGCAAGTTACGCCGAAAATAGCAGCGATGTAGTGACGCAGAGTGAGCGAGAGTCGACTAGTGGCTAGCAGTTTCAAAGCGAGCTCCCACTCGCGCGCGACCCTCAACACTCCAACTGTTACTCACCTCTGGCTGTGGCCGCGAGCACCGACACCGCTAACAACATGCACAACATAAACCTCCATAACCATAACCTTTTGGTCCACATTTTGCTCAAGTTCAACCCGCTAAATCGGGCTATCAGTCATTTGCACACGCACTCGCGCACCCGATCGGCCGATCTACGGACGTTATGCACATCTACACTAAACGAACTATCAGTATATCATCTTGACACGACTCGCATTCACAGAGGAATGCAAATCGAATCAAAACGGTATGTCATTAAACTGCAGTTATGAAAGCTTTAAACGATACAGTCACTATATTATGAAATCTATAATAAATCATACACGTAATTATAATACGTAATAATTTAATCGCTCTTCAGCAAAACCGCAGTTTAATGACGATGTGATATGGTCTGCGACGGTGGCTTGTACGCGACACTAAATGTAAATTGTGGATCGTACTCTATTTCCGGAGACAGCACAGCATCGCTGGTCGGAGGGGTACTGGCGCGGCAGTGTGCCCTCCCCGCGCCGGTACTTTCAGCGATATTCAGCCCGGTGCGTGTGCCAAGCGCAGCCCACGGTGACGGTGACGGGCCTATGGACGTCGCCGCCGCCGCCGCGACGAAGCGCACTCGTACAGAGGACTCATGGCCTCTACCTATCATATAATTTTTAACATATTTAAAATTTGCATGCCTATAAATTGGGGCCATTATACAGTTGCCAATAATATTATTACCTGGACAATACTGGACATATAATTATCTAACCGTTTCCTGCAAATAAAATTTATCATTAAACATTGACATAATTTAAATCTTTAATGGCAAATAATATTACCACTAAGGATGTAAACCATTACAAATAACTGTCGTCATAATCGACACAGTTCTTTCGGCAATATCTTCAGTCGAAGATTTCTAACATTCTTTTCTTTAATAGATAATAATAATATTGTCGACTATACTTATGGCGAAATTGAAATCTCACAATGCTCTATATTTTAACCTGTAGTAACTTCGTACACGGTGCGTTTTGGCGTGCGTTGCAGAGAACAGTTGGGTGGAAATTTCTACAAGACAAAGGTTGCAAGTAACTGACCATTCAGGACAACGGCTTTTGCCCACGAACATAAAAACATTAGAAATCCTTATTTTTTAATATCCTTTTTTTCTTTAGTCAACTTTGAGAACCACTGATCGAAATATTGTATATTTTTATGTTTAAAGTAATATCTGCCGCTTCCTTGGTGACGACATCGTTTTGGCATATGTCTTATTATTGTCAAGCCCTATGTGTACATCTAGGTTTTTACATCCTTTTTTTTCTTATTCTTATTATAGAACTACTTATTAGAGAAATTATTTTTATTATAATTAGGGTATTACAAAGGTAATGTACATGTACCTCTTTAATACCCTAAATATTTTAAATATTGTATTACAACCATAGATCACTATGTCCTTTCAACTTCATGTGTTCCATATATGCCCTAACGGCCTCCATTGGAGAAGGGGATTGTTAGTGATGTACTTAGATTAATGGCCCCATAGCTAACATAGTAGTTTGCTAGTCTGCCTAGAAACCATCGCGAAAAATTCTGGGTGAATTGGTCCCGATGGGATAGGAGACCTGCCGTCATGATCATATCGTCCTCCACTGATGTTCCCCCAGCGTGAAGAATTAGCGCATGCAGGTGTAGCACTCCATATTCATACGTAAAAAAGATCTCCGCTGCGAAGCGCTGTAGTTCATTGCACCGTGTGCAATGCGCCTTATTTTTGACCTACTGGCTCTATATGTATAAGTAACGTTTAAATTATAAATCTTATGATAATAATTTATTTTTGCAACTGATATCCTAAATAGGGTAATAAGAGGTATTGTCAATTATCAAAACCACAATGTCGCATTCTTGAAATGGCCACATTTCGCTAGATTTCATACCGTCTCAGATTTGGTTTGTTTTTGGTGTTTTCTATGAGTAGAGAGTCTGTAATATAAATTGACACACAGAAGTTTTTTGTGTAGGCCAGATTTGTAATAAATAATTACCCCGCATTGCTAAACCATTACCTAGGTCACATAATGGACGAAACACGGAACCAATGTATCACGTCTTTGACCGTCCATATGTCAATCTATTACAGAGCTATATTTCAAAAACTTCTAATGATATTAGATATCTATTAGAAACTGGAATAAGCAGTTCAATATCAGAAATATATATATATATATATATATATATATATATATATATATATATATATATATCTAATTTCGCGAAGAGGATTCAAAATGAGAAATAATATTTAAGAGTGCAGTAGTAATAGTAGTTTACCTAAGTAGGAGTATGATTATAATTATGAAAGATGTTCATTTGTTTACAAGTTTTTATTTTGTATATTTCAAAACTTAATTCCACTCTTTATTTTTTAAAAATTAAACTTTTATGAATAATGTAAAAATCATTATTCTTTGTTCTATTTTCTTAATTCAGACGTTCTAAAATTACAAAATCTATTTTTGCTACGACAGATAGGGGCTTCAAAGTAAGTGCATAAAACCTTGAATCATTCTGCATTCACATAATTTAAAGAAAAATATTTACGCAAATATCATACAATTGCGATATACCTATCTACTTCTCCAAGTCTTACATCTACTCCTGTGCCACCTACGTAAATTGTACATCGACAACACAATTTTAAATGCGTAACCAAGAATAAGTAAGAATTGTTAAGCTTACGTCTTTTAATTAATCAATTACAAAGGGGGGTGGGGTGGAGGGAGGCAGGAAGGAAATTGTTAGCAATGTGCACTAATGACCCCATTGTTAGCAATGCTACATTGACTCTGATTGCCATCCACGTGGTGTTCCCTGGGAACCACTGTACTAAATCCCTGCTGAATTTGCCACGATTGGCGAACTGGCTTGAACTAATGCTCATTTTATCACCTTCCACTAGTGCCTGATTGAAACTATTACCGCAAACAGTAGCACCATTCCATTATGATCCTTTAAAAAATCTATTGGAATGCCCTTGACCCATATATACCTACCTATAAATAAAAATACGTGTCGAATTGAAACTGATAAATAAGTTGCCGGTTTCGAATTTGGCTCATTCTTTACTAGTGAAGCTTACTAACAGGCGCTCGAGTCGAGACCATATGCTTCAATATTTCAACCCGTCTGATATCATCTAAAAATTAGAGCAAAAATAAGTGCAACGCGCACGGTGCTGCATATAAACTACACACGAACCTACGGCTCGTGCACTGTTACGTAAATAGTTTGCATTCGTCGCTATTTGTGTTTAGTCTTTACTATCGTAGGAGTAACACTGTTTGCCAGATAAACATCAAGTTCAAATAATATATATACAAACATGAATGTCTTAAGTGTGTATACATCAATATGCCCAAAGTGTGAAATCAAAAGAGGACTTTAGTCCTGTTTGTAAATTGCCAATCTTTAAAAATACAAATAAAAATCAGCTGCACTCTTCCAAATGTTCAATATTTTGCTAATTACAAAACTTTTGATAGGGTGTCATGCACATACAAAAAAGGAAATAAATATGTTTTCTTTATAAATTGCATGGCAAGTCTTATATTTACTACTTTTAAAATCTATGATAAGTGAAGACATATTAACAGTTCCTTTTATGGTGAATATTAAGACGGTTGATATAGACCAAGTAAGCAATTGTTTGTTCTTCTCTTTGTTATTGCAGAGTATGTAGTTAGATCAAGGAATTTAAAGAGCTAAGAGTAAAGTCTTTTTAAAGGTTTTCTCATTTCATTGTTGCTCAAACATGTGATTATTTTACAATTTAGATATTATTTTATTACAACAGACAGTGTCACTACAAAAAACTTGCTGTTTTAGCTATGTCAAGTACTACAACTATATTAAGTGACAATAATAAAAAACAAAAAATGGCTTAAGTACTATATTTGAATATCAAATATTATTATTATAAAATATAAAGACTATTTTTTAACTTAATGATCAATTATAATAAGTTCATCAATGCTCCAGTCTTCATAGGAATGATCTGGAAGGTATCTTCTGATGATAATTGGAATTTTTCTTTGTTTTAATTCTTTCATAGCTATTTGCAGTGGATCAGTTTCTCCCTCCAGTTCTACCATAACTGGTGCACACATTGCTATTTGTAACGCCCGTGTACCTGGAATATGCAAAATTTTAAATATTTTAGATTCAGAGCAAAATATCTTTACGCATGTATATCACTGCAATGAGAATACTATACAGTAATAAGGTTATAAAACAGTCCAAATTCAGTGACAACCCTGTCACAGAACTTGGACAACAATTGCCCAACATTATTTCATAAAGAACAAATAAATAACATATGTTTACTTATTTGTTTGTTTAACATTACATGGTGAAAAAACTATGTTTATTATTATAAACTATTCTTTCTATGGTTTGAGAGTAAGAATAAATGTCACTCCTTTTATATTTTGTAAAATCTAGACAAACAAAGCATATCATACCAAGGAAATATTTTTTTTTATTAAAACTGTATACCAAGTTTCTTGGTATAATTATGTCAATACCTCACCTAACACTCTTGCGCGCTCGTACTTAGTCATATATCGAGTTGTGATACGCTTTGATTTCTCTACACCTCCTCCAGCTTGTCCTGGCGCCAGACACTGAACGTTATAGCCATCTTCTTCTTGTTCTTCAGTCTCCTCAATATTATCATCCTCTTCAGCTATATCATCGTAGTCAGCTCCTGCATCCTCTGCTTCATATTCTTCATCAGCCATAATAAATAAATGTGACAACTAAACACCACTTTCGACTTTCTCAGGTATTAGTGTTCTATGTTTGTTAAACTTGTTTTGTAATTTCAAAATAAACAAATTAAAGTAATAATTATTTAAATAACAGTATTTATAGAATAATTATTGAAAATATTTTAATATATATATGTATTTAAGTCACTATTTTATTTGTAACATAACCACAAAATTGTACGGCATACACAATAAATTTTTTATTTGCCAAGCTTTGACAATTGCCGAAAAGCGCTACTCAGAGTTGCCAATCTTAACATTTGTCATCTTGCTTAAACAGGTGAAAAATTACCTACATTGTGTTTATTCGCTCTATATATTTATATATAGTTAGTCATACATACCCGTTTTATTATAAAAAAAATTGAGTTTGTATGTTTTTTACTAAGAATCCCTTAAAATTGGATGCAACGACAATAAAAAATTTATTAGTTGGTAATCAAGTTTTAATTCATTTTGTGTTGGAGATTGCGGCAAGAGGCTTGTATTGCCTATTCTGCCACTATACACTACAGGAAAGGAAATTTGGGAATTACTTTCAAAATACTTGGTTTTGGGCCATATCTCATTGAATGAACAAACTCTATGTTTTTCAGCGCTGTATTGTCTATGGCTCTGCCAGTGTTACTAGCTCTCGAAAACTTAGATATTGTCTCTGAGTATCTGAATAAATGAACGTATTTCCTTTTCCGGTTCTGCATCAAAGCTGTAACCATGCCGGTGTGTATTTTTTATAATTAAAAATAACGTGTTACAGTATTACATTTGTAAAATAAATATTCTTGATTGCCAGGCAGTCACATTTTGTTTAGTGTTTTATTATAGTGTCTGTGCATTCTCGCAATAATAATTTGCCTACAAAACATTGTGATACACATGGCATTTTGACATGTCAAGATAGTTGTGAAATAATTGATAAAAAAAACGTCTACTTTGTGCATTTTTCTACTTGTTTGAAACCCCATCCATAATTTATATTACAATCTAATTAGTATACAGTTCTTATCAGATGATTACTAACATTGTGCAATAATAACCTATATTTGGTACTTTCAGCTCGCCATTGATTTACTTCATCCCTCGCCCGCGTCGGAGAGGAGGAAACACAAACTAAAAAGGCTGGTGCCACATCCTAATTCATACTTTATGGATGTAAAATGCCCCGGTTGCTATAAAATCACAACGGTATTTAGTCACGCACAGAGGGTGGTCGTATGCGCAGGATGCTCCACAATTCTTTGCCAACCCACTGGAGGTCGTGCTAGATTAACGGAAGGTAAGCAATCATCATAATTTTATAACTTTTTTGTAAGTCTATACGAGTTTTAATATATAATTTAAATCATATGTATCAACCAATTTCTCAGATAACTATAGTTTTAAGTATATCTGATCATAATAATTTGTTTATAAATTATAATCATTATCTTAATTCCACTAATATTTGACATTGTTTTGAATATTACTGGTCATATTTTCATATTTCAAATGTTATCAAGCATCTAAAAATTGTGCATATATTACAAAAATATGTTACTTAAATGCAGTTACGTCTTAATGTTTGTACTGTATTGTGCAATAGAACTAAAAAGAAAAAAATATTGTGTAATGTAGAAATAACTTTCTTTGTTTTCACTAGTGATAGCAGTTTGAATGACAGAATGTGATGTTTTTATATTATTTTATAGGTTTAAATTTGTATAATTTAATAGACTTATAAAAGGGTAAATAAACAAATTATCAACATTAACAGCAAAATGACAGTTTAATGTGCACTATGTAAGTAGCATCAGATAAACAAAAACCAAAGCTTTGATTTTTAATATAATATACACAAATAATTTTATGGCAAATAAAGATATTTACGTCCCTTTCTATTTCAACTAGGTTGCGTTAGCTACAGTAATAAGCAGCCTAGAGAAAACCTATTAACTATATTATTAATGTGTATTAAACACAGAAGTTTAAAAGTATTGAAAGCTTTCTTTTTTCATAGGTTTAGTTTATTTTACAACTTTACATCACCAGCTATCATCACATTACATTTCACACTCATTGTGAAATTAAATAATGTGATACTCTTCATTTTATTAATTAAACTGTGTTTTTTAAAATCACTAGACAAAAAACTCAATGGACACCTCACATAAAACATCTTGCTGCTAAATTAAATTCCACAGCTTTTGTTGTTCACAGGATTAGAAAATTTACCAATGTGGATAATGCAAGATTAGTGTACTCTAGTTTTTTTTATAGCCTAATGTATTAAATTTTATTATGGGGTAATAGAACATAAAATGAATCTAGAATATTATCTAGATAATATAACTGATATACAATGTATGTATAGTACATAAATGTGCTGTTCTTGTTATTTATTATATGAGAAGTTGTGATTCATTAAGAGAAAAAATTAAAAAGCAATATTCTCACTGTAACTTCACAATATATATACACAAATATTGTTTATATAACCAAGAAACTTGATTTATTAACAAAAATAACATAGTAACCACAATATTAGATATGAATATAAACTTACAGTACCCACTTTCTTTTAGATAATGTTAATGTCTTACTAGTTTGCAGCAGCATTGATATTATATTATACTATCCAAATCTGTATTTACATTATTTAGACACTATACAGTCCACTCATCCATTACATTTAGTACATGTAATATAATGCAATAAACTACTTTAACATTATATAATATTTAAATTTTGAAACTGACTAAAAGAAATAATAACTTCTGAAGTAGCTAGCAGACTGGACAGTAGCGATAAACAATGTGATATGAATAAGAGGCTGAAAGATCCTACATGAATAAAAGAATTCGAGTTATGATTTCTATGGTTGACACACTAATCAAGAGGCCATGTAGCAATTCATAAAGATTACATGGAGATCAATAATAAAGTGTCATACCTCCGTTATCAATTATTGTACTACCCAGGCATTAAAGAATATCTTCCACAATATTTACTTACACTTAATACCAAAGTAAAATTTCAACATTTGTTTTAAACAGCAAGGCACAAGTTGGATGAATCGCCAGAAGTACAAAAATAGTATTAAAAATGCTTATCTGTGAAAATAACATATATTTCTAATGTTTTTTCAGGATGTTCATTTAGGAGAAAACAACACTGAATAAAACCTGGAGAGAGAGCCCCTAATTTAAGATTTAATTTCCGAGTGTATGAAGGAGTGATATTTTACAGACTCATAATGAATCCAGTAAAATTAAAGGCATTTTAAATAAAGGCTTTTTCAAAGGGATTTTATTTTATTTTTAATCTTCCTACAATACCTTTTGCCTAATATAAAAATATGTGGATTATTCAGGGTTAATATTTGTATCATTACTAATGTACATATCTTGACGGAAACGCACCTGCAACCATATAAAGCTAGACTGCAAAACCGAAAGACCACCAAGCTTGTTGCTTAGAAATTCTTAGAAATCACAAATGTTGTACTAACAAAACCATGTGACAGGAATCGTCTACACTGTAATTTACAAGGTAGAACAATGTTATCTTACTGTGGTGAAACTATTGTAATAAGTGACTAGAGTGATCACCTCCCCTAATTTGACCTTTACCTGATGGTAATGATTGAAACACGATCACCTCTCTAATTGGACAACAATTGTTTAGAACATTCGAAGTGTTGTCCAAGACACTACAGAATGAAAATAACTTATGAGCTATATCTTCACGACCCAAATGAGTAGTCATAAATTTGGTTCATGATTTAAAACATGAACACAAACGTCCCCCCATTTTACTGTATATTTGAATTTAACCGGGTATTATACGAAGTCAAGTGCATTAAAATAGTCCAATATGAAAATTAAAAACCATAAATTAATACGAGATAGGGCAGTATGTTCGGCCTTCCTCTAGAATACTTACTTTTCTCTGCTGATCCCCTGCAACGTTGGATTGAAATGTACCAGGCACAATATAGACATGCTAAGTGTTGCGTGCACAATGACGCTAACAATTGTTAATAATGTCTATTATTACTATCCCATATGGTATAAGTCGTGACGATATTTGTTTTTGGAACAGCGTACCAACTGGTCCCAATCTAAGTTATATGGTATACATGTACACTATGGATATCGTGTGACACACATGCGTTACTATTTCAGAGAACTAAAGTCATGTCTCTTATCCTGTTATTTAAAATAGTCTTAAAAAGTATAACAATAAAATAGTCTTGAAATTAAACCACTTTTACTACATATACCATATACGTACGTACATCGATCTAAGGAAATATTTTCAGCTTTCCAGTTTTCTAACGAAAGTTATGCCATCTCTAATACTATCACTGGATATCGATTTGGTAACTGTACATTCTATTTTCTGTCTGTAATATACTTATTTTGTCAGGTTTTTATCAAAATAATGGCACATACATGAATGCGTAGCTAAAATAAAAACTATTCAAATTTGTGAGGGAAGTTACCTCCGAACTTCTCACGTTAACAGAGTAACTATAGTGGTGTTCAAGTAAATAACGTAGAATAAGATAAAATATATTTCTAATCAAAATAAAATAATATAAAAACACATTTAATACAATATACAGATAAGTTATAGATCATTAATACGACGACAGACAAGATGACAAAAACACACTCTCTTTTCAAATATTCAAGCATACTTCATCTGCCATACCAGCCAGTCTAGACATCGATTGCAAACCTCGTTCTAACATTCTTCCTCAATCGTTGCCTTCAGACTTTCTCTCAGTAGCATACTCCTCACAATCCTCTCACACACAAACTAATCCACAACACCCATCTCACTACGACAGAACTCATGCTTGCCTCTATGCACTGCCTTTGTCATAATATCAGCAACCATTAACTTTGTCTCCAAATATTTCAAATCTATTACTCCATTCTCTAGAGTCTCTCGCACAAAGTGATAACGTACATCCACATGTTTAGTTTGCTGATGGTGTACTGGATTATTTGCTATCGCTATAGCAGACTGACTATCTGAGTGGATTGTTAGCGGTGGCTCTTCCTTACCCAAGAGTTCCTCTAGGAAACGCTTTAAAAAGACAGCTTCCTTGGAAGCTTCTGACAGACTGACATATTCAGCCTCAGCGGTTGATATGGCAACACTTCTTTGTTTAGTGCTTTGCCATGAAATGGCTCCTTTTGCCATCTTAAATACATTTCCGGAATAGGACTTTCTGTCGACTAGATCATGTGCATGATCAGCGTCACAGAAACCTTGAACTGTTCCTCGTTCATCCCTGTAATATACCAGTCCCAAACTTTTCGTACCTTTAAGGTATCTCAGGATCCTCTTTGTTGCTGTCCAGTGAACTTCCTCAAAACAATTGCAAAATTGACTCATAAAATTCACTGCGTGTGCAATATCGGGTCTTGTACATACAGAAAGATACATGAGTGAACCTATAAGTTCCCTATATGGAACTTTCTCATCTGGCCTATGCATATTGTCTGGTTTTATAAAATGTTGACCAGGAACAGCTGGAGTGGCAACTGGTTTACAGTCTTCCATCCGAAATTTGCGTAAGTTTTTCTATATACTCTTCCTGATCTATTTTAATGCGGCCTTTCTCTTGTCTGAGCCTCATGCCCAAGAACAACTCCGCCTTTCCTAAATCCTTCATTTCAAATTTTGACATCAAGTCACTTTTAACTTTTTGCATTTCTTGTGAATTATTATAGAGGATAAGAATGTCGTCTACATATACTATAAGGATGATAGAATTCTTCTCTGTTCTCCTTGTATATACACAGGGTTCATTCTTGCAGCGCTTGAAGTTTAAGCTCTCTAGCTCGGTATGTAACTTCAGGTTCCAGGAACGTGGTGCCTGCTTCAAACCATACAAAGATTTCTTTAATAGACATACATAATCCTCTTTACCTTTTTCTTCAAAGCCTGGTGGTTGCCTCATATAAACAACTTCATTGAGATTACCATTAAAGAAAGCTGTTTTGACATCCATGTGGTCTATCTGTAGACCATTTTGCGCAGCCAAAGCTATCAACAGTCTCAGTGAGCTATGTCGCACTACAGGGGAGAATGTCTCATCATAATCAATGCCTTTCCTTTGACTGAAGCCTCGGGCAACTAAGCGAGCCTTGTATCGAGTTTTATTCCTTGCCTCCTTTTTGATTCGGAATAACCATTTCGAATCAACAATGTCACTCGCTTGGTCAGGCTTCACTAGGACCCAAGTTTTGTTCTTCTTTAGTGCATCTAGTTCTTCCTGTATAGCGTCTCTCCATAGCTTGGCATCTTTTCTAGACAGTGCCTCTCTAACATTAAGTGGATCATCTTCTGATATCGCTTGGTAAGTGACGTAATCAGGAAATTGGACAGGTTTCCTTACTCGAGTCGGATATCTCCTTTCTTGCACTTCAGCTTCTCCACTTACGGTTGTAGGTTCTTCATTTAGACTGTCTTCAAATGATGTGCACCGGTCAATTTCGTATTCAACATTCTCAGTTTCTGTGATTACATCGGTATGATCTCCATCATTCCTTTGCAAATCCTCTTCCTGAACTGCTTCTTCATGTTGAAAGTTCTCATTGGGTTGTTCAGCTTCCTCTGAAACATTATCAAGGTTGACGGTTGTATACTTTTGTTCTTTGTTTTCATCGTTTATGCGGTAATACTGGTTTTCAAAAAATATGACATCTCTAGATCCGTAACAATTTTCTGTTGAGGGGTCAAATAATTTATATCCCTTTGATTCTTCGGAATATCCAACAAAAATAACTTCTTTGCTTTTAGGAAGCCATTTTGTCCTTTTGACATCTGGGATATGTGCAAACGCCCTACATCCGAAAATTCTTAGGTGGTTTAGGTTAATTTTTCTGCCAGTCCATACCTCTTCAGGTGTCTTATTTCTAACTGCAACTGTTGGACTTCTATTCTTCAAATAGACTGCAGTATTCACCGCTTCTGCCCATAAACGAGTAGGGAGACCTGCTTCTTGTAGCATCGCACGTGCCTTCTCTGCTATAGTACGATTTGCACGTTCGGCAACTCCGTTTTGCTCAGGTGTGTACGCATTCGAGAGTTGACGCTTAATGCCATGTTCCCTTAGATACTCGTCTACTTGATTATTTACATATTCTCTTCCATTGTCTGTTCTCAAGACCTTTAACTTTTTACCAGTTTGTTTTTCTGTAAAAGTTTTAAAAAGTTTAATCTTATCAAAAGCTTCACTCTTATGCTTAATAAAGTATACAAAAGTTTTTCGAGAATAATCATCGATAAATGTTATATAGTATCTATGACCTCCGATAGACTCCTCAGTCATTGGACCACTAATATCTGAGTGAACTAACTCTAGAAGTTCTTTGGCTCTCGTAGCCTTTGTATGTTTAATAAATGGTTGTCTTGTTTGTTTACCCATCAGGCATGCTACACATTGTAAATTGCAAGTAGGTGCATTCTTGAAACTTACCCCTGTTGCCATTTTATCTCTTAGCAATTTAAGGTTACGTACTCCTAAATGCGCTAACCTTTTGTGCCATAGCTCCAAGCCTCCGCTTTGTGTAGTCGCTAATGCACTTTCCTGTGAAGAAGATTTTAGTTTGTATACACCTCTATCAAGCACACCTTCCAACCAAATCTTACCTTTCACAATACATTCATTCTTATTATAGATATTACAGCCATTCTCTGAGAAAACAACAACCTTGTCGCTTTTGACCAGTCTACTTACACTCAATAGGTTTGATTCAAGCTTTGGTACATACATTACACCTCCAATAGTAATATTTAATGACTCATTCGTCATCACACCAAAACCTTCACCATATACCTTACCGCCATCCGCGCAAAATATTTCTACCTTATTACTAGCCTCTACATAGTTATACATACAATTTCTTCTAGAACTCATATGTGTCGATGCTCCAGAATCTATAATCCATGTTTCATCGTGTTCTCTTGATGTAGATTGTTGATGCTTTAAAGCTAATGCCGTCATTGTGTGAGCAGTTTTAGCTTCTCTCGGATTGTGCGGACAGTCACATGCTTTGTGTGGACCTTCGCAAATAAAGCATTTTATTTTCTTTTTCTCTGTTTGTTTCCTCTGAACAAACTTTTTCTTCGGTTTCGCTGTTAATGCTGTATTATTTGAAACTGTAAAGCTTGTACTCGTACTTGCTTTGTTGTCATCCAATTGTAAAAGTTTTGTTTTTACATAATCTGAAGTTAATTCAGTATTAGCATTCTCTAATGCCAACCTCATTGGTGTGTATTTATCTGGTAAACCTTGTAGCATCAGGGCTGCCAACAGCTCATCGTCAACCTCCTTTCCAAGGTCTGCTAACTGATTCGCTACTCTCATAAGCTCAGTAACATATTCGGTTATTGAATTAAACATGTTAAGCTTTAGGCTTACTAGTTTTGATAGTAGTCTGCACCTATTATTAACGCCTTTATCCTCATATGCTGTTTTTAAATTGTTCCATGTTTGAAATGCACTCGTTGCTTTTCGAACATGTACCTTGCAATGGTTTTCAATCAATAGACAAATTTTAGTACGTGCCTTTTGATCTCCTCGACGTGCTACAACATCTTCAGGGTTAGGTACTTTTTCTACATACTGCCACAGATCATCATGGACTAAAATACACTCCACATCGAACTTCCATGTATCGAAGTTGCTACTCCCTTGCAGTTTCTCTATCGCTGGGAGTCCAGATCCCGCACTTGATGTTGATGGTATACTCATCTCCGTACTTGTGTTTTTATATTGAATAGAAATAGGGGTGCTCTCACCGTTTTCGTAAATCATATATCCTTAATACACTCCTGTATTCGTATTTACTTGATTTTTGTTGCCCATAACCTGTGAGGGAAGTTACCTCCGAACTTCTCACGTTAACAGAGTAACTATAGTGGTGTTCAAGTAAATAACGTAGAATAAGATAAACAAAATATATTTCTAATCAAAATAAAATAATATAAAAACACATTTAATACAATATACAGATAAGTTATAGATCATCAATACGACGACAGACAAGATGACAAAACACACTCTCTTTTCAAATATTCAAGCATACTTCATCTGCCATACCAGCCAGTCTAGACATCGATTGCAAACCTCGTTCTAACAAAATTCGTAGTATTTATTTGCATTACATTACAAAAAACATTATTGTAATGCTATTTGCATTACAATACTGTTTTTTTAAAGATAGATCATGTATAAAAAGTGGCTAAGATTATTGACTAAGTATGCAATAAAGAACAACATAATATGTATTAATTATCTCTTGACTACCATTATTGCCGAGTCACGACGCAAGTCTCAAGGCGTTTGTAACCTGGTGTGGACGGCTCGTTTTAGAAAAAGAAAATACTAATAGAAAAAATATGTTTATTGCAAAAATTTCTAAATATCTAATTGACACAAAAAATACGTTCTCTCTTTTTAAAATAATAAATCTTTACAAAATAAATTTCACATTACTTCTAAAATCACAAACATAAAACAACCTATAAGTTTAGGCGGTGAGGTATTTTTACGACACGACCAGTGCGTGTAATTTGATGTAAGGACTCGGACATTCTATCAGTCTCGACACAGTGTGTATTGCTCTTAGTGTCCATAAAATCTCCTGAACTAACTTCTAATGCTGTATGCATACCGTTGAACAGGCCTTATACGATCACCCATAGTTAACTTTAGCTACTCTACAACTACCATCAGGACCTGGATAAATCTCTACAATTAAACCTAGTGGCCAATATAGACGTTTGGTATTATCACAACCCACCAAAACTACATCACCGACTTTATGTACCTGATTCCGATGTTTCTGTTCTCTTTGAATCAAAAGTGACAAGTATTCATTCCGAAACCGTTGCTTTAAGCCACTGCTTAACTTTTTTAAATATCGCCAACGAGACGTCATAATATTGCCATCTATGTGACTCAAATCATTGGTTCCATCTTCCTCCATATCTAGCTTCAGAAACATGGCGGGTGTCAAAGTTCTCAAATTCTCTGAACTTTCCTTTATATAAGTCAATGGTCTCGAATTAACTATACTCTCAACTTCACACAAAATCGTAGCGAGTTCACAATAACTAAGTGACGCCTTTTCAAGCATTCTACGTAAAATTTCTTTGACAGTTCTCACCATTCTCTCCCAGAACCCTCCCCACCACGGCGCAGAGGGTGGCGAAAATCGCCACTCAATTTTTTGAGTGAGAGATAAAGAAGAAACTTCCTGCCAATTCATCTAATTCATAATATGTACATGCAGCAGAAGACATAGAAATATCCTGTCCCATATAATTATTAGATGTTTTAAAACGAGACAAACATATCCTTTCATCAGATTCAACCTCCGACTTGACAAAATTCAAAAGCCTGGATAATGGACTAATATTTTCATTATTTCGTTCATTAATATGTGACCTATTCCAAGCTTTCAATATATCTTCAGGTAATGAGGATTCCACCAATGGTAATAAAAAAGATGAGTACTTCTCCTGGGTTACTCCCATAGATTCGAGTGCCAAAATTTGTGTCGTCAGAGCGTTATATAATGTACGAATTGACCCCTTCTGTACACCTTTTGCCTGCGCTAGAACCAGATTAAGTAACTCTCTCACATAGTATTCTATTATCATTTTATCTTTGGCAAACCGATACTTAAGTTGTTCTATGGCTACATTATAATTCTCGCCTGATGGTGGAAAACTTTCTAATAATTCTCTCGCTACTGACCCTGTTTCCATGCATTGAAGCAGGTAGTGCAATTTGTCATCATTATCAATCTGGTCATCAAGGTGTATCTTTTTGAACTGGGACCAGAAACTCAACCAATTCCTGATCTCCCCATTGTACCTCGGAAGTTCAAGCTTTGGAAGGTGAAAGTGTCTATTGCCATTTGTTTTTGCCGACAACTGACTTTCTTCTATTTTATTGACAGCTGACTTCGGTGGAGATATAGAAAATTTACTTGCCTTTTGTTTCAACATATAGTAACGTGAGTCATAGATATCCGCCTCATCGATGTCTTTATTGAATTGTTCTTCATCACGATTATAATAATAATAATACCTAATAATAACTTTATTGTGCAAAAAAACAAATAAAAAAGGGACTTAATTAAGGTTATATATGTATATTAATTCATATATATACAATAGTTCTTAAAACTATTTAATATCAAGTCCAGTGCAGTAGTGTCTAAACTAGGCCTAGCCTGTATCTCAGACACCATTGCCCACCTAAAGATAACATGCTATACGATTCTTTAGAGGTGAACGAAAAAATAAGACAAATGTAGGGTATACTTAAATTTTTGATTATCATCATTGAGCCATACACTAACAATTTTATTCTGCGTCAGTGTGAGTATGTCGAATAATTTATTCAGCTTCTCAAACTCGGCTGGGATAAATTCGTCGTTGCTCTCCAATAGCCCTTCCAACTTTTGGGCACACAATGAGAACCTACGACGCGCTAATGTCCTCTCTGCCTTAATCCTTTCCATTTAAAATACCAGTATACCGTCCTGTCACGGTCGCCAGTATGTGGACGGCTCGTTTTAGGAAAAGAAAATACTAATAGAAAAGCTGAATAGAAAAAATATGTTTATTACAAAAATTTCTAAATATCTAATTGACACAAAAATACGACATTCTCTCTTTTTAAAATATTGACATAAAAAAGAATTGTACATAAAACCTCAACACCCGGCTACCCACCAACATGCTGTCCACTTTCATGAGGAGGACTACTGACATAAAGGGGTGCGGATCCGCGGTACTCCCCTGGCACCTTATCGTCATCAGTGCCGTGACCACAGAGACAATTCATATTTAATATGTATCATATGTCAGTGTATATAGTATTAATAATATCGGCCGAGGGGGAAAGGGATTGTTAGTACTGTGTACTCCTGACCCCATTACTAGCAATGCACCATGTCAGGTTCCCCCTGGAAACTATCGTGATAAATTCTTTGTGAATTTGTCACGATAGGCTAACTGATCTGACCTCATGCTCATTCTATCATCCTCCACTGGTGCCCCGCCAGCGTAAACCGTTAGCACAGGCGGGCACCATTCCATTATCATCCATAAAAAAAAATGTGCCATTTTTACCTCTATTATCTAGCTTTTCATTCTAGCCGTCGTTTGCATTGTCAACACAAGGCAAATAACGATTAATACAGTAAATAATGTACTGTTTTACAATATTTGACTATATAGCGAAATAATAAAATAATCGAGTTTTATTGTTTATATCTCGTCAATCTTATGTATCAAGCCAAATTATAATCTGTTTAAATAAAACCAACAAACAGCGAGTAGGTTTAAATCTGGTGCTTATACGCCGCGCCGTTACAATTACGTTAACGGGATTTCTATACTTACTGCTTCGTTAGCGTCCGCTAACGAAGCAGTGGAAGATGATAGAAAGAGCATGAAGTCAGCAGTTGACCTATCATGCCGAATTCTATAGAAATCAACCACTTCATTTTCCTGGGGGACTGAGTGGAGGTCATCTTTTGCATAGTACATTACTAGCAACGGGCGCATTAGACACCATTATTTATAATCCTTGTGGTAAGTAAAAAGAATACAAGTCAAGACGCTAGCTTTATTTGTATTCTTTTTACTACGACGGTAGCAAACAAGCGTAGTAGGTACATCCTAAGGCGTTACTAGAAGAAGTAACTGTTAGGGATTATTATGTTATTTATTATAACTGTATGTTAAGGAAGTATTTCGCTAACTCCATCATTAGCAGTATAGGGTACATATGATCTCGACCGACACGGAGTGCATAGCATTGTCAATCTGGTATAATTAGAGGAGTGAAAGAAAGTATTAAATAAAAAGTGTTATATTTCATATTTTATTTTTATCATAAATATGTAAATATATCAATATTAAAATATCACATGTTTATATTTGGATATAAGTACGAAATACTATAAAATATTTTGTTATATATATTATAACAATTTTATCTTTACATTTCTGCCTACCCATATAATTTAACTGATTTATTACAACTATCCATATTAGATGTTAGTAGTAAATAATTATAATTAAGTATATATTTTACCTCCTACTAGTTAAGTTTCAGCCGAAAGTAACAGGGAATTTGGCTGGCGCTTTATAAATCAGTCTATATTTTAACATAAAATTATTTTATTTATTTACACATATGGAAATCCTGTGCAATTTTAAAAATAGCTTTATACTTTGGTCACAATGGGTAATTGTATGATTTTTTGGAAAAAAGATTGTTACGTATGTATCTACTTATATTTATAAAATACAAAAATCTGGCGTGTACATAAATAGTAAGATAAGATAGTAAATTTTCTATAACAACGCAATGATTTATTTATGTTATGTATGTCTATTTAACTAAATATCAATACTATTGTGTGTTATGGTTTTCCAAAAAAAATATTACTCTTTAGTTTCTGTGATTCAGGGTTTTCTAAGCTTTTGCCTGCATTTACAATGTCTTGTTTGATAGTTTCTATTAATTCATTCAGTGAATCGAAGTTCATTTCACCTCTCAAATATCCGACAATTGCTATTCTTAGATTGGATCCGTAGAAATCCTTTTCAAATGCATGTATTATGTGAGTTTCCTGAAACAAAATAGGTTATTCTTACATGACTTTACTATTAAATGATACATGTAATAAATTTTAAATAGAATGTATTGATGTAACGTAATTATGTACGTCCATCGTCAGGACTATAGGGAAATAAATTCTTCATGATACAGCTACGAGTATATCACATCATGCTAAATAAACAAGTTCATGCATAATGCGTCTTTTAATTATGTTTATAGTGATAAACGCATTATTAAACGCACTACTCTACTTAAGTGGATACTAGACTAGTGTGTCTATACTAGACAGTGGTACTTCTGATACCTACTAGAACAATGATAAAATCAATTATTTAATAAGCAACACAAATAATTGATTCTATTCTGTGCGAGTCCAATCGCAATCATCGGAAAGTGAGGCCGGCACTAAACCGTCAAGACAATCACATCAATTTATTTAAATCAGTATTCGCCATGATATATGTATGTAGGTATATATATGTAATAATTATAATTGATTGTAACATTCGGCGGGTCTGATATCTATTTCTAAGTACTTAGTAATAAACTTGGAAGTATGAAGACACATACATATGCAGTGGCGGCCTTAGAGGGTGGCGAATAGGGCAATCGCCCAAGGTCTCGCTCGCCCGCCTCGCGTAACAACCAAAGCAAATTTTAAACAACCAGTGAGTGGCAAGTTCCGATAAATTCCCGATTGAACACCTATCCCCGCAAATAAACACAATTACCAAAACTAAAATAAAGAAATAAAAATATATGATTTTTTTAAATAATGTTAAGTCATAGTTTTCATGAATCAACGGATAATTTCCGCATAATCGTTAGCATTAGATACATGCTTTTCACGTAGTACAAAGGGCCTCGCAAAGCCTGGAGCCTCGCAATGGGTAAGGCCGCCGCTGTATAATATATGCACGTAGTACACAGGTAAAAGGTTTATAAAGGCGGATTTAATACGTAATTCAAATTTACTATCATAAGCTTAACATACCACGGACATCTCCTTGTTTTGATAGTATGGACAATAACCAATATTTGCAACCATTTTATACATAGGTCCAGAGTCTAACTGAGCCCATCCATAATACACGCCGGGTTTGAATTCAGAAGGTAGTTTTTTTACTACATCCAAAGGATAGTTGGCTGAAAGGTAAATATAGATCATGTTTATTAGTTATTTTATGGAACACGCTGAATTGAGATTTTTATAATAAATTTAATGTGAATGATACATCAACTCATCAACTATCAACAAATTTGTAGAAAACGTAATGATTAAGATAACTGAAATACTACCCTACACGCCTCAAGGTAACTCGCCTACTCGTTATAATAGTTTGAATTTAATGGCTTTGCTTTTCTAATTTTAATCCTCATATACATTGTTTTGTAACAAATTAGCCCGTTTTACTGATTTTTAAATTATTAAAGGGGGTCAGGTCAGTCAGACTCAAGTCGGGGTCGACCTGATAGGATATATACCTGCAATGGTGCAAGACGTGGAGATACGTGCGGTTCCCCCTTGAAACCAGCGCTGTTAATTCCTAGTGCATTCGCCATGATAGGCTACATGATCTTTATCCTCATTTTATCATCATCCACTGGTGCCCCGCCCGTGGATGATGATAAATGGTATACCGTTAGCGTAGGCGGATGGTTGAAATGGTTGAATATTGATTTTGCTAATTAAATTGATTATATTGTATGGCCTTGCATTTTGTTAGAATCTAAAAATATCCTACTAATAACGTTTCATGTCTTTTATGTGAGCTATTTTTTTTAATGAATTGTTTATGCTATTGTCAGGTGCATGGAGCTGCACTGCGACCTACATAGATCTATGGTGCTCGCCCTTTTTAAAGTTCGGTTCCTAGATCCGTCAGGGACAAGAATTGAAGGATATTCTTAGGAGCGATGGTATTTATCTCCTCAGGAGAGAGTCTAAACTTTCTAAAGGAGATTTTTCGTTTATGCATGTGTGGGCTATAACCACATAGGATGTGTAGTGGCGTTTTCTCTTCAGTTTGGCAAAATCTTCAGATTTTTGTTCTACGTTACGTGAGCTAACTCTAAGAAACAAAATGACGAAAAAATCGTAACAATTTTTTTAATTAATAAATAAGTATTTTCGAATTAGAATGTTATTTTAAACATAGTTAAATTCGGATACATTCATCAGACCATAGATATGGACTCTAAAAAAGCATGATTCATGTAAATTTGAATTATTGACAATTTGTGTAATATTACTCAAATAACGATATTTTGAGCATTATTGTGGTTTAAAATAAATAAAGCTTGTTTGATAAACAAACTAGCTTTTTTGATCCCCGTTTGATTTGAACAGCGGGGTGCCCGTCAGCGTAAACCGATAGCGCTAGCGGGTGCACACTTCCATTATTACAAAAAAAAAACTAGGGGGGAAGGGGATTGTTAATAATGTAGACGGTTGAACACTTTGCTAGCAATGTACCATGTCAGCTTGACCTCCACGCGGTTTCCCCTAAAAACTATCATGATATGTCGCGAATTTGTCACAATGGACTAACTGGCGTGACCTCATGTTCATCGTCCTCCACTGGTGCCCCGCCAGGCGGGTGAAACAATACATATCCATATTTAAAAAAACCATCTATAGATAGGGAAGGAGTTTATTGTTACCAATGTGAACTAATAACCTCATTGCTATGTCAGGATCAGGTCAGGTTGACTTCCATGCTGTTCCCTCTGGAAACCATCGTGGTAAATTGCCATTTGTCAAGATGGGTTACTTGACCTGACTGACCTTCATTTTATAATCCGCCACTGGTGCCCCAAGCTTATTCCATTATTATCAATAAAAATAATCTAAACGTAAGGCGGTGTGCTAATCTGCTAGCCCACCGAGGTTGTCGAACCATACCTGTAGGACACCCTAAATCCTTCGATCCTCTTCCAAATCCTTTAATAACTTCTCCTTCTAAGAATAACGGTAAGTATGAGGATACGGTTTGATCCATTTTTAATATCCAATATATCCACCATGTATTTATTTCAGAAGGAAATTTACTTAATTCTTGATTTCATAAAATCAGGTATATGATTTAATAGTAAAATCGACGATCAATCAAATCAAAATCTTTACCAAGGAAAGTACTAATCAAGAGATCTACACTCTAGATCACTGAAACAACAATGATTAATTAACAAGCTGTCAGCTCAACTCAGCTGTCAGCACAGACTACCACAGCCTACTTTTAGAGAATTACGTAGTAGTAGTAGTAGTGGTATATTTTATCCACAAGTGGATAGGCAAAGGTACGAGACCATACAGCCTAATCTTCAGTAGTATTTCCATGAAAATTCAAAAATTCTTCAAGGCGATATCGCCAAATCTTTTCATTAATTATAAGTTTGTGTTAAGTCCATGTATGTGTCCATAATTGAAATGTTTATAATTCTCCGATTGTTGCTATGATGAAGTCGTAAATTGGTTTAAAAGTTGCAGTGCATTTGAATAATTCTTGAAGCGATGGCGGAATAATCTTATATAGTTCTTGAAGCTTAGCAATGAGCAAAATTCTGTTTAAATTGAAGGCCGGGCAATCAAAAAATATATGTTCTAATGTTTGATTTTCGTTACTAGAGCATAAAAGACAAATCGGAGAATTAATGATCTTCATTCGGTGTAAATGTGCATTGAATTTACAATGTCCAAATCGTAGTCGACAAATTTGAGTATAAAATCTTCTCTCTAAAAATATTTTTCCCTGAATGAACCAGGGTTTTTTGCCAACAGTACTGTTTATCCCTGCATACCAAGTACCTTTATCTTTGGTAGTACGTTTCCAATCTTCTTCCCAATTTTTTAATAAGTTTATTCTAATTTCAAGAATTAAATCTTGCCAAGGTAAGAAAATTTTTTTAGACTCACCACCCAATCTGTTGACAGTTTTGACAAGGTAATCTACTTCTTCATTACCTGTCACACCTTTGTGTGCCGGTGTCCAAGTAAATATAATTTCTTTTCCTTTATTAAACAAAACAGTCCATAGTTCTTTAATTTGGTAAATAATATAGCTTGTTTTGGCACTAAATGAATGATTTTGCAACGCTGATAAGACTGACATGCTGTCACTAATGATAAGCCACTGATTATGAGGTTTAGCGCATATATCTTCGTTAATATAATGCAAAGCTTGCAAAATAGCCAAGGCTTCGGCAGTGAATATACTAGTAATGGTAGGTAATCGAAATCCATAACCAGTTTTTATGTCGCTATGGTAAAAACCTAATGACACACCTTGGTCATTTTTTGAACCATCTGTATATATTGTGTTAAATGAAGGCCATTGAGAAAGATGTTCATAAACTTCTTCTTTACATTTTAAGTTCTTATCTGTTCCTATTGTCATATTACAAAATTTACTGTCATATGTCCCTTCATAACATGCCCACTTATTATTTGCCACATGAATATTATTTTGCTCAATTATAGTTTTCATTGCAGAGAAATCAAGGAGAATGTATGGGAATTTTATGGAATTAGAAGAAGAAGCAATGGTTTGAGAATCTGTAATTTTTTGTAACAGTGAATTATTGGAAAAGCTATGTAATTTTAGCAAGAATTTAAATTTAAGAAATTTGAATCTTAATGACAGAGATGGAATGTTGCATTCTACTTGGAGAGAGACTATTGGAGTTGTTTTCATTGCACCAGTGATTAGACGCAAATTATTATTTTGGATTGTCTCTAATTTTTTTAAGAGTGTGGGGTTGGAAGCAAAGCAAAGGTAACTGTACTCAAAGTGAGAACGGACTATGGATTTGTACAACATAAGTAAAATCTTTGGATCAGCCCCCAAAATGTTTTGGAAAGGCAATTTAAAATATTAAAAGCTCTAGAAGCTTTATCAGATATATTACAGACATGCTTATTCCAAGATAGATTTTTTGTTAATGTTACACCAAGAAACTTGGCTTCAGCTACTACAGGCAGTATGCTACCATTATAATTAATATTAGCATGCAAAGTTCTTGATCTACTGAATATAACAACTTTAGTTTTATCTAAACTAATATCTAATTGTAAATATTTAAAATAAACATTTAATTTCTTTAGAGCTTTGTTTATTTTATTTTCTACTATATGAATATTTGAGCCTGAACAGTAAACTGCTAAATCATCAGCAAACTGTAAATTGCTGACTTCATTACCAAGAATAATATTAATTTTATGAATATACAAAATAAATAACAGTGGACTCAATATTCCCCCTTGACATACACCTATATATGAAGATTGTGGACCATATAAATTATTATTGTACTTAACATAGACTTGTCTATTATGTAGGAAATTAAAAATCCAGTTAATCAACTTATCTGGTATTCCTAGTGTTTGCAGTTCATTAGTTAGAATATGATGATTAACATTGTTAAAAGCACCAACTATATCAAAGAAGACAGAAACCAGTATATTGTTACTAGAAAAAGCACGATGAATATCTAGGTTTAAATGATTTAAGCTCTCTGTAGCTGAAAAACCTTTCCTGAAGCCAAACTGATTTGAAGGTAATAACTTATTTGATTCTATATAAAATTCTAACCTTTGTTTAATCATTTGTTCGAAAAGTTTACTCATACAAGATGTTAATGCTATAGGTCTATAGGAGTCTGAATGATTTATCAATTTGCCTGGTTTAAGAATAGGAATCAGACAATCTGTTTTCCAATCGGGTGGTATTTCTGAAGTATTCCAAAGAGAGTTAAGTAACATTAACAAAGTGTTTTTAGAATTGGGTGATAATGTCTTTAACATTTTGTAAGAGATATTGTCAAGACCGAAAGCTGTGTTGCGTCTGCTGTTTAAGGCACTGTAAAATTCTGTTATAGTAAAAGGGTTTATAATGAAGCTGTTATTATTATTTAATGATACCTGTATGTTGGGTCTACTTTTAGTTGACGGTTTGGATGTAAATTTACTTAAGAAAGGAGAAATCCAATCAATGTCTGAAGATATAAGTGAACAGTTGTTATTAAATGTTTTATTAAATTTTTTCATTTTATTCCAGATAACTGATAGAGGAGTTTGCCGATTGATCGACTCACAGAATTTTAACCAGCTGGCATTTCTTTCGTTTTTGAGAGTAAGTTTTTTGATTGCCTGTTGTCTTTTAAATCTTATGTAATTTTCTTGAGTGGGATTATTTTTAAAATCTATGTAAGTTTTCTTACATAATTCTATTGCTTGAGAACAAGTATTGTTCCACCATGGCAAAGAAAGTTTTGTCTTGTGATTACAGACTAAAGAATGTTTTAAATTTCCATGTGAATTATTAGCTGTGTTAATGCTTTCTATTAAAATATTGCACATTTGTTTATAGGAGTCTAAAGGGGTGGAAGGATCGTAATTAAATTCATTACATAATTTATTATCAACAGTCTCTTGGTATACAAGCCAGTTTACATTATTGTAATTTGGCCTAAAAAAATTACTATGATTAATGGAAATGTTATTTGTATTTACAGTGTTACATAAAAGGTGGGTGATGGTTGGAAGATGATAGCTCCCTAAAGGATTATCATGTACAGACCAATTGCATCGGAGTGACAGAGAGGCAGAAACAATTGTAAGATCCAGAGCACTTGGACTCCATATATCAGAGCCTACAGTAGTGGGTTGACCATTATTAATTATACAAAGATCATTGTCTTCAATAGTATTAAGAAGAATAGTGCCTCTAGAATCGGTTCTAGAGCAACCCCAAGTGGTATTGTGGGCGTTAAAGTCACCCGCTATTATCATAGGTGACGGGATAGATTTAAATAAGTTATCTAAATGTAAATGTGTAAAGTTACGTGACGTTGCGGATGTAGGGCTGTAAAAACTAACAAAAGAAATTGTTTCATTTTTCAAATATAATTTTAAAGCGATATTTTGCAAAGAATCATCGTGATATGTATTTAATCTGTCATAATTCAATTTGTTTTGTATTAGAATGGCTACACCATTATGATTATTACCAATGTCTAATCTTTCTATATTGTAACCTTTGATATTAAAGTTTTTGAAAGGCTTTAGCCAAGTTTCAGAAAGAAGGGCGATATGTATATTGTTGTTATATAAAAAATAAGTAAAAGCAAGTCTATTATTTATCAAGCTCTGGGCATTCCACTCGATAATATTTAAAATATTATCCATTAAAGAGATACTATTAATTAGTGTTAGTACTGGAAATCTTAAAAGTATCTAAAATTATGTTTTTTATGCCTTCTGAGTTTAAGGGAGAGTCATCTGTTTTATTAACAGAAATAATTTTAATAACTGATGCAATGATTAGTTTTAAAAAGTCATCATTTTGCAATAATGTGTTAATATTCTCAGTAGGTTTAGTTTTAGTGTTTAAAGATGGAAAAGATTTTTCATTAAATAAACTAGAGAAAGGAACAGTCTTGTGTTTTATTTTGTTTTCTTGTATTTTCTTCTTTTTAATTGGGCATTCAGCTGAGATAGCTATATGGTTACCATTACAGTGAAGACATACAGCTTCTGTGCTATTTTTAGTGCAATCTTTAAAATGATGGTTTTCTCCACATATTGAGCAACGTTGAGTATTTTTGCAAAATTTACCAATGTGGCCATATCTCAGGCACTTTAAACATTGTGTTACTGGTGGGGTGTAAGCGCTTACCTCAAAATACCATGAGTTGATATCGACATTCGTAGGGAGTGTGGGACAGGCAAAGGTAATGGCGACTGATTGGGTGGGCAGAAAACTTGTGTTACCGTCTTCATCATGACTTCTTCGCATAAACCGGCGCACCGAGACGACGTCTCTGGAGCTGGAAATACCATTGTAAATACTTTTGTTTGACATGTATATAGGTACGTTTTTTATGACCCCTGTTATTTCTGTTAATGTTGCAGGTATTGTGGCTTTAACATGTAAATCTTTTTGTACTTTGGTGTTATTTAATGCTATGTTGGCTAAACCTGGCCTTTCAAAAATGGCTCCAACTTTATATTTATTAATTCTCTTGAAACGTTTTATACCCTTGCTTTGGCGCTTAAGACAGGCGCCAAGGGACATAAGGTCTCTGTCGCCTAAAGGCCTCGTATCGGTACTTTCATAAATAACTATATATTCAAAATTTCCTCCATCCTCAGGATATTGGCGACAGTAATTATCGATTTTAAAAACTTTATACTTATCCTCATCCATTGAGGAGTCAGAATCTGGACTGTCGACATCCCTCGAATTTTCTGGGGAGCAATTATCATCGGCTTTGCGCTTTTTGCGCTTACTTCCCATTTTAGGACTGTAATTAACTACAAATTATGTTAGTTGTACCTATATATACAAATTATTGAATATAAATAAAATATAAAATAAAGGAAAAATATTTAAAACACCCGCTCTATTTGACTTCCCGCCAAAAAGTCGAGAATTACGTTGCTGTCAGTGACTATGAATGTTACTATTTTTTTGGATTCTCTGCAATCTTCGTGTTGCCAATCTTAAAACTTTTTGCCTCATGCTACGGAGGGCTTAATACTCATATAGGTATTCTTTCTATTGCAAAAAAATATGTTCATACATATTTTTTTTAAAAGACAAATTTAATACGAGATTGAGACCTATACTCATAGTATAGGTCACCATCTCGTATTAAATTATACCTCATGCTGAAGAATAAGAAAATATCATTACCTTATTATACATGATTGAAAGTAAATAAATAATCTATAATGGAAAATATGCTAGTATGTAATACAATATCGATTTTAATATTCCAAAAATCGGAAAATATTGATTTTTAACCGACTAAATGAGTAAGATAAAAGTAATTAAATAATTATGACATGGCCCAAAAAACATGACTGGAAGGCTACTATGACCGAAATACACAAACAAAAGGATTTATTGTATATGAGGATTATTATAAGAAAATAAAAAATATTACAATGTAATTTTATGACAAGAAAAATAATTTAAGAAAGTAATTCCGTAATTTTAATGCAAAGAGAGAGGCAGTGATAAAAATATTGTAACTAGTTGTCAATCGTCATCAAAGTCTGTCTGATTGATCTGTGTTATCAATGTACTCTGCGATAATAATTCTAAATAATTTTGTTTCGTATTTGATGCTATTTTTCTCTTTTCTGTTTTAATTATATTATCTATTTTGAAAGTAGTATATAAATAATCTAACAATTATAAATTTGTTTAATATCCTTCACCAATCATGTATCATTAAAATATATATCACGGTATTTTGATGAAGAGTACACTCCATGTTGTTGATACATTGTGTGATAAAATAGAAACAATATGATCAGACATTATTAATTATTGAAATGACGGAAAAGGGATACGAGGGTGATCAGTCGTCATCTTCGTGGGATATTCCCGGACCATCGTCTTTAGCAGCAATATTAGATACTGCCTTCACATCTTCAGCTTCAGAGAATACATCCAGAAACGGTGAAACTTTTTTTTAAATATTTTTTACAATTTTATCTGGTTTTTCGTCAGTAACTACCTCCTAAACTCTCAACACTTCAATTATTATTGCACTGCATAATACTGAGATTTTTAAACTTCATCTACCAGTGTATGTTTACATGTATAATGTATGTGTTACATGTATACATGTAGACTGGAATTAATATATGGAACTGAACTGCCCTAAATTTAATATCCTGAATACTATTTTTTATGTACTGTTCTTGCTGCTGTAACTATTTTCAATGTCTTATGTATATTGTGTGTGTTAGTCTCACAGTAGTCTCTCACTAGTTCTGCTAGTATAGTATATGTATACAATTTTTACTCAACATTTACAGTTAATTTGAGATTATATATACATAGTAATAGTTTAAAGAGTATAATAATGGATGATAATACTTTATTTTTAGTGTCTTAACATTTTTCCTCATCTATTTTCTTCAGTATTCAATATCTGCCTTCATTCATTTTTCACCCGGTGTAATACTTCTTCATTTCTTACTTTATCATACAAGTCTTTATAATAACAATTTATTTAACATATTAATATTATTTTTTATTACTTGGTATGATATATTTCATAATCATATTTTTTTATCTTGGTAATTTTTATATATATTATTTTAGGATTGAATAGTGAATAGTCTCAAAATTTGTATATTCATATATATTATTAAAAGTTTCAGTAGGTAGGATAGATGGTAATCATTTGCATTTTGCACTCAGTACATAAGGTTATTATTTAAGATAAATTTTAAGTCCAGTACAATAAGTGCCTATTGTTTTCAGAAGAAATGGAGTGTGATGCTTTGTTTGCTGAGAGTGATGATGAGGTAGAGGTGCTTCCTGCATCTTCTGAGGCTGCACACACAAGCAATAATGAGACAGCACCTAAACCAGTATCTTCAAATTATGTGAATTCAACAACTCCAACACAGCCATATGAAGTTAATTTGGCTCCCCTATCTCATCCTATCTCATCACATACTCCTGTCCCAGAAGAATATCAGCCTCTACCAGATAGTTCTAGTTCACTTGGTTATGTGCTCACAGAAAATAATCCTGAAAACACTGATAGTCAGAGATTTTCAGATGTAAATATTCGTTATCAACCAAAACCTGTAGCAGTAAATCAGAGAGGTTATTACTATCCAAATTATAATCACTATACTGCTGGTGTCAGACCAGCTCAAGAGTACATATTTACACCATATCACTCCAATAATGTTATAGTGCTTAATGATGAATCAAACTATCTACAACATCCAATGCCATATACATTGCCTACTAATCAAACACAAGTTGAAGAAAATCATCTATTATACCCAGGTTATGAAAGATTAAGACCAAATATGTATAGTCAGGAACCTCCAACATCCGACAGCAATAGGAATGATGGTCAGAGTTTAAACAGCTTGGAGAGGCCAAGTCGTAAGTTGAATATATCTCCAAGAAGAAGACAGTCTAAAGAAAATGAACCTATTAATACAAATTTGATAGAAGTCAGTTCAGAAGAAGAAGATAATGTATCTGCTCCAAGAAAAAAGCAATGTGATAAAGGAGCTGGTCAATATTCATCAACTTCTGCATCAGAAGGTGCAGTGGGTACAAGTAGTAGTTATAATTCTAACACTTCTCCTAGAATTGTCATAAAAAGAGAACCACACAGCCAAGTTGAAGTGTCAGCACATGGCAGTAGTGATATCAATACCAACAATTGCCAGCAGAGTGAACACAATTGTGAGTGTCAGAGGCATTGTAAAAGTCAACACTGTGTTCATATTCAGACACAACCCAGTTGTGTTCAAAATAATCCAGTATTGCACATAAAACAAGAAAACTCAGGTTGTGTTTCACATGGCTCTAGTTGCACCTGCAGAGTTAATCATAATATATCTAATACTTGTAATTATGTACATGTAATGCAAAATGATATTAATAGAGATAACCCCAACCCTAGTCGTTTAAATAATTTAGAAGCAACCAATCATCAGTATCATAGAACATTTATGCCTTGTTCACATAGTGTTGAAAATTCCTCCTTAACAATGACAACACGAAATTCTGCCATGTCACAAGTTAAACAAGAGCCTGGAACAGGAAACATAAAGAGAGAGATTGAAGCTCCAGAAGCACATACCTCAAAAGAAATTCCTATACCGCCACCCCTAAGTACTGTTAAAATTGAGAGTACAAATGCACCGAGAATTAAAGTGGAGCCAAATATAGAAAACTCGCAAAGAGATCTCAGTCAAATTACAACTGTTAAAGTAGAAGCACAAACAAACGAAAATATGAGAATGTGTTGTGATGTCGATGCTACTGGTGATAGAAGTTCTCCACAACCAGGCACAAGTTCAGGACGAGGACTTCATAGCAGTGAAAACAGCATACCTAATAATCAGGTAACCATTATTCTGATTTCTTATTATTATATAATTAATTATTAAATTATTCCTAAGTTTTGTATGATGATAATGGTTGACAAGCTGATGGTATACCTGATAGAAGATAATCATAGTAACTAGGTAGACACAGTGTTTTCAGTGTGCTTTTCCCTTACAAATTTTGTCCAATATTTTCCGAAAAATTAAATTCTATAACAGTTATTACATGTTATCTTTTCGTCTGTTTTAGTTCACAAAACCATTTTTATAAAACCTTTTTAAGTACCTTACTTCAAATTTCTTGTTGTGTTACTTTTTTTTAGGCCTACAAGGCCATGGTTGTACAAAACCTGCTAAAATCATTATTTTCCCCATAAGTGCGAAACCCTTTATTTGGGAGGATAGAGGTGATTTGAGGAAAACCTCCACTCTGACATCACTGTCTATAAATGAGTCACATTTTTTGACAATAGGTTTGTTTTCTGTCTATCTATGTATGTATAATGTTAATTTGTCTGAAAAAAAAGTAAAACAAAAACTACTAATTCTCATTGATCATCTCCTTTTCAGGAGGAACGAACAAATGCAAATGCTGGTAATGGACTTTTATCTGCACCTGATCTGCAATTGGATTGGGTTTCAGATTCAGGTTCAGAGGATGATGTGCAACTATTAGAAGAGGAAAATAATCCAGTATGTTGAATCTGCATAATGTGTCCAATGTATATTTAATGAATTAATATTTCATAAAAATTATTTATTTACAACCAAAATTAATCTTAACACGTTGACGGACAATTGCGGCTATAGCCGTCAAAGCGAAGTTCACAATGTGGCATGACTGCTATAGCCGTCCAAAACGAAACGGTCGTTTTTAGACACTACGGCTATAGCAGCACAAATGTGCACTTACTGGCGTATACGTAGAAGCATAGTGTCGTGTTTTGAAAACATCTTTTTAGGTTGAAGTTCATATTTCACCTGTTATACGAGTTACAGATTCATTATGCACGTGGTTGTGAAGGTGGTTGTGTCAATTTTCGAACTTCGCTTGTTCCTACTGTCCGTCAACTGTTAAATAACAGTTGGTAATATAATTTCCTATCCTATAGAGAAACTGTTATTCCATAAAGTGTAAATAAATTTACAGAGAGATGAACATTAGTATGTTCGTCTCTCTGTAAATTCACCAAATAACAATAAACAAATCAAACAGAGAACAAATAATAACCATTTTTTGATAATTCCCAGCGTGCTGTGATAGATCTAACAAGCTCGCCAGGACGGGCGCCGACCCCAGTTGCGACTACGGGGGCGGCGGAGGTGGGAGGGGCGAGTACGGCGGCTGTGGGAGCAGGAGCCGCGGCGGAGGGAGCGACGGGGTCGCCCACAACTGCGGCTCCAGAGGGCGGACCCGGAGTTCCATACGAAACACCTCGTGTCTTTCCTCCAGTATACCAACACAATTCGCAGCCTTCGCATCGCCAACTAATGCCGCGGAGGTGATTCTCAAAACTTTTTTTCTTTTCTCTTTCTATCGGCCTTATGGCTATAATCAGATTTATTGATATTTAATTTTCAACTGTATTAGAGATTATTATCTAATATGCAAGTCTAAATCTGAAATAGGCTGTAGATTGATTAATCAAATATTGGATGTGGGAATGACGCCGAACAAAGTGATGAGATAGTAGGCCGGTTGTGTGGCTAGAAAAAAGCATTAACAATGTGGATCAAATTCGTCACCTACTGGACAAAGCGATGGGTAGAATGATATGGTAGAATAAAGCACAAGTTGGCCTCCGATGTAGATTGCTGGAAAGCCATGAACTGTAATCAAATTCAGGCAAGCAAAATCTCACACTTGGTTGAGGAACAATGTTTATTTTGTAGCAGCACACATGATTACGAGCTACAATTTTAATAAAAAGTAATAATGAAATTTACGTACACGTTCTTTTATTTTTGTAGAATCGTGGGGATCGGAAGTTGCTTGTCATCGTGTCGGTGCTGCTGTGCGCACCCGCCGCCAGCGCACCACGCGGCGCACGGGCACCACCACGCGCACCACGGCCATCACCCTCACCACGGACACCACCCGCACCACGCTCACCACCCGCATCACGCGCATCCGCCTCGCCCACCGCCCGCCCACCACACGCTGCTGCCACATACACACCACACGCCCATGCATGCGCACTGTGAGTTTCACTTTATTTCATTATTTACATTTTGTTAGGTTTGAACAATATTAATAAGTTATATATGTTTTGAAATAAAAATATAAAATTTGAACTTTTTTACTATTTTGTCTGCCAGTTTGTCTCTGAGAAAGCCCATCCATCTGAAACGGAATTCTTAATGTTATATTCCAAAATCTACTATTGCTATCACAGAAAAGTAAGATAAACTTTGTTTGTTTGTTTTATTCTATGGTATTTAAGCTACTAGATGGCGTCTCAAAAAGTAACGCTATAAAACTATAGCGGTTTGTCTCTGGTCAGGGGTATATAAAGATTATGTATTTTTTCACTGTAATATTTTTTAATAAAGAAATTATTCTTTTGTCATACATATAAATCAATTAGTAAACAATTGCTATGGTGTACTTCAGAAAGCATTTTGGGACCATTATTATTTGTCACTTGCATAAATGTTTTACCTGAGATTACAAAATATAACTGTTTACTGTTTGATGATGACAAATTCATTAATATTGTATGAGACAAACTAGATAATTTGAGAATTATATTAACCAAAAAATTAATTCTATAATGAATCTTAAACAAATTAGAACTACAATATGAGCTAGAGGTTGGTTTTTACACCAACCCCTAAATTAACCCTTTCAAAAAATATATATTATTTGTTCATTGGTCAGAAGTTAGAACATTGCATTTATATAATATTAGTACTTGCGATCAAAAATATGTTCATGTAACTCATAAATGTAAACAAAAATTATATACCTACAAATAAACTATAAACAATAATTATTTCGAAAATGCGATAACTAACATACGCGTATGGGATAACTAATCTCTTAGTTATCCCATAGTAATATGAGTTTACAAATTTGATTCTGTTAAAGTTTGGGGTACAGTATTTATTTCATAAATTATATTTTTAAGGTGACGTAAATTATAGATTCATATGTCACATGGTACAAAATAACATCCATATGAAACTATCACTTAAAATTATTTTGTTTAGTAATTTATATGCAATTACAAAAAGCAATCATATTGTCTTTCGCAGTGGGTGACCGTCGCAGAGATGGAATGTCCATCGCTCCGCCGTACCTCGTTCACGAACGCTTGTGGCAACGGCAGCAACACATGCTTGTAAAAAGCTTATATTTTCATTATATTTAATGTACGTTATTGGTCCAGGTGTTGAGGGAAGTAGAGTAGTAATTTTTATATTTATTGATACAGGAAGTACAACGACGCAGTATGATGGGCGACATCAGTGGCGGGTTTACACAATTCTCTCCGGCTTACACAGTCCCGCCGGCACCTACAACCGTGCTGGCAGTATGTATTACAATATTATTGATATAGTCCAAGTCGAAATCATTTATGCATATAGAACATTTTAGCCACCATTTTATCACTAATCTTACTGTCTAGTTTCGTTAAGTACTTCATTTAGAAGAACTGGCAAGAAACTCAATAGGTACATTTTTTGTCTATTAGTTCTACTTTTTTAGTATAAACAATACAACACTTGTATTTAGATTGATTAAATGAAGCAAATGGTTTTGTTGGCCTTTTTATAATAATATATATATATATATAGTCGCGGTATTCTAAGTGTTTATCAATTCCACAACATAATGTCTTGTTAATAATAATTAAAATTTTATAATTGTGATTACAATATGTACTATTTTCAGTTTCCAGACGAATTTGAGCCACGAGACCTGAGTTCAAATCGCGGAACACAAAGTTTGACCACCGGCATTGCACCATTGTTGATGTAAGTATTTGTATATAATATATAAATAGGTGATATTTTGTAATTCAATTGTTATTGAATGTAGTACTTGTGACTTGTTCAGTAAATTCATTCATTTATAAAAAACACTTGCAGAGATGGTCAACAAATTCACCACCACATGCACCACTATATGCAGATGCATCCTCCACATCTTCACATTTCCATTCAACCTTCAGTAACGGTGAGTGATACTCCAAATGTTAATGTACTAATTAGTAGTTGATTTTTTCTATAATAACTATTGACTAAATCAACTGTACCCACTAGTCTGTTTTTATTGTTCATAATTAAATTTAACTTTTGATTTTTCTAAAGAATACTTAACATAATATATATGCAGAAAAACCCATGCATGAATATATGTGAAAAAATTTCAGTTGTGTTTCAGTTAGATGATACATTATATGGTATGAGCTATAATACCTTAGCCCTCCAGAATAGTTATATAGGCTACCACTTACCATAAGGTGGGCCTATAGGTTATTTGCAATAATATATATACTTTTTATTTCTTAGCATCAACATAATATAAACATAAGTCCATTACCACCGCAATATGGACTATTGCGGTGGTAATGGAACAATCTTATTGTGATGAAACAGCTTTCCGTATTAGTGATTTAATTTAATTTAGAATAGAGAATTTTCTATTCTATTCTACATTCAGCATATGCTGTGACAGTTACTGTCAGAGGCTGATATTCTGTGTTAGCCATAAACGATCACATGGATGACAAGAACGCTATATCGCTGAAGCTTACAGACCGATGTGAAAGATGTTAGTACGTATAAAGCAGGGGTCGAGCGCGTTGGCGGCGCACATGGTGGCGATGGTGCGCGCGGCGGAGGCGGCGGAGGCGGCCGACGCGGCGGAGGCTCGGCGAGCCAGCCGCGGCGCCTCGCGCGCCGTCATCGAACGCAATACCTACCGCCACGCCTACGCCGCGCCCGCGCCGCACCACCAGGACGAGAAGTGCACCATCTGCTTGTCCATCTTTGAGGTCCATTCCGACTGCAGGTATTGTTTCATCCTGACCTCTATTGATATGTGTTATGGACGATAGTGGAAATTGACAAGAGCTCCACCGACAAGAGCGTCGCTCTTAAATTATGAATGAATGAATGAACGGTAATTGGGACTATGCAGTTCGAAGACGCTATTATTCTTGATGAAGAAGAATCATAGCGTCTTAATCCCATAAGACGCTATAATTCTTGATTGGGATTATGACTCAAGTCAATCAGTGGAATTGAACTCACTAAATGTATATGCTCAATGATATGGGTTGATGTATTTGTTCTAACTAAACATAATACATTATATAGATTTCTATTCATGTAATTCCAGTTGTAAGATACAAATAGCCTTAGTAACAATTAAACATTGCATTGTAAAAATTATTACTATTTCCATCCATGAAATACGATTCAAAGATACTACTTATCTTATAGTAGCGGTATACAACAGTAGTAATACTGTTATGAATGACTATATGAGCCTACAATATTTAATCTCTATGTATTTAATATAATTATGTATGTTAATATTAAAATATGGTCAGCAGTATGTGGGCATGTCAGGTGTTACATGCACAACAATTGACGATATGTCTTTCAACACGATATTAAGTTATATGAGCAATGTCATACATTTTATGTGATATAAAAAATTGTATATTGTCAGCAAACTAAGCAATTATACAACCAGTAGAACAAACTCGATTTTAAATGTTGATGTGTAATTATATTATATATTTTTTGTTTGTAGGAGACTACCATGTATGCACCTATTCCACATGGAATGTGTAGATCAGTGGCTGAGTACCAACAAGCACTGCCCTATTTGTCGTGTTGACATTGAAACACATCTTAACAAGGATGCCACTTTTTAAGTGACTATATGACAGGTAAAAAATAAACTTTTTCAATATCGGAATATTTCAAATATTTCATATTCAATATTTCAAATATCGGTTGACTTAATTTACTGTGTAGAAAATGTTGCATAATAGCTATATGAAGAGATTGTTTAAAATTAAATCTTCATAATTTATTTTTAACATTTTTTGGTTTTATTAAAAACAAAACCAATAAAATATGATACTTTATGACCCTATGTAACAAAATCCTTTAGTATATGGTAGGTATATGTGTACGTAGATACTTAAGCCTAGTGAAAAGTATACAGTATTTTAAGATAATTTATAATTCAACAACCTCAGTGGTCAAGGAGTTTAGCACACCACCTTTCTTCCGATGATCGCAGGTTCGATTCTTTGCATGGTGGATTTCTATTCATGAGTATGATTGTTCATTTTGGTCTGGGTTGTTCTATGTATATTATATATATATTTAATAAATAATCTTTAAAGTATCGGTATTTGTTGTTAAGAACCCATTACAGAACTTCTGCTTAGATTGGGACTAAATGGTGCTGTGTGAACTGTCTGACTTGACTGTTGAAAAAGGGTTATTATTACTAGTATACCCTAATACTTAAAATAGCATAAATGCCCTAATTCTCCTGACGAATAAAAAGTCATCCAGTATATTGAGTTCCCTATTAAAAATTAAAAAAAAAATATTTTGTTATTTATTATCATTTTCTGTTTCTTCTTTCAGTTTTTGCTCAAAATGTGGAGAATTAATAATGGCCTGCTGTTGCAGCTGTAAACTCTCTTGTTGAAGATCATGTGTTAACTGCTTTTGAGCATTGCAGGTCCTGGGGAGGGAGAGGTTACATGATACTGCCATTTATTGTACATATTTATACATAATAATAACTAATTAAAAAATGTGTTTATTTTCTAAGACTATTTTGTTATATCACTATTACAATGTTAAGAAGTCAAAAAGATGTGACTATTTGTTGATTTTTAATTAAGGTTATGTATGAAATTGAGAACAATGAATTATAATTAGTTTGTATTTTGTTACTATTATTCTGAAAAACATGGAATATTGTATAATAAAAGAAATTATAAAGTTTTATTAGACTATGGTTCTATTAAATGTTTTTGCATTGGTAGTTTTGTTTTATTTATTACCTGTGTGCATGATCTATTCTTTCACAAATAGCATCTGATGCAGCTATGTTTCCAGATAAGTATGATATTTCAGCAGCAATTGTTGCCAACTTATCAGCATAATCCATATAACCTATAAATTTAAATATATATGAAGTACTTTACTAATAAATTAATGTTACTTGTTAGTTCCATACTTTATTTATTTTGAAAATAGTGTATGGACAGCACAAATGTAAAATATAAGAGTGTTTATATTGTTAATTGAAAATATACATCAAATACTCCTTACATACATTAAATTCTTCTAGTTTGAACGAATTATAGAACTTAATTCTAAATAATGTAACAATGTTCAGTTACTGCAGATAACAGTAAACTTCTCAAATAATTTGTATATTATATTATTATAATGGTTTAGATATTTCAGTGTAACAGTATAAATCATATATATTTTATGTACTTGTTCCAAAATGTATCTTTGGGCTATTCTTGATAACAAATACTTGTAGTGAAAATTGAATTATCAACATTATTTGTCACTATTACTATTAACAACCTACTACAATCCACATTATATGTTTAACATAAGCTATCAATTTTAACTTCAGTAGTTTCATATTGTGTTGTGTTGCTGCAGAACATGATAGTGATGCAGTACTAATTAGCATATAGCTATTATATACAAATTTGAACACACAACTTAATTATATCCAATGGATTATTAAACCATAATAATAAATAAAAAAAATTTTAATCAGATTCTGAAACTTACTAAATAGCACCTGAAGGTTATGTTTGAGGTCACGAAGGGTGCCTCTCACTGCAACTAATTCATCCCAGTGCTGTGGTGGAGTGCCTTCTCCCCACTCTGATGCTTGCTTTACCAAACATATTTCTTTTGTTAATGCTTCTCTCAACCTTAAAGAAATATGTTATAAATTATACAATAAAAACACTCTTTTCTAGATTGTAAGAGATTTTTTATAGACATTTATAGACATGACAAACTTTTGTTTATATTCCCCATCATAATTTTTTTAATATTGTGTTATTAAGTAGGTTTACAATGATGTTTCTCATATTTACTGGCCAATTTTGTTAGTATTTACTAACGAAAATTCAACAAAATCAAAAACCATATAATCTAAGTTGAAATTTTAATTGGCTGCAGTTATTAAATTATATTGAATTAATTACATTCTCTAATAATGTTATTCAAGTATCTCTAACTGGAAAATCTCTAAAAAAAATTTTTTCTATCATAATATCATTTAGTGTTCATTTACAGGATGAAATGGAATAAATGGATTACCCATTAAACCCAAAATTACAAAATGAATTATATTTATACAGAATTTTCATCTAAGAACTATATCAAGAACACAATGAGCAATAATGTAGGACCTGTTCTTTCTTACAAGCCTGCTGACCTGTTCTTTCTTTATTTTTTTGGTTCGGTTTGTCCCTTTTTAGGGAAAGGGTTCTTTCTTTATTAATTAGACAGCTACTAACTGTCTAATTAAAATATATCATTATAGAAACATTACAGTCTTAAAGTTGAAATACCTCTCACTTGTATCATGTATAGCAACTAAAGTAACAGTGATCAGTTGTGTGGCAGCGTTAATGTTTACAGTCGTGGCTTGCCGGATCAAAAATTCATGTTCTAAGCTATCATTATCGTAGGTCTCCACAATATTTTTTTGTTTTTCTTCACACTTAGCAATACTGGCAAATCCAATAGTAATTGAAGGCAATTTGAGGGCATTAGCAATCACTGTTCTATTTATTTTACTACAGGATTTGAATATATTCAACATTTTACTTCTAAACATTGTTCGCAAGATGAGTTTGATGATATATTTACATAATTTTTATTTCACTACATATCTGCTTAAGTGAAAATAATTTAAATAAGAATGTTCTGCTGTATTCAAAGTTTCAAAAATGTAAGGTTGAAGTTTTTATTTTAAATTACGGCTTTGGAGACAGTTTAATAGAAAATAATAATATCAACCGCCTGATTTAGGGAAATTCAGTACTTCTTCCACAGAACACCACAAGAACTACTATTAATATAAATTCTTAGGTAACCATATTAAAATAGCTGCAGAACCACATTTCGACAGACCAATATGATTACAGATTTTTTACATACGGATTTGTAATATGTTAGAAAATTAAATTATAACGACACTTTTAAATTTAGGCTACATATATTATAAGCCACGGTGTGAGTTACAATAGTTAAGCAGACATGTTCATGACTGCAGGGCCGGCGGAAACGGGCATGCAACGCATGCGGGAGGCTCGTCGAAGGGGACGTCATCACGCGATTCGGATATATACTATAATTTTTTTAAAATATAGAATCTATAGATTATTTTATAAATTATAATAAATAATCTAACTTAACTATGAATACGGAGACATAAGCCGCGCTAGCATAAAAATTGTATGCGGGCGCTGAGGACCCTAGCGCAGGCCCTGCATGAATGCCAATAAATATAAATTCATATTTTTTATTATATTAAAAAGATGAATTTATAACAGAAGAAATGCTTACACTCTGCACATATTTGTGCAGAGTGTAAGCATTTCTTCTGTTAATTATTTTATTAATAACAGTTGCAGCTGTGTTAATTCTGTACACTTTATTTTAAATAATAATAATAACTATAAGAACCAATTACATTTATCATCTGTACGAGACATTTGATAGAAAAACTAACTGTTCCGGTAGATGTTGTCATGTTTTAACAATAAATACACTCTTTTATAAAAACGTTCTGATAATAACAAACACAACAATAAATAATTATCGAAATTCTCCACGCCGTTCACACCTGATGGCGTGGCACGACCAAGAGAAATAGGAATTCATTTTTAATGTAGATAGTTTTATTTAAAAAAAAATAACGCTTGACAATTTACACAGTGCCACCTAGACCCACAGTGAGGAGAGCTAGTGTTATGGGTATTAGATAATGAATATGCATACTTAGATTTTTTAAATGTTTGCACTGATGAATCGAACCCGCGACCATCGTACGTAAAGCGGTGTGCCAAATAGCTAGACCACCGAGTCCGTGAAAAAAATTATTTGATATATAAACTCACCGGTGATATTAAAATAATAAATTAAGGTAGATACACGGACATCAAAAAATATAGAAAGATCCAAAACCACTATCAAAACTTGGCTTATAAATATGACGTCTTATTTTATTCAAAAACATTTGTTTAGATCCTACAAAAGGATCAAAGTCAAAAAATATTTTATTGTATGTATTTGAACATCTTCAGAGCATATTTGTCTACCCACATATACTTTGAGGTCACGTAACTCAATTTTCCCTTGCGCTAGAAATGAAATATTGTGAGTCAAAGCTAAAGGTAGTAGGGTAAATATTAAAAATGACAAACACAACGACGAACAGAGAAGCGATTTGTCTGTTTTGGTATGTTGAACAACAGTACGTCACTTCTCTGCTCTGTACGCAACTATACTGAAAATAAAATAAATACAATAATTATAATAACTAAAATGTTCTTATTAAGAATTTTTTTTTATTTATTACAAATATTTAGAAGCCAATACACGAAGCTTATATACAACATTTCGGGTCTCTGTAATGTTTGTCGAACTATAAAATTGGGTCTAGAATTTCGTCATTATGTAATAAGTATTTCGCCGTTTAGTAGATGTAAAACGGTGTATTATTTAAAATACGAATAATCACGTCGTTCTGCACTGGCTAGATTAACATTAAAGTCCAGTACTGCTACACTTCGATCAGCTGCTGCTATCAGCTTAGTTGAATCAAAATCTAAACTATAAACGGGTGATGTTTTCTTCTGGGTAAAATAAATCTGAAAAGAAGTTTATTTATAGATTATCTGCTTAAATAAGTATACAGTTAACTTATTAGTTAATATTTTAACGCGTTAAATATAAACTAGGTAGGTATATCAAATTTAGGTACACTCACAAACGGATATTTGCTAATATTTGTACTAAAACTGCGAGAACTGTCAGAGAGGTTAAAGAGTAATCGTCTATCGTGGTATGGGCATGTAATACGTAGGAATGAAGATCATATCCTAAGGACGGTGTTACACATGAATGTGGATGGTTATAAGGGTAGAGGAAGACCGAAAATGAGATGGATGGACTGTGTAAAAGATGATACGGTGAGAAAGGGAGTAAATAACGGAATGAGAGAAAAACATATTACGCCGACCCCAAATAAATGGGATAAGGAAGAAGCAGATGATGATATCTGCTTAAATAAGTATACAGTTAACTTATTAGTTATTATTGTTAACGCGTTAAATATAAACTAGGTAGGTATATCAAATTTAGGTACACTCACAAACGGATATTTGCTAATATTTGTACTAAAACTGCGAATCGGTACAGAATATACGAACATAATGGACAAAAAAGAACGATGGACAATGAAGTAATCTCCATTGCTACTTTTATGTTTTCGAAAAAAGTGTTTATAAAAATGAATAAAATAATTTCATTTATTCTTCAATATGTACAGAATAAATTAATACTTGCCTGTACATGCGTTTTACTTTTTCGTGTATCAAACAGTACACAGCGTGCATACTCAGCCGAGCCCACAATAATAGAGCGACCTCCGTCGGATTTCACGCAGTATAGTGATGACAGAAAAGGATCTTGTACATCGTAAAGCTGAAAAGAAATAACGAAGTTAATTAGAATACATAATTATAAATTATTAGCTGAGGCAGTGATTCTATAGGTGCATACAAGTGCATTAGTTTTGTTAGTAAGCATAATATAATTAATATATTAATTTTATTTTACAAACCATATTATGACTTCTGGCATCAATTAACCTCAATTTCCCCGAATGCGTTACATAAATAATAGTATTTGTATCGTGCCATTGTATATCCCTTACAAGTTGTTTTAAATTTGTCTTTTCGTGTGGATTCATAAGTATTTCGCACCTGCAAAGTTGTAGTGTTGTCATAGTTTAAAACAACCATGTAAAATGCATTTATTTATTTAGAACAAACCGATCGATTTCGAAGTTCCATTCTTATTGAAATATTCAATATCAAATCTGAATAATATGTAGTGTTTGTAATATTGAATTAATTACTAATTAAATATTACAAACACTACATATAATTTAAATTCAGATTTGATATTGAATTATAAAATATAAAGTTAAATAATAGTGAAAAATAACGGCGTCGGTGATCTACCGGTTTAGTACACCGATTTGCTTCCGATGGTCGCGGGTTCGATTCCTCGCAAAGTGCAAACATTTTTATGAGCATGACTGTCTGGGTATTTTCTATGTACATATATTTCGTGTGTTTACAAAAAAAAATCTAAGTATATCAGTTGCCTAGTGCCCATAAACAAGCTCTGCTGACTGTGGAACTAGATGGCGTACTGTTAATTGTCCATAGATATCCAGGGTTATTAAGTTAAACTAAACATACTTACGATGGGACATCAAGTAAAACAGGAGTATCATTTCCATTAAGTCCAATCGCAAGTTTGTTATTTAAATTATTTAAGTGCATACACCTTATACCCACATTATTTGATAAAGTGATGTCTGATACACCTGAACAGAAAGCTATGTTAAGTATGAATGAAAATTAATAGGTAAATACATAAAAACCCCCTATTACCCATATATTAACATCAAAGAATTGTTTGCTTCGCTGGTGTCACAGGAACAGAAAAGTATAGGGCATTCAGACCTATTGTCAATCATTATCTATGTTGTGGTGAAAACAATATCCATATCTCACTGAAGTATATTTGAATTCCAAGTGTCATGGGGCGAAGCCTATCACCATTTCTCAGATAAGTTTTTGGATTTGTTATCGGTGTTTCTGCACTGTATCAGAAATGTAATGTGGCAAACACTAAAGATCATTTTTAGTGTGGACCTACATATTGAGGTAAACCACTAAGCAAAACTCTCGATTATGAACACTGGTGGACTATACTAAATAATTGTAAAGACACTTACTGTCAATAACATTATTGTTATTATATTGAATACCAGACACAAATCCATCACTTTCATGTTCTTTTAGTTGCCAGAATCGTAATACAGAACTGTAATTAGAACCAGTAGCTATATTAAGGAATGGTTCATTTTTATTACATAACTCCACAGTTGACAACTCCTTCTCACCATATTCGTGACAGTCTTGAATGTGAAACAGTAAATGTGGTTTTTCTCGGATATTATTTACTTTATACACAGACATACATCCATCCCTGTAAAAATTAATTACTATTTATAAATAATAAATTAATATATATTAAGTTAGTTACATTTATTAATACAGACAAAACAAAATTTATGATAGAACTATTGAAGTGAGTCATGGTGATCTAGCAGTTTAGCTCAATTCCCTAATTCCCATGGTTGCCGGCTCCGTCCCTCATACAAATATTATTCATGAGTACAACGGTTTGTATTGTGTGGGGTGTTTTTTTATGTATAAACAGAGTAGACGCACTGTTTAGCTTGGGACTAGATGGCACTGTGAATTGTCCTAGTTTATTATAATAATTATTGATTTGAGTCATTAAATTACATACCTATTTCCACAAACAATAAGACCACTTTTTATAACAAATCTTGATATGTCACTGATACGCACACCAGGTCTCTTAATTTTTGGAACTTGTAATATCCAATGAGCCTTACAATAGGGCATACTTCTTTTGTCAATGATGTAGCATCTTAGCTCTGATCCTACTGAGATCACCAAAGCTTCTGAATTTTGATATGTTAACCAGGGCATGTAGTTTGTATGATGCTGAATAGGAACCTAAAGTAGGAAATGTGTCTTTAATATTTCTAAAACTGTAATAATGACTGACAAGCTCTCATTCTGACTTTAATCTATAAGTATTTATAGATATTAGTAATATAAAATACTGTGAATATTTTTTAAACAAATTTAAATATTTCAGTACTGGTCTAAATTCTTAAATTGAAATGAATATTTATTTTATTGATTACATGACATTGATTTTCTAAAGGTAAGCTCTTAAAGAGAAAAAATATATTCAAAGGTATACTAAATGCTGAAATATTAACTCAGTTAAATACCATCTAGGGCTATTTAGCCCTTAACTTTAGGGTATAGAGAAATCTCAAATTACTTAAATGTTACACAAAATGTAGACTTGCTTCATTAGTTTTATTCCTCAGACATACATAATAATCATTATGAAACCACTAACATTTCCTAGTTACATGTCTCCTAAGTATCAACATATTGTATTTTACTATACAACAATGTGTATAAATGATGTTTTTACATCTAATTACTTATTAATAGAATATACAACACAACATTACACTATACAGCTAATATAGTTACCTGTCCTCTGTACACACCACTATACCAGTTGTATGAAATCCTAGACCAATGGTACCATGACAATGAGGTAGGTTTACTAAAATAAATGATAGTAAAGTATAAGATTTTATTATTTCAATTAAAGTAAATTATGATACTGATGGATAAGTATTAATTCCCCAACCTGTTTTCGACACTACTATGTACAAATAATTTTCCTCGACAGGTTGTTCTCCAGATGGCATTATCGTTAATAATGAATTTTCTCAAAGCCTTACATGATAGCATTAAATTAAGAAGTTCTGATGTACTTAACCTACTAAAAATATTAGTTAGTAATTCTGGAGGTAAATGTAGAAGAGTTAAAGCAGTCATAATTTTATACAGTGATAAAGATATTGATGTACTTAACCAGAATTAAATATTATGTTATATTCATTATATAATGTAAAATGTGTATTAAGTTTATTATAAATACAAATTTCAAAAGGGATAGAATACATTAGGAATTGCACTTCCAATAGTTTCATGAACAAATCCAAATATAAAGAGTCCAATCCAACTAATTTCAAAATAAACAAAAATGAATGTTTTTTTTCTTTTCAATGGCTTGGCGCGGTAGTATTTTTGCCGAAGCAAAATTTTGGAAACTTGTTCACAAATTGAATAAATTTAGAATACGACCGATAGGAATTTGGAATAAGATTAAAAGGATTTATTTCTAGCAAAGGTAAACAACAGGATAAATATAGAAAACAAAGAAGCTAACATGTCATACTGGAATATGCATATCAAAATGGAATGCAAGTACATAAAATAATATCCGAAGTATCCTAACCAAAATGTAAATTTATCATCCTTTCTTTAAGATACTTATATATAAAAAAGTAATAATTTAACTTTTGTATTAGGATGGTGGAACGTGGTTAATTATTAAATAAGCTTTACCATAAAATAAAATAGTTTTTTTATTCTTCTTTTAGCTCCGGAGATTTGTGTTGCCATTAGCCATTTTGTAGTTTTTATTTTAAAATAGTTTTTTTTTCTCTTCTTTTGACAATTTTAAAATAGTTATTATTGACACAATTTACCACAGATTATGAATTGAATGAAAAGTGAGAGATTTGAATGAATTTTGTTGAATCAATTAAAGACATTTCAAATGAATTTCATTCAACAAATCAAGAAAATCAATTAATGTTTGCAAGAGAATCGCAATAATTGAAAACGCAAATATTTTTACATACTTAATTTAAAAAAAGTTAATTCGTGAATTAAATATTTATGAAATAGGTAACTAAAGTGATTTGTGGCGTGCAAATGTTTTTAAATATTTATTAATTGAGAACGGTATCATTATGGATTTATGGAAACACGGTAATATGACTTTCATTCTCTTATTGGATTAAAGGATTGTCAAATGCGTCATAAATATACAACATTAATATAACTATTTTAAAAATATTATTTTATCGTTGCTTCTGAATGCGACGTTTACGCATCCAATTTAATTCAACAACAAAGCCAACTCGTATCTAGGCATTCAAGGCCGTATGGTTTCGTGCCTGGTACCAGTCAATGCTACGTTATATCTAGACCCCTGTCAATAAACTACGATTTTCAGTGGGTGGGTGGATATTGATAACAAAATAACAGTTACAAATTATTTCATTAACATACTCTGCAATTAGGCACTTGCATAGCTCGGGAATATTGTCATTCATCGATCGTTGACTTCTCTGTCGTAAAGTTGAAACATTTAGTACCTACCTATTCGAATCAAATAACTGATGTGATGTTTATTTCGTCACCGCCTAAAAGTGCTAAATAGTGATAATTGTTTTTGTGGAAATTTTAAAGTATAACTTATTGTTCAGACATATTATACCATTTTTTTTTAAAAGAAGCTGTAAAAATTAAATATTTTTATCTGTTTTGATTAAATTTGCTTGAATCTGCTATTGATCTAAATACTAGTTATTAAAAGCTAACTACTAATCAATTATACTTTGCAATAAAAATCACATAATATCTTAAAGGTACTAGGCCTTACTCAAAATTAGATAGTTTTTTAATGGTATTTATTAAAATATTATTGATAATTTTAAATGTTAAGTGTATAATTAAACAATGAGAATTATAGTATTCAGTGTTCATGATTCTAATTCTATTAGAAGCTAAGCTACCTACTAAGTAAAAATGAAAATGTCATAATTAATAGTGAGTTTTTTGTACCTAGGCATGAAGGGCCCTGCAAGACCCGCTCCAGCAGTACCTGCAATAACAGACAATCGCTACTCATCAGTAACCAATTGGAATGATGATCCATTTGGTGCTGATGTATTTGAACCTTCACCCCAGTACACACAAAAGAAGAAACCACCACCACGTCCTCCACCACCCAAAATAAATTCTAATCGACCTGATATTTCTACAAGGCCCTCACATTTTATAAGGAAGCCAACAGTTTACACATCATTGATGTCACGTAAGAATAATAGAACTGTTAATAATCCTAGTCCAAATTTTACTCAACAGGATGTGTTAACTGATGCAAGCGAAATTGAAATTAACAGGATGTTTCCTAAATGTGAAAATAAGAATGCTCAGACTGGGGCATTGATAGACTTGTCTTCACCACCAAGCTCCCCAACATTCACTACAAGGTCAAGCAGTGATGGTCTCAGTGTAGACAGCTTTGGGTCTGATGCTACAACATCAACCAGCCATCAGAATATGAACAATGGAGGTAATGCATCACAAGCTGAAAGTGGTTTTGAGGATGATTTTGACTTGTTCTTGCATTCAAGAAAAACTATTGGTAGAGATGATACATTTGATGATTTTAATACTGTAGACCCTTTTTCACCATCACCAGCTTTAAACAAACCTCCAATAATGAAAAAGCCTGTTTTAAATAAAGATCCATATAATGTATCAAGTATTGACCAGAGTAAACCTGTTCCATTAAAAAGAACCATAAAGGGACCAACGATAATCAGAGCTAAGCCAGCAAGACCTAAACTCCCTGATAATTCAGCATTATTAAAAAATACTTTTGGATCTAGTTTTCCAGTAGCACCAATGACTATTAATACAACTATACCCATACAGAAAATCAATAATGGCTTTGGAGACGATATTGTAAGTATTTTTTTTCGCCACATTAATAATTTTCTTTTTAAAGCTGATTTAATAAAATATTTTGATAACTCTACATACTGATTAGGAATAGTTCCATGAACATAATAAATGATTAGTGAAATATTAATATGGCCTTGAAAAGAATTGGCATTCACCTACATACATGATTAAATAAATACACCATTTCTTAATTGGTACCAATTATGCAAATGATGCAGCTACCAGAATTATTTTTGCTGTTTGCAGTTTGGGTTGTAATGTTCTATTATGTTATATATTTTTTATATTTTATTTTGTGTTCCAAGGTTTTATAGTAATAATGCATTTTTGAAAGTTAGTGCAAATAATATTCTTAAGCGAATGGTTAGAAGGACAAGGGACATTTGTTAGATGGATAATATCCTACATTAACATAAAGAATACTTTTGTAAATGTATACAGCTTTTTTTTATTAAGTAGTAGCATAGTTATTAATGTGGACCTTTCCTATTATATCAATTGTACATAATAAGAAAAGAAAATGTTTATACAGTGCTTAATCTATTTGTATCAATATAATTTTTATACTAACATTGATGCCCACTACCTGTTTTTGCGGCTTCCTATGCAGGATGTAAAAAATAAGAATATGTTGTTAGTCACTTTTGAAAATAGGTATATGCATTTATAATGATTAGATGCAGCATAGATAATGTTTATAATTGCTGTCTTATTTTGTATGTTGTTTATTTTTACCACAGCATTATCCATTAATATTATAAATGTGAAAGTGAAGACACACTGTCTATTTGTTGCCATTATGTGTGGAAATGTTTGAATGGAAACATTAATGTTTAACATGATAGGTGAAGTCATGAGAATGGAAGTCAATAAAGAAAGCAGAGGAAGCCATGGGTACACATACAATAAAAACATTTATTTATCAGTGTAGATATCGTCATTAATTTCACTATAGATTATAATATCATTATCTTGTTATATTGTGTAGGTGTATACATACCACATTATCATAAAAATGTTTAATGTTTATAGATATTTTATTTTATTAGAATTATTTGTTACAAATTTTAATGAAAAAATAATTGTTTATCTTCAATAATGTAATATAGCATAAGTAGGTATCTTTATTCCTAAAATATTTAAACTTGATATAAGGGGTTCCTGGCGGGGCACCAGTGGAGGATGATAAGATGAGGACGAGGTCAGTTCAATTAGGCGGTAGTGTTAAATGCACTAGAAATTAACCATGGTTTTCAGGGAAACAATTGGAGGTCAACCTTATTTGCTACCTTGCTAGCAATGGGGTCACCAGCTTTCATTACTACCAATCCTCCCCATATTGTCCTGGGTGTAATAATAATAATAAATAAAAATATATTTTATTATATTAATTTGTTTACAAGAAAATATGTATTTTACAATAAAGCGGCGTTAATCGTCGGCTTGTTCGATGGGATTGATAATCACAAACTTTTGCTTTTATAATATTAACTACGATTCTTTAAGAGTAATGTAAATGAATATAGTATGATATAAAAGGTGAAATTTACAGAACACAAAGCCAATAATTGGCTGGAACGTGGAGAGATCTGAGTCAGACCGAGAATCATCGCCACCGATGCCATGTGTACCGCCCCCACCTCCTCCTGCGATCGTGGATGAGGATCTACCTGTAGAATGGCGCGAAGACTTATCAGACTTCACCGTTGACGGCAGCCCTGCAGCGATGGACGAAGTACCACATGCTGTTGCACTATTCGATTATTTTACTGACCATCCAGAAGATTTGTGTTTTTCGGTAAGTTTATTTATGGGTATTATAAGTAAGAAATAGCTATCAAGTCTTAAGGACACGTATTGCTACCTACTTCTCTTTGTCATCATCCATTGGTTAAATGAAGTTTAACTATATTTTCAGTAAGAGGAACTATAAAAATATTTAATTTTTAACAGATTAATTAAATAATAATCCAGCGTAGTCTAGACCTCAATTGTAAGCTAAATTACGTTCATAGCTACGGTCATAGTGAAAATTCTGGAGAACTTAGTATTGTTTAAAGATGAGAATGTATTTAGCCTACCTACCATTACTATGTTCGCCAGGTTTCTTCGTTTTTATATTATACATTATTGCACGGAATTATTTGTGCTTTGTCCCCAACTGGTCCTAGGACACCCTACAGTATTTTGGGCACCATCAATACACAGAGGAATAACAGATACAAATTATAAGTGATTTCTTTTGTATATTAAACAAAAACAACGGTTCATTACCATTTAACTTCATGCCAAGTAAACCATATATCTCATAAATTTCTAATAGATTTGAGTTTCACTTTAATTAGATAATTCTGAATATCGTAGAAGCAAAATATACAAGTTTTTTGGTAGATAATTATTTCATTATTTATGCATTTCTTAGATATAGTGTTGTATATTCAAAGAAAATAGAAATCGCGTAGTATTGAATGCAATTTGACTATGTAGTATAAATATACAAAAAAAAAAGTTATACACAGCTAGTATTCACTCGCGGTTACATCAGCTTGAAATTTATAGCCTAGCCTATGTGTTATTCTGATGTATAAGCGATATTACTGTAAGTTTCATCAAAATCCGTTCAGTAATTGTGCGTGCATACTCACAAACATTCGCGTTTATAATATTAATAATAAGAAAACTTGTATACTGTTCACTTGGCTATATGCTGTAGTTACAGCCTATATATATATTTATTATCTATACATATAAATAATATGAATATAAATACGGTACATATACCAAAATAACATTTTTGTCTGTCTGTCTGTTTGTTCCGGCTAATCTCTGAAATGACGGGACCGATTTTGACGGGACTTTTTTTGGCAGGTAGGTGATGTAATAAGGATAACTTAGGCTACTTTTATTTTCGAAAAATAAAGTTAAATTCCACGCGGACGAAGTCGCGAGTACAGCTCACAGTCATACATATTTCTTTCTCGTTCGTTTTATTAGGTATTGAGAGTTGCGTGAAGTTTACTTATCTGTTAAGTTAAGAATTGGTAATCAATAGTATCGGCCTGTTTGATTAATGAAATAGATAACATTTACCGATTATATTATCGCTGCGCGTTTACGAGTAATATGATTAGATTGTAATATATTATAATGGCAATGTGAACATGTCAAATATTGAGTTTTACCTTAAATTAGTAAAAGAAGCGCTTTAAATTATCATTTTCTAACAAATTTTTCATCATTGACAGATGTCTATTTTACTTAAAAAACTCTACAATTCAAAACGTAATTGAAGTGGAAGTTCTAAATTTTCTTTTCTTCTATCTTTTTATATTTTTAATTTGTTTGATTTTATTCTTTTGACTAATAATGTATAAATTAGGTATAATACTTGCTAAAATGCCAAAATTACTGTATGATTTAAATGGAGTTTAAAATCTAGATCCTGAGAAAGGACTAGGTTACTTTTTTAACGAAAAAGGGTTATAAGAGATTAGGTTATATAGAAGTATCGTCATTTTTAAAGGCTTACTTGAATCTTGACATTAAAGTTCTAATCTTCGTATGGTAATGGAGTCAGAATAGAATGCGTTATTTAGACTTCATATTTTCTCTCATATTGACAGAGACCGTAACACGTACGTCTAATTTTAAATTGAACACCTGTTGAATTACAGCGTCTGTAGGAAACGAGTGGTAGTAACTAGAGCATTTGATGGTTAAGTAACATGTTTGTTACATTCTGTTCAAAAAAATTAATTATGTAAAGCATTTCAATATGCGTATATTTTCGTTCGGTTTAGCGGTCAGGTCTAGTCTAATCAGTCGTCTAGAATACATCGCACGACTGATTTCTGGTAAAAAGTATTATATGCTTATTTAGGATATCATCATATCACGCACTAAATTTTATTAAAATTTGACCTGTAGTTTATGTTTGAAAGAGTAATAAATATCTATTCATCTTCACAGATTTTATTATATTAAATATTAATAGGACTCTAATAGGACTAGTAACCAGAGTAGGTTTTTTATCTGTTATGGTGGCAAACGAGTATACGGTGCATCAGGTGGTAAATGGTTACTGTAGCCTATGGACGCCTGAAACACCAGGGGTGTCACGTGCGCGTTGCCGACCCTAAAAAAATGGCGAGATATCAATATATTTGATATATCAGATGAAAACTAGCAATAGTCGTGTATGTAATATTTATGTGTTTTTATTCCTAAAGACAAGTTCTTATGTCTCCGTACCCTGTTTTTTCACTGCCATATCTATTGCCAAATGCCCTTCGAGCCGAAATATAACTTACAAACAAGCTGCTTGACGGCAGAAATAGAAATTAAGATTAATGGGGGAAGGCGATTGTTAGTAATTTGACCCCATTTGTTGTTGACCCTAATGCTAGCTGCTATCCGCACTGTTATTTGAAACCATCATGTTAAATTCCTGTTGAATTTGGCTAACTGACCTGACCTCATGTTCATCTTATCATTCCCCAATGGCGCCCCGTCAGTTAAACCCTTAGCTCAGGAGGGTGTACCATTCCATTATGAACAAAAAAGAAATAATAGAAAATATATTTCTTTACGATATTATGTATTCTAGTATTAATAATACTTTTTATGTTCTATATCCCCACACATAATTGTAAACCCATCTGTCCGATGACGCTTGTTCGCGGAGCGATGAGTCAATTGTTAGGCCTGTGCTTATAGTGACGTCGCTTTGTACGCACATAGAAAAAATATCATTGACATTTACATTCATTAATACATACTGGGTTGTACGTACTTATTAAGTTATTGATATCAAACTACAGTTACTACAACAACATTTTTCATTTAATCAGTGAATAATATCACAGCATACAGGAACTTGTTATCTTATTACCACTTCCACTACTTGTGGGTACATTTGAATCATTGTTTTTATGAAATAATAATATGAAACGTAGGAAAACAATTAAAAAAAAAAAACTGTGAGTCGGTTTCAATAAAATTATAGGTATATAATGATCGCAAATATTATAACGATCGTTATAGTCACTAGACAAAAAAAAATATGTTCATATTCATCATCTTGTAGTACTACACACTAATTTCGCGGATTTTATTGTACCACAGGATTAGATAATTTTCTGTGTGTTTGTTGATATGATGAGATTAGTTCACTATAGTTATTATAATTATCATTGATAATGCCTATATGTTTTTATTATGAGGTGAAATAGTTGATATCAACAGTTCTTTATATTACGGAAATGTGCAATTTACTATATGGTTGATAATTGTATATTAAATATATTTAGTTATATAAATAAATATTCTCAAAGTCCTTTAACAATAAATTTATATGCAAGATTTTGAACCCTATCTGCAAGAGATCTAGCGTATAAATACACTCACACAACAACCTTCATATATAGTTAATAAATCGTAATACGTACTAGATATCGGTGGTTGTTATTATTATCTATTATAATTACGAACTATTCACACAAACTATACGCATACCTACAACTATACATCGTATTGGTGCATGTGGTTCATGTAGTTACGTAATATATTATTCTGGGTAATGTGTTTAATATTTTACTTTCTCCACCCCATGTGACATCTTATGTTCTGTTACCTCTTTTCAAAGGTTATCTGAAAAAGATTGCATGAGCAAGATTGTGCGATAATATCGACTCTTGTATTTACGTTATTACTGTGTAAATTATACATTACTCGTATTATATTTGTGGTGCAATACATCTACTATATCAATACATTAACTATAATTTATGTTAAATCTATGCAGGCAAACACAAGAATAGAATTGATACGCAGAGTGGATAAGCAATGGTTGTACGGACGTCTTCGGAGCGGCATCGAAGGCATTTTTCCGGCGAACTATGTAGAGATTGAAGTTCCGTTGCCGAATGGTACACCGCCAACGACACCACGAATTGGTCTCGCCACTGCTCTATACGACTTTGAGCCAGCTCAGCCCGGCGATCTTCAATTCCGAACTGGTGATACAATCTGTGTGTCACATAAACTCAATGATGAGTGGTACTACGGGGAATTTAATGGTAAAAAAGGACAATTTCCTTTTAATTACGTACAAATGTGTTGAAATCCAGTATTACACCTGATTATGTTTCGTCAAGCAAAAACAAATGACGAATTTGTGATAGTTTGGTTAGTTATGTAAAATAATAATTTTATAGTTATATAATATACATGAGGACTGATGTCTACTATTATTCCAAGCCACAATTTTGTAAATTTTTAATAAAATTCTTCCATGAGATATAGCGGACATACAAGTTTTTATTGTTTGTTAGAAATGAAATGAAATCATGACTTTCTTCTGATGGCTAGTTCATTTAAGGGCCCGTTTAGTTCATTGTGAGGATTATGTTATCAGTTGAATAAAGCAATTAATATGTTCGCTGTGAGTGGTTCTTTACGGGACGTCTATTAATTACGTGAGACGATTATGTCAATTTTTCGACTTCCCTTCTCCTTGTTGAGATGTCGTGAGATTTGGGTCAACTTTTCCCTCCTCTCTTATTGTCACGTGATATTTTTCGCGTATGGCTGACCGGCAGCGGGTAAACAATTGAGATTATTGTGTTATTTGCTTAATAATTACCGCCATAAATAATGGATATTAGTGTAGGATTCATCCATATTTTAGTACAGAAACAAGTTTTACTTAATTATGTAATATAATATTTTAGATAGTTTCTCGTGAAAACAAAAAACGTATTTATATGCCGAGAGTAACAGAGTTAAGGCGAGATCTATCGGATGTATTGACTTCTCGCTAAACGCCTGACGTAATCAATGGATGTCCCAATAGGCGACACTCCTGACATCTGCCAATCTTCCTGCGAATCATGAAATTACTTCGCATTTTGCACTATTTTTGTTGCCATAATAATGTAAGTGTACATTAATTAGCTTTACTAATACTTCATCCGCGTCCAGGGCACGCAGTCTGTAGAATATTTTTTACACGTGATAAAATTACCTGTAAATTGAAGGATAATTTATTGAATGACTGATTGTAAATATTAGAGCTTATGTAAAATAACGTCCTCATAGATAATAATTAATATATTGTAGTTTGTATTGGTTGTGTAAACTATATGTGTATATACTTAATATGATCTGATGATTAATTGTAGGGCTGCGTAGATAATTATTATTGTAAATTTTATTTCTAAACCAAATTAATATAGTAGGTATCCGTATTTTGTGAAACAAAATGTGGTTTATCGAACTTTAGTAGAATTGAAGGTACCAAATGTTATTTTACAGTAGATAGTTCTGGCGTAGTAGAGATTTACTTTCATCGCTTTTATTTGTTATGAATGCGATCAACTCTTTGTCTAGCTATTGTACCTATTTCATTATCTCATTATATTGAATAGTCATTAGCATATGACATTAACCAAATCAATGACGAATCATATTTTATTTACGCTTTATAATAATTTTCTATATTTTTATTGTTAACTCAATTCTTGTCAATAAGCCTGTATTTTGGAGGGACCATAATATTAAGTGCCTTAAGTATTTTGTGTATATGGTGAATTTATTTATGTATTGAAATAAAATGTAATTTAAATTGTTATTTTTCTATGATTACCTTGGGACACCTACAGTATTCGCTGTAAAACAATACTTTCAAATTTACTCCTATATAGGGTAATCGGATATTAATACCAATAACTTATCGTAGATCAAGTTATCAAGTATAACCGATGAACTATACTTATGAACTAAACGTGAAAGTTTAAAGATAATAAACTATCTCATCAAGCAACTCTTTCTCTCGCCTTAGGTACATTAAGATAAGTTTTAATGTACCTAATGCGAGATTGGTTTGAACTAACTGTAATCACAAATATCATTAGTACTTTCTGCTAATCAGGAGAAAAAAATATTATTATGTACTATATCATACCTCAATTATTATATGTGATATCTCACTTCTGATTTATATATCCATCCATACAAAAGCATCTCTTACTGATAAGTTGAAAGTGATGTTTTTAGCATTGAGCAATTACTATGTATTACTATTAAAATTTATGTCCCATTCAGTACTCTGCTCTGATACTGGCAGCGCAGCGTGTCCAATATATAAAACTTTAAATTAATATATTACAGCAAATAAATTGGAACCGAAAATAGACTTAAGTCTATTAAAACATCTATAGGTTTTTCACATAATGTGAGATTTATTATTTGAACAAAATAATCTATAGGTACATAAAATATTTACAATTCCTTATATTAGATCTTAATGTCGATATACCCTGTTCGCTTTTCAACCGTTGCATTCAACAAAACTGTTAATTTGTTGATGGCAAGACATTTCCGAATTACGTAGACACAAATTATTAAAAACATTTTTGAGATTGTTATTATGTACTAGAATGGCTTTTACAGAAAATAATATCACATACAACATGTTGAAAAGGGAAAGAGGGGAGTAATTTTTCTAATGTAGAATACCTCTAATTTAACTAATCATCTAATAACACAGTCCCAAACATTTCCCTAGCATGTTTATAAAGAATTCATCCTTCATATGTATAATTTTATAACATTCAATATGGCGGCTTAGTCTCACAGATTCCAGAACTTTGCTTATTCATAAGCCCTTTCACGTTCACTAACTTTGAAATTCAGGTACAAAATATACAATCAATATTTGGATTAAGAACATAATTGACAGGTAAAAATAAATGTTATACACCATATAACATATTTGGAGACTGAATAAAATAAGCTAAAAGCGAAGCAATCAGATCCTTACAGGTCTTAAATTGGCCAAATGATGTCATTTGAAAACAAAAGGCTTGTAAATGTTTACTTACCTTAACCCAAGGGCTTGATTTTGTATTGCTTTTCCAATAAAGATTCAACCTTTTTTACAATAAATAGATAAAAACTTACAACGATTGCAACAATTTATGACAGTTCGTTTTGTATTATCTACCACTGTCATAGTATTCATTAATAATAATTAAAAATTTAAATTGTTTAAAATAAAAACAAAACCACTGCAATAGCGTTACATAGTCATTGGACTGATGTTTCCTGAAATTAATACCTAATGATTGCTTTTCAGATGTACTGATAACGTTCTATTTAAAAACAGTATTTCTGGAACAGTATAGAGGGCGACTGGTGAGAAAAAAATTTGATACTAATAAATAAATATGTAAAGAAAATTAAATATGAACGATAAAACTATGGTTTATATTTAATTTTCTTTAAAACCAACCACCAAATCAATCGGACCAAATCGAAATGAGTCTGAAATAAGGACTGATTCAAAAATATTGTTGGATAAAAAATTATATTGAACTGAGAAATATATACAAAATATAGTCGACTACAAATGGTTTCTTATAGGGTAATATGTACTATGAATTGCAATATTTATGCAGTACAATGCTTATGCAATCTCAATAATGTCTACCAGTCACCCTGCGTCCCTATTACTTATAGGTTATTTACAACAAATAAAATCGATTTATACAACAAATACACATGATTATTTGAGCGGTATTTAAATCTAAGATTTGTCCCTTACATAAAACCGGGGGTACAACATTTTATCGTAACACATGATAGGATATCATATCTAAATTTACTGAGTTTACTATCACGATACAGTAAAGCAAAATGTTTACGGCAAGGTAAATGCATGTCGTACGGTAATATTAACAGACTTAAGTTTTGTTGCCGCGACCTAAAAACATAATTCGTTTTTATATAACCCAACACTTGATAATAATAAAATAATAATATAATAATAATAGAAAATAACTAGATATTTATCTTCTCTTTCTAAAATTCATATTATTTTACGTTTATAAAATATACAAAGCTTTTGTAATCATTACAGGATACGGATAAACTGTGTTAGTCTGTTTTTTTATACGCAGAAGACGAAATTATAGGGGATATGTCAGACACAGAAATTCTGTCTCAATAAATGTAAAAAGTACGTGGACGATTTATACATCAGTGTTGGGTGGCTATCTTTAAAAAATGTTGAGGGTTAGATTTAAAAACCGTCAATGATATCAGTAAGGGTAGAGGTATGTTTTACCCCATACCTATAGCATATTTTGTATCTTAAAAATTAACACTTTATTAGGAACTGTAATTATTTAAGTATAGCATGTTAAGCATGTTAACATAAACTATCAGATATAAAACACGTATCTGAAGCAATGTCGACAAGTCGTTCTTTTTATAAGTGGCGATATTTCATATTGTTTACAGTTTATAGTAGCTCTAAAAAAAGTAATGCGGCTCATCTTTATTTGCACGTCATTTGCGTGTTATATGCTTAGTTGTCTCATCCTTGTGTAATTCAAGAATGCAACAACGACCTCTATATGAAATCTTATAGATATTTTACACAATAAGTTTAAAATTTGTATTTTCAATAGATAAGCTTGCGTTTTTTATATAACATCTACTTATATACATATAAAGCAATTAACAATATAATATGGGTACCGCTTATTTGTCCATTTCAATACATTCACGATATATATTTTTATACTATTTACATAAAACAGTTTTGTAATAACTACATGTCATAAAATTTTATTTTTTTTAGCACACTGTAATTTCATCAATATCCTTATTTTAAAATTCTGTTCCAAACAAGTCTGTTTACTTTAGAACTGTTCATAATTTCAGATACAAATCATTAAGATGTTAGCACTACAAAGTATAATATGACAACAATGTTATAAAACAATTTCATGTATGTATAATAATGAATTTTTAATTATACCTTCTCATAGAACATAAGGTTAAAAAAATACGGTATATCTTTAAATAAGCTAAAAAGCGTATTGCACAAGTTACACATCTACATAATAACACTCCGCATGTATGTAGACAAGATCTTGACTACAATGCGATGACGCATTGTTATCAAGTATTAATTTCCATAATTATTTATATATACAAACACTAATCCTATGGTAACAGTAGTTTTCTGTAAATTTAGTCCGGTCTGTATATTGGTATTTTGGGTATGAATTCTATAAGGAGTACATATTCCATCATAGAAGAGGAGTCACAGTGCTGCTTCGTGAGACGCCAACGGAGACCGAGCTTATTGTATAGTCGACTGTTCTCCCATTCTAGAAGTTTATTCAAGGAGTGTTGTGTCTGGAAATATCAGAATAGTAAATATACATTAGGGTAAAATAGTCGATTGGCTGGGCACTAACCTGTTCAAGGAGAATTTTACGATAATAAATGTATAAAAGAGCATGGAAAGAGTTTATTTTGAAACACCAATTCTATCTTTGGCTTTTAGGGCAGAAATATCGTAAACACAACATTTTCATTATCGATCAGTGAGTCAATGAATGAAACTCTAAGGATAACAGTTGATTTTTAAGGTATAAATGTATCAAACTTAGTGAGGTTCAGTGGTAAGTAAAATAGGATTTTATTATATTTTTTGTTTTGATATTGGATTTGTGGCCTCAATATATATTTAATTATTATCTTATTTACCATTTGGCAAATGGTAATCTTAATTAAATTTCTTACTTTTTACGACCACCTGTTCATACGCGGACGATATTAACTGAATCTTAGTTGAGTTTTTTAGCACACTGTATATATTTTAATAAAAAATCAGATGGCGACCAGTTAAATATAAAATATAATTAAAATATTAAGCATTTTGATGAGAAATCAAGTGGTCAAATTTCTCATCACTAAAATGCTTAATATTTTTAACTATATTTTATATTTAGCCAGATTGCTTCATGCACAATAAAATATTATTTTTAATAAATTCTTAATTAAATATGTTAAAATTAATTTTTCTTTTGTTTTATATTTTGACATAGCAAAAAGCTATACATAGCAAAAGATTATATTTAGCTAGCAAAAGATTATATTTAGCGTTGTTGACTTATTGGTTGTGAACTGAATAAAAATGTGGTCATAAATTCGCAGTGTCAACAAAATATCTTGGTAATTTTCTTTTTAGGTATATGTAAAAATAAATAAATAAATTCTTAATTAAATATGTTAAAATTAATTTTTCTTTTGTTTTAAATTTTTTGACATAGCAAAAAGCTATACCTAGCAAAAGATTATATTTAGCGTTGTTGACTTATCGGTTGTGAACTGAATAAAAATGTGGTCATAAATTCGCAGTGTCAACAAAATATCTTGGTAATTTTCTTTTTAGGTATATGTAAAAATAAATTATATAAGATATTAAGCAAATTATGTAAAAACAAGAAATTATTCAAAGTAACCTACCCTTTTACTTAGACATATAACAGGCCAAAGAGAGCATCCTAGGGTACAGCAGCAACATACACAGCCACAGAATAACCACTTGACATTTACAGGGAGAGTCTTCTTTAGCACACTATTAATGCGGGCCACTGTTGCCTGATATTCTTCAGGAGCCACACGTGATTGTAAACCCGAAGGGAACTCAGTGTTGAAACGGTTACTTAAACCAAAACTGGAAATGTAAAAAGTTTGAAAATTAAATATATTTAATTAGTGTTTTAGTAAGATAGTTAACTATAAAAGGACAAGACAATCCTAAAAATTGGTGCGAAGGGAATTGTTTGACATGGGTAGTAGTAGCTTATTGTTAGCAATGTACAGCCTCCTGGAAACCATTGTTGTTAATTCCTAGTGACTTCTTTACAATTGGCTAGGTGGTCTGATTTAATGCTCATTCTATCTTCCTCTATTCATCAATCAACCCCTCCAGTATATACTGCTGCAACATTGACATATGTTGCTATCAACAGTGTTTAAAGAATATTTTATCATCTACATAAACAATATTTTGATATACAAACTACAAAACATATATATTTTCATATAAAAAACTGACCAATTTAAAAACAAGTATCTAAGGAAGTTGGGACTGCTGTCTTTTTATCTATCTAAAGGAATAGTCAAAATTTATAAAAAAATATTAAGCCTAAATTAAAATCTGTGATCTGACAACAAAATACATTAAAGTTTCTAATTGTGTCTACTATATACAATGATGATAGTCATTAAGGAAATGGATCCAATGATGCTATGTGGTACCATGACCTATCTGAAAACGAAACCTTTGGTGTATTATTTGCAAGAAAAATATCTATTTGGTAGTTATAAAAAAGAAAAACTGAAATCATAAATAATGAAATATACAATCAAATATTTCTATATCAAGTTCAAGTTATAGAGAGCAAAAATCTGATACACTTAGTAGTAAACAGAGTAGTTGTAATGAGTTTTGTAGCCTTATCATATTTAAATAATAATATTCTGACTTTATATTGTCAAAGTATATATGTTAATGGCAGTACAATTTTAGTGAATTAAAACCATTTATTTCGTAATATGCGGTTTTGTTTTATCAGTAGTCAATGGAATTTATTATTGTTTTCTGATTTATTAAAGAAACTCTTGACTCACATTGCATAAATTATATTCTTAAATTAGTATATTTAATAAAAAGTCTGTAACTTAATTATAAAATATTTTTATGAGATTTTTGAAAATATGAATGTTTTAGTATCATTTAAAACTACCGCCAGAAATAAAAATACCTATTATTTATAACAAAAAAAATATCAATGTCAAATCATCTATATTACAAAGAACTTTCTGAGCTTAAATAGGCTGTTAATTAAAATATCTGTTATATGATTGTGTTAGCACAATCACAGTACATTAAGATTAATATAAACGAGAACTTTGAGCAAAACCTTACACTGTCATGTTACCAGCTCCTCGGACGACAATGGGATCAGGGACTAACGTCACATGTGTCTCTTCTATATTCTCTTCACTTTCAGTTTCATCTGGGTATATTGCGTCAAAGTCTGCCATTTTCTATAACTACTAACTACCTAAATTAAAACCAATTTGGTGATATTATTAAAAACACATAACAAAGCACTGTTTTTATTTATACGTAAGATACTATTATTCATGGAAAAATATGACGGACGGGTGACGTTTGTCGAATTCAGTATTGCCATATAATAATTTTGTTTCGACTACTCTTCCTCTAGGTTGGAAAATAGTAGTATTCTATCAGCATTTATTTTTTCCAAATCACGATTTATGTATCAGAATCTTTAGAGCTAACCATGATTACTTTCATGGAGGTACATCTGTATATGGACATTATATTATTAACTGATATAAAATTGTAAATTTTTGCTGAAAATTTTGTACATTAGCGTATACACGTATGAAGTGAAACATTCTTATAACACATCGCTTAAGTCCGGTTAACCATAAGTGATGAAAAGCTAAAGCACTGAATAAAGATGATGAAAAAATTCCCCTGTAAGTTTTTTCTATTGCACCTTCCACAATGCTGCCGCCGCTTAGTGGTATAATATCTAATAATTTATTGTATACTTTCCATGATAAGTCGAAGTACCCAAATAAAACCAATTTTTAACATATATTGTGGGAAACGTAAACCACAATCCGCCGAGCTTGTGGAGAACGAGCTGTTAATAATGAGGGTGCTTACAAGGTAACACAGATAACATAATATTACATAAAGGTAAACTTGGACAATTCACTCAGTGCCATCTAGCATAGCGCAGAGCATTTACTTATACATATAAACGTAACATACCTTCATAGAAAACAACCGAACCAATACAATCATTTTCATGGCTATAAATGTTTGCAATTTGCGAAGAAGCGAACCCGTATCCATTTAAAGTAAGGCGGTGTGCTAAACCGCTAGAGCTTCGAGGCAATCAAGATATGTGTGTGAATTGTAAAATCAAAGGTATTTTACTGTATAAGATAATTGCCAGCCGTAGATAATTGATATAAATATTCATATAATATACCTACCAACCTAAAAATATACTGTCGCTCAGGTCCGAATCAAATTTAATGAGATAATGAGATGTCGATATTTTATAAAAAGTTCAGTATTAACTATTGTATTTTGTAAGACATGGATATCTCTATATGTTATCAAAACAAATACATTTAGAGAACATTAGTTTATCTGTAAGTATTCAATCTTAAGTATAAAGTCCATTCAGAATTAATTCAATCTCTAGTAACACTACTTATGTATATCTACATATATATATGTTAATCCGCGTGTCTTGTAATTGACGCTATCACACACACAACGCGTGCATAGTGATAAAGTGCAGCTGCGACCCAAAAAGTGTAGGCACCCTTCGCACCTATAGTTGTTTGTGAAATTGCATGATCTATAACTTGCCTTATAATAGGACTAATGAACGAATAGGTACATGCGACGATAGGTACCACGAAACAGCCCGTATTACTGGTTGTTGACCAAAAAATTAATAGATAATCATTTTTTAAGATTAAAAGAATCAAACCATAAATTTATAGATAAAAAATGAAAAAAGAATGGAAATTTCAAAGTAGTTATTAATACCTAACGACCAAGCTGATTACAAACTTGCTCATGATGTTGGTGCTGAACAATATTAGTAGATACTTATACAAATACTGATTTTTAAAATACTATAACACCATATTCCCGTCACATACGTATCTAATAGAAGTATCAACAATATTTATTGTTTGTAATGTGTTTATATAATAGTACATATTATATAAACACGCATAATAAATAGGTACCTACTGTTCTTATATAGGTACACATTCTAAGTTCGCACACATCTGAGTTCAGAACACACATCTCTTACATTTTTTTATTTAGAGACACTATAATTGATCTTCAGGCAGTGTTTCTATAACAACTTAAAAGCTGAATTATGCTTGTGATAAAGTTTGTAGATGCCTATGGTATATGTATTGCATTTTTCAGGTGGCTGTAATGTAATGGAATATTATTATTATAAGAATTTATAGCACTTTTGATATTAATTTAGAATATAGTAAGTATTAGATTATGATTAAACTGCGTTAATAAAACGGTTAGGTATTTAAGAGTTTGTTTTTATGACTTCAAAGAAAAGAAATCAAGCACCATGCAAGTGGAAATGTTATATGGAATTTTTCGGAGTGGATATTAATATATGTAATTACTAGGTAGTACGCCACTTCATGTGTTTTTTAATATAAAAGGTATCTTAGGTATCCTAGTAATGCATCCTAGCATGCATGCAATGCATGAAGATAGTTATCTTCACGTATATCGTTAAAATCCGAGCAGCAGCAGCAGATACGGATTTGTCGCATTTATAAAAATAAGAGTACAAACGATCACAATGCACGAATTTTTAATTTTAATCGACTGTTCGTCTATTTACTCCTCTGTCATCATTTTCGATCTATGAGATTTAGGTATATAGATATCAGGTCGGCCATGACAAATCAAACTTAGGCGGGTGCTAATAATGCATTCAGTGGACCACGCGTGTGTATAAAACGACGCGTGCGCACCCCTTGGCATTCACAGTAGGTCACAGCTCCACTGGAGGTACCCACACAACATGAAGGTAATATTTTAGATAATAATAATATCATAGATAACATTTCTTTTACAAATAACATACAACTTTACTTACATACAATTTCTCAACTTATTCCGAAAACTCAGATCGTGCTTATGTTATATTACTGTCAGCAATCGTCATATCCCTTTACAGGTAAGTTTCTTGATGGCAAAATTGGGAGGATCCATATGATATGCTAAAGCCCAGAAGCACATTACTGTCATATATTTTATTTGTAGTATGCCTAGATTCATACGATTGTATGTTACTATTGTATTAAAATGTTGATCTTACTTAGACCATAATCTTGGCTGCTATCCTGGCGGTGTGCAGAGGAGCGGCCGGCGGAGTCCTACCCGTTGCCTCTCCTTATGCATACGCAAGGCCCTATGGTTTGCCGGTGGCGGCGTCACTGACAGTCGCTAGGCCTGCGATCGCTGTTGCCAGGCCAGCCATTGCAGCACCTTACGCCGTAGCACCGTCTTATGCCAAAGTGGCCGCACCCGTAGATGATTACGACCCTAATCCACAGTATTCTTACGCTTATGACATTCAGGATGCTATAACTGGTGAGTAAATTTTAACTGATAATTTTCATTCAGTCTGTCAAATAAAGTCTTTAAATACTAATTAATAAATATATATTATAAAATCAATGGCGAAATGGTTATTGAACTCCGAAGTGTTATCATTAAAACTTTTTAATCTGAAAGACAAGTGAATACGACAAACATAGATATATTTTTGACGGAATAGGATAATGGTCAATATATTACATTTACGTTATTATTATCGACTACATGGAAAAACATCCATGTAGTTCCATTACGAACATTTTGAACCGATTTGTATGTTTTAACTTTTGCTGCCTAATACAAGGCAATGACTGTCTATATTTAAAATATATAAATATTCATTAAATACAATTATTTGCAATTATTTGTCCCAATATAAATAATAAACACATACCTATATTATCTAATTAAAAAAAATGTGTACGTAGGTGACTCTAAGAGTCAACAGGAGTCGCGTTCTGGTGACGTGGTACAAGGTTCTTATTCTTTGGTCGAGCCCGACGGCACTCGTCGTGTGGTGGAGTACACCGCCGACCCACACAATGGCTTCAATGCTGTCGTTCACAAGGAACCCCTCGGAGGTGTCGTGAAGGCTGTGGCACCTGTGGCAGCTGCACCTGCCTTCCTACACTAGTCTCAACAATTATGTTTAGATTGATTTAGAAAACGGCTGATTCAAAGGTAAAATGATCACACAAACAAAACTCCAGCCACAGCTAGGAAATACATATTTTACTTCTTTGTAAGAATACATAGGTAAATAAAAATAAAATACAATGGCTTTTATTTTTCGTTTTGCTGAGTTTTTCATGATATTTTTCATTTATCTTAAACCGTAGGTATAACATACGTGATTATTTTATTTTTACTTTTTTTTTGCAAAGTACATTAATTTCTATACATGGTTAACACAGTTAATAAATATATACATATAAGTATACTATACAACACCTAGAAAGTCACTTCTTTGTGAGAATGTTAAAAAGACCATATTTCTTTACTTACTTTACTAGAGTTATTAATTTATTAATAAATAACTTCTAGTATTAGTTACCATTCAAGTTGGAATTAAATCTTTCGAAAACTTTATCATTGAAATCAATTATCATCAATGTAAGAGTACATACGACATGAAACTTCTATTCAACTATTACCTACTAATAACAACTCTTATTTACAGACGCGGAGTATCTTGCCAGTGTCATTAGATTAGAGTAATCAGTGGTTTTGCACCATCAACGACAGACCTAAATCCTTCTAAACAATTTTGTCTTCTCAACGTGACCTGAATCATATTTAATAGTTTATTGTTATGTGTTAGTTATAACTAAGTTAATAAATAAGAGGAACTAAATTATATGGTTTCAATAACTATTTAATATTCTAACTGAACTGTATATATATATACATAATAATAATGCATGTACACCCGTGCGAAGCCTGGGCGAATAGCGAGTACTATATATAAAACCTCCTCCTCCTATAAACCTTCCTCTAGAATCACTCTATCTATTAAAAAATCCGGTACAAAATCCGTTGCGTAATTTTAAAGATTTAAGCATACATAGGGACAGACAGCGACAGCGACTTTGTTTTCTACTATGTGTAACGATGATGATGATACAATTTTTATTGTGCGTGTAGAGCGGCATGACCGCTTTTCTAAGCTGTCGTCGATTACCATCCCATCTTACACAACTTGTAGACAAATATGCTCTTCACACATTACAATTTTATTTTCTGAAGTCTTCTCACCAGTGAAGGAAACTCCCATGTAGAACCTAAAGTTAAACTGAGAGATGGTGATCCTGCTACTACTACTACACCAACAGCTAACAATACTACCAGCTATTGTTTTTTTTTAATATTATATCACAATTAAATTAAAGAATGCTTGGAACTTAAATATACTCGAAGTGGAAGTTTCTGAGGTGTACTCATGTCCTCTCTAAAAGTGAGAGTGCAGTAGTCTCTAAACCAGTTATGTGAGCAATATAATAATAGATCATGAATGTATGTCAGGGCGCGGTGACCTGCTGCTATTATTTTGAATCACATATGGTATTAAGTTTCATACAGTATTTTTGATTTAACAAAGCAAACCATGTCCTAGTAGGTTTTGTCTGACGTAGTGAAGTAAGTTGTACGTATATAACGTACAACTTACTTGTTTATAGGAAGATAGTATTAATGCACGCATTTAAAAGTTGATATAGCATAATCGCCATCGCATGCTAACATGCAATCTGAATACTATTTATCAAGTATTTATTAGCTCTATAGTTCTCTAATATTATCTTTTGTATTCATATTCGTATAATATGTTATTTAAGAATATTATTGTAAACGAAATTATTTATTGAATATCCTTAAAGTAAATATAGATGCACCATATACATTACACCGTACATTACATTTGATAGAAGAAAGATGTTAACGTTTTGATTCATCAAAGTTGATGTAGATAAATCAACATTTACCAGTTACGGTATATATAACATAACAAAAATAATTATACTTTGGTTTGAGTAATTAAAAAAAATATAATTATATTCGTGACCTAAAAAAAAACATATAATAACAGGATAAGCCTGTTGTTATATGTTTTGTTTTTGGGTGTTTGCTACGTAAGTGCTACCTGAGTTATTTTAAGGTGAAAAACTTAGTAGTAATGCCCATAATGACTCTCCTCATTATTATCCCATAGAAATCTGTGATAAAGATAGTTCTTATGACAGATAATATAAATAACTTAATTGGTGCATTTACAATATAGTTATACTATAATAATCACCATACGGGCGAGTTGTAATAAAGTTTCCTAATCTAGACTGGTAATAAAAATAAACGATGACCTGAACTTGTTGATTCTGGTTTTGCGACATACAATAACATACAAGAATTACCTATATAAGTCCTTTCAAAATTTTATTTTTTTTATTAATAAAAATGAAATAATATTAATAGGCTATATGAGGCTATACTAATAGGAGGATTCAAATATGCATAGCATATTCTATGCCTACAAAAGTCACCTCAGAATAAAAGTAATTTTGGTAACTGAAAAAGATTTTAACCAAGTTATAGCCAACTATTTTTCTTATTATGTCTAGATACGCAGGCGACTAGTTTTTTATGTAATAAAATATTGTTGTACCTATTAGGCAATAATGTCTTCAGTCAGATAATCTATTGAGTCATCTAACGATCACTTAATTTACTATTTAAATAATTGGTCGTTGCATTTAAATAGTAAATGCATTATGTATCCAAGCTTGAATATGTTTAAACAATAGTATATCTAAGAATTCTTCCTATACAGTCCAAATTAGATATCATTTAGTCAACCTATCTTAAAATTTGATAATATTAAGCTTGACCAAATAAAGATAAGCAATTTATCGAACTTGTGATAGACACGCGTTGATGTCTAACGTATGTAACTTGTTGTAAACAAATTTTTTAACAATTTTTTTTTCTATAAAATTTCTTGACATTACAAAAATGTTTATATTTACTCAGATATTCCTATATTTATTTTTTTAAAGTTACACGTGTAAACCTATAGGTATAATTACCATATAGGCATATACTAACAGGAAAACAAAAAAAAAGACATTATAAAGAACTTAATACTGTATGCTAATAAATAATTTATTAACATTGCACCATAAAATATATTTATTGTATTAATTTAATATGTTCGGCGTGCTCTTTTGTTATAAATTACTTCCATATTCGTGTTCTTGAGATGAAGTGGTTTTTAAAATATTGAGCAATTTCCTTCAAAATGCATGCAGTACTAATGGATATAATTCAGTATTAGCGAATGTTCGCGTTTCGATATAGTTTCGTATAGTCACAGACAATCATTCGAATACAAGTACTACGATATGTAAAAAATATTAAGTACATTTGTATACACGTAAAATATTTTTACAATTCAGATTATAGATATTATTTTTGAAATAAACCTATATCTTCTTTACTATCATATCCGTGATCTTGCTCTGGCACTGACTCGCCAAATAACATATGATTGTCATGATCTTCACTAAATATATTTGATTCATAATTTCTTGACTCTAAATGACTTTTATCTACAATGTAATCTTTTTTGCATTTACTTTATCGTGTATCGTAATTTTAAGTAATAAGATACTTGGTGCTTGGAATTGTATATAGGTATGTACTTGATGAGACTTTTTACAATGAGTATTTTTACCAGCATTCCCAATAAATTTTCAAGTAGGTACAATGTCAGCAGTTTTGAAAGCCATAACCGATCGATATTGTGTGTGTTTTTTAGCAATTTTGTAGAATAATAATAATGAAAATCTAAGATAATTCATACAGTGCTATTTAGATTGAAACAAAATAACTGATAAAAATACTTACATACACTTTTTGACAGAAACACTCAGACCAAAACCAACAAATTGAATACATTTTTTGCTGAATACTTTTTTTGGGTCCTGCCAGAGTCGAACCCGTGACAGAATGGTAGGTGTATCATAAGACGGTATGTGAGACTGTGAAAGATCACCGATTGCATGTAATAAACCGAATAACTCTTCAAACGAAATTTAGTACCTGATTTCATTACCTATTATTTCGTGTTGGACGTACCTATAATAAGTTTATATATAGGTACCAGCAAGAGGCTGCAATAGACATACGTCAGATGGATACAATTTAACAATAAGAAAAAAGCTTGCGTGTGTGTCTATTCATCTTTACTTAGCCGACGACGATCGAGGCACAAGTCTATATCGTAGCTGTTGGCAATACAGATCATTCGAGTGAATGCAAGCAGCTTATATAAATACCACCAGCGATTAAATTTGGTGGACTATTTACGGTGAAGTCTATTGTCGAGCACAATTTCAACATGCTTAGGGTAAATACATTACTACATTTACATTTTTTCGATAATCTCTAGCGACTCTACAAATATTATAATATTTCAAAAGGTTCCTATCACAATATAACTAGTTACTATATTATACATGTAAAAGTTTTAGTAATCAGAAAACAATAGTTTGTTTCGTTAACACTATTTATATCAATATTAATTCTATGAAATATTACATGTAACTGTTATAAACATAATGAATTATAAGTGTGTCTGAAGCTAACCTACCTATCCACCTGTATATTATACTTACCATAATATTTTGTTATTCTAAATTTCAGGTACTATTTTGTATTTGTGGCGTGCGGATGATCCTTGGTATCATCGTAACAGATCCACCACCTACTGAAGCTGAGTACAAGTACTCGTATGATATAGATGATCCTACTACCGGAGATACAAAAAGTCAGTACGAAGTAAGACAAGGAGGGACAGTCAGCGGAGCTTATACTGTAGTAGATCCAGATGGTATAAAACGCACTGTTGAGTATACCGCCGATCCAAAGGAAGGATTTAAAGCGACTGTTCGTAAAGAACCTGTAGATGTTATTGCAGCTCAAAAAAATCCACAATATATTTCCAAGGAAAATACATATTATCCATATGAAGCTCAATACAAAGCGAGACCACATTACGTGACTGATGTAAGAATGGATGACTCATTCACAGATTCAGAGACTCAATTTTATGACAAAGATAATTACATTCAACATCCGGTTTACTTTAAGCCAGCAAGCGAGTTGAACTCGGGAGATCCAACATACGAGAATGTCCATAGGGAATATTTTACGCCAACTAATAAATGAAAAGTGAGTGAGTATTGTATTGTATACATAACGTGTTTCCTAAAATTGTGATATTATTGTAAATATATATACGTAATTTAACCGATTCAATTACTACTGTTAGGGTGTACCTATTAAAATTGAACTTTTTCATATACGTGAAAACATGACCAAGACACATCGCATGACACATCGCAGTGTATTTTGCTGAAGTACATTCAGAAACAATTTTATACATTGTTTTATGCATTAAATATACAGTTTCCGTAATGTTTTGTGCTTTTTATTTATGTGGTCAAAACATATAGGTATAAACAAATATTATACTATATCCGAATTAGAAAAGTACGAAATTATTTAATTATTAAGATAATTGTAAGTGTGATTAATGTCTATATAGTTTTATATAAATAATAAATTTAAAATATCTATAATCAATATCATTTTTTTTATTTAGGGTTTTGGGTCAGGTGTTAAGACCTGTAACACTACGACCTACATTGATCTATCGTGCTCACCCTTTTATTCAAAGTTTCCTGTCAGGGACAAGAATTGAAGGATATTCTTAGGCGCGATGGTTTTTATGTCCCCAGGGTATAGTATAGTATACTTTGCAAAGAAGATATTTCGGTTATACTTGAGCGTTTCCTCTTCTGTTATAGATTTACAGTGTCCAGTAAGGGCTCTAGTTAAGATGTATATATTGTTTTTATAATAGCAATAGTCTATTGGAGTATTGATTTAAACGTACTAATCCTGGCAAATGCGAAAGGTAAGGTTGCCATGAAATTATTTATATATATATTTTTATATATATATATATCAATAAATTATTTACGTAATTAGTATCTTACTTAGGTACCGAATTAAAAGCCTCTCTCTTTGCATAGGTACGAGTATGTCATGAGTATTCGTTTTGGTTAGTTAAATGTTACAAGTGAGTGGTGGTGAATGTATACACAAAGGAATACGAAGATAGCGATGAGAAACGATCCAATTTAATTTAAGAAATATTGGTTAATAATAATATTTTAAGGCAAATCAAACAGCACCATCTAGTCCCAAGTTATGCAGACTTTGTGTTATGGTCACGAGACAACTGATATAAATACGTATATATACTTTTTTTTTGTAAATACAGACTTAATATACATAGAAAATACCCAGAGCAATACAAACAATCATACTCATGAATACAAATGTTTGTACCGTGCGAGGAATCGAACCCGCCATCGTCGAACGTAAAGCACTAGACCACTGATGTCGTCAAAGATATAATAAAATAAGTATCGCAATTCTTCGATTGCTTTTTTTGCAACGACGAAGTTCTTCTACTTCTACTTCTAAGATATTTTCGTTTTGGATAAATGTATTTATTAAATTTCGATTGTAAGTAATTCTTGTGTGTGCTAGTAATATTATATTTTTAGTATACATATATTTTTCAATGATTTGTTAACGGTTTACTATTTCATTTTTATGCTACCGTCATAGGATCGGTATCTTTCTTAATGGATTTGTTTTGAACCAATTAATATTATTTTTTCTAGGTTTACCTATTAAATAATACGTATTTTTATATTATATAATAAGATGAATCAAAGTTCCGGCCAGAGCGTTGTATGTGTCGGCAGTTCACGGTCACTCACATAAAGTAGGACACCGCGAAACAACGGGTGAGTGGTGGCCTTAATATTTATACATTAACAAGTCAATTTCCCCAGGCCTCCACTGTTTCCCATATTTATTCGCATTGCTAAATGATAAACAATGGAATCTCGTTAGCATCGGCACTTAATTATTTATATAAAGAACAAATTATTTTTTTAATTTATATTAACTAATACATATACAGAAGATCGCGGAAAGTGGCAAGAGCTCTACCGACAAGAGCGTAGCTCTTAAATTATGAATGAATGAATACAGTTAATATAATGTAGCAAATGCTGGTGGTATTTTGGATTGGTAACGGGCTGTAATATTTAATTTTTTAGACATGGAATTGTGTTTTATACCATTTAATATATAGCAGTATCGTACAATTCATTTACAATGGTGCAACAGGACACAATTCAAACCAATAACCGCAGCCGCATCGTTTGGGTACTCCCTGGTGCAGCCACATGTACTCAGCGTGATTATGATCTGGATGACAGATGCAGCCCATCAACCGTGAGGCGAAGGCACTCGGTATCAGGTTTGGACGCTCGCACGTTCCAGGACCTGAAATAGAAAAAAATATAAATAAAAATTATTTGAAATGAACTTAATATAAGCACTTACATATTTTTATATTCTACCATTCATTCGGAAAACAGACTCATCACAATAAGAATGAGAAAGAAACTTGCCTGTTGCTCTTTTAAATAATTACACATTAACAAGGATTAGGCATGCGACAATCAACATAGAAACTACTACGCACTCAATATTTAGTAATCAATTTATATTTTTAAGATTATTAATTTTAAGTTACATTTTTTCTATGAAAAAGTTTATTAAAGATAAAAAACATTATTATCTTTAATAAACTCTTCAAATTTTTGAATTTTTTACAAAAAAGACATTATAATCTTTTTTCTGGCAGACTGAGGACAGACTCTGGTGTTTGTTGTAAAATCTTACGCATTTCCCACAAAATAATTGTGTAGACAATATATTAGTACAATCAATATTTACCTACCTACTATTTCCTGAATTGAAGAGTTAAAATAGTGATTAAAATTTTGTCGTGCACAAATGACATTCAAATGGCATCTATAGCAGTTGGAATTTTATTAACATCCGTGATGCTCTTACTGGTAATATCGATTTCAATACAGGTAAGTATAAGCCGTATTGAACTAGTATGCTGAATAATGATAATTACTTCATGAAAAATATGCGACCATATAGTTGTGATCTGTCACAACTATATCGTCGCACATTTTTCATGAAGTATAACTGCTCTAATCTAAAGAAATAAGAGCTGCATGACTCGTTATACCGGTAGCAAATATCTTTTGTATCATTGTAAAATCTTCGGGAATTGCAAACGTAATAAATAGTCCTACCTGTGACCTGTACCTATTGTCAATAAAATAAATATCTCATTAGTCAACTATGGCCCATCCAATTTCAACTGAATTCAGTTCAACTTAGCGAGCAAATCAGTAGTTTCGGATTTTACTTCTCTCATGATTCGCACTTGCTCTCGTTAGTCGGCATAAAACATCAATTCCAGTTTACCTCTTTTAATAGCCATGATACGGAATGGATCGCATTCTCCCGCAAGATGGGCAAGTAGTTCCCGTTTCTGAATACCAGTTACGTGATCCAAGGGATCATGAAGAGCACCATATTTACGGACTCCAACAATGGTACGACGCAACGATGGAACCGATCTCAGCCACCACATAGCGCCTGTGAAAAAGGTTATATCATAAATGGCCTAATATACACAACGTGTCAGCACAATTTATAAAGGCGTCTAGGTTTTTGCATATTTTTAGTAATCGTAGGGCACTAAGACAATTATTAACATAACAGAACTAATCTATGATTTCGATTTTGTAGCAATTATTTCTGTTCTGTAAAAACTGTCTGTATTAAAATTGAATGTCTTTGGTTATTTGCTTTAAAAGTAAAGTTATTTGCTTTAATATATTCCTACAAAAACTAATATTTTGGACAATGTTTTATAAATATAATAATAATGTCAAATTCTCGTAATAAAATAAATGCGTATCTAGCCTAATTAACTTGGAAACGAATTAATTAAATTGGAAGAACTAACTGTAAAAATAAATTAAAGATTTTGTTACTTTACAAGGATGCTAAGAATTCAACTAATTTTATTGATAAATTGTTAAGTAGGTGTGATTTTCTACACGATAAGTTTATTAAGCGCCATATGAATGATATATACAATATGAGAACATATAAGATTTATACAAATTTATCAAGTTTGAGTTTGATAATTAATGAAATCAAAGATGCTGATAATAATTACCTTCAACTTGATCTAATTAGAAAATTTCTACAGTTCTTTGAATTTTCTCCACATGACACACAATCGTTAATGTCAAAATTTAAATTAAATTCGATGCATCTAATATATTTTTTTATTAATATGTACGGATATAAAAATATTTTAATATAAAAAATAAATGTTGCATACTTTTTGAAATATTATTTTGTTTATTAATGAAATCTCTGTAGGCTAATAAAGGTTTTTATTATTATGCCTATAACATATATAGATAATTTGTATCGTAATGTTAAAGGTATACATATATCTACAGGTATATATAATAGTTATAGCACAGATAACATAATATTACATACCCAGTTTTAGTTAACAAAATTTATTTACATCAGCTAATAATTATGCATGTCATCGCAAGGACATGGCACCGCCCTAAAGAAAGCAACTACATTTTATACAGCAAGTGATCTTTATGCTCGAGATCGATCATTGCCCACTTACTCTTATTTAAATGTTACACCAACAAATTTAATCGACGAATACTCTATAAGATATTATTAAATAACATTTAGCACTTAAAATCAGCCGGGTTATAATAACTCACACACGAGAGCAACGAGATAATGCAATATCAAAGGTAACGGAGAGCCATATAAAAAGTCTGACTGATTCAAGTATAGCACATTCAACTTGGGGTATCCTCATTGAGAAGTCACATTCTTTTCTTCTTATCATGGCTTTCAAGGTAGGATTTATTTCGCCAATCAATATATTTTAGTTTAAAACGGATTTCAGCCAAGAAAGGACTCAAATCCTAGTACTGTACTACTACCTACTAATATATTTTCTTGTAATAATCAAGAATTTGTTATAAAAAAATGGTTAAATTTAAGAAATACATACAATAATAGGCTATTGTATTTAAATTTGGACAATGGTATTTGTTGATTAAGGATTTTATTCTGTTATTTTAGCTAGTAGTGCTGATGTGCGTGTTGGCCGCCGCACAGGCGGGCCTCGTGGCCCCCGCAGCCTACGCCGCGCACCCGGCTCCGGTCGCATATGCAGCTGCACCCGTGGTGCATGCCGCTCCGACTGCACCGCTCGTGCACGCCGCCCCAGTAGCATACGCCGCACCCGTCGCGAAACTCGCCGCTGTCGCCCCTGTCGCAAAGGTCGCTGTTGAAGAGTATGACCCACATCCTCAATACAGCTTTGCGTATGATGTCCAAGATGGACTTACTGGTGATTCTAAAACTCAACACGAGACACGCGATGGCGATGTTGTCCAAGGCTCCTATTCCGTTGTTGACCCTGACGGTACCAAGCGCACAGTTGAGTACACGGCTGATCCTCACAATGGTTTCAACGCCGTTGTGCACAAGGAGCCGGTGGCAGTGAAAGTAGCGGCAGTTGCTCCTGTTGCTAAGGTCGCTGCTCCCGTGGCATATGCTGCTGCCCCTCTAGTTCGCGCCGCCCCTGTAGTTCAGTCTGCCCCAGTGGTGCATGCTGCTCCTGTATTACACGCTGCTCCTGTAGCTAAATTGGCTGCTCCAGTGGCTTATTCTGCTCCACTTATCCACCACTGAAATATTGGATCACTTGACTAGTCATTAAAATGTAAACAAGTATTAATTTATTTTTATATGATATACACATGAATTGAAATGCAATTAAAAGATTATTAAAAATATTTTTTTTATTTAAAATTGCCAAGTATTTGTATATATTTCTTATAGTTATATAAAAATCATAAAACAAATTTAGCTTATTTTCCAGTCACATGATCTGCGCAAACAACAGCAAGTAGACGTCTTGGAAACGTATAATACTTTTAGTTTATTTTGATATAACGTGCTAGTTACTTGACCTCAAAAAGGGTCAAATATCTGCTGTAATAATTATTTATTATAGTAAATTGTTCAAAATGTTTAAGAAAAACACTATTTGTATCTATATACAAATAACAAGTAACAATCCCGTACACCTCGTACGGGATTGTTACTTGTTATTTGTCTGAGTATTATTTTTAAATTTGCGAGCTAGTAGTCCTTGTTCCATATGTACCAATACAATTGGATTACATATCGGTACATGTCATCGACAAAGAGGCGGGCCAGTTGACCGATAATTATTAGCTCTCGCCTCGGGCGTACCACGTTCAACATACGAGTATAACCGCACCACGGATCAAAGTCAACACAACTTACCTACTCTTTATATTTACTACTAGTAAAATGATATTCAAGGTGAGCAATGAATCTAAATTCGAGATCTATGATAGAGAAAATATAATACGATATTAAGTACATATATATTTAATAAATTATATACCTATGAGTTATATATTGAATATACATAATAGCACAGATAACATAATATTACATAATAATAGTATATTATTATACCTTCTACCTATTATTTGTATAATTTATGTAATTAGAATGGCAAACAAACATACGGCCGAATAACATAACGGTGAGTGTTACATTGACGATCGTTTTTATACATTAACAGCACTAGGTGGTAACACGGGCGTCAAATGAAATCGTGATACCTCACGATGTTACCCCGCCCGTGTTACCACTCATGCCTTGCCTTTCCGTAAATCAAGATGTCATTCCACTTAACACTGACTTATCTCACCCTTCAACTGCAATACATTTTGTAAACTGATTGCCAACTGAAATATGTGAGACTAAGGCTGATGAATTTTTTACAAAGTCTACCTGAGTGAAAATTGATATGCTCACATATCTTTGGATATATCTCCATACAAAGTAGCAGGAGCGAGCCTAACGCGTACTCTCAGATTTTTTTATTATATGACAATAACTTCAGCAGTGATATTACCAGCGGCACCTTTATCACCGTCTTTATATTTCTTGTCAAATTTCCTGTGTCGCCAGAATGAAGTGTGAATCAGAGTCATGACTTTGGTAATAGATGCAATTCTAGTACCAAAGTGATGACTCCGATTCCTAATATTGCTGCCACGAAACTTATGAAGTTGATGTTACGGAAGTATACCTATAGTATACCTTGTATAACCAGACAGGCTATGTCAAAATAACTGGCGTAAATGTCCTATTAAGCTACTTCGAAATCTATAGCCATTTGTTAAACTTTAAAGTAACACGTCCTTAATTTTCAAGTGGATATTTCTACAGAAATTACTTATCCGTTTTATATAATACTAGCTGTACACGCGACTTCGTCCGCGTGGAATATAACTTTATTTTTCTAAAATAAAAGATTTTTTCGGAAATAAAAGTAGTCTAAGTTTCTCTTTATTACATCAGCTACCTGCCAATTCAAATCCCGTCAAATCGGTCTAGCCACTTCAGGTTCAGGTTAGCCGGACCATACAGATAGACAGACAGACAGATAAAAATGGTAAAAAATGATATTTTGGTATACGTACCGCATTTATATTCATATGCAAAATGTAAAAATGGTTATTTCAATAACCATTTTTACTACGTACAAACAGACACTCTAATTTTATTTATATGAATAGATTTTGAGTTGTCATTAAGTCATAGAATTTATTGATATGAAACAATTTTTGTCATGTGTATAGTTACTTCCTCTGTGTGTCAGTCTTTATTACTATTTTTAACCATACCGTTTATTTCAGCTGGCTGCATTAGGCTTTCATTAGGATATAAATGCACTGGCCTATTTAAAAAACTATTATTTACTACTGTCTACGTCTAAATAATATTCAGCTTGGATTATAAACAAAGACATGAAACAAAAATGAAAGCATATAAGAATGAATATTATATTCGTAGATGTGTAAATATCTAATCTTTACTATTCCTGGGACTAAGGTGTGCTTTCGTGTCCAGTATTTCAAGGTCGCATGTACGACGAGTACCAGCTTCAAAACCGGAACATTGTGAAATAAGTGTTGTATATCCATGCAGAGGACTTTGTAACACTTTTTTCTTGTTTTTATAAAATAGGTGCCTATGACAAGAAGATATATAAAAATCTTGTTTATCGATATAAAAACGAAAAAGGTCATGATGAAAGTTTGACATTTACACATACGGATTATAAGTATGTATCTTGGTATAAAAACTGAATTTACGAGTTTTTTTTTAAATTCACCCTTTATGAGCGAAAGGTAAATAAAGGGGTGAAAGACGAAAATTTTTAATAGCTTAATAACTCTCAGTCTGTACCTGCTGCTGGATATAGAACACGAAAATTACTACAGTGGTACAGTACAATAGAAAACAAAAGGTTGCAATAAAATATACGTATTAAAATCAGTTTTCTATAAAAATCTATTATTTTGGAATTAATATTATGAAATATATAATATAATATTATTAATATAATGTTACTTCGGCTTTATCAAGTCAGATATCTTAATCAATCATTATTACATAGTATAAAATAAAGTCCCTGTCGGTGTCTGTCCCTATGTACGCTTGAATCTTTAAAACTACGCAATGGATTTTAAAGAGGTTTTCTTAACACAGAGTGATTCAAGAGGAAGCTTTAATACATACATAATACATGTACACCCGTGCGAAGCCGGGGCGAGTATTATACAATATATTTTTTAATTGTATTGGATCTCGTGGTTTTCTTCTTAAGTTTTCATTCTTGTCGACTTAAAGTGGAATACCTCCTTAAGGTGTGATTTCACTGTTATACATGTTATATGTTATACATAAATTACATTACATTTTCATCTTTATTCTACAGAGAATCAATTTGCTAAGAGAAAATATTAGTAAGTATTTATCTAATATTTTAATATTATCCTTTGATATAATTCAGAATTATTCTGAATGCATTAAAGGTATGAGATGTTTAATTTATAGCAATTTCATAACATTTGGCGTAAAGTCAAGAACATGTAAAAATTTTCCTCCATTGACAAATTGCATCTCATTTCCAATTGCGTGCACATCCATAGTGATGTGCATACATAATACTAAGTATGAACTTGGGATAGTGTCACAACCTGCCCCACTATATATACCTCGATCTTCACAACAGGAGCATAGTCATAGCTGGCTTCATTCCGCAACTCATCCATAGAAACAAAAATGGTCTCTAAGGTAAATTTTATTCCTGAAAATACCCATTACTATAGATTAAATTTAAATAATATTTCGATTATTAAAATATATAAAATTTCTAAAATAAAAGTAACATAAGATACTCTAGCTATCTGCGAGTGAAAGTCCCATCAAAATCGGTCCAGCCATTTCAGAGATTAGCAAGAACAGACAATACTTTTAAATAATATTTCTTATAATTATATACTTTCATTTGCATTTAGTGAAGAGCAGTTAATGCGATCTTACAAATAGGCACTACAATTTTATATAGCTACTGAATTAATAGACATACTAAGTGTTAGTTTTAAATTAATAAATATATATATGCAACATATTCATATACTAGTTTTAAATCCCAAGTTTAGTCGTTTTAAACCAATAGCGACTAACATATTTTGTTTTAATTGCTGTACCATATACGTTACGTTCTAGTTTAAATGTTGTTATTCATTTTACTTAAGCAATAGTATACTCACTTATTTTGCCCAGACAACGCCATGAATCGGCGTGTCTTGTCTACGCTGATTTGGATGCGGGACGCGTTACATTACACGTCCTTGACGGGTACTGTATCCTCAGCTTGTTAGTAATTTCTCAGCGCATGCGCTTGCGCAACTGCACTAGTATCGCCCTCGCGAAATTGTGTCACTGTTTCAAGTACAGCTGTTGGGACGTGTATACACAAGTGACATTTTCAACGCAAATCCTTTTAAGTATAATTTTAGGCATATACATATATTTCAATTATTCATTACATTTAGATCGTCATCATCTCGTGCTTCGTGGCCATTGCTTGTACGAGTGTGGCGCCGGCGGCGGTCGCAGCTCCTCTCGCGGCAGCGCCAGTAGTCGCGGCCCCTGCGGTGGCGGCAAGACTGGAGGAATTCGATCCTCTTCCACAATACAGATTCGGATATAACGTAGCGGATTCTCTTACTGGCGACTATAAAAGTCAGCAAGAGCAACGTGATGGAGACTTAGTTCAGGGCTCATACTCGGTCGTTGAGCCTGATGGTACGCGTCGTGTCGTCGAGTACGCCGCTGATTCAGTAAATGGATTCAACGCTGTCGTGCGTAATGAGCCACTCGTAGCTGCCGCTCCCGCTGTCGTTGCTGAGCCTGCCGTAGTCCCCGCTCGTATAGCGGCTGCTCCAGTCGCAGCTGTGGCACCTGCGAGGTTAACCGCTGCAGTAGTTGCCCCTTATACTACTGCGTATACTGCTCCTGTGGCAAAAGTAGCGGCATACACAGCGCCCTTGGCTGCAGCCTATACAGCACCAGTAGCAAAGGTCGCTACCGCATCTCTCGTATCGCCGTTCTCAAGACTTACAGTGTCTCCGTTCTTGTCTTACAATTATGCTGCTGCCCCAGTTGTGGCTGTAAAATGATCTACTACAACAACTTAATTCTCTGAAATTTCGGATAAAGGCTAAGACAATAAACATTTTTATACTGTAAATTATATGTTTTTATTCATATGTAATCAATTATTGTTGTACAGCTGTACTATCTAAGCAAGTAGCACAGCTAGTACGGAGTTATTTCATGATTATATTGTATTGATTTTAATAAGAAATAATGGTTAAGATCATTTTTAACTTTTACATATATTTTACATTTTTAAACAAACACAAACATACCGTCACAACTATTATCCTAGATGGCATATTCACAGGCTTCGTTTACTATTGATGTTATGTATGGTGATTTCACATGTTCACATTTATTACTTTGAAATATTATAATAGTATTATTGATTATTAAATATTAACACGATGTTGAAGTAATATTGAATTAGTTGATTTAGGATAGTGTCTATAGAGAATTATACAATATTATAAGCGAAATTATCTCTATTTATTTATTTCTAAGTCTGAATAATAGACACGTGTCAAAGTAAAGAGTTTCCTGCTTGACATGTATTTTATAAAAATATACTACTTTTGACAAATTTATCATTTCTAACATTTATCAATTGTACATTTATTGTTATATATACTTTGTTGTTACGAGTATATAATATACTACATATTGTAATGGAAGAAAAACAGCTGTATGGCGCGCTGACAGTATATCGTGAAAGAGGCGCATATTTGCGTCGTCTTGAACAATTTGAAAAAGCAAAAGCCTCATTTGATGAAGCTTTCAAGAGTACTCCGGATGATGTACGAACACTAACAGGACGCAGTCAAGTATGTGCTGATGCTGTTCAACCGGTACAGGCGTATGCGGACGCTGAAGTTGCCCTCAAACTTGCACCTGCCAATATGATAGCACGCAACATGCAAGCTCGGGCCATGTATACTATGTCCGATTTTGAAAGATCCGTTGTTATGAACTTCCGGGGCGTAAGAGATCGTCGTCAACCACCTTATTTCCATGAAGGTATTAATCAAGGTGTCGAAACTATACAAGATTGTATTGGAGTCAATGCAGGTAACGTGATGTTAGATTTTTTACCTTTAATTAAGGAAACAGAAGCAATACGCACTGATGAGAACGGACCACAAAAACTACTTCACGTGTCTCGAATTCCACAACCAGAACGCAAACGTAAATTAACACAAATAGAGGCACGAAAGCATTTAACTTTGGCCAGAGTACTCGCTATGAAGTATCTAGGACCAATGGCGTATGATAAATTTTTTCTTCAAGAGCTTACTGAAGATCCTCGTATAAAATCAGCAAACTCAGGGGGCAGTCTTCAGTTGAAGACAGCTGTAAAGGAAGCTCTTCGTTCATTGACTGAACGTCAGAATATGTTGCGTTCACAGCGACCATATTATACAATTAAACTAGCAGAAAAGGCTGAGTCTAAACACCAAAACAAGTATATGGAGGCAGTATTAATAAAAGAACGCGAGATAGGAGCCCGCACTTCTGAACGTTTGTTGAAACAAATTGAAAAGAGTTTTCGCGACAATCGTATAATGGATTTGATGGCACAAGCGGAGCGCATGCAATTATTTCTCGATTCAAGAACCTCTCGAACACTTCCTGATAAGGAAATATATACAGATCGTTTATATAGAGCAGTCGGAGAAGGATATTTGGCACAACATCGTCTATCCTATACTCTTAGTGAGCGTGGTAATCGTCGAAGGATTGCGTTCCTTATGGGCCTTCCTGTAGGTCGACCACAATCATTTGATTCTGTAATGGCGAACTATCCATATAAGTTTATAGATATTAAACAAGCAACAGAGAAAGTTATTGCTATACTTGAGATGTGTGAAAATGCTACAATGAAATGTTGGTTAATGTATGAGCTTGCTCGCCTTCTGTGTACTCAAAAAAATTATGCACTCGCGAAATTTTATGCAAAACGTTGCCAAAGAGAAGCTCAGGAACTGACGAATGTCACATGGTGGTTAAATGGATGTTTTGTGCTAATGAGTGGCGATATGCAACAAGGTAACTCAAATGAGGTACGCATTCAAGTAGAAGAAGCTTATGAATGGTCAAAGAAACTACAGGACCCGGAACGCATACAAGCATTCTTATGCAAATGTGCGGAAATGGCAGCAGAAGTTGTATCTTCTGATGAACGCAAGGCGATAATGCAAAGAGAAAAACAGATAGTAGCCGTCATGGATGAATCGCAAAAAGTGGAAACTCAAGTGTTATTTAAGCGTATGTCGACTGTTCCGACTGGTAGGCGGTTCTCGGTATTACCACGCAAACAGAAACCTGGTGAAGATCGGGCGGAACGTCAACGCCGACGTCAACGCGGGTTGTCAGTCATCCCTGGGCAAGAACAGTCTTTGCCCGCACCACCTCAATCTGCTACTCTTGGTTTTCAACTGTTCGATATATAAATATTACGTTATTTATTTACAAAATATCAACAGAAATATTTGTAGAATATGAATATTTGTACAAGTAAATATTTTTCACCTTCTTTGAATAATACATACGCTCATTATTATGTGTTATTATTCTCACACTATTTTAGTCTAGATATACTGATTTCATTCTCAATATATAATATATACAAAGTTCTAAAAAAATTTAATCTGGTATTAAGATGCAAATCATATTGATCAGTAAGCGAAATGCTGTAGACATTTACAGATTGATTTCGGATAAGGAAATCAAAACGTGTATAATGAAATTTAGGTTTATAATGTATCTTCTAATAATCTATATTAAATAGTATCAAGTCCCAGAAGAAAAATTAAATATGTATAAAAAAATTAAAGTTCAAATGTACCCATTATTATTATTCTTAATTTCACAATTATGTAATTTAGTGTATATTTAATCAACATTATTAGAAATAAAATAAACTACATATTTGATGTTTCAATATACTTGAATATACAGATAGATACTTAGGTTGACACAACCTGGACTATATAATTTTATCTACATCTTGAAGCAAGAATGAGTCATTTTAGATTATTACGACTAATGTATCGTACACACATTATATATATATATATATAGTTTGTGACAAATCCTGTGTATTTATGTCGGATACCTTATGTTAATTTAATAGGTATTTCGATTTGCACTTCTTTTAATATTTTTTCCCAAATTTAACTGAATTATAATACTGTATGTAAATACCAATAAAAAGAAATAAGCAACTTCTGTTCATAAATAGTTTTATTTATATATTTACATTATATTACATTATGGCTTTCAAGATTATCTTCTAATAATGACTTAGTGGTGATACAATGGGGCGGGGTAGGCAACGGGCGCAGAGTATGCAAGTTTGGCGACGGGTGCAGCGGCGTATGACACAGGGGCGGCGTATGCGACCTTGGCGACGGGTGCGGCAGCGTATGCAACAGGGGCTGCGATTTTGGCGACGGGTGCGGCGTATGCGACGGGGGCAGCAGCAACCTTCACGGCGAGAGGCTCTCTGTGGACGACAGCGTTGAAACCGTTGTGGGGGTCGGCGGTGTACTCAACAGTACGCTTGGTACCATCGGGGTCAACAACGGAGTAAGAACCCTGAACAACATCGCCGTCACGGGTCTCGTGCTGGGACTTAGAATCACCGGTGTGGCCATCTTGTACATCGTAGGCGAAGCTGTATTGTGGGTGAGAGTCGTAAGCCTCCACTACTTTGGCTACTGGAGCAACAGCGGCGACTTTAGCGATAGGGGCTGCGTAGGCCACTGGGGCGGAATACGCCACAGGAGCAGCGTGGATGGCATGGGACGAGTATGAGAGTGGGGCCGAATAAGCGACGGGAGCAGCTGGGAGTAGTCCAGCGCTTGCGGCAGCCACCAGGCAGCTAAGAACGACAAACTGTAACAAAGGAAGAATGTCTTTAGTAACACTGTTATCACTTATCGCAAATTGTACCACTTTATTATTTTCACTATGTAAATAATAATACCTTGAATGCCATTTTTGGTTGTGATATAGTCCAAGAATGAAATTGTACTGCCAAACTTATCGAACGCTCTCTTTTTATATTGAACGACACTAAGTGACATTCATATTTAGGTGACGGCAAATTGAACCCACGTTCAATCGAAAACTTTGATCTTATGAGTAAGTTTATGATCACTTTTGGTCTACTTTGGCTTGTTTTAATTATGGTTTACTTTTGTGAAAGTGGACAGCCATTTATTGAATATTATTTATATAAAGCCAACCTGCTAATTTACGTAGTTAATGTTTTAACCTACTCACATTTATTGTTGTAATTTTAAATTAATCTATAATATATATTGCATGATGTATTTTCCTCTATGTTTTCATAAATCTTTGATAAAACAGAAAATGATTTATTATATTAATTATAATAAATATATATATTTATTACACTATAACATATAAATATTCTTATTGAAAATTGTAAACGGATTAAAAATAAATGGATCTGCGTCGATATTCACCCTCTAAATAATAATATCTCATTATTCGGTGAATTATTTCACGTGTTCATAGACACTCTCATTAATTCTGTGTTAGAGAATATCCGCAGTGAGGTACTGTTACAGCTCTGCATTATAGTCAGCTTGAATTACCATAAAAGTTTTAACATAAATACAGGTTTAAATAAATTGCAATTTAACATGTTATATAGTTTGAATAATCTTCGTCTAGATAGTTTATTAGTAATAATAAAGGCAATACAAATAAAATCAGTAATTTATCCAAAAAACCGTTTCAGAAGACTAGATAAATCTTACTACTTATTTATCGATACTAACTACTTATTTACTTTTTGAATATTCGCGTTTCTTGAACACTTAAAAAGCGGAAACGTGGCATGCGGACTAAAATGAAGAAAAAGTTTTAGAAGTAACTTTCTTATATTGTTAGACTTTGAAAATTTGTCATATTATGTATTTTGAAAGGCTACTGAATATTTAAATCATTAATTCTTAAGTAATTGAAAATACAGTAGGATAAGGGTTTACTATCTATTAGTCTTTAAATCAGTATTATGGAGAAAAGATTAGAAATCAATTCAGTGTAGTAGACAATAATCAATCGGCAATCCATATATGTTATAAAACAAAATCTAACGCGGCGTTTGTACGCGATCATCTCAAAAACTACGAAACTTATTTCCATGAGGTTTTATCCATCCACCCACACCTATATTGATGTCTAAGGAAGATTTAGATTTGGCAGTACTCAGACGGTGTTTCATGAATTATCCTGGATTATTATTATTATTGTTATATAAAAGATCTGAAAATATATATTAACTCACAGTGCACTAGAGTGTGAAACTGTTTTACAAGAGATGGGCTATCTAATGAAAAGTTTTGAGTCTTCCTATATGTTCTAATGTTTAAGATATTATCAAATCTTTTACATCCGGAATTTCGATTAGTTTAAGTTTACGTTAGACCTTATCACTGCGAAAGCTATAATAAAAATAGCATCTTGAAGTGAAATAAAATTTTAATTTTGAGTTTTGAAGAGAGTTACTAATGTCGCGTATATGACAATAATTTGTTTTTTATTATACTGAACAAAAGTATGTAGACCTACTTACGAAAATGATATGTAACAGATAATAGTAACGAAATCGATACTTACTTAATTCTCTTACTACTTAATTATCGATACTAACTACTTATTCACTTAATTCTCAAAACTCTTTGAAGATTCGCGTTTCCTGAACACTTAAAAAGCGGAAAGGTTGCATGCGGACTAAAATGAAGAAACAGTTTTAGAAGTAACTTTCTTCTACTTTCTTATATTGTTAGACTTTGAAACTTTGTTATTATATATATTTTGAAAGGCTACTGAATATTTAAGTCATTAATACTTAAATAATTGAAAATACAGTAGGATAAGGGCTTACTATCTAATAAGAAGTACTTCTAGATACAAAGCTGAGAGGAAACCAGTTGTATTTATTAAATTATTAATTAGAAAACTGCATTTACCACAAATAATGTCCTGTATGTTTCGCGAAATAAATATATTTTGTTTCTTTACTTTATTTATTCGAACATTATGGGATGAATCTATATGATTTATGTGAGTGCATTTTAAAAAATATATATCTGATTTATATCTCAAAGCAATACATATACAGATGTCCTAAGTATGTTACGAAAAGTAAATATGTTACGTGTCCAGGGTTATCCTGTGTAGTAGGGTTATCCCCAGGTACGCAGGGCTTGTGTTATTAATCGTACCTATGACCATCAACAAGTAAGGCGGTGTCCTAAACCAACCGACCACCGAAGCTGTCAATATATAATTTGAGAACAACATTTCAAGTAAAACTAGCTGTAACCCGCATCACTTCTCCGTGAAATACATTCTATGTTACTGACATAAATATATAAAATAAATAAAGATTATATATTATATTATATATAATCAAAGTTACAATTTAAAGTTCTCCCTTATTTATAGGCTGCCATGACATACATATATGAATTTGTGGCATCCTATAAATGAGACATATTCATTCTATTTTGTGAAGGTTTGCTTTAAAAAGAAGTGCTTTATTGTTGATTAAGAAATAAGAAGCTTATTGCGTTAGTCGCGTTATGTAATGATAATAGGTACATATTAATTATTGGTGAAACTTCTTTGCAGTAGTGCAGCGGTTTTGAAGAAAGATAGCACAGAATAGAAAAGAACGTTTAGTTTATATTATGTTCTGTTAAAAATAAGTGATTTTAACAGTGTGTTATATTAAACCAAAAACTAAGATTGTATCTTTATAGTTATATATGGAGGATCCCTATGTTTATTAACAGATTGTAAATTACTGAAATATTCATGATCACATTGATGATCGTTTGAGCTATGTACATTTAAGATATAAAGATAACTAGGATAATATTCTTAATTCTTTGCTCTAAATCACAGAGGAGTATATTGTTATTATATGTAGTACTATATATTTAAGTAAATCTACTTAACTTAAAATTTAATTACTGTGAACTACACATATAAGAAAGTACACTGAAACTCAAAATAAGCCAAGCCGACTTGCTAATGTGGTAGTAGCTGGTTACGTCATCAGAGGAGTCTTAACGGTTTGTTGTAGGTATGGTAAGAAAATAGATTTACATGAAAACAAATTCCGTTCTTAAATAATTATTATAATGGTTTATTTACATTATGGCTTTCAATTATCCTATAGTAATGACTTAGTGGTGATACAATGGGGCGGGGTAGGCAACGGGCGCAGAGTACGCAACTTTGGCGACGGGTGCAGCGGCGTATGACACAGGGGCGGCGTATGCGACCTTGGCGACGGGTGCGGCAGCGTATGCAACAGGGGCTGCGATTTTGGCGACGGGTGTGGCGTATGCGACGGGGGCAGCGGCAACTTTCACGGCGAGAGGCTCTCTGTGTACGACAGCGTTGAAACCGTTGTGTGGGTCGGCGGTGTACTCAACAGTACGCTTGGTACCATCGGGGTCAACGACGGAGTAAGAGCCTTGAACGACATCACCGTCACGGGTCTCGTGCTGGGACTTAGAATCACCGGTGTGACCATCTTGTACATCGTAGGCGAAGCTGTATTGTGGGTGAGAGTCGTAAGCCTCCACTACTTTGGCTACTGGAGCAACAGCGGCGACTTTAGCGATAGGGGCTGCGTAGGCCACTGGGGCGGAATACGCCACAGGAGCAGCGTGGATGGCATGGGACGAGTATGAGAGTGGGGCCGAATAAGCGACGGGAGCAGCTGGGAGTAGTCCAGCGCTTGCGGAAGCCACCAGGCAGCTAAGAACGACAAACTGTAACAAAGGAAGAATGTCTTTAGTAACACTGTTATCACTTATCGCAAATTGTACCACTTTATTATTTTCACTATGTAAATAATAATACCTTGAATGCCATTTTTGGTTGTGATATAATGAAATTGTACTGCCAAACTTATCGAACGCTCTCTTTTTATATTGAACGACACTAAGTGACATTCATATTTAGGTGACGGCAAATTGAACCTACGTTCAATCGATTTAACTTTGATCTTATTTATGAGTAAGTTTAAAATCACTTGTAGTCTATTTTGGCGTGTTTTAATTATGGTTTGTTTTTATGATAGAATAAATTACAATTTAAAGTTATTATTAATTAAATATTATTAATTATTAATTTAACAAAAACCTTTTACTAATAGCACAGTTTAGTAAATACTTAGAGGCTTCATCTAGATAGTTTATTAGTTGTAATAAAGGCAATATCAATCATTATAAAGTTCATATTGTGTTCAAAAAACCGCACTAGAAGGCCAGGCTAGATACATTAAATCAAATATGATAGAGAAAGAATTAGTCTTAGAAAATATAAAAATCAGTTTAGAGTAGTGTACTAATACGTCTGTATACGGTCTGTAATCTATACATATTGTAAAACAAAGGTTACGAGGTGTTTGTCCGCATGTACGCGATAATCTCACAAACTACGAAAAGAGTTTCTATGTGGTTTTCCTTCATCCACATATTGATTTCTAGACCCAAGTTAAGCTAACTAAAGCATGAGTTGTGGGTATTGGATAACTGATACAAATACATAGATGTTTGTTTTATTAGATTACTATTTTTATTTAATTATTTTTTTAGAAAATACGTACATATTATATATAGAAAACACGGAGGCCGAAACAAACAGTCATACTCATAAATACAAATGTATATGCCGTACGAGGAAATCGAACCCGCGACCATCCGAAGTAGGGCGGTGTAGTAGCGGTTTAGCACACCGCCCGTGTGCTAAACCGCTAGACCACCAAGGCCGTCAAAATTGATAACCGTGACTTATGCATATATCAACAGTACGTACTATGCACATCATGTTATGATGTAATGCTATATCATTCTGGAGGATTAAGATGTATACTCCTTGTTTCCAGTACTTTCACTGACTTATCGCCCTCTTCAAACAAATCAGAACTTACAAAGAAAGCTGCTTGTCTGCTGATTTTTTTGTACCTACATTAATTTAAATACCCGTACAAAGCAAGGAAGGTGTCGCTAGTCTGATCTATTTAGTCATATAATGAACGATATACTCGTACATCCGTAACCGTTATCACATACGAGGTTGTTAATAGGATTGTCAATAATCAAAATCGTATTGGGGTGCTTTCATCTCAACTTTAACTGAGTATACTTATTTGAATGCGACGTGACATGGATGGATGGAGCCTGCAATCTTTTTTCGAATTAATTTTTATTTGATATATAAATGAACACACAATATTTTACCCAAGTTAAGAAATCTTTATCTTAATATTTTATTGTGATGATGACGACAAATAAAATATCTTATGTCATGTAATTTTTTGTAAATATGTATTATCTTACTTATATTGCTACTAGCTGTACCCGCGATTTCGTCCGCGTAACATAGTGACCTTGACCAAATAATGAAAAAAATATTTAATGACCTAACCCAATAAAAGCCAAATGAAAAAGTTTCATCGTTTCATCTTCAAAAATGACGACACATAAATAACATACATAACTCTTTCAACCCCTTATAACTCTTTCTTAATATATGTTAAATAAATAGGCTAAAAATTAAACTTCAAACTTCTAGCTTTAATAATGTCAATATTTCCATATAAACATTTAACTTTCTTTTAAATTCCTTAGAATCCATTTTTCTTTATTTATATTTAATCAACAGCCTAAAAATCAGTTTTAGGCTTTGAAAATGGCGATATATGTATCCATATAACCTTGCACCTTTCAATACCCTTACAACCATTTTCCACATTAAAAAATACTCTATATCCATTCTCAGGGTCTAGATTATGTGTTCCAAGTTTCATTTAAATCGGTTCAGTAGTTGTGGCGTGTATGTAAGACAGACAGATAAACTAACCCAAAAAATCCAATGGAAAAAGTTTTATAGATCTGGCTTCAAAAATGAAGAATGTACTTAAAATTTTAATCCTCTATTTTATTTTAACCTCTTAAGCGTAAAAAATTTTTAAACTTTGAATATCATTTAATCACCAACCTAAAATATAAGTTTCAAGCTTCTACCTTTAAAAATGACGATTCTTACGTATAACTTTTTTTTTAACCAAATGGGGACTGCCAGATTTATACCGGCCAAAACCTGACGACTATTCCTCCTCGAACATATCGCCGTAGCTATAGGATCGCATATGCATTCTCCAAGATCACCGACATGGTTCCCATCGAAGGGACCTTTCATCTAGGCAAGCAGAGAATAGCCTCTGCACGCCACCGTAATGCTTCCCTGGTGAGGTTCGGATAGCCCTAACAATCCCCGACCCTAGGGTCCAATATGGATCCGATGCCCACACTGAGGCCGAGGCCCTGGCCTTTTGGCAAGCGACACAATTTTGTGCTACCAATTCCATGGTCCGACTTGCGGTTAGCTGCAGCGCAGTACCAGCAACGTGGCGATGGCGTGACACATCTCGCGGCCTTGTGGCCGCCTTGACCACAACGATAGCACCTATCGCTGCAGTCTTCCCCCGCAGTGCACCGTTGGCCCACGTGCCCCGTGAGCAAGCACCGGTAGCACCGCATGGGTCTCGGATCGAGAGATTGTACCCGAGCGACCGTCCACCTTACCTTAACCCGACCCGTCTGGATCAGGGTTTTGGCTGCTGCAACCGGGTATCGCACTCAGATTGAGCCCACGCCGGAGGGAGTGCACCGGACCTCGCCCGCTTTTATGCTTGTTTCTGCGCATCCTCTCTCTCGCGCTATTGCGGTAATGACGTTCTCGGATGTTACTGAGTTGTCCAGGTCACATAGTCTCAGCTCAGCCGAATTCTCCGGCCTAGTGACCCGGACTTTTCCTACTGGCAAGATCTCCACTAACCTTGCGGCCAGTGAATTCGCTTTGTCGCCGATATCGGCGCTTGACTTCTAGGATGCGACATCCAGTCACACCCAGCCAGAACCGTAGCTCAGGCAACCTTGAATCTACTATTTCAACCCTTTTTCGCATCCAAAAGTATCCTATGTACTTTCTCAAGATCTAGACTAATTGTGTACCAAATATAACTTAAATCTGTTCAGTAGTTTTGGCGTGTAAGTGAGACTGACATACAGACAGAATTACTTTTACAGTTATAATATTAGTAAGGTATTTAATAAACTAACTCAAAAAGCCAATGAAAAAATTTTCATCGTTCTAACTTCAATAATGACGAATTTACATAATAACCTTTATCCCCTATTTTATTTTACCCCCTTAAGGGTAATTTTTTTACAAACTTTGAATGTCATATTTATTTAAATTTAATCAACAGCCTCAAAAATAAGTTTCAAGCTTCTGGCTTCAAAAATGACGAATTTACATAAAAACTTTCATCCCCTATTTTATTTTACCCTCTTAAGGGTAACATTTTTAAAAACTTTGATGGCCTATTTATTTAAATTTAATCAGCAGCATCAAAAATAAGTTTCTAGCTTAAAAAATGACAGATTTATATAAAAACTTTCATCCCCTATTTTATTTTACTGCTCTAAGGGTAAGATTTAGTATGTCATATTTATTTATATTTAATCAACAGCCTCGAAAATAAGTTTCAATATTCTAGCTTCAATAATAACGAATTTACATAAAGAAAAATATTCCCTAATTTATTTAAACCCCTTAAGGTTAACATTTTTAAAAGCTTTGAATATCATACTTATTTATATTTAATTAGCAGCCTCAAAAATAAGTTTCAAGCTTCTAGCTTCAAAAATTCTTCGACGATTCTTCCATACAATTTTTCATCCCCACTTTCAACCCCTTACAACTCTTTTTTTGCATTATAAAGTAGCCTATGTCCTTTCTTAGGGTCTAGACTATCTATGTACCAAATTTCAATTAAATCGATTCAGTATTTTTTGCGTGAAAGCGAGACAGACGTATTACGAAATAGACGATTTATAATATTATTTGTAATAATTAGATGTAGGATAAATACCATTTAGGTACTTATATGAAAACGGCCACGCTGATTAAGCTGATTTGTACACCGCCTTACCTCTTATAATCGCAGGTTCGATCATAACACAAATATTTGTAATAAAAGCGGAAACCGAGTTTTTAATTTTCTAGGTGTTTTCTATGCTTATTGTGTATGTATTTACAAAAATAAATGTAATTAAGTATATTTATCAGAAATTCAGTACTCAGATTGCGCTGTATAAATTGTCCTAAATTATTATTTAGTTTAGTTTATAGATCAGAAAATATTCATTAACTCATAGAGTAGGCTGTGATCTCATCTCATCAAATGTTTCATGTCTTGCTCTATATTCTTGTGCTGATGATATTATCACAGATAAGATAATACATACATTACATAATGTTATCCCATCTTTTGTATTCGGAATTCCGATTACTTTATGTATGCAATACTGTGTTAACTGTGCTTTAAGTTTACGTTTGACCTTGTCCTTACGAAGTCTATATTAAATGTAGTATCATGAAATAAAAGCAGAGCTTGTGTGTAGGATCATACCTACGACCATCGGCAAGTAAGGCGGTATCCTATACCGACGACCATCAGAGGGGTTTTAAGGGGTTGTTGTGGATATAGTAACTAAATAGTTTTATATGAAAACAAATTCCATTAATAAATAAGTTGTTTATTTACATTATGGATTCCAATTATCCTATAGTAATGGCTTAGTGGTGATACAATGGGGCGGAGTAGGCAACGGGCGCAGAGTATGCTACCTTGGCGACGGGTGCAGCGGCGTATGACACAGGGGCAGCGTATGCGACCTTGGCGACGGGTGCGGCAGCGTATGCAACAGGGGCTGCGATTTTGGCGACGGGTGCGGCGTATGCGACGGGGGCAGCGGCAACCTTCACGGCGAGAGGCTCTCTGTGTACGACAGCGTTGAAACCGTTGTGTGGGTCGGCGGTGTACTCAACAGTACGCTTGGTACCATCGGGGTCAACAACGGAGTAAGAGCCTTGAACGACATCACCGTCACGGGTCTCGTGCTGGGATTTAGAATCACCGGTGTGGCCATCTTGTACATCGTAGGCGAAGCTGTATTGTGGGTGAGAATCGTAAGCTTCCACTACTTTGGCTACTGGAGCAACAGCGGCGACTTTAGCGATAGGGGCTGCGTAGGCCACTGGGGCGGAATACGCCACAGGAGCAGCGTGGATGGCCTGGGACGAGTATGAGAGTGGGGCCGAATAAGCGACGGGAGCAGCTGGGAGTAGTCCAGCACTTGCGGCAGCCACCAGGCAGCTAAGAACTACGAACTGCAACAAAGGAAGATTGTTAATACTGTTATCACCTATCGCAAATTGAACCAGTTTATAATTTTCAATTTGTAATTAATACCTTGAATGCCATTTTTGGTTGTGATATAGTCCAAGAATGAAATTGTACTGCCCAACTTATCGAACGTTCTCTTTTTATATTGAACGACACTAGTGACATTCATATTTAGGTGACGGCAAATTGAACCTACGTTCAATCGAAAACTTTGATCTTATTTATGAGTAAGTTTAAGATCACTTATAGTCTGTTTTGGGTTGTTTTAATTATGTTTTTCTTTTGTGATAGAATACATTACAATTTAAAATATAAATAAAGACTTTTAATAGCACAGATCAGAAAGTACTTAGAGGCTTCATCTGGATAGTTTATTAGTTGTAATAAAGACAATAATAATAATTTTAAATTTCGTATTGTGTACCAAAAACCGCACCTTTAAACCTAGCTAAAGCTAGTTCTTGATAACTGATAAAAATATATATATTTTTTGTAAATACATACATATCACACATACAAATACATACTATCTACTCTACACTTAATTTTTTTTTGTAAATACCTACTCTCTTTCTAAAGGTTGTCTGTAAGAGATTGCATTAGCGATAAGACCGTCTTTTGTACTTAGTTTTTTTTTTATGTTTTTAATTTTGTTCATGTCCTTTATATGTTGGTGCAATAAAGTGTTATAATAATAATAATGATGACGACAAATAAAGTATCATATGTCAAGTAATTTTTTGTAAATATGTATTAGCTTACTTACATTGCTATTACATGTAGGATAAATACCATTTAGGTACTTATATGAAAACGGCCACGACAGTTTAGCAGATTAGCACACCGCCTTACTTCAATGTTCGCATGTTCGATCGCATGACACAAATATTTGTATCAAAATGGGAAACATGGGTTTTAATTTTCTAGGTGTTTTCTATGGTTATTGTGTATGTATATACAATAATAAATGTAATTAAGTATATTTATGTTCTTGTGCTGATGATATTATCACAGATAAGATAATATTACATAATGTTATCCAATCTTTTGTATTCGGAATTCCGATTACTTTATGTATGCAATACTACGTTAACTGTGCTTTAAGTTTACGTTTGACCTTGTCCTTACGAAGTCTATATTAAAAGTAGTATCATGGAATAAAATAAATTTTTAATATTTTGCTCTAAAGAGAGTTAGTTACTAACATCGTGTATATGAAACAATCTAATATACGTTTATGTTCTAACTAAATTAAGTATTTCGATTTCGTTACTTATTTACTTAACCCTTATAACTTTTCGAAGATTGCCGTTTCCATAAGACTTGGTATGCGGGCTGTAATACAAAACTAACCTTTCTTTTACTTTCTTACATACAGCATTAAAGATTGTAAATTTGTTATACTATATATACAATTATAATGTAATTAAGTATATTTATCAGAAATTCATTACTCAAATGGCGCTGTATAAATTATCCTGGATTATTATTATTGTTATCTAGGAGATCAGAAAATAAATATAAACTCGTAGAGTGCTAGAGTGTGTTGCTGTTTTACATGATATTGGCTATCTCATGAAACATTTCAAGTCTTGTTCTAGGTTCTTAGCCTTAAAATATTATCCAATCTTTTGTTCGATCAGCTTTAAGTTTACATTTGATCTTATCCCTACGAAGGCTATATCAAAAATAGTATCATGAAATTTAATATTTCGCTCTAAAGAGAGTTACTAACGTCGTATATGTGACAATAATTTGATATCTATATATGTTCTAAACTAAATACTTCGATTTTGTTACTTATTTACTTAATCCTTATAACGTTTTGAAGATTGGCGTATATCCTGAACACTTAAAAATCGGTAACCTGGTATGCGGGGTAAAATGCAGAAAAAACTTTTAGATGTAACTTTCTTATAATTTTAGAGATTATAAATTTCTAATACTATGTATTACATTTATTTTGAATGAATATTTAATATTTACAAAAATATAGTGGCATATGGGCTTACTATCTAATAAAAAGTACTTCTAGATTCAAGTCATAGCTATATTTATTAAATTATTAATGTATAAATACATGTATAACAATTAATGTCTTGTGTATATATTAAATGTTTGCAGTGTATGCTCCAAATAAATGTATCTTAATTTCTTTACTTTATTTATTCGATTATACGTCGTCGCTTTATTCTTCAGATGTTACCATGTATAATAATATATCTTCGAATGAAGCTACAAATATAATAATGATCGAACTTCACTTTAAAGTTCGTTTGATCATATAATACAATGGATTGAATAGACTTATGTGAGCGCTCTACAAAAAAATATATCTGATTCATAAAGCAACGTAAATAAAGATACGGTGTCCTAAACCGACCGACCGCTGAGGCTGTCAGTATATAACCTCACAACATTTCAAGTAAAACTAGTTATATCCTGCGACGGTACCTCGTGAGATACATTTACATATGTATTTCATGCGGCAGCTACAATGTTACAAGTATAATAATAGGCATATACATATTTATAAATTTAATAAAGATTATACCCTGTGTAACTTTGAAATATGTATTCAACGCTGATAGCGTTGAATACATATTTCAAAGTTACAATTTAAAGTTCCCCCTTATTCATAGGCTGCCATGGCATGCATATGTATATGAATTTGTGCCATCCTATAAATAAGGCATATTCTATTTTGTAAAAGAGAATACTTGTTGTTGATAAAGAAATAAAAAACTTATCGCGTTAGTCGCGGTATCTTATGATAAATAATACTAGATATACATTAATTATTGGTGAATGTTCTTTGCAGTAGTTCAACCATCAGAGGGGTTTTAATGGATTGTTGTGGATGTGGTAACTATATATGAAAACAAATTCCGTTCATAAATAAGTTGTTTATTTACATTATGGCTTTTAATTATCCTATAATAATGACTTAGTGGTGATACAATGGGGCGGAATAGGCAACGGGCGCAGAGTATGAAACCTTGGCGACGGGTGCAGCGGCGTATGACACAGGGGCAGCGTATGCGACCTTGGCGACGGGTGCGGCAGCGTATGCAACAGGGGCTGCGATTTTGGCGACGGGTGCGGCGTATGCGACGGGGGCAGCGGCAACCTTCACGGCGAGAGGCTCTCTGTGTACGACAGCGTTGAAACCGTTGTGTGGGTCGGCGGTGTACTCAACAGTACGCTTGGTACCATCGGGGTCAACAACGGAGTAAGAGCCTTGAACGACATCACCGTCACGAGTCTCGTGCTGGGACTTAGAATCACCGGTGTGACCATCTTGCACATCGTAGGCGAAGCTGTATTGTGGGTGAGAATCGTAAGCCTCCACTACTTTGGCTACTGGGGCAACAGCGGCTACTTTAGCGATAGGGGCTGCGTAGGCCACTGGGGCGGAATACGCCACAGGAGCAGCGTGGATGGCATGGGACGAGTACGAGAGTGGGGCCGAATAAGCGACGGGAGCAGCTGGGAGCAGTCCAGCGCTTGCCGCAGCCACCAGGCAGCTAAGAACGACGAACTGCAACAAAAAAGAAAGATTGTCTTTAGTAACACTGTTATCACTTATAGCAAATTGTTTACTTTATAATTTTCACTATGTAAATAATAATACCTTGAATGCCATTTTTGGATGTGATATAGTCCAAGAATGAAATTGTAATGCCCAACTTAGTGAACGCTCTCGTTTTATATTGAACTCGTATCCACTCGTGACATTCGGTTTTGTGTAACGTAACACGATAATCGAACCCGCACCCATAAGGAGCTTATTGAAACTTTCGCTTTTAATTGATACTGTTATGGCAAGGTCGTGATCTTCGGTGGAATGCGGCCACCCGCTCTTGTTCCTCGCCACACATTAACTCGTTAGTGTTAAGGCCGTAAGCTTCCAAATTATATCATATTGTGTTATTAGAATAGAATAGAATAGAATAGAATAGAAAATCATTTATTCAAATAAACTTACATTGAAGCACTTTTGAATAGTCATAACATTTTTTTTTTTTTTTTTAATCTACCGCTCATTCGGAATGCTGTCTCATCACAAGAAGAACAAGCAAGAAACTTGTGTGTTGCTCTTTTAAATAATTTATTCTTACTTACAATTTAAGTTTAAGTGTGTGAATACAAACCACCGATTAGCACTAATTCAATTAAATACTTAAAAAGAAAAAAATATTGAATACATAACCAACTGGTTAAACAATTAATAAGAGAAAATCAGTCATAGTGATTAGAGCAGACCAGTCCCTACAAGCAGCACCCGTTCACGAGTATGACGGATGAGCCAGCCATCACTGAGCTCGACCATATTTTAGGGAGCCCAATGACCCGGCCCACCACGCCGCCACAAGTCTGGACATTTTAGTGAGCATGACTACTCAAAACACCAGACCACGTCATAGCTACTCACAATTGCCATCTGATGTTTATAGTATTCACATTTCACATAAGAATGCATGCGGCAATTAATACAAAACCCGCTACGCTTTCATATTTCTAAAATAATTGAATCAAGAAAGCAATGAGATAAACAAATTATAACGTTGTATGCTAATAAACTAATTATTTACTTGATATGTTGTCTTCTATGAATTCGTCTATCCTGTAATAGGCTTTCTTACATAAAAATTGTTTAATATAAGATTTGAATTGCCTCTCTGTCAGATTTAGTGCAGATTCTGGCAGTTTATTATAAAATCTTACGCAATTACCATAGAATGAATTACTGACTTTGTGCAGGCGGCATTTAGGTAAAATTAGCTTATTTTTATTGCGTAAGTTTCTATTTGTACAGTCTTTAAGTTTTCTAAAACTGTCTAAATTCTTCCGTGTATACATGATATTCTCATAAATGTATTGTGAAGTAACGGTGAGGATATTTGAATCTTTAAAACACTGACGTAATGACTCTCTTGAACCCATACCATAAATAGAACGTATGGCTCTCTTTTGTAAAATAAATATAGTATTTATATCGGCTTTTACCCCATAGTAGTATACCATATGACATAATGCTATGGAAATAACTAAAGTATACAAGTTTAGCCGTCGCCACGTCTGTTAATCGCCTAATTCTTCTAATTGCATATGCAGCTGAACTGAGTCTATTGGCCAATTTTGAAATATGGGGCCCCCATTGTAATTTCGAGTCCACTGTTATACCTAAAAAAACTGTATCATTAACAAAATTTACTATTTCGTCATTAAGCAATAACTGTGTATTTATTGGTCTTACATTAGGAAGTGTAAATTTTATACACTTTGTTTTGTTACCTACCAGAATTTAATAAACCTAATAGGAAACATTGCAATGTTAAAACAGTTAAAATAATTGTCCGCGGAACAATTGCATATACGAAGCAAAAAATCTGTACAATGACACCTATAAAGAAAGTACATGTTATTCATCAGGTGATTAATTGCATTTTATATTTTTTTTTCAAACCATATTTTACCTGCGCTTCGAGTTGCAATAAATAGTATATATGAGTAAGTAGCTCAGTCTCACCTATTTCAGCTGCAAAGAAGCTTATTTTATGCGCTTTGTTTCGGTTGAAAGACGAGATAATGCAGTGAAATTATAGGAAAAAAGACATCACCTCTTACTCCTCCAGAAAAGCAGCACATGAGTGATGCCACATATGTCACATGAGATCTTCATGTCCGTGGTGTGTGGGTAATTGTGAAATGAATATTATGTGGGTATCGCATTGCATGTTCCTTTATTAAACTGTCTCAATCAAAACATCTTTCAGTTAGCACCTTCGTCCTGCACCTTGACATGGCGCAGTCGGTATTAAAATGACATATATGTAAAAATAAAAGTACTAATAGTATTAATAGTAATAGTAGTATTTCGGAAGTACATACATACAATTGGAGAAGAAAGAAGAAAATAATTATGTGCAAAATGGAATCTGTGTTTAGTAACATTCCATATTGCAACAAAACCGGTTCTTTTTTAAAATGACCTCGTAAATGTCACATCTGGAAGTTTAAAATAATTATTAATATATTTCAAAGCCTGTGAATTATCAAAAAAGGAAAAATAAGGTACAGATCAATTTTTTGCATATAATTGAAGAAAAATGTCGTTATACGCACAGTTCACAGAAACATTTAAAGAAGAAAGAATTCAAGAATTTTATGATTTTTTTACCTAAGAAGAATCTAACAATAGAACGACATAGATTTTTTATTCGGAAGCAGCATTATACGGAAACGGTTACGCAATATGTTTTTGAATTGAATAAAATGGCGGCTAAGTGTGAATTCAAAAATTTATGTATCGAACTTGTACGCGATAGATTAATATGTGAAATAAACGATGCAACAATGTCAGAAAGAGCATTGTGTGAATATAGTTTAACACTGGAAAAAGCGGTAGATATATGGCGGAAGTTTCATATGCGTTCACACTTCACATAAGCTGGTGTTCATGTATATAAGAAACGGTCCTTTACCAACAATTGAGCTTTCAGCAGCTTGTTTGCCATCATTCCAATTACATAAAAATAAATATTCTACGAGTATATTGTTTATAATCCCCAATACTTTGTATATGCTAATACAAAGAAGTAAAGTAGTAGTACAAATACTAATCTAATTTCGCATTTATGTCAGAAGTTATAGTAAGAAAGATTTCATTGAAGATGTTATTCAAACTTAACTTTAAAATACTTAACTATAGTTTAGTTATGTATTTTAAAGTTAAGTAACTTTGATAATAAATTTGTCAAAACATTGATAATAATTCTGATAAAAAATTGTATAAAGAAATTGTAACCTATTAAATCCAAGGTTAAATAAACAGCGAGTAACATTATTTATTATTTAAAAAAAGTTAACTTTCTAATAATAATTGCATCCGTGCACAGTTGAGGCGAGCCGTTGTTCTATAGTCAACAATAATCTTTAGAATATCTACATATTTCATGTCAAATGAAATTATCCTACAGTCAATATAGTAAACATACATCCTATAGTAAACAATCCTTTTATCCTATAATCTTGCTCCGTTAACATATATTGCAGGGACCTAGAACCACTATTCAGTTATCACAATACAAAATATTGTACCTTTGTATAGGAAGTGGTTACTAATTGAATTCAAAACCCAGTTAAATTTCAAATAGTTTTATAATAGTATAAATAACAGCCATATAAAAATAAGTACAAAAAACACAACAAAATTGTAGTAAATCATCTAAAAGAAATATGGACTAGGTAGTCTAGGAGCCAGCAATGGTGCTGGCGCAGGTGCTAGAATTGGAGCCCGGGGTAATACAGGCGCAGCTAGAGGTGCGGGGGCGACTACAGGGGCAGGCGCGACCACCCTCGCTGGAGCACCAATCACGAGTGGCTCTCGTCGTACCACCGCATTGAACCCGTTCAGTGGATCAGCCGAGTAGTCCACAATACGTCTAGTGCCATCGGGATCGACGACTGTATAAGACCCAGTGACTAAGTCGCCATTTCTGTGTTCTTGGTGTCCTTTGTAATCGCCCGTAAGTGCGTCCTGAACATCGTATCCGTACGAGTATTGGGGGAGAGGGTCCACTCGAGCTAAAGGTAGAGGGGCAACAACACCTGCGCTGGCTACGCCCAATATGCAGATGAATACTACAATCTGTAAATAAAACATCAAAATTTTGTTAAATTCGCTAGATAATTGCAATGAAAATTAAATAGCATAACATAAAACACAATAATTAATAACCTAAGGTTTTAATTGATAGTTGGATGTCTACTCATAGTATGTAAAGTTATTAAAAGTAATAATATTATAAACGCTCAGTTACGAATGGCATTGTTGTGATATTTCAGCATCTTGGAAATTATTTATACAATTTTATACCATATGATATACTTTTTAAATTTCTATGTATATAACATAGTAGAATGTTCTACTATGTTATATAACGTATTATATGTTACAAATATTTAATAATATCATATCTGTGGTATTAAATATATATTGTATTATTCTATTATTAACTTATTTAATGCGTACGACTGTGATTATGCAATCATTATTTGTCACTCCTCATTCGTAGCCGGTTGTAGTTCACGTGCAGGTATTTCGACATGCTCCCATTATTCCTTTTTCCTAACAACAAGTGAGTAGAATACAAAAACTTATCATACCAAATACGTTACGTTAACACGAGCAGTGTGTAATAATGAAATACGTGTACGTGGAATAAAATTTATCGTTATTGATATTGCAAGGTAGTAAACGCGTTGATGTCTTTATTATGGTCAACAGTAATAATCAAATCATAATAAGCGAGACTATAGGTTTATAATAATAATAACTCTTTTTATCTTTTCGTATATAACATTGCATTACGGACACATATGTATGTCAGAAATATTATTATTATTATTTAAATATTTCTCGAATATTATAATGTTTAATAGCCCAGTCGGGCGATGAGCAACGCTTGGCGCCTTTCTGTATTATATCATTTATCTAAATAAAAGTAGCCATTTCCGAGATAATGTATATAAATATTTGAGAAGAATTTTTTATGGCAGCATATTGACAAATCCGGTATCAACGGTACATTAACATGAAGACTCTGACTCTGACGGTCTCATTTGTAATTACAGTCGTGAATATAATATAATATATATATTTATATAAGAGCAAACGAAGGACTTAATATTACTAATGTACATATTAACCAGATCACCGTGTAGGTAGGCATTACCATACAATCACCGATTGAGTCCTGACATTAAGGAACAATTGCAAAATAATCTCTATTCTGTCCCGCGCACTTGCATCCATACTAATAGTATAAATACGAATGTGTGTACTGTCTGTCCATTTGTTACCTATTCGGGACCAAAAGACTGAATATATTTTAATGAAATTTGACGTGAGGATAAATTGCGTCATAAAGACGAATATGGACAATCTTTTTTATCTAAAAAAAATTAATGAAAATACCTGCTAGTATATCTGCGAATTTTCACCCCTCTAATACGGGGTTTTTAGAATAATTTTTGAGATACATAAAATATAGCCCATATCAAGTTTTGTCATACAATCTATATTCATGTTAATATAGAAGTTAATTCATAAGATCCGTTTAGTAGTGAAAGTGCAACAAACAGATACACAGACACACATTAACATTTATACATAAAATTCATACTGAAAAAATCTGACTTGACTAGTAGCATACTAACGCCATAGTATGGAAGGCATCTATATTATTTGTTTTCATTATTATGGAAAAGAAAATGTATAGTCTTACGTATATAACTATGGTTTAGCTGAATTTCTTTCTATTTCCCGTAATATATAAAATTCTTATGCACGGGGTTTGTAAAAAATCAACCCTGAAACGGCTTGATCGATTGTTATGAAAATATGATTGTTGTGTATATATTTAATAGGTGAGAATAGGACGTAAACTATTTTCCATATCCCAAGTAATAAGGAAAGTCCGGTGCACTCCATTTTTACTTTTATATTACGGAATATTTATACTATACTCCCAGTTTTTAATTAATAATTTATATAATAAAACGTTTGCTGGGTATATATATATATATATATTAAATTTTTGTTATTTGTTCTTTATTACACTATTTAAAATGGAGAGCCTAATTAATGTTATATAGTATAATGGATATTTAGTTTTACGGCCAAACTAATTATGTAACTATTAATGAATATATATATTTATAAAATGTGGTGCATTTATTAAATAATGCATCCATTTTAACGAATAGTTGAAATGAAAGCGCTCAATTTGAAAGAAGGTAATGTTGCAAAGCAGCTCGATATGGATCTCGTTGGTCAATCATCGCACGCGCACGACACGAACCAAGCTCATACTGACCTGCTGCGTTGAAATAGATGCTATCGATTCGTGATAACAAAGCACTATTGCAAGATGACAAATTGATAGCATTATAGTCTCTTTTTGTTTCTATTATTGTTGGATAGCAAAACATAATAAAACGATTTCGTTCGGTGTAGTATGGTGTGGTACATTTAATTTATTTATTTACAATAGGTACATTCAAACATCATTTTCATTGTCATCAATGAAAATGATGTTTGAATGTATCTATTGTATGACGGTATTTTATACTATTATATTATATATATTTGTAAATAGAGCTTACCGGTTCTTATATATAAATCAATTTCCAACTTAGAAAAATTAGAGTATGATTACGTTATTCAAGATTTTTATATTTGTAAAAGTATAGATTATATTCAAAGTACATAAGTATATTTGACTTACCTTGTTGTCCATGTCTGTTTTCTTAGGGTAGGATACGTATAGTCCTCTGAGTGAAACGATATGTGAGTACCTTTGGGTGCTACCGCATTTTATATCGCCCACTGCGTAATGCGATATACGTGAGTCCCATACCGTACAGCTCATTGAAGAAAGTGCTACAGTGTTACGCGATGACTCTTGCGATATATTATGTACCGTTTACAAAATGCTTTCTTCCAATCTAATATTCTCTAATATGTAAAAGTCTCGTGTCAGAGTATTTGTACTCCTCCGAAAGGGCTTGACCGAATCTTATAAAATCTTAGTATATTCAATAAACCTGATAATAGCACGTAAACTAATTTTCATAGCCTTAGGTGTTAATTCTAAAGATTTTTTTTCGTGGCCACCCTAATTACTAAGGAGTATAAAAAATAAATAACAACCTACATCATACCTACCAAGAATACATATAAAATCTCATCAAAATCGCTTAAGCCGTTATTGGGAACTAAGACTGTGACACGAGAATTTTATACATATAGATAATTTTGTAGGGTTATTTTTGCATTTAGTATTTTATTAATTTTATATATTTATAAATTATTATTATAGTTTTGTGAAAATGAATGGATATTTTTTACTCTTTCACGAAAAACCTCTGAATGGATTTTGACAATAATATAGCGTAGCATATTCATCAGGCTATAAATGTCACGCGAGTGAATCCGCGGCCACAGCTAGTTTATAAATAATAATAATAATATGATGTATTATAACACTATTACTAACATAACAGATACTACAAATAGCATAATATATAGTCGCTTAAACCCATAACGACTAAAAGGAATCAATAGAAGTTATATTCCAAAACTGACCCAACCAAAGACCTATTGAGGAATTTTATAAAGATTGTGTAACTGTGCTACTGAGATCGTGTAGTTCAAAAACAGATGAAAACATTATAAGTTTTGTGTAATTAATATATGTAGATTTATTTGCTACATTTACGACATATATTATTATATAGATTTAGCTAGTTGCAGCTAGCTACCTGTAGATTCTCCGCTAGGTTATGGGTACTGACGCACTCAAAATTACGAACATGTTTCATATTATCAAAATTTAATTGAATATGATTTATCCGGCTTTTCTCATAATACTGAATAGTGCTGAAAGACAGTTAAAATAATGAGAGTAGCGAATTTGCCAAGTTTTATAGTATTTAATTTTGATGTATAGATAAATATTTTTTAACATGATAACATCTAATTATTATATCACTGTTCGCTCGGATCTTTGCTCATAGCAGGCTCGGCCACTAAACAAGAACGAAAGAATAGCACATGGATGTAGTTTATACTATGATTGTATTACATTTTTTGTATGGTCCCTAACAAATTAATAAATGGTTTCTGGATGGGTGATAATTTTACAGTAAAAAAAATTCTAGTGAGAATTGTTGTTTTTGTAGAAATCTAATTTGTAATATTCTATTGGGGGTAGTTAGATTATTCTTCAGCGCTTTTAATTTATGGTAGAATTACGTAATTATTTAGTGAATTGTTAAATAAAAATGGATATTTCCATTAGCTATAACGCACTATGGATGTTACAAATTCTGTGATAGAGGTAGCGAACTCTGTATAATATGTAAATACGGTACTTATTTGTATGTACACTTCAGTAACGGCATATTGTTATATTAAAGTTTACTGTTTTACTTAGGTACTACCTCCAGGTAGAACTATAATATAGATACAGAAGAACTAAAATTCAAAAAATAACTAAATACAGAGCTTCTAAAACGTACTCGTACTCTTCTGTATTCGTTTACGCGAACGCGTACAGAAGATCGCCTGCGATTTAGCTGTATAATTGTTTTGCATGAAATGTTGAATGATGTTGGATAGGTATATATTTAATTGATACATGAACTAATAGGTTTTAAATAACTACCCAATATCTATCTTTAATAAGTTTCATATAATCTAGTTTATTTTAATTTAATTAATTCATAAATATAAATAAAAAACTTAATTATTTTATATAATTTTAGTTATATATTTTTGTATTGAATATTTATGTATATAAATATATATAGTGTTAGTATATAAATATATTTAAATTTTATTTTTATATTATATTTACAGGTACTTTGTATTTGTAGTTATATATCATATTTGACGTTAATTCTTTAGTTTTTATTTTTATTTTATATTTTCCTTATTTTATTATTTGCACTCCTGTGACCCACACACCACTTCCTGTGTCACGCTGTTTTGAGTTGGGAAGAGAGATCTCTTTTAGAGATAAGTTCTCCTTTGTAAACAAAACTTATAACATATATTTAAAACTTGTATTTAAAAGTGTAATAAAGTATATATATAATCTTTTCTCTGAGGTTTAAAGAAGCTAGTAATTTAATTTAAGTTTATATCATAAATGTGACAATAGTGACTGACTAAATTGAGAAAAATATTTTTTATAATTATATGATCCACTCGTAAGTAGAAAGGTTCACGAGATTAAATACCTGTAGAGTTTACATAAAATATATATTTAGTAATTATATTACCATGAGCACGATATAAATATCGGGCTCGTGGTAATATAATTACTAAATATATATTTTATACCATATTGAGTACTCATACACTGTTATATTCAGCACATCGATTCCATTAAGGTATGAATAAAAGTACGATATTAGACACAAAGATTTAACGTTTTTATTTAACTCATAAAAAATATATCTATATACAAAATATCAAGTCTTAATAAATGAGCCATCAATTTAAGTAAGTCTTTAGTTTAAGGGTATCGGTAACCAGCGGCGACTGTTTCTACTATCTTGGCAGGCGCAGCTCGTACCGCAGGGACGGCTGCTGGAGCTGCAGCTACTCGTGCCGGAGCAGCATAAGCAGTAGCCACAGGCGCAGTATAGGCCGCTGCAATCGGTGCCGTGTAGGCCGCAGCAACGGGTGCCGTGTAGGCTGCAGCAACAGGCGCGGAATACGCCGCAGCTACGGGTGCCGTGTAGGCTGCAGCAACTGGTGAATTGTAAGCGACAGGAGCGGTATATGATGATGCTATCGGAGCTGGAGCTGCGTATGTAGTGTATGCAGCAGCAGCAACAGGCGCTGTATACGCCGCAATAGGAGATCTATACGCAGCCGCTACAGGGGCGGCGTAGCGCGCGGCTACGACAGGAGCGGCCGCATATCGAGCGGACACCAAGGGAGCTGACGCATAGCGGGCAAAGACTGGCGCAGGTGCAGCGGCAAGGGCAGCGGCGGCAACAGGGGCATTGGCATATCTTGCATATACAGGAGCAGCGGCTAATTTTGCAGGTGCAACGACTGGGCTTCCAACCGCATAGCGCGCTGATAAGATAGCGGGTTGGGCCACTGCAGCCGCGACGGGGGCGGCGGAGATCCTTGCTGGCACCACAGCTGGTTCAGCAATAACAGCTGGAGCAGCAGCCACTAATGGTTCTTTTCGCACCACAGCGTTAAAGCCATTAATGGGATCTGCCGCATAATCCACAACGCGACGAGTGCCGTCAGGGTCAACGAGGGAATAAGAACCCTGCACTATATCTCCATTACGCTGTTCCTCCTGGCTCTTGTAATCTCCGGTGAGTGAATCGGCCACATTATAGCCAAATCGGTATTGTGGTAAAGGATCGAATTCTTCAAGTCTTGCGGCCACGGCTGGAGCAGCATAGGCGACTGGTGCTGCGGCAATAGCTGCAGGTGCAACGCTGCCGTAGGCCACAGCGAGAAGGCACGAGAAGACCGCCAACTAAAACGAGTAATGATAATAAAAATTTATATATTCGAAAATATTCAAACATTATAGGCTGCAATATTATGCATAATTGATAGGTGCTTAAAACATTTTGTATAATTTATTTATTTATATACGAATTAACATATTGATTCTGTATTAAAGTATATTCATATCAGTTTTAATTGTACAACCACTAATTTAAAGTAAATTCTGTAATAATTCTACAATTCCGAGAAAACTCAATTGAGTGATTAGTGCAGTGGATTATATTATTGAATTGCCACGAGAGGAGATCATATTTCCTGTGAAGATTTTCCACGACGTAAGATACTTTCTAATTATTCTATGGAATTAGCTATTTCACTTTATTTTAATTTTTCGAAAAATCACTGTCACGATCACTTTATATTTACACTTCACAAAACAATCCAAAGGTGTTCAGTACCTTGAAAGCCATTTTTTCTTTGATGTGTTCAGGGGTGCTTTGAGTAACGAACTGTACACCCCAGTAGATACTAACGCCATTTATAGTTGTTCGGGTCATACGTTGCCTCATCCCGACCGCATCTCCAAATTTAAATATATTCAAGTACGCACGTACAAGACTGGCCGATGGGACGGCTGGACAATGCCACAAACAAAGCAACTACTTGTGCAACCGAAGCGGGTCTATGAAACATCGTAGTCACACCAATTCTTCACTTAATTTTCAATAGAACTTGTTTTCAGGAGCCGTATTACGCGATTTCACAGTTGAATATAACTGAAAAGTTTCCAAGGAAAATGGTAATATCCGCATGTCCTGAACTACGTATAGTACGAGTAATTTAATTATGAGGTTGTAGTGGTAGATATCAAACATAACAACAAGTGCAAGTAAGGCCACCAATTCTGCTTCAAATATTTGCATGTACAGAATTTCTGAAGTAAAATCAACACTACAATTTAGTAGCTACTTATATTATATACTAAATAGTCCGTTTTTTAAAGGATTTTCATTTTGCAAAACGCAGTAATAAATAATAATTTGTAGAACTTAAGGAATGTCTTTTATTATTATTATTATTATACATATTTGTTATTAAATTTTATACAGTGCCCAAAGAAGTATTTTAAATATCTTAGCAATTACACAACAGTGAACTTCAAGAAATTGGGTAAGAAATATAACTTATATTTCGTTTAACTCATAATTCGTTTGTATGTAGTATATTATCATGTATATGTATGTATGATCTTATATCTATTTAATATAATTACACTTAAAACAGTGAACTTCTAAGGTTGGCTGGTAGAGAATGCTATTAGCATTAAGCCCGCCTATTGTACAAATCAATAAAGTTTTAAATAAATAAAATAAATAAATATATTAAGGTAATATTAAAACATTTACAAATATTTTAATTTCTCGCCATTTCTGTACAATAATATGCATGTATTATATTATGTATATCAACCTTCTTCGTGAAACATAGATAAAGATCTATTGCTGAAAACTGCATTAAAATCCTTTATGTAATTTAAAAGATACAAGCGTAAAAAGGGGTATCGACCTTGTTTTATTCTTTATAAAAATATGACATTAAATCATAATCGCAATACGTCCCCGTATTGCGTCTACTATAGGTTCGTGTAAAAATAATTCAATGGTACATTTTCCTTGATGAATGTTATTTTATTATACCTGCTAGGAATGCAAACTTTTCTTAAACAGAGTACAGCTCTTGTTATATGCCGATAAATGTATTATAGTTGGTTATACAATTAAATTTTTTTATTTTACAAATGAACAATAAAATAGGTACACTCCATAATATTAAAATAGTAGTTTTAGTTAATTTTTGTATACCTGTTAGTACATGATTTCCACAAATACATCAGTTTCATGGAATTAATCGTAAGTAGTAGTTGTTTCAATGAAAAAGTAAGTTTTGAGCAATTAAACAATTGATAAATAAACAAGTGATAAACAACAGTGATGGGTATAGTCACAAAAATAGTTAATTCCAGGTCAAAATTCTCATCTCTCTCATTTCATTACAAGAAATTCTTACATCGCCTGAAGAACACGTATACATGGATATGTATACGTGTTCTTCAGGCGATGTAAGAATTTATTTCAAATTTCATTTTTCTTGCATTTGTGTATTGTTCTCATAGTCGCCACCTATGCCATCCAAGGGATAAGATAACAGTAACGTATTGAGTATCAATTCAGTCGCAAACTGTGATAAAGAAAAATAGCTGTTCCAGTTATAATAATAATTAGGATATAAATTATTATTTTTTAGTTAACTCGTTCAATACCAATAATGCCCAGACTTTATTTTAAAAATATAATATAAAATTTCTTTATGTTGTTTATTTAAAAGATCTAAAAACATATAGACAGTCGAATGAAATAGATTAAACAATGCCGTTTCAAAACTGTAGATATAATACGAATTACTCATAACATTGATATTTATTAAATTCAATAACTTCCATGTTATACAAATTATGATAGATATGTATACAAAGCCGCAATAAAATTTATATGAGCATAGACTATTTAGAAATACTGATGCTATGTAGGTAATAACTGGTATTATCAGTAATTGCTTTCTAAAAACTCGATTTATATCCTGCGACTGCGACATAATCGAAAACAAGATACTCAAGAAAACTAGAACTGGGCTGTAAAAGAAACAATTGCCGAACATTCACGGTTGTACCTTATTCAAGTAAATTAACATAACAATCGAGGAGTTTAGAGAATTTATCGTCAAGGACGCAAGGTCGCACAAGTGGTTCGTGCAGGTATTTTTAAAAGAGTTTATTCGAGTACAGTTGTATTTTTATAATTACTTACCACATAGTACTTAAAATACAGTACAGAAAATATGTAACCAATGATCTATATTGGCTATCAATAAAAGATATATCTTTATTTTTTTACACTATTATTACAGATTCTACACGATAATAATACCTACAACTTACAAAAAACTGATAACATGATAAAAAATGTACATACAAAATGTGATTCTTGAAGATATCTTCTTGATTGATTAATACTAGATTTAAAGACAACCTTGCTGTCCCCAAGTATCGATTATAAAAAGTTAATAGGTCTTTTATGGGAATAGGTATAAAAATTTACAATAAGATACCAAAGGATATGTTGGAATTACGCTTAAATAAATTCAAAACATCTGTTAAATCATATTTACTGAGCAAAATCTAAACTCACTACACGATTACTTGAATGACGACTGTGCATGGCAATAGTTGTTTATGCACTAGATTTTCATTTAATGTTAGACTTACACACCTATATAAATATACATTGTAAATAAACTGACTTTTAAAAAAAAATAATTGAGTTTCTTGCCATTTCTTTTCAAATGGATCTATATACCGAACTGGACGGTAGGGAAAAAATTAAAATTATAATTTACGTATAATAAATTTTACGTTCATAAGCGGCTAATATGTCCCACATGAATAAATGATTTTTGAATTTGAATTTGAAGTTTGTTAAAAATAATTTTAAGTCCTTGAATATCTGAGAGTAACCGCGTGATTATAATGTAAAATAATTACATGCTCCTACATCATATAATTAAAAATGGTGTAATTAAATTCCGCTACACATCATGCATACAATGGTGTTCACATTAATGGAAGAGTAAATGAAAATTCATGACGAGCATTTTCCCAGTTGCGCACGCGTGTCCTTCACAAGGCTGCCAGTGGTTGCGTAACGTGCAATGTGCTTATTTAGCACGCTACCGACATTTCTCTATGCACTGTAAGTCATAGATATCGATTAAACCTAATACTAAAGGCGGAGTAAAATGAATAAATATTAAAGTACGAGTGTATACGAAGAGTAGCATATAACTGTACGTGTTACTGAATGCATTAAAACATGTTAGGTAGGCCACATATGAGTACGATATTAAAATTGATGGTAATAACGAAATAAAAACAGTACAGATAATTGAATTAGTGAGCACATTATGTGGTAATCTGGGAAGCGATCCATTCATACCTCGATATTGCCCATGTTTTTTAGTAATATAAACTACTGGTCCCCTATTACTAATAATGTACTCTATCGTCGACAACTATGCGGCTCTCCCTTAAACTAACGTTGTTAATTCGCCACGACAGGCTAACTGACCTGACTTCATGCTCAACATATCATTTTCCACTACTGCCCCACCAGCTTATACCTTTAATACAACTATTATATTATCTGTACAACCGAGTACATCACTCCATTGTCATCCAATTATTAAAATAGAAACTGAGACTAACAACAATGAAGTAGTAATTACTATCTTTGACAGAAATATACTTTCTTAATCATTTATAATTAACACCTACAGTAAATAGTGTTAACATTACAGGTTTTATACAAAAATGAAGACCTGTACCTAGTTATTAATATAATTATAATATTTTCTTACACTATAATAATCATAGATTTTTTATTATCAACTGAGTATACACATAAATGTTGTAAATACAACAAAAAATTTGGAGTTTGTATCTTTTATATATTCTATATTCTTGTCACAGTAGACACATTTAGTTCTTATTGTAGCAGGTCAAGCCTAGTTCTGAGAAATATTGTCAAGGAAAGCGTTTAGACTTACTACTAGAGCGTGTGCACTTGAATGATAAGCAGCTGCGTGCGTGGTGTAGCCGCTGATGCAATATGCGAGTATGTATACCACATTCTGAATTCGAATTTGTATTGGAATTTACAAATTGATCCCAAGGTTACAGTCCTCTCAAGGGCAATATTAGGTAAAGTACATCGCGTTAAATTAATCTTTAATAATAAATGAGAAAAAAAATCTATCAGAGGGCAGACTCATTTTTTAATTGTCTCTTCTACAATTCTATTCTAATCTTTTATATTCTGTGTACTTATTTCAACTGTGTTATTTCCGCTAACAGTAAATCGATTTCCTAAATTCTATTTGTAACAAATAAAATGCTGTTTTTAATGGCTTGTAGGTATTAATTTTTACACTATAAATAGAAATAGAAATAATCTTTATTCAAATAAGCACTTTTGAAAAGTCCAGTTTTTTTATTCTACCGCTTATTCGGAATGCAGATTCATCACAAGAAGAATAAGCAAGAAACTTGTGTGTTGCTCTTTTAAATAAATATTGAATTAATTATATTTAATTAACAACATGGATTAGGCATGCTACAATCAACATAGAAACCGCTACGCACTTAATCTCTGTTCAATCAGATGCCATTATCAGCGCTATGAATTTTAAGTTAGATAACTTCTACAAAAACATTATTATCATTTATAAATTCGCTTTTTTACAAAGAAAACATTTTATGACATATTTGATTTCTTTTCTATAAATTTAAGTTTGGAGGCAAAACCTAAAATAAACCGTAAATTAAATTTAAAAGTATTTTATTTTGCCTAATAAAATATTTTATAAAATACGTTTTTGTATTTAGTATTTTAAATGCACAAGGAAAACTATTTCGTACTTAAACTGAAAAAATACTACTGAAAAAATATTTCTATTTTCTATTTAAATAAATTTTGTAAACTATGTCTAATAAATTACAGTCGACTATCGACCCGTCCCGGCATCACACGGGTGTTTGTGATGGCCGCCATATATCTATGTGCCTGCACCACTAGGCGACCAGTAGTACGTATAAATAAAGTTTGATATACATTTAAATTACGTAATTTGTTACGTAATTTTAAGATAAAATGTGCGCGGCGGATCGCATTATAGCCTGTTATCTATAAAAATCCTTCAACAATATATTTGTTAACTTACTATAACCACAAATAAGATAATATTATATACTATAATATAGATACAAGAATCTAAATTTAAAAAATATGCATTCATGCCGTCTTAAACAAAAGTCTTTACAAAATTACTATTACATTGAACTTTAAACTTATTATAAAATTATTTAATTGGTTGCTCATAATGGTACTAATATCGGACGACCTTAAACTCTCGACCCTGAATGAAAAGCTTCCGGCCAACTTTGGTTGCGTTTCACTGTCAGTGATAATATCAGGCAGTGGTTTCGAGCGAACTTTTGGTGTGAGCCAAACCGAAATATACTGAATAATAATAGATTAAACATTACAAGATTCTGTTTTTGTCCAACCGATATTTACGAATGCTCGTTTCTTCAACATTTAAAGTAATTTTTATTATACTGTTATATCACATTATTCTACTTTATAGTTTAGATACCCAAATAAATACCTAAACATTATATTAATATAGAAAAAAGATCTGAAGGTGTGTTTTAAATTAAACGATTTATTTGGAGTCATAAACGATACTTTAGTAGTAGAGACAAAAGTGTCTCATACATTACCCTATAAATACTTCATACATTGCTGCTTAAACAGTTTGAATTCTGTACTTAACATATGTACATGTTAATAAAGCGATAAAGAATATAGATAAAACTCGACGGTTATTTTTAACGATTAATTTGTTAAGGTCTGAACGGCCATGGTCCTTACGAATGTAAGGTCTCTGTCTAAACGATTTAAACAAAAGTGGCTGGACGGGTGTGGCTGCTGGTAATTGACGGCTTTACTCAAGGAGCCGCCGATCGTAAACGATCTGCCTGTATCGGATCAAATATGTTGAATAATACTTAATGCTTTGTCGTTTTTTTACCATATCTCCACTAGAATCATTGTTGGGATTACCACATATATAAGATAAAACAATGCATTAAAAGGGTCTGCATTCTAATATTTCTGCTGATATGATAATCATTATTAAACTACAATATTAAAAGTAAAAGGAGCAAAATATAAGAATTAAAAAAATACTAGGTAACTAAATGACAGAATTTTAATAATGTGAGGACTCTGATAACTTAAACTAGACATTACACCTGTGCTATAAGCCCTCTTGTAAGATGTACCTGCAAACCCATTATTAACTTTAAAAAATGTACTGTAAATTGAATTTGTTGAACCAAATAACAATAATGATAACATTATTATAAACATACATTATTTTAATTAATCTAATGTGAATGTTTTTATGTAATTGTTAAACAAGCTATCAGCCCACCTGGCAGTCATATACTGTAACATCATCATAGAGATCACGTCATCATGTGACAATTGTGGTAATCACTATGACTCATGTATTGCCATTCCGGACGACTGAGATATTATACTTTCGTATTCTGCAATTTTTAAGAAATGTTATCTATTATTTTTTTGAAAAGAATCCATTTCATGATATGAATGTAGTCATTTTGTAGCTATGTTACCTTGATTAATATAGTTATTGCAGTTTAATTCTTATATCTTGTGAAATATTACTATAAAACAATAAAATATATTGTCATATTTTTAAATAATGATGACTCTTAAATCATAATAATATATCTCGTCTATAATGTACTTGCATAAAAATATATTTTATTCGTTAAAATATAGATACGCGCGTGAGTCAGCCCACTGGTCAGCTTTCTGATATGCATCGGTATATTAGTTACAAACCTTACTTACTAACGTAGGCATAATGTCAAGGTAATCACTTATTGTTTCAAAATAATAGAGGTAACCGATATATTTTTTTCATTTATCATTTATCATTATTTTTATTCCTACGTGATAACTTACTCCACTATATAAAGTAAAATAATAAAAATAAATTCTGTAGAATACGATGGAGAAATAAAAACTTTTGATTTTGGTACACAGAATTTAAAAATTCAAAGGAAAATATCGTAAATTGTTAATATTTTTGGACTCACTAATACAGTACTTAGATTTCTAACTTCTTAAAATATTTTTATTTAATCCTACTATGTTAAGAATAGGATTATATTCTAATAAAGAGTTGCTGTAACCATATACATATACATATAATCCTAAGCTATCATTATTGGTATTACGTAACTTATCTATGTTAGTAGTATGATCAGTAGCCGTTGATCTTAATAAATCTGCCCCTTCGATAGATCCTTTTTCTCATTCCAATGGAGATAAAAATTACGATTATAATGAGGTTCGAATCCGTAGCGATGCCCTCAGACTAAAGTTGTATCCTTCAGACAGGAGTTGAGTTACATATTCATATATAGAAGCTGTAAATGCGTGAACAAATTTTAACACATACAAAATAAAAAAATAATAAACACTATATATATATACATATTTCCAATATCGTATGTCGTCAAACAGATATGTTAATATTATTCCAAAATTTTTTTTCTTACTCAATAATGGAGTACGTCTTTTCTCATTTTTAAACCTTAATTTTTTACCTTAAAAATAATTAATTTGTATTACTGCGAGTTATGGTAAATATTCCAAGAAAGATTTTGGCAGATAAAAACAGTATATTATTAAAAATGTTTTACTGCGCCACTAATACTACATTACAATAATTTCTTATATATATTATTTATAGTTTATATGTATTACCAATCTAAATTAATTGGTGCAATAAGGTAATTATTTAAATAAACAAATTAAATTATTATTATCAAGCTATAAAGTGCAAGTAGATAGCAACGTCACACGGACGTCTATACGTACGACGGCACGGGTCGTTCGGTGCTCCAATTCCATAGACCTTGATTTGTGCGAACCGTGCCTCAGGGCTTATTACATGTCACATTATATAAAATTAACATACCTAGGTGGTACAACTTGTTTTTGTTAGCTTGTTTCGTCAGAACTTAAAAGACGAAGCTAGAGGAAGACATTACTCTTAAAAGATTTACAGTATTGTATTACTGCAACTAGATATAGTTTACCTGTTGTTCAAATAGGTATCTGGAATTAGTTTACTGTGTTATCAATATTTCAATCACTGGAGAGTTAATCAGAAATACAAATTGATACACAAAATCTTTTTTTGAGACTGATGATCTGAGACTCAGATTTGAATTGACGATCTTTTCTTTCGGACAAAGTTTGTATAATAAATCATAGGGCACCGACACTCAAGCTGAAACAATCCATATTGTATTTTAGTATAACAAATTAAGAGAAAATAATAATAATCTAAAACTGATGTAGCTGATAAGTTCATAGTACCTATGAGCTATGGAGAAAACAGGATTTGGGCTCCGTATTAGTTTATTATAATTGCTGTTTAAATAGGCAATGGTATGACCGTACACCTGATCACTATCCACCCACTAATATTCTGCAATGAAGACCCTCTCATACATGCTTCTGTCCCATACACATACCTATTCTATATGCAAAATTTCATGAAGACCCTTATGGAATCAAATTAAAGAGGTTGAAATAACAAACAAGACAAACAATACCAAACAAATAAACTTGCTGTTTTTATGTAACTGGAATAAATAACAAACAACTTTATGAATGAAACTACCAAGCAGCATCATGGACAACCCGTAGTGACTGCCATGGCTTTATGCGCTGCCATTAGTGCCACTTCAATCAAAACACAGCTTACAAAACAAGTCGATTTACGAAAGAAAGGCGTGTGTTACATATACCCATATTTATGACTTTGTACAAAGTCTACCTAGGTTATTGTGAGTCACATATTACATATTAGGATTAATTTTAGTGCATTATATGAAATTGGAATACGTGTTGCGAAGATTATATGAATTCATATCAGATACAACAGAAAAATAGTATGGTTATATTCATAGTGTCGGTAATACTTAATTTATTGCCTACAATTGAGTTTCTATCCTTTTAGATATTTTCTTATCATTCTCGATCCAAAATTGATTATATTATATATAGCATGTTGTATGTGACATCGCAAGTCCTAAACGAATAGACCGATTACGATGCGGTTAGCTAAATTTTTTTATTATTTCTTACTAGTAAATTTCGTTATCTTATTTCTTTATGGTTTTAATTTTTGTACATCGGATTTCATATCCCATAAAATAGATGGGACGCATGTCCTAGGTTCAGGAGTTACAATTGCACCTCAACATGGATTCACGGTCACATGAAGATAACGCGGCTCCTATGAGTGAAAGGGTGCGCCCCCGCCTCACGTATAAAAGCTCCAAGCGGTCCTCATCAAGCATTATTCGACATCTTACAGTCACTACACAATGGCATTCAAGGTATGAGCATATGTACCTATACGTAAAGTAGATAAACTGTGAAGAAGGATAGTGGGTTCAGAAAAATATTAAGGAGATGTTGTGTTGTAGTAATAATAATTCGTGATTTTATTTTCAGTTTGTTGTACTCGCTTGTTTGGTGGCGGCCGCTGCTGCTGGCGTCGTCCCAGCTGCACCTCTGACCTACGCCGCACCGGCCTACCAACCTGCAGCAGCCTACCATGCTGCTCCCGTAGCCTATGCTGCAAGCCCAGTTGCCTACGCGGCGCCCGTCGCTAAGGTCGCCGCCGTAGCCCCAGTCGCCAAAGTTGCCGTCGAAGAGTACGACCCTCATCCCCAGTACAGCTTTGCATACGACGTTCAGGACGGTCTCACTGGCGACTCAAAGACCCAGCACGAAACTCGCGATGGTGATGTCGTCCAAGGTTCTTATTCCGTTGTGGACCCCGATGGCACCAAGCGCACCGTTGAGTACACCGCTGACCCTCATAATGGTTTCAATGCCGTCGTGCACAGAGAACCTCTGGCCGTGAAAGTTGCCCCCGTTGCTAAAATCGCAGCCCCCGTAGCATACACCGCGCCCGCTCCCGTGTCATACGCAGCGCCCGCTCCCGTATCATACGCCGCGCCCGTAGCCAAGTTAGCCTACGCCGCTGCCCCCGTTGTTCACGCTGCTCCCGTTGCCAAGCTCGCCGCACCCATCGCTTACTCCGCTCCGCTTTACCACCACTGAATTGATGCCAAAACATATAAATACACCAGATAAATGTATTATTTTCAATATATTGAACTGTGTATTATAGACAAGTGATGTAATTTACTGTAAGGTCATTAAATTATTTTTTTATTTAAACGTAACATTATTTTTATTTGCATGCATCTTTAGAACGTCTGTAATCTCTGTAGCTGAGTATCATCTGACCTTTTACTTGTACCTACATGAAAAAAGAAGTATTACAGGCAAACTTACACTTTAATATGTTTTTATAGATTTATTGAACAGACACTTTAATTTATTGAAATATTTAACTTTTTAAAACTAATGTTCCAAAGCATATGTAATTTATTTAAATATATCAAGTCCTATAAAACAATAATGCAAAATTTTGACAAGCAAGTGGTGAGTTAAATGGTCATTACATTTTACGTAATATCAAACATTTTATATTTTTTTATTCAGTTATTACAATTTATGAAGTTATTAATGCAGTTTAAATGTCATTATAATATTTTAAAATCTTAGTAAAGCTTAAGAATTACACTAAGCATAAGTCATTTAATTGCACATTACACCCGAATTAAATGCATCATTGAAAATGAAATTATGCTCGTCGTTTCAGCGCGAGATGCAAATGTGTACATGTACCATTAGAAAAAATTACGTGTGACTGTAAAATTATTTTTAGGTAGGTACAAAGACTAGAGCAGAGCTAAGTTGTATTAACTTCGCTCTAACTATAAATTTAACTTAGTCCTTAGTAAGAGAGTTGCAACCGTAACTCTTAGTAAGTAACTCAGAAGACATGGAAAATACATGACAGGTAATTTAGTTACTGGGTACAGAATAACCGCAAGCTTGCCATGAAAATATATAGAGATGAAGATGGTGATATTCGATGTATGTATGTTAAAGTCTCGCGGTGCAAACAACCTTGATATTTCCATAGTTCTCACGAGACTAGTTGCCGGCTGCCTGCGGCTAGACCGTTACGCAACCTAACCCGTCTCATTCAGGCACCTACGCCCTTAGATGAGGTTGGCTTGATTAGCTAGTGTTCTGTAATAATACCTCTACCTACATCACTTCGTACGTGTACCGAAAAAAATAAACATATTTTTTACTACAATAAAGATGCTTTAGATGTAGTGGTCTAGAAGTTGATAAGAAGAAATAAAAAATTACAATTTGAAATATGTAATAAAAATCTTATAAACGGTCCCACTTTTAAGTTCCGCACAAAAATTATCTAAATTAATTTGAATGGTATCCACGTACTTGTTTAAATCCAAAGAATTCAGACAATTTCATTTCTTCACTTAATAGGCACCGTAAACGACTAGCATTTGTAAATGTCACAACATTTAATGCCGATTTAAATGCCGTATACACAATACTAACTGATGAATAACGACTATGTATACCTATAGGCATATATCTAACATATCTTCAGATGTACCTATATTGATACATTTTTTTTATTTCGCAACGAACATTAATTGGCATATGACAAGATATATAAAATATATATTTCTTGATTAAAAATATCATCAAATTCGTATACCTACCTAAATTAGGTATCTACATAGATATTCTCTTTTTTTGCCAATATTTAATAACTAAAGTATATAGACAGCATACATTAAGTATTAAATATTGCATAAAAGAGACAGTCAAATTAATTCTAAACTAAGTCTTATAATGTAACGATTAAGTACTACATCATACTTTTGAAATATCCTCATGTACAATAACAGTTTCAGTACAGTACTTTGTGTAACAAGTACACAAACTGAAAAAGTAAATATAGATATTAGGTACAGGAACCGTTTTCTTGTATATAAGAAAGATAAATGGAATTAGGATAGTATAGTAGGTCCACAATTTCAGTTTTTTTTTACATATAAAACTGTTGTTCCCATAGACTGTTAAGGTTTCTAGCAACATGCTGGCACAAATAAGCTTTTGGAAAAATTTGCTTCCACTGATAATTAGTGTAATATTCTATAAAAAAGGAGAAATGCATGGAAGTTAATAATGGGATGTGCCGTTGATAGTTTGAGTTTGGCGGAAATATTGGAAAATGTAATAGCCCAAGAGCCCACGACGGCCAGACTTACGTCTTATTAGTAAACGTGAAAGTTCTTTTATGTGTGTCCCCAACACAGGTAAGAACGATCCCCAAACATGAAACCTGGATCGTGGTTCCTTTGGAAGGTAACAGGTAACAAAAGTGTAAAAAATTTCATATCAAATTCGTTATTTTAAGAAACTCCATATTTTCATATATTTTTCGTAGCATTATTATAACTTGCGCTGCTCATTGCCAGACACTTAGTGTGGTTCCAACCCCCGCCGGACCCCCTAAACTATACTATTTTAAAAATAAACTTACGTCATTTTAATAAAGCTGAACATTATATATATTATTGAGAGAACTATTAAACTGAGTTTCCTAAATTGCCAGACAGTTTTCTTGGTTCCTTATCCTACCAGAGTCATCCTCAAAAATTGGTTTAGATGTTCTGTCTTACACTATATAATAGTAATTAATCAGTTTAATAGTTCTCTCAATAATATATATAAAGTTGGGGACACACATACAATTACTAGGTATATCAATCTCTCAAGAAGTAGTCATTGACATTATTAACATAACATGCACACGCATTTTGATGAAGGTAACAGGCGAATTATTTAACACAAGGATTAATAGTCTTTATTACTACCAAAAAATATCTCTCATTTCTACTATAAGAATCAAGAAAAAATCATACCGAGAGTCAATTTACATATAATTTGTGTATAGAAATTTCTAAGGTGAGCAATCTTGCTAAAATGTGTTCTATGAATCCAAGCGAGAACCCAGAACCGAATTACATTTAAAAGGATATATTCTATTTATCTATGGATAATATAGTAAACAAACGCATTAGTACTCTTGCGTAGTTTGTGGTAAACAATGTCATTTACTCGTATCGTTGTATAGGTTTAATGTTTTTATTTTTATAATCGTTGAATTGACTGGTGTTAAAGTTGCCAACCACTTATTTTTAACTACAAATATAATTTTAACAATTAAATTGGGTATAAAGATTGAATAATAATTTATTAGGTTATTAAAATTAAATTAATGCTGAGATTGAAACTTGAATTAAAGAATAACGAATAGAAAAGTCTAATTTAAGACAGAAACATGGTTTCTACTCGAGGTATACGATACAAATTCAGTGAAGGAGAGCGTGTGTTATGTTATGAACCAGATCCTACTAAAGCAAAAGTTCTTTACGATTCCAAGGTCAGCTCAATTATAATAATAATTATTACACACCCTTAGTAAACCTGCAGCTTACTATTTTTTTTATTGGGTTGTTTGGGCTATTGTTAGGTGCATGGACCTGACCAGCACAAAGATCCGAGGCTTACTAAAACCAGAGTATTCTTTCTGAAATATTGTTGCTTCCACTTAAATCTAAAATGCTACGTACACGCAACATGCCGCCAGATTTTACAATATAAAATATTTTAACCATATTAATACAAATTGACAGATTGCACCCAAAACTGCACTTTAATAAATCTAAAATTGTAAAATGAAATATTATTAATTACATAATTGTTACTGTACAGGTTTTAGAAGTGATAGAAAGTAAAGATAAACGTGGAAGACGCACAGTTGAATATCTAATTCACTTCCAAGGCTGGAACTCATCATGGGACCGTTGTGTGAGCGAGGACTTCGTTTTAAAAGACACTGAGGAAAACAGGCAGTTACAACGAGACCTTGCAGAAAAATCACAATTGCAGCTGTGAGTTACACCTTAGAAATATCTAAATACTCATGTAATAATATAATGTTTGTGTTATTTAAACTTTACAAATATATCTAAATTAAATCTTTCTAATGGTTTTGAACCAATATATAAAATTTATAGGTATTAATTGTAAATTTACATTGTAATAAAATAATCAAACTACAGTAGACCCAGTAGTAGTAATCTATTATTTATTATTGAATATTTTTTTGACAATCTTCGCTAATGCAAGATTGAACAAGTTTAAACTTGTCTTGTCACCACTGTTGTACTCGACGCATAGGGTATTGTTTTGATTATGATTGCTTAGTTTGAATTTGTTTCTATGACTAAGCTAAGCTAACAATTTGGTAACTTTTGTTTGTATCCCTTCGCCTTATCTAAATCTTAATAACTTCTAACCATAAGTGTTAATATCTTAAATAATTATTTTATTGCAAACTTAATAGTGATCAGAATTGAACAAAATTACAAATATTGTTCAAATACTGCTTTGGCATTTATAATGCACACAAGTAGTGTTAGGGGCATGATCATAAATTAAAATTACGAATAAGTGGGCCTCTGAAATGGCAATGGATGATTGGTATCACAGGCATCATAGTAATGAGATGTCCATAGTTCTGCTCATGTATACATATATTTCAATTACCTAAACTAATAATATACATGATTATGGAGATTTACATGAAACACTTGTGAATATTGCATTTATTTGTATACACAGTGGTGCTTACTTATACCGCCGAGAGCGCAAAAAGGGCAGCAGCTCAAATACAGGTGCCGGCCCTGCAAAACGCGCTCGGCATGGATTCAGTGACGATGGCTCCTCTAGCAGTACACAACCTGATGGTATGCATGTATTACAAAATATTCAATACTTTATAATAAAATCTCATAGCTTCTGTAATTTTCTAACTGAGTAACTATACAAATTTATTGATTTTTTAGTCTTTTAGTAAATTTGAGCCATTATAAATCGTGGCTCAGATGCAAAAATATTCTTTTAAAGTATAAAACTAATTTAATTGTAGAATTTCAGATGCTCATGTATTTATAAATAAAACCTGTGAAACTATTACATATAAATATATATATTGTTTATTAATATTTACATACCTTAGTATGGCATAATATGAATAAATTGTATATAATATGTGACAGAAGGTGAGACGGGTGATACAGATTCATCTACTGGTTCCGGGTCAAGCTCACAGCCACACTCTCCTCCTACACACTCGCATATTGGACGCGCACACATAGCTCTACCATCCGCTCTCAGGTATGCACTCTACAAATTGTCAAATAAAATAACTAATTGTAATGAAACAGAATTTGCAATGTAGTATGGTATGGTATGGTATGTTAGACTCCATTCTCCGCAATTAGCCTCACATTCGGGCCGTTGTGCGTGTAGAGCCAGACTACTAACGTAGCCAGCCAAGCTCCTCCCAAAAGCGCAGAAGACTCCTGGTGTCTTCGCAGGCTTCACGGAGCGACCTCACCGTTCCGAGGATTTGTTTTCGTTGTTGGGCCACTGCCGTGCACTCCAGGATTACGTGAGCCGCCGTTTCTTCAGCTTCAAAGCAGCCCCGACAAAGGGGGCTGTCTGTAGCATCAATTTTGTATAAGTGTTTGTTTAAGGAACAATGGCCCGTTATTGTCCCTATCATTATTTTAAGGTTTTGTCTATCTAGATTAAGTAGACGTGTTGTTAACCGATGGTTCGTTTTTGGAATTGCCACTTTAGATTGTTTGCAATCAGTGGTTAGGTTCCATCTTTGGTTTTGTATTTCGGTGGATCTCTGGCGAATCCAGGTGCGAAATTGCGAGAATGGTATTGGCATGAGCGGGACCTGGGCCTGCAACCACCATACCGGATCCTACTCTCGCTAGTTCGTCCGCGGCGTCATTGCCATATGATCCGCTGTGCCCCTTTATCCACTGGATAATTACTCCGTTGTGCGATGCAATTTTTTCCAGGGCTATGTGGCACTCGATTATTAGTTTGTTGTTGGATTTTCTCTTCTGTAGTGCTTTAAGCACGGCTGCACTGTCCGATATGAATTTAATGTTGAAATTGTTGACCCCTAACCTGTATACGGCTTTTGCTGCCTCGGTCAGGGCAACACATTCGCACTGAAAGATCGAACTGTGTTTGCCGAGCGGTATAGATATGTTCATGTTGAGGTCAAGGGAATGTGCCCCAGCTCCTGAACCGTTCTGTGTTTTGGAGCCATCTGTGTATATGCGTAGTTCATTTACTGCAGATTGGTCCCTTTCCTCCTCCTTCAATTGTATTTGGTATTTCCTGTTAAACGAGTGGTATGCTTGAGTTCTGTCACACGGAGCGGCAATCAAAGGTTCATATTCGATTGCTTGGTTCAGGATGGTTGTGTGAGAACTGTAATGGTTTTTGCCCCATAGACCTAGATGGTATAATCTTGTGGCAGCTATAGCTGCTTCTTGCTGTATGTATAGGTCAAGGGGTGTAATGTTAAGGGCTATTTCCATTGCCATTGTTGGGGTTGTTTTCATACATCCAGTAACTGAAGAGCATGCAAGCCTTTGGAAAGATCTTAGTTTGTTGACTGTGGTCGTAAGTTTCGACCTTGTCCACCAAACCAAGGCCCCATATGCCAGCATTGGTCTTATTACTGATGTGTATAGCCAGAGAGTTATTTTCGGGGAGACACCCCATTTATTACCAAGCATTTTCCTGCATTGATAGAATGCAATTGTGCTTTTGTTAATTTTGTGATCAAGGTGTTTATTCCAGAGAAGTTTGCTGTCTAGTATGACTCCCAAGTACTTGACCTCCTCCTTAAGTTTAAGCTCTGTATTAAAGAGTTTCGGTAAATTGAAAGTACCTGGAGCTCTTTTGTTGGTGAACATGATGAGTTCTGTTTTAGAAGGATTCACGGAGAGTTCATGGTTTTCGCACCATCTCTCTATTGTTCTGAAGGCTTCTCTCATGCGATCGCATAAGGTTCCCTCAAAATTTCCTGATATAAGTACAGCAATGTCGTCTGCGTAACCTACCGTGTAGAGGTCGTTGTCGTTGAGCTCCTCAATGAGTTCATTAACAACTAAGTTCCACAGGAGTGGCGACAGGACCCCTCCTTGTGGACATCCTCTACTTACGATCCCACGTGTGGTAGTGTTTACGGTGAACTGGATTGCACGGATTTTCAGCATGTTGTTTATCCATTCTATGAGAGTTGTTGGTACTCCATGTATGGCAAGAGCGCGACTGATACTGGTAAAGTTCGTTTTATCAAAGGCCCCTTCGATGTCTATGAAGGCACCTAGAGTAGGCTTGCAATGTAGTAATTAGTTCACATTACGAACAATCTTCCTTCCTAACCATGGTGTTTAATTGACTACACGTGACTAAGTCAGATTAACTTCCACGCAGTTACCCCTGTCACTGGTGACCCGCCAACATATACCGTTATGCAACATTCCAATATCATCCATAAAAAAAAAACACGGTTTCCAAAGCACATCACATGAAAAGCTTGGAAGCTTCCTAGTTAAGAATTATATATAATATTACCTTGAGAATTGTTTGTCTAACAGAGACCGCCTGACATTTGACTATCACTTGGTGGTGAAGCGTGGTCGCGTATCAGCCCTGCCAGCGGCGCCATGCGCAGCTCAGATCCTCGAGTCGTTTGTGAAGTGGTTCGCGCGCGCCGGAGCCTGGCACCCTCCCCTTTTTGTGATCAAGTTTTATTCCCTTTGGACTCCAAGTACTTGACCTTCCTCCTTAAGTTTTTGTTGAGTTTCTGTGAGTCGTAAGTTTCTGTTTTAGAAGCGCACGGAGAGTTTATGGTTTTCCCCACCCCGCCCCACACACCCCTCACACGCCCTACGGTCAAAACACCCCGCACACACCCCATACACCAAACGCCCCTCATACCCAACAGGCAGCGCGCGCCAAGCACGATCCACCGCGTCGACCCGATCTTCTCGACGTTTCTTGCAGGTACTTTTATTTATTTAAACTGCAATATATAATAGAATTTATTGACTCGTATTTTATAAATGATACAACAATAATGACATAAAGAAAACAACATTTTACACACATTACAAAATAGATTGACTTATGTGGACCACAAATCACCATTAAAGGATTACTACTTGTTAATATATTTTGCTTTCATAATTCCAAAACTACAGATGAGTCTGTTTCGACCATACATTATATGTAGAAACATATATTACACTCATTATTTCCGGTGCTTATTTAAAAACATTCAAGTTAACGTTTTATATTCATAAAATAATATTTACATATTTTTTTAATATCTTATAAACTAAAGCATTAGATGTTTATTTAAAAACATTCAAGTTAACGTTTTATATTCATAAAATAATATTTACATATTTTTTTAATATCTTATAAACTAAAGCATTAGATGTAAGATCAGTCTAATAAGATTGTTGGCATAAGCACAATGTCCACATCTGTTAATATATTAGTACAATTTTAATTTAGCAAAATTAGCAAAATCTCAGAAATCCGCTAATTTTATTATTATTATTATGTGAACATTTTTTTATATTCTACAGGTTAAATTTAGTACGCGAAGTAGCGGATGGGTTACGTGTATACTTCGATTTTATTCTGCGTAGGCATTTGCTGTACAAACAAGAATTAAATCAGTACCATGAAATATGTGGACAGTTCATTGAAGAGTAAGTTACAAGACCTCGTATGTTATTATGACACTTTTTTTTTTGTGAAAGTCATAGATACGTATAAATATTTCAAACTGTTCTATTTCTTTGAATGTTTAGAGAAATGCCCAGACACATCATTAAAACAGAAATTGAAGAAGATGAAAGTAATTCTCAAGATGACGGTACACTTGCTTCGGCTGAGGAAGACATAATGAGCCCTAAAATGCCTGAATATTCTCACCTGCCACCAGATCCTGTTGAAGGGGAGAAATTTTCAGGTGAAATTATTATGTATTTTTAAGTTTAATATATGGTGTAAATCAAATTATTTTACTAGCTGACCAGGGAAAAATTCCTACGATCTATTCTCAGACCGGGGAGAAATACATTGTATATGTAATAATTGTATTATGTATGTAATTGATAGTGGACTGCTAACTCTGTATGTGTACTGACAACATGAGAAAGTCCTTCTACAAAAAATTAATTAAAATAATTCTGTAATTTTACTAGTACCCATAACCCATAGTAATAATAATAACCCTGGACAATTCACAGAGTTCTGTATTATCCAAAAAGTGGGTCTAATATGAAATTCAATAGAACACATCGGCTTTCACATATACAAAATAAATATAAATTTAAGATCTGCATCACAGAGTTGTACATGGTAAATTATACAATTCTTTTTTTTTTAAGAGAGCCTAATGAAATGTATTTAACATCTTTATATTTTAGGTGCTATACCCAAATAACTAAAAAAAATTCACCCCGTTTTTTATTTAATTAAAACTGATGCACGTAACTTCTTAAAACAAACTTTACAGTATAAGCTGGAATTAGATTACTTACCAGGTATTTAAGAAATATTTTTTAATAATGTATTACTCATTTTTCAATTATAACATGACAATACTGCAGAGCCACCACAGACAGACAGTCAAGAAGAACTACAGGATTCAGAAGCTAATGATAAACCATTAATTAAAATTGAACCAATGAGTGAAGAAAGCCAGAATAATACGTGGGGATCCGCGAAAACTCGCGAGGGACGTTGCACAACGCGGAGTGGAAACGTAGCGAGGAGGTAATTTTGTCTAAAATAAGCTAAACTGAAAAATTGTACTCTCTCTCAAATTGTATCACGTGGCATATTCGATAGTTTATAATATCCAGTTTACATCAGGGAAACCAACCGTTAGTTTTTAGCCTTTGTTATAAGACATTTTCATCCTAGTACCAGTTTATACGACGTTAGTCGTATAATTTATTTAAATTATTAATTATTTAATTAAATTTAAATTACATTCCTGCGAAAATTCAGACAACGAAAGAAAATCAGAATACGATAATGTAAAAGAGCTAAGGAAAATTTATATGACTTAATTTTTTCGTACGAGGTTGTGTTCTGAAGTAGGTACACCTGGTTTACGTTCCTAGTAGGTTACTTAAAATTACTCATAATATTATGATATATAGAATATACTTTTATTCGTATTATACAGAAAACAGGAAACATTTATAAATAGGAGTACATTTAGGAGTTTAAAATTATGGTTTAGTAACCTAGGCAAATAGATAATATTGTTAGCTAATAATCTCTTATGTGTTGTTATTTAGACTTCGTTCTCACAAGTCGGCAGTATCACAGTCGGAAAACGAAGAACCAGCTCCGTCCACTTCTGCAGGCGAGCCGAGAACTTTTGAAACACTTTCATCCAGGTAAAATATGTTTAGCAGGTATTTCGCCAAAATGTATTCTAACATGAGCTTCTTTAATTTTGCTCTAATATTATACCATATTTGACCATAGCGTGGGCAGCAGTGGCTCGTCACTAAGCGAAAGCTGGTCTCGACCAGCCCAGGCGACGCCGACGCCGGCCACGCCACCCACCACACGGACGCCACTCTCGTTACTACTTGATAAGGTAATATTTAAAATATACTAGAAAAACTTAAAGTATTTTAAACTGGAGTTGGAAAATTAGAGTTAAAAGTAATGCTCGTGGTTGCTACTCTAGGAACTATAAGACATTCTTTGCATACACTATTATACATATCTAATATTCTTGTAATATAAATATATATTAGGGAATTAGCGTAATATAATTATGTATACTCTAGTCTTAAACATTTATACGTTATGGCTATTTGAGAGTTAAATGTGGTTATTACAGTAATACTAAATTTTCTTATATTTAACAATGCAGTACATTTATTAATCTACGACGAAGTACAAGTTTTTGTGTACATATAATATATATAGTTTTATATTCAGGTAGCGAAGTGGCAAATAATACCCCGCGAAGGCACCGAGAATCTCCCATGTCGAGTTTACGGCGCTATACACCTAGCACGGCTTTTCGGTAATACTTATCAATGCTAATGTTCTTTTATTCTAATGTAATAAGCAAAATATTCACCACGATGATGGTAAGTGATAACTGTTCCAATTACTTCTAATAGACAAGAACAATGCCATACTTATATCTCGTAGAATTTTATACTAACAAATGATTTTCCTATTTTTAAAATTTGATAGTTTCAATATGTATTTACCGTATTGAAAAGTGAATAAATTATAATATAATATATTAATAGCGAAATTTTCTTTTCTTTTAGTAAAATTACCTGATTTCCTGAATGCAACACAGATGCCAGATTTTAAATTAAAATTAATATTGAAACATATTGATATGTTTGTTCAGTAAGTATATATTTTTAATTATTAGTCAAAAGAATAATATTGTAAAATATCTATAATATGAATTATTTTTAACTAATATTGTATTATTTATGCAGGTATTTAGATGAGCATAGTGAATGGTTTGGAGAAACATATTATATAGCTGACAGTGTCTCGCGCTCCCATTGACCGCCAATTAGAAATATGACTAGAAAAGAATACAAAACGAAAAGAAATAAAATCCGCGTCTTTGACATAATGCTAGTTATAAGTAATGTATTAGTTTTTGTACATATGAGACTACAAGAAATATTTTACTGTCATATTTTTTTTATTTGACCTTTCAAACTTCTAAATTTAAATGTGATAGAATAGAAAATAATTTTATTGATTTGTCTTGACACAACAATAATAACAAAAAATGAAAACAACAGTTTACACAAATTTAAAAACCGAGTCAATATGAACCACAACTCGGCAGAATTGTAGGAACATAATTTCTACCCCTAATTTTCAGTTGATAAACTATAATATGCTGCAATTATGGAACAACAGTGTATTTTCGTTCTCAGTGATGGCGTCGACTTCACTGGTACAAATAGTAGTCTAATACGTGATTTAAAATACTTGTTAACTAATCTTATTATTAATACTATAAACGCGAAAGTTCACGAGTATATTGGATGTTTGTTACTCTTTCACGTAAAAACTACAGAATGGATATTGATGAAACTTTACAGTAGTATAGAAAGAAATAAATTTATAGCCGATGTGTTATTCTGATGTATAAGATCAGAATAACACAGGCTATAAATTTCTTGCGGGTGAAACCGCGAGCACAGCTAGTATATTATAAAGACAACTTATATAAACCATTTCAGGCTTGAATGATACGAGCCTGAGTTACAACTTTAAAACTTTCAAGAACAATGTGCGACGCGTTTGTAGACACGAAATCGTTCCTAAACCAGCTAATAAAATGACATTCTCAAGCAATGAAATAATACGATAGTTACGAGATGGCTTCTACATATTTACATAAATATTTTATATATGTGTCACAGATCTGTAATTTTATTTAAACTAAAATTAATGATCAACTCATGATACCTGTGATTGATAATATTGCAGAATCTGTAAAATCTTATTGTTGGGAACCGTAAAAAACATACTAAATAAAACTATATTTAAATAATGAAATCACATTTATTTTAAAAATTTTAATCATTAAACCCAACAGAGCCGCTACAATGTAAATTTTGAAAATTCAGTTAAAGAAACGGCTTTAAATTAACATTAATTAACCGTCAAATTTCATTAACCATTATATCTATAATTTATTCATTTTCTAACAGCAACTCTGCAATGGCAGCAAATAGAAAAAAAACTTTTTTTGTAATGGTATATACCATGCAATTATGTGAAAAAAAAAATGATCAGAAACTTTAAATGAGATCGACTCAAGTATTTAAAATAATAAGAAATCAATCAGACTAGGACTTGTTCAAATCCCATATCGTAATCCATGAACAATTTTTAATTGTATTTGAAATATATTTTTTATTTTATTATTTGTTAAGTTTTCTGAATAAAATCGCGCCGGTCTAACAATGCTCCATCCGGTGTATGACGCGGCGATATTCATACTCGAGGGCTATGTACTGACTTGCAAGACGACTCTGCGTCTCGTTGACTCCTGCAGCAGTTATGGTGGCCGTATATTCTTCCGGCGACAACACTTTTTGGAGCTTTTTCATCTCTAATTTCTTTTTCTGAAAGATACAATAGCATTTAAGATACATTGTTTTCATACTTGCATAATGTACTCATATTTATGTCATAATTCACGCTTACTTGATATGGAGCATTAAGTCTATTCTTCACAACTAATCTATAAGCCAAATAAGCAGTCTTGTCCGAAGTATTAGTATTCTTCAGTCGTAATATCTCGTACACTCGCCGCGCCTGTTTCTTATTTATCTTGAACTTTGAACAGGCTTGATTTGCCATCTCCGTAGAAAAACTAAAATTTAAAATTAAGTTATCATAATGTGACATTGTGACAATAGCATGAATATCACAAAAACATTGTGGTGCTTGTATTAAATACTTTATTGACGGCACATACTATAGTACCTACCAGATATTTATATAATAATTTAAATTTAATGTATTATAGTATTTTATATAACAGGTAGGTAAATAAAGTAAATTAACTGAAAGTTATTTTCACAATTTACCCTTGAAGTAGTTTGGCAGGTTGGAAAGCTGGTAAATTTTCACAGTTTTTGGCATCAACATAATCTCTAATCCTCTGAAAATCCTGTGATGGATCTTCCACGGTAATATCCACAACTTCAGGTAAAATTATAAAATGTGAGTAGATAGCCTAAAATAAAATAAATAATTTATTTATATATATAAATTTTTATTTATAGAGAAGGAAAGCGTTGGACAGAGGAATCTGGAGTCTTAGGACAAGCTGATGATCATCAGCACAAAGGCTATAAAATTAATAATATTTACAGACATTTATATATATGGGATGGTTTCTAAAATTAAATTAAGTAACAGTTGTGTTTATAGAATGTCGTATCACAGTGGCCGGCGAAAAGTTCTACGTGGCATAAAGGCAGACATTTACGTCTGTTAATTATTAGTATATGATAGTTTATAAGGCATATGTATATCTGTAGGTGTGCTGTTGTTAATTGTCTGACTATAAAGAATAATTATTGATGAGTACCTGCAACAATTGCGCGCAGAGTCCCAGCTTACGGAAGGGCGGTAGCGTTAAAACCTGGGAGATACGAGGACGAGCATGGCGCGGGTAGGCGTAATAGCGATATACTGTTGCATATGCCGCGGTCGCGTATCGCCATTCGCCTTCACTGGTGGCATACTTTTCAAATCTGCAGAATAAGAAAACACTAATGATATTTACATTATATATATATTTATTTATTTATATGATATAAGTAAACAAGAAGACAAAGACAGATAGATAGAATATACTTTATTTGCAACGTACAGTAAAGAAGAAGCACAAACAATATAACAAAGGACACATGTAACAAAAAACAAAATACTTTATCATATAATGTCAATTTCTTTTAAAAGTATTTAAAGATTATTTTTATTGATAAAGAAATAAGTTTATGAAATTTTTACATTTTAGGGGTCATCCAAAAATAATCTTAAACTTTGAAAGGGAGAGGGTGTCAATAGAATGACATTGTTTGACAAGGAGTAGGAGGAATCCTAAATTATGTGATGCCACATTTGTATATATATTTTGAAATACATTAGATGGTAACTTAAAAAATATTTCAAACATTATCTCTAAGCATAATGTTTAAATTCTATTGATGACTTGACACTCATTTTACTAATGTGTCTTACAACAGGTATGTGGTTGTCTCCTACAAATGTGCCTAGCTGTGACAAAGATGAGGTAATGGGGTAAAAATAGTGTAATTCGTGACGCAATTTTTGGACGACCTATTATTGCATAACATTGGGAGAAAAAAAATCAATTTAACAATACTACTTAGAAAAACTAAAAATCTTTACTTACACTGTGAAAAAATTCCACTGATCATCATCTACATCAATGAAACATGCAGCATCAACATACCATAGAAGAAAAGTCTGTAATTGTTCATGAAAAGCGAGGAAACCTGGTGTGGATGTTTCAGAATAGTATACTTCAAATGTTCTCTTATCTCCACCATCATCTAAAATTAAATTATTACATTTACATAATACTAGGGACAATATTAACACCATTTTTAAAAACAAAACACTGCATAATGGTTTGCTACTGCTACTTATAAATAATAATAATAACCAAGGACAATTTACAATGCGCGTTCTTGACCCAAGCTAAGCAAAGCTTGTGCTATGCATACTGTATGAGTGATATAAATACTTAGATAATTTTTTTTTTGTAAATAATTTCTAAGTTTGTATAGATATTTGAATGATATTCAGTTAGTCTCAGTCTTAAGAATTTCAGCTACCCAGCAGATTGCTATGTATGCTGTGATTAGAATATGAAATGACAAAATCTCTACAGAGTGATATCATGCCTTTTGCATGACATTCTAGTTATGAGTGGTATTATGGGTTGTATCATTCATAGTGAAGTTCATGTAATTTGGTGGTTGAAGCTAACCATTAAAGGAGGAAAGCCATTGCTATTCCAATTACATTAAAAAAAAGTATAACCACATGTAAGCCAACTACTGTCATATACAATATACTAATTTCAAATATGATAGAAAAAAATAGTGTTTTCCTTGAATGATAAATACAGTAGTAGTAATCTTACAAACTTACCAGGCGTCACTGTGAAAGCATGTAGTAGGTGACCATGTGGTACAAATGACTCATCTTTAGCTAACAATGAAATAAAACGGTCCAAATTTGTTACGTATCCAGGAGCCAGAATTTTTTTTAATGCTCCTTCTACATCATCTGCTTTCATTCCATCGGATTTACTCGGTTCAATCTGAAAGTTACATTTTAACCATTGATGATTTTGTCACAAGGATTATTTTGTCAAAAGTGTATTATTTTTAAACCATTTTTATAATTTTATATTTTTCCTTATTTTAAAAAAACTTGAAAGGTGGATAAGACTAATGTGACACATAAATTTTACAGTTACGATTAATAATTGCTCAAAGTTTTATACAGCAAAACAGAATATATGGATGCACAACACAAAAGAATAAAAATGCAGCATCTCAATAACAAACTCTACATATGGACAAGTATTTTAGTATTTGGATAGGGGTAACCTTTGTACAAATCATCTTTATGTATACTTGACCTCCTAGCTAACATGTGAATGTCAATGAATGTGTTCATGTGAGGGTGTCTGCTGGTTTTTTAGTGTTTGTGCTTTACTCAATATTTCTTAATGTGTTTAATTATTTAAATGTAACTTAATAACTATATTTCAATATTATAACAATATAATACTAGCCCTAATTGATAATTAAGTGGCTTTAGTATACAAGTACCAAAACTGTTTCAGTTTTCTGTACAGAAATTAAAATAATATAAGTTACCTTATCTGTATATTCAATACCAAGATATGTTTGAAGGCTCCCTGCACTGTAATAAAGCTTAATATGCAGGTCTGTGTAGCCAAATATTTTCTCATTGTCTCCAAAGACTTGATGACACATTTCTGGCCCAAAACTGGTGTCATCATTTTCTATATCTTCTATGCATCTCACTGCAAGATTTAATAAAAGATTATTTCAAAATGTGGTTATTTCATAATAACCCATACAATAAAATGTTCTAGTGGATATTAATCTCAACCAATAATAATTATTAACTTGAACACTGAAGATAAAAGATACCATTCAGAATATGACCAACATACAATATCAAAGACGATTTGTTCAAATCTCACATAAAATAAAATTGCACTCTGTCTCTAGTGATAATACTTTGAACACTACTTGTAATCATAGTGTTTTATCTTAATTTGTATCATTTATTGGATTATTAAATTAAAATTGACAATGGTTTCCAGGGTGGACTGTGTGGAAGTTAAATTTATATGTTATATTACTAGCAATGAAGCCACTAATTCCCATTACTATGAATCCCTTCCGCCATGGTGTGTCATTGTAACACCGATTTCAACTGATCTGATATCCTGTATTCAAAACAGACATCTCTATCTAGGGTTAGAACAATTTTGTATGTTTCTTATGGTATAAATGTGATATCATTCATGTGATAGGATACAAAATTAAAATAAAAAAAATATTTGTATTAGAGTTGTCTGCCAAAATACTAAAACTCTATTTGGTGTTAGTAGTTTCGTAAAGTATTCTAAGAATGCTAACAGAACAATAGACACTCCTATTAAGTCTATCACTAGTCGGTAAGCAACCAAGATCTAGTAATCCACTATCAAGTTTGGCAGTAATCATTCTATCACATTGGTGCCTCTACGACCGTTAGGACAAATAATATGCATTTCATTTCTACCGTTCAATTTTAACTCACCTAATTTGAACTCCAAAACTTCGTTTCCGTCTACAACTAAATGGCACAATGCGTCGGTCATCTTTAGTTGCTAAAATAAACAATTATCATTCCAATACTCCTCAATTGCAGTTCACTTCCCGCGCAAAATCCAAGAATAATACTTATTTACGATGGGTATGTCAAACACAAGACAGGTGGTTTTACAACAAAATTTTGTTAAATATCTATAATTACAGTTTTTCTAATACCAAGAAGATTATAATAGTTTTGTTTTACAAATCACAGTTATTTATCAATGAAATCGATTTGGGAAAAATCGAATAAACTAAATATTATTAAAATCTTACATTAATATTTGACTTTGAAGCACAGATTACAAATAAAGACTACTAATACTCCTGTATATATATCAAATAAAGTGTCAAGAGAAGCCAACCAAAAAACTACTCTGTGAAATTCTCTATAGCCAATGTTGCTACACCTCATTCTACGGTACCTTTTATTGGTATATTTTTGTATTTCAACACTGATTACCTCTATGTGACGTCATTATGGCCTGGTTGGGTTAGGTTTACTTAGAAATTTTTGTTATAAATCTTATATTTTAGTGTATTATATGTTTTACTACTTTTTTTAGATTAGTAATATAAAATACCTCATAAAATAACGGTAAAACTGGTGCCAACAAGTGTTTGTTTGGACTGCATTTTCTGGCGAAAATGAATCGCCATGACGGTGGGTAATGATAATCAAAATTTGTTCGATGCTTTTGTCATCATATATTTCTGACGAAGACGTGAATATTATTGTTACGTCTTGCTGTTATCGAGCATGTCTTAAATAGAAAGTATAAATCGACAATTATATTTGTGTGTATATTCTTCTAGCATAGAATTGTTATTGTATTTTGTATTGACATCTTTCTAGGAGTCAGCTGTGATTCTTGTTTGAAAAATAATTTTCGAGGACGACGATACAAATGTTTAATATGCATTGACTATGACTTGTGCGCTGTATGTTATGAAGCTGGTGCCACTACCAATCAACACACAACAGAACATCCTATGCAGTGTATTCTTTCCAGAAGTGACTTTGGTAAGAAAATCCATATGCAATAACATATCCTTAGAATAGAATAACTAGGCATCAGATTAAAGTGTGCAGTATTCAATTTTTTTTTTGTTTAATTCACTTAACTTTAGTATTAGATACATATTTATTTTAATGTTTGTGTTTGATAAATGAATAAAGTCAAATTTCTAAATGATTTAATAAGTCCAGGATCATGTATTGTCAATATACCATATTTTTCTTTTCATTGTTATATTTGTATTGTTTAGTTGTTTTATCAGTTGATATAAAATAAAAAATATGATGCATGGACGATTGACACAGTGCCTTCTAAGTATATATAGATAGTCCCAAGCTAAGCAAACTTGTGTGATAAAAATTAAAATACTTCTTTCTTGAAAATACATATGTATGTAATATGGGTTGAAAGAGGATTGTTAGTGATGTGGACTATTGATCCCATTGCTAGGTTCTCCCTGTAAACCATAGTGATAAACTTGCCAGTATGGGCCTACTGACCTGACCTCATGCTTATCTTATCATTCTCCACTGGTAACCCAATATAAAATATTAGTGCAGGCGGAAGAATCACAAAAAAATACTGACATAGGAAACAGTAGACCAATGAAAACAATCATACTCATGAATACAAATATTTATATTGTGTGAGGATTCAATTTCTTTAATTCCAAACATTATTGTACTTTTGCCAATTTAGTCAAATGTTGGCATTATCTTCTAGCAAATTTACCAAGCAAGATATTTTAAAAGATCATGTCAGACCGTAGATCAATTAGAAGCTGTTTCATTTTTAGTTTTTAAGATGTGATTATCTAATTAGTAATTACACTATACCATAAAATGTAAATTTAATTTACAGATTTGTACTATGGCGGTGAAGCCTTGGCTCTGGAGCAACCACAAGCATATACTTGCCCATATTGCAACCGAATGGGATTCACAGACACAGCACTTATGGAACATGTCACTGCAGAGCACGCTGACACCACATTAGCAGTTAGTAGACTGTACTAGACACTCCATTATATCCATTCTTGCCATTCATTTTGTATTATTTTTATTGTATTACTGTAAAAATTCATACAGCGCCATCTAGTCCCAAGCTAAGCAAAACTTGTGAAAAAAAAACATAGATATATATTTTTTTAATATAAATACATCCATAGTATAATGGAAAATTCTTGTAATCATATTATATAATATTATCATATAGGATTAGTAATAATAGTATTACTTTAATAGTTCAATATTATTTGTAAGATGTTTTGAATTTTATGAATAGAATGTAAACAAAAAAATGCCATTCCATTTATCATCACTAGTATTAGAAATTTGTGAGTACTTCATTAATAAATATGCTGAAGAAAAGGAAAAAATCCAAAGCAATAAGAATATGATATCATTCTTATTGTTTTGGTATTTTCCTTTTAGTGCCTGTCAATAAATGAAAACATAACTTCTTTTTGTATTTTGAAACATTTATTTTCTATTTAATTAGTAAAAAATATATATTGTTTACAGGTTGTCTGTCCTGTTTGCGCATCAATGCCTGGTGGGGAACCAAATTTCGTAACTGATGATTTTGCTGGACATCTGACCCTCGAGCATCGAACAGGACCCAGAGATCTCATCTCATTTTTGATATCCTTTTAATTATATATCAATACCTAAAAATCTGCTAGTATTGTAACATAATAAAGTAACTTTTTATGATATTTACGCAATATGATATATTGTCTTTGAAGAAACAGTATAATTATTGGTTCTGTGCAAGGTTCACTTTAATTTTTATAGCCAAGTAGTTGAATTAAAAGCATTCTGTACATTTATCCACCTATTGTTAGAAGACTAAGTACTAATTCTATAGCCCCTAAATATTATTTTATTAAACAAATTTAATAAAATGTTCCTAAATTAAAACTAATGTAGATTGTGAAAATGCATTTGCATGGGTATCTCTATCTACTCATTTCAACTGCCAAGCTTTGTAGGCTTTGTTTCCGTTGAAAATGAGAAAAGTGCAATGAAATTACAGGATAAGAGGCATAATAATTTATTACTCCTAATTAATAACGCGATCCAGTTATATAAAATTTATGGTTTAATGATCTGTAGTCGTATCTCCTTAACTACTATGCACGACGAGCCGAGTGGTATTCGGCATGGTGGTGTTCGTCGAATGCCGCATTCAGGACGCGGCGTCAGTCGCGCTCGGCGCACCAACATGCACTTCAGGTACCACAGCTCCCTACACGCCACACATTCTTATCTGCTTCACCAACATGCACTTCAGGTACCACAGCTCCCTACACGCCACACATTCTTATCTGCTTCACCAACATGCACTTCAGGTACCACAGCTCCCTACACACTACGCATTCTTATCTACATCATTAACATGCGGTTTAGATTACACCTCACTACACATACAGAAAAATTGTCAGCACCAACATCCTCTGCTGTATGTAAACCCAATTACATATCACAAACAACAAAGTCTATATACCAACATGCATTTTATTTGCACCCCTCTATACTAGTTATCAATTATCAATAGAATTAATGATTCTATAGTTTGGAGACAAAACAAAGTACAGTAGAGTCCATTTATTATGAGTCCGCCTATATTGACCAACCGCTTATTTAAAGAAATTACACAGTAAAGTTTGGTTTTTATTTAAAATTCTTTATAACTAAGTCGAATGTCTAATTTTTAATAAATTGCGTCCAGTTATAGTGACCGACATGATTTCTAACACCTTCAGTCAGTGTTCGGGAAATTCACGTTATACCGCCGAACGTCGCGGCGCATACAGAGTTTTTTGGAAAATTGTAATAATATTAATAATACTTTATTTGCCAAATGTAGGTACACAATAAGGTGTTAAAAATATGTTGTTGAGATCCATACATTAACCTCGTAAGAGGTGTGCAAAGTTCCAAATTGAAGGTACAATTTATGTTTAAAAAAAAATCACTTTACTATTACAAATAGTCATTAATCAACTGTCTTTACGTCAATGTATCAGTCAGGAAATCACCAAACATTTAGTAAAAAAAAAAGCAGCAAAGCAGTTTTAGCTAGAAAATTACACAATTTATCATTATTACATTTATTATCACGATTTGTTTATAGCAATATTAAAAATGATGATTTGACTATGACCATAGGTTATGGTCATGTCTTCTTTACACCATAGATCTTAAGAGACTTATTACAATATAAAAAAACAAAAGCAAACAAGCCTTACTGATTTTTGATGCCAATAATGAAATAATATACATACATACATATGTATCTATTACGTATAAATTCTATTTTGATTTCTCTCTATTAAAATAAATGCATCTAACAAAAACAGGAGATTTCCCTGCAATGTCAATATAAACGGATTCCATTGTAATTGCCTTTTAGGTTTATTTGTGTGTACATCTACAAATAATAATATCTATAATTCTATCTGAAGTAACCTCTATAAATAATACCAACCATAAGATATTTTAGTCATTATTAATAATTGTTTCTTTTTTTCATCGATTGTTCGCACCAATGCACCTATAAATGTACTAACCCAAAGAGCGACAACAGATCAAATCGATGTGTTTAACTAACACGGAATGCCAGCACGCGGTCGATACAGACATACAATTTGGTAACAGATTGTTTCGATCGCTTATCGACAGTACGTCGGGCGGCATCTCGTCGCTGTCGCCGTCGTCGCGCGACGCGGTGGTGGACCCTATCGCGGAGCTGCTGTCGCAGCTGTCGGGCGTGCGGCGCGGGCCCGGCCAGCCCGGCACGCCCAGCCAGCTGCAGCAGCTGCAGATACAGCTGCAGCTCGAGCGGCAACAGGCCACCGTACGTATAAAACTCTACACCACGCTCACACGCATTCACCTCACTCACCGGCTGTTGTGTTACATGTCATTAAGTTCCAAATTACTTTTTCTACGTACAGAAGCAGATACAGTTATTAGAACTTTATTAGATTTTACCTATTCTTTTATGTAAATCATAAAAGGTTATATTATTATTAATTCATTTAAGCAATACATACTCTAAGGCATAGAAGGACTATTTCAATATAGACTTTTTTCAAATATAATACATTGTAAAATCCATATCGTATATCAGAAAATTTGACATTTGTACATTCTAATTTATTAGTTCATTGTTATTTTCATCGTTCATTTAATTTTTTGGAATAATGACGTTAGATATCATACTAACGTCATTATTCCAAAAAAATAAATGGTACGGATTTCATCGTAATAATCGTATTCTACCCAACGGATATAATACATCGGAACGAGAACCCTATTGGTGCATGCTATTAGCGCAAGTGGGTGCACCGTTTCATTATCGCCCATTTGCTGTAATTATACGACGCGTTTTTTTACGCAGCAAGTGGCATTGCGCGGGCGGGCGATACGTGAGTTAAGAGTGAGGGCGACGCAGCATCTGGTCCTCTGTATACATGTTAACTATTCCCGTGTGAAGATAGATTTGCGCGTGAATGAGCATATATGTGAAGGCAACTTATGGGTAGCCTCTTCACAGGTAATAACGGTGTTTTATATAATATGGTGTGGTGTGTGACAGGCGGCGCGGCAGCAGCTGGAGCGGTTGCCGCGGCGCGCGACGGGCGCGGCGGCGGGCGGCGCGGGCGGCGGGCCGGGCGCCGCGCCCGCGCCGCAGTCGCAGCCGCAGCCGCCGCCCCAGGCGCACCACGCGCCGCCGCAGCCCGACGACTCCGACACCATCTTCCTGCTGGACTTACTGCCCTCCGGATTCCAAGGTACTTACAGTCGCTCTGTATACGCTGTAATACAAATAAGGCACCCAAGGAACTTTATGACGTGACATATTTAGTTATGTTATTTCAACTTAATAAAGAATTTCTATCAATGTTTCTTACCGTAGAAGGATAGGAATTTTAAATACTCTTTAAATCGGTTTTCTCATCATACACTCAATGGCAAGAAAGAGCTGTTACCTTCAATTTATTATTCGCACTTGTAATTGTATGTCTAGCCTTTTCTACCTCCGTTGCTAACATATATAATATACGAGCATGTGGACTGTTGCAGGCGTGGTGGACAGCGCGGCGAGCGCGGAGGCGGAGTCGCGCGCGGCGCTGCTGCGCGGGCTGGTGCTGGCGTCGCTGGGCCGGCCGCCGCCCGCCGCGCGCCCGCCCCCGCCCGCGCCCCGCGCCGCCGCGCCTCCCGCGCCCGCCGCACACCCCGCGCCGGCGCCCGCACCCGCGCCAGCCCCCGCGCCCGCGCCTCTGCGGGCCAAGCCGCAGCCCCGCACCAAGGTACATCGCGTGCACCGACACTACGCCGCAGTAAACGTGAGCCGAACTTTAGCGGCATAAATGCAAAATTTCAAAATCTCCCTAGATTCGAAATTTGTTCTATCTATGGTATATATATGTATTTTTCACGTTAATGAAACACATGCTATCGGTTATAAAATTTAGAAATAATAATAAAGTTTTATTTCTGGTCTATTCTGTATCTTAACAATAGATATTGCAATTATACATATATATGTATACTGTTAAAATTAGAACATAAAACGTTATATAAAAATCTGTATTCTATATCTGATCATAATCAATTTGACGGACTTGCCGACGCCTATATATTCGTCAATATGAAAAACACTGACAATAACACGACATGCACAGTATTCTAGTAATTAGAACTTTACAGTATAAGCACTGGCTAACACTTCTCGTATTTATAATCCGGTGTGTGCTATAGTCAATAATAACAGTGAGTCAACGAGATAATAGGAAGTCCGCTGATGGCTTCTGCAGGAGGCGGCGGCACGCGCGCACGCGGCTGCGCGGCAGCTGCCGGAGGGCAGGTAGGAGCGCCCGCGCGTCCGCCGCCCGCGCCCACGCCGCGGCCGCCCCCGTCGCCGCCGCCGCCGCCGCCCCCCGCCGCTCCACGCTCACCACACGACTCCAGAGACCGGCAGCGCGACTGCCGCTGTCGGCCAGGTAGGAGCGTCCGCGCGCCCCCCGCCCGCGCCCTCGCCGCCTCCGCCTCGCGCCGTCGCTCGCGCGTGACGAATCATCAGGGACCGCGCGCGCACTCAGCGAGTCGGCAGCCTTCGGAGGGAAAGGAGGGGCGCCCGCGCCTCCGCCGCCCCCCGTGCGGGACCGGTCTGCAGGCTCCGCGAGCGCACGCGGCCGCGCGGCGATCGTCGGAGCCCAGGAGCGGCCGCCTCTCGCGCGTGTCGACCCAGTGACCGAGCGGGCCGCCCGCCGCCCGCACCCGGCGCTCGCTCAGCCGTGTATAGACGTCGGTAGATGAAACTATTTAATGTTTACTCGTTTAGATATTACGGTAGTTTATGTAACATTATTTATCCGAGGAGACCGCGATTTCAGTTCCGGGAATCCGGTCGCGATTGCACTTTAAGGGGTAACGTTTGTGGCCGTCGATGTTGTTAGTGATCCGATGTACATATGGAGTAGCCGACGCGCCGCCGCCGTCGCCGGTCTGACCGGTGACCGCGTACTATGTTTAACTGGAACATTTCCTCGTTGTTTTTCGCTAACACTTATTAGTGGATGCTTATGTTTGTTTTGTTGGCTTTCAAAATATCAGTGTGATTTCCTTTAGTAGTAATTAATAGCTATGGATTGTTTCTGTCGATTTATTTACATAAAAAAAAAACAAAGATCATCGAATAGGCCATTTAGTATAATTTCAATTAATACTTCTAAGAAGTGAGGGGAGTACATTTGAAAAGAGTCACTAAAATATGTTTATATTAATTGTACCTTCCGATTTGCATCTTTCATAATAAAAGCACGACAGCAGTATTAGTTATTTTATTGTTATAAAGTTATCTAATGGTTATTATAAATGTGCTCTTTGAATTGTAAATAAAGCATTGGGACTCCTCTCTTCACTTATATTGTAATACCAACTGGTAAAAATACTACTTACCCACAAAGTTTTCACTAGCTACTCAAAAGTGCTTATTAGTTTGATTACTATACTCCAACATTACAAAATGTTTGTATGTACCGTAATTAAATTCTATAATATTGAAATCCGTATTTTATTTGAACACTCGATGAAAACCCGGCTTCGCTCGGGTAGATATTTCGGTAGTCTTAATATTCTATGAGAACCGATCTCAAAGAATATTAAAGGTAAGCAAGACAGATTCTTAAAGCTTCGTTCATTGTTTCCCTTTGCCTTTCCGATTAAGCATAAACAGAACCAAAAAAAAAAATGTTACCACCTGTAGCGGGGTAGCCATACCGATTTGTTTAATCGGAAACTTTTATTCTAACAAATTAGTTTTAAAGTTTAATATGACGTTTCCATAACAGAATTTTATTATTTACGTACATATACTAATGTTTCCAGTACTGTCGTAGTGTTATACAGAATAAAAATATATTTTTGTCTTTTTCGTACAAATAGTAATTTTTACAGTATTAATCTACAAACCAACATTTTTTTTCTTACAATCAGTTAAATAATATATGACACTATGAGAAGGTCATTTCTTTTATTAAAAAGGCAGTTAGTCTTTATTTTAGTGAAAAATAAGAAAATCTATTTTGATACAACAACCATATATTTATTAATACCTACCTATACTTCATTAATTTTGTGTTAATGCTTTTCAAATAAACACCCACACATTATTTCCGTATAACCTATAAAAATGGGTAAATAACATTAATTTCCAATAGTGCCACAACCTTATTTGTAAAATTCAAATACCTGGCATTATGCATGTAATAATAAAATGTGAAGAAATTGTGATTGTTATTAAGTTTTTTTTAATAAGTTCATCAGAACAGAGAAACAACATTTGACATGTATTATTATTTAACATTGGACATTGACTTTAATTTTGTAATGTATATTGTAAAACTTTAAGTTGGACTAAAAAGGACTTGTATCCAGAGCCGTGAAACAAATTAATAAAAAAAATATTGTCAAATTTGTCACGTAATTGGCCAATTTAAAGAAAAAACATAACTGTATACTCTTTTATCATAAAAAAGTGTCAAAAACTATATTTTCGCGAAACGTCAACGACACATGTCACATGTCACAGTTCTTTGTGATGGATCTTTGGCCTGAATATGAAAAGATGGCGACTGCAGTTTGTTTGTCAGTGTTATTGGAATTTAACGAAATACTCCATAATCCGAATTTTGCGGATATATGTTGTCGACTCGAAATCAATATTTTTTTATGTTTTGTTGTTTATATAAGGTTTCGTTCGAGTCTACCGTACCCCTTGATGAAATTATTAATATAGAGAAGTGGTATTCGTTTAACATTATGTAATATTATATTATCTGTGTTTAACATACTAATCCTTACTAATATTATAAATGCGAAAGTAACTCTGTCTGTCTGTCTGTCTCGGTTTCACGCCAAAACTACTGAACCGATTTAAATAAAATTTGGTACACAGATAGTCTAGACCCTGAGAAAGGACATTTCTGTACTACTTTTTAATGCATAAAATAGGGTTATAAGGGGTTGAAATTGGGGATGAAAGATTGTATGGAAGAATCGTCATTTTTGAAGCTACAAGATTGAAACTTATTTTTGAGGCAACTAATTAAAAATAAATAAATATGACATACAAAGTTTATAAAAGTTTTACCCTTCATAAATTAGGGGATAAATTTTTTTATGTAAATACGTCATATTTTAGGCTGGAAGCTTGAAACTTATTTTTGAGGCTGTTGATTAAATATAAATAAATATGACATTCTAAGTATGTAAAAATTTTACCCTTTGGGGGGTAAAATAAAATAGGGGATGAAAGGTTTTATGTAAATTCGTCATTTTTGAAGATAGAAACTGATTATTGAGGCTGTTGATTAAATATAAATAAATAGGCCATCAATATTTATAAAAATGTTACCCTCACGGGGGTAGAATAAAAAAGGGGATGAAAGTTTTTATTTAAATTCGACATTTTTGAAGCCAGGTTGAAACTTATTTTTGAGGCTGTTGATTAAATATATAAATGAATATGACATTCTAGTTTGTAAAAAAATACACTTAAGGGGTAAAAAAGGGATTAAAGTTTTTATGTAAATTCGTCATTTTTGAAGATAGAAACTGATTATTGAGGCTGTTGATTAAATATAGGTTGTTGAATAAATAGGCCATCAAAATTTATAAAAATGTTACCCTCACGGGGGTAAAATAAAATAGGGGAAGGAAGTTTTATGTAAATTCGTCATTTTGAAGCCAGAAGCTTGAAACTTATTTTTGAGGCTGTTGATTAAATATAAATGAATATGACATTCAAAGTTTGTAAAAATTACCCTTAAGGGGGTAAAATAAAATAGGGGTAGAAGGTTTTTATGTAAATTCGTCATTATTGAAATTTGTTGTGTATAGAAACTACCGAGATCTGGATAACAACTGCTTTATTAATAATATGTAGGTACTTAAATAAGAACTAAAACACGAACACCCTCAACATCTTTCCCTTTTAAAAGCAAAATATACTATTTATGAATTACAATACTAATAATAAAATGAATTACTATTCATTTAGTTAGTAGACAATTTACCAAGTATAGATATAACAATCAATTACTTACTATTTATGTTAACAAATAAATACAAAAAATAAAATAAAAATAAATATTACGTGGCGGTGAATAAGATTTGTAAACACTCTCTCTAATTTTGCAATTGGGTACATATAATTCATCACCATCATCATCATTAGCCGATAGATACGGACATTCCTCCCCTATAGTTTCCTCATATTTATTATTGGGCATACTTTGAATTAAGTGTCGGCGATTGCGGCGGTAAATACCTTTTTTATTTTTTATAATATAAGACCGCGGTGTACTAGCCCGTGCTATAACCGTACCTCGGATCCTATCGTTGTTTTCTATCATAATGACGTCATCGCCGACATTCAATTCAGGCAGTTGTTTACATCGTTGATCGTAATATAGCTTGGTTTTCTTTTGTTTATTTACAATTATTTTATGGTCCACATCGTTATTCACTTTTAATAAATCAGGATGAACCGGTAATCGACAATTTAATCGACCCATTAACAGTTGATAGAATTCAAATTATTATGTTGTAACTCAATAAATTTAAATAAAATCGCCAATCTATTGTTTTTGTTAACATTTTTTTAAGAGTTTGTACGGCTCTTTCGCTCTTGCCAAGCCTGTGGGTAATAAGGTGATGAAGTCACATGACTGAATCCCCATTCTGATGCAAATCGTTTAAAGTTACGACACGAAAACTGTGGACCATTGTCACTTATTACCGTTTCCGGAATGCCGTACCGAGCAAAATTTTCTTTCATGCAATCTGTTACTGAAACCGAAGACAAATCTTTTAAATGTGTAACTTCTATGAAACCTGAAAAATAATACACTAAGACCAAATAACACTTTTTTCGGTGCTCAAATATATCCGTACCGATTTTATTCCATGGCAAATTTGGAACAGTAATTGGAGTCAATGGTTCTTTCGACGGTTTGTTTGAATTCTCCTGACAAACTTTACATTTTCGAACGTAACTTTCTACATCTTTTGTAATACCTGGCCAAAATAGTACTTCACGTGCGCGTCTTTTACATCTCTCAATCCCCAAATGTCCTTCGTGTACAAGCTTTAACATTTCATTTTTTAACGCACATGGAATTAAGACTTGTTTGTTTTTAAATATAACACCATCTATGCAATACAATTCGTCTCTTATAGACCAATAATACTTCAACTCATTTATTATATTACCCTTATAAACCGGCCAGCCTTGATTTATATACGAAATTAAGAATTTTAAAATGTTATCTTTACTCGTCTCGCGTTTTATTAGAGTAAACTTATTTTGGGATATCGGTACATTACTAATTATCATTTTAACTTGACATAATATTGAATCACTAATGGAAGAGGCGCACGTGATAATGTATCTGGTAAATACATATATTTTCCCGGTTTATAGATAACTATTAAATCATATCCCTGTAATTTTAACATCATACGCTGCAAGCGTGCTGGGATGGAATCAAGGGGCTTTTTAAAAATACTCTCAAGAGGTTTATGATCAGATTCAATGACTATATGTGGTTTTCCATAAATATATTGGTGAAATTTCTCACATGCGAAAACAATAGCCAGTAACTCCTTTTCAATTTGTGCATACCTAACCTGTGTGTTAGTGTGCGCGAGGCGTACTCCACCGGCCGGCCGCCCTGCATGAGAACGGCGCCCAGGGCCACGCTGCTCGCGTCCACAGACATCACTACCGTACTGTTAGTGTCGTATAGTGCTAACACGGGAGCGTTACTTAACAATTGTTTTATACTATATATATATATTTCCCACGTCCATAATACGTCTTTTCGCAACAATCTAGTCAATGGCACAACGTGATCGGAATAATTAGGTATAAATTTAGATAAATAGTTAACCGCCCCCAAAAATCGTTCCAAGCTTTTTCTATCCGTTGGTTCAGACATGTTAATTATGGCTCTAACTTTTTCTGGGTCTGTTTTCATTCCATCTTGATTAAACAGATGACCTAGATAAGTTACCTCTTTTAAGCCTATTCGACATTTTTCTTTATTAAATTTTAAATTAATTTTGCGAGCCCTGCTAAACAACGCTTTTAATCGTTTATCATGTTCATCTTTATTTCTACCCCAACAAATTATATCGTCAATAAATGAATCTATAAGCCTTCAAGTAATTGTTTTATTTTCGCGTGAAATATGGCGCACAATTTAACCCAAACGGTAATCTCAAATACTGATATCGCCCGAACGGCGTACTGAACGTACACAAATCGGCACTTTCACTATCTAGTTTGATAAACCAAAATCCAGAATTAGCATCTAAAACCGAGAAATACCTAGCTCCGTGCAATTTAGTAGCCAATTCATGTATTGTTGGTAACTGAAAATGTGAACGTTGTATAGCTTTATTAAGTGGTCTCGGATCCAGACATATACGCAATTGACCATTTTTTTTAGCTACTATAACTAAAGAGTTCACCCATGGTGTAGGCTGTGTTACCTTCCTGATAACACCCAAATGTATCATCCTATTTAGTTCTTCCTCTAACTTATCGCGCAATCCTAATGGGACCTTGCGAGTAGAACAAACCACTGGCGCCACTGATTTGTCCACGACAATGTGGTACTCTCCTGGTAAACAACCTAAACCAGTGAATAAATCCTCATTATTAGACATTGTAACGCTGTGAATCCTCTTTATCAACCCCAAGGTTTCACACGATTCATATCCTAGCACACTTTGACAATCGATATCAGCGATAGCGAATTTTAATTCATAGAGAACATTCTTATACCACCACTGTAAAATTGAAGTTCCCCTTATAGGAATCGAATTACCTCCATATGCTTGGAGTATAATATTTGAATCCGTACAAATACTGTTTATATCATAACCTAGTGACAGATAACGTTTAAGGGATAAGACATTTATATCTGCTCCCGTATCCAATTTAAACTTCTCAAAACCATGCTCGCCTCGAAGTATCTCAAACCAGTTGTGAGACGAGTTAATTTCATTAATATTATAAACAGAAGAAACAAAAAATGGCTCACAGTCGCTGTCCGTAGACTTCTCGTCGTCCACGCCGATCTCGTGCATTTTTTTAACACTTTTTTTTAACTTGCACATTCTAGCAAAATGACCGTAATTTTCACAAACATAACACTGAACCGTAGTAGCGGGACACGAGCCCGGTTCCGCACAGCGTCCTCCGCACCTAAGACACGGCGCGCTGCCAGAGCTCAGCCGCACCGGCAGCGCCGGCCGGCGCCCGCCGCCGGGCCGCCCGCCGCCGCGCGGGCCGCGCGCTCGCCACGCGCCGCCGCCGCGCTGCCGTAACGCGTCCACTTGCAACGTCCCGGAGCCGCCGCCGCGAGACTCCAACAGGCGACTGCTGTCATTCGATATTTCATCCACTTGGCATATGTTTATTGTTTTCTCTAATGTCAAGTCCTCGGTTCTCAATAGACGATCACGTACCGTCGTGTTTTTTATGCCGCAAACTATGCGATCGCGAATGAGCTCCTCTTCTAATATTTTGAAGTCACAATTTTTACTCAACAATTTCAATGCTGTCACATATTGATTTATCGACTCGCCGATCTCTTGGTTTCGCATAAAAAAATTATACCTTGCCAAAGTTATATTCTGTTTCACTCCAAAATACTCATCAAATTTTTTCAACAAAATGGCGACGTCGTCTTTTTCTTTTTCGCTTTTAAAAGTAAAAGTTTCGTAAACATCGAAACCTTCGGGTCCAACCAAATTTATTAATAGGCTCGCCTGCACACATTCCTCCTCTTTATGCACCCCCGATGCTTTCAAAAACAAATTAAATTGTATTTTCCATTTCTTCCACGCGTCAGCCCGGCTGACGGAGCTGCCCTCCAGACGTAGTTCCGACGGTGGTCGCGCGTGTTCCATAATATATAGTTATCAATAGCACTTTTAACTACTGAAATATTACTAAACTAAACAGTCAATTCGTAATATTATTAGTTTAATTGATTTTTTAAACCGCTGTCACCATGTTGTGTATAGAAACTACGAGATCTGGATAACAACTGCTTTATTAATAATATGTAGGTACTTAAATAAGAACTAAAACACGAACACCCTCAACAAAATTAGAACGATAAAAGCTTATTTTTATTTTATTGGCTTTTTGAGTTAGTTTATTAAATACCTTACTGATATTATAACTGTGAAAGTAACTCTATCTGTCTGTCAGTCTCACTTACACGCTAAAACTACTTAACAGATTTAAGTGAGATTTGGTACACAATTAGGCTAGATCTTGAGAAAGCACATAGGATACTTTTGAATGGTAAAAAAGGGTTGTTAGGGGGTTGAAATGGTAGATGCAATGTTGTACGTATGAATCATCATTTTTAAAGGTAGAAGCTTGAAACTTATATTTTAGGTTGGTGAATAAATATGATATTCAAAGTTTTTAAAATTTTACCCTTATGAGGGTAAAATAAAATAGGGAATGAAAGATTTTAGGTAAATTCGTCATTTTTTAAGTCAGAAGCTTGAACTTATTTTTGAGGCTGTTGATTAAATATAAATAAAGAAAAATAGGTTGTAAAGAATTTAAAGGAGAGTTAAATATTTATATGGAAATATTGTCATTTTGAAGCAAAAAGGATGAAATTTTTTCATTTGCCTTTTATTGGGTCATTAAATTTTTTTTTTCATTATTTGGTCAAGGTCACTATTTTACGCGGACAAAGTCGCGGGTACAGCTAGCAATATATATATATATATATATATATATTTATATTTTGGAAGGATTAAAATAAAAAATATTTACAATATGATATTATTATAAATAAAAATTTTTTTATAATAATATCATATATGTAATATGTCCAACACATATATTTATTGAAATATAGTAAACTTCTACTCAAGTTTCCAATGGGAAGCCACTCTACATGACAGCATCACAGAACAGATTCGCTCATAGTCCTGGACCTGATCGCAAATGTACTCAGAGAAAAGAAATGTTTATAATAATATCTATTTACAATTAAATATATTCTTCCTGATATAATAAAGTCATATCATGATAAGACGAAAACGGTCTGTCGATAAGTTTTCAAGTAAAAATGATAGTACGATTTAGGATCAATATTTCTCATATACTATATGTTGTTAAATATGGGTTATAAAAGAATGTATGTAAAAACAACCCCATAAAAATAGGCAATAATTTTAATATGCTACCTACAATTTATTTAATTAAATAATAGACGTCATATATGTAAATACTATTTATTATTGTCGTTTGATCATCATACATGACGTGACTGCCCTACTTGAGACAAAAAAAAAATTTCATTTCGGTAGATGAAAGTTGTACGGTACATCACCGTACAGCATCCATATAAAGCCAACACATATAATTTTCCCCCCAGTACACACATGCAAGCATCAGTCCACACTCAAGCATCGTGGACTCATTAAATCAAGTTGGCAAGCAGTCCGACTTATCATTTATACAACATCATAGCATCTAGATTGTGTGGGTCACAGCAGACTCATACAAGAGTACCTACGATCACTACCACCCTGTAGTGATCGTACTTTGGTGTATCCCCCATTCAATATAGGCTATGGGAGGAAGGCGATTGTCAGTAACGTGTATTGTTGGCACCATTGCTAGCAATTTACCACGTCAGGTTGGCCTCCACGCGATTCGTCCTAGAAATCATCATGATTGTCAGGACAGGCTAACTGACCTGACTTCATATTCGTCTTATCATCCACCATTGGTGCCCAGCCATTGTAAACCGTTAGCGTAGGCGATTGCCCCATTCCATTATCATCTATTAAAAAATGTAGGCTATGACAAGAAATTCGGTACAACTGCTGGTACCAATGTAGAATATTCACACGACCTCTCAACTCGAATCTAAGGTAGAGAAGAAGAATACCATAGTTGATTTATATACAGCCGGTACTAGTCTACTTATAATAAACAATCTGCTACATTGGGGAATTGGAATTGGTCAACTGACATCTATAAGAAAACATCACTTTTGATTCGAATCATATCGAAATCTGATAAATCGATTAAAAAATAAGTCCGAATATTCCAAATTAAATTTTTTTCGATGTTAAATGTAAATTGAATTTATAAAAAATGTGGATTATACTATTAGTACAAAAATAACCAGAACAACTTAGATTTTGTCGCTGTAATAAGTGTGTTTTATATATTTTTTAAATAATTTAAAAAGACAATACCGCAACAAAAATAAAATTGTTATTTTTGTTGTTTTTTTAATTATTCGAACTATTCTAATATTTCTGGCCGTAGCGGGTGTTGACAGCTTCATAGGGGGCGAGTTGTAACTCTAACCCGCGAAAGGACTTACGGAGCATATGTATTAACATTACTTATGGAGGCTGCAGGTCACCCCTCCGATCGATCCCACGTCCAATTCAAACGGGGATCGATACTACGACAGCCTGAGCCGAGGTTCAAACCCCTAGCACTGAGGGCACCCCTCAGACTAAAGTCGTATCCGTCAGGTGGGAGTTGGTCTTCAGCCGCTCCATAAATCGTTCCGCGGGTTTGAAGTGCCATCTGCACTCGCCGTCTATCATCCGGTGAAGATGTAAAGACCAGCTGCGGCCAACAACATTAGAATATTCCGAAAAAAAACGCTGCAGGTCAACTCTTCTTATTTCAGAGTTTTTTTTAATATAATTAAATAGTGAGCTCTTATTACCTACATATTTAAAATGAATCCGAGCGCAACCTTTTACACGTCTACTCACTAGCTATTACTGATAAGAATACTGATGTAGTACTGAATAAATGTCTTCATTATTATTATGCTTCATTTTTTTTTTCATCACAGCTTTTGTTAAATTTTTAAGCTTTGTGACGTATTATTACTAGTATTATTCGAAAGAAGTTGAATTCAACTCGAATTCAGCACAACTCGAGCTGAACATCAAGTTTAATCTATATTTGTTCCCGAGTAATAAATTATCTATGGTAGTGAGTGAGACAAGTGAGTAGGCAGGACAGAATAGAGGATAGAGATGTGCTAACTCGTAATAAACATAACTCGAGTTTGTTGTATATTATTTATATAAACTGTTTATTCCAGGTAACTCGAGTAGTTACTTGGAATAAACAGTTTTTTTTTTATTTTTCGAACAATTCTAATGTTTTTGGCCGCAGCTAGCCTTGAAAACTTCACAGAAACATAGGGGGCGAGTAGAAATGGCACTTCAAAGCCTCGGAAGGACTTATAGAACGCATAATCATTTTAATGATAACACAACCGGACGAATATGCGAAAAAATAAATGATAACGACCGCAAATCAATATTGAAACATTTGTGACGAGTGAAAATTGTATGATATGAAATGATCGGAAAATTTCACGTCATTATCGGTTCGACAACAGAATTATGGTCTCGCTCTTTCACTTGATTCGTTCATTTACCAGTTGAATACTTTCACCTTGAGTTGACAGAATTCAAATCGAGTTAACTCGAATTCACCGCAATACGAGTTGAACATCTCTAGTAAAGGAATAGAGTACTAATTGTTTCTTGGATGTTAATGTTGTATCTTGAATTGTATTCATTCCTAGATTTTTATATTTCCTAACATCTTATCTATATAATTATAATATATAATTGTTTATTATGTTGTAGTGATTATAATAATTACAAATTACCCGATTCGTCATGGTTACAGAGGAACATAAGCTTTTAGCAGAATTTTTAAAAAATGTTCATTCGTCACTTAGGAAGTCTACTTCAAAAATGGGAGAAGAAAAAGCCTGGTTAGATCACTGTGAGAATCAAGTTGTACTGAAAACCTATTCTCAATACATGGAGAAATTGGCAACTACGTACTGGGAAGCAAATTCTTTAATTGAAAACAATGAGGTTACTTCTCGTATTAAATGGTCAGCAGATGTGTGTTTTGATTACTATATTAATAAATTATATCTGAAATATAGAGATAAAGAAAATGAAATTGCAAAAAAACTTAACATTCCTTTTAATAGCGAAGAGTCTTTCTCAAACCCTATAAAACTTATTGATGTTGGAAGCTGTTATAATCCATTCAAAATATATGATTTTCTTGATGTATTTGCTATTGATTTATGGCCAGCAAACAGTTCTGTGTTGCAATGTGACTTTTTAAATGTACATATTGGAAACACTATTTCTGTTGAAAGTAATAAAGTGAAACAATTAAAAGAAAAGTGTTTTGAGGTTGTTACATTTTGTTTTCTTTTAGAGTATATTCCAAGTTCAAAACTGAGACTCAAAGCATGTGAGAATGCTTATAGAATATTGAAACCTGGTGGATTATTAGTAATCAACACACCAGATTCCAAGCATGTTGGGGCTAACTGTAAAATTATGAAATGTTGGAGGTATTCATTGGCCTGTATTGGTTTTACTAGAATAAAATATGAGAAACTTAAACATATGCACTGCATGGTATTCAGAAAGGCTTTGTGTAAAGATACAGCAGTGCGGTGGGCAAAAATATATAAGGAACCTTATATGGAAAATGCTATACACATACCTCAAGATTTTCATAAAGACAATGAAGAAACATCAACAGCAGAAACAAGTGAAAATTCTATAAATTATTTTACACAATTACCATTTTTCAGTATAGACTAGTTTTTCTTCTTCAGGAGCTTTATATTAAATATTTGTTATTTAAATATATTTCAAATTTTGAGTATGGCACCTGGTGTGTTTGCCATTGCCAATAATATTGAAAAAATTTATTGTATGTTAATGAATGTATTGGTTATTAAAAAAAAATACATCAGCAATTTAATATTATGATTTAAAAATAATTCTCTTAATAAAAACTTTCTTCACACTAATAAAATTGTACTAACCTGAAAGTTGTGTATGAAAAAAAAAATTTTACTTAAAGGTCAAAGTTTTTTATTAAATTGGTTTTATAAATGACAGACTTATGAAGTAGCAAATTTTAAATTGTAAATATACAACTGAATATAGAACTTACACCTCATTTTTTTATTCCATCCCATCTGCAGATGATTGATTCAAATAATTTTCTAGTTATCTGCTATGTAGGAATATGAGGGCCATTATCTTTCATATCTCTCATGTATTTGATAACAAAGTAAATTACTATCTGAGGATTTTTATTTGGGTTTTTGGCCAGCGAGCAAACTATTTATTATAAATGATTATTAGCTAGTTATAATGAAATACTACATTTCATCATTATACATTTATTTTACAACATTATTCAATGTCATATATTGATCAAAATTAAGTCAAGAATAATAAAGAACACAAAAAGCACAACCATGTGCTGTTATTTTTTCATGACTATGCTGACACTGCCAAAATACTAGCTTCTACTGAACTGGCTGTTTTTCACTTCACATTTAAAAAGTGACCACCACTCTATTTATACAGTTTGTAGTCCAAATAAGCTTGATGATGAGATTCATAATGGATTAAGCCATTAACAGCAGTATTAATATAGAATTTATGGGCTGTCAATATTTGTAACATTATTAGGGTAATAGATCAGAAACTTCAATTTCTAAGTAGATATTGTAATTGGAATTATGTTGTATATACAATATGGAGCAGCTTAAGGATGTTATAAATAATCTACTTTACAGTTCTAAACTTTTCTTTACGTTTCTCAAGTTTCTCCTTGTTTTCAATATCTGTCATAATTTTAGATACACTTTGCCCAAACCTTTCTGCTCTTTTTTTAAGTTTCAAAAGATTCTCATTTAGTGATCCTGGCAAACTCTCCTTAATAGTACTTGTAGCCATTGTGTTTTGATTAAATCTTTGTTTCCTGGCTTCCTTTCTCTCTGCTTCAGTCATTTGGACAGGAAGTCCAAATCTCTTAGCTCTCATTTCCAATCTAGTTTTGAGATCTAAGTCTGCTGTTATTTTAACTACATTACTTTCTGTGGAAACACTTTTCTCTTCAGGTTTTTCTTGTACTTTTTCTTCTGCAGGTTTTGTCACTGATGTTACAGCTCTATTAAGAATAATCTTCTTTGTAATATCCTTATTTTCCGCTGATTTTATGTTGTCCTTATCTGCTTCTGACACTACAATTTTTCTTTTAAGCGTTCTTTGCTGTTGTTTAGTTTCGTTTACGGGTTTCGACGGTGGCGGCTGCTCTACTAAAGCATCATCACTAACCGCATTTTCAACGACTGGTTCGTCAAGAATATCGGTTTGGCTTTTTTCATCTTCGTCTTCAAGAACACTGTCCGAATCCAAATCCTCCCAATCCAAATTGATGTCATCCTGAGACATAGCCGCTTGGAGCCGTGCTACTAATTCGGCTTTATCGCCTGCATGTGACAAACCTCGTGATTTTAGTTCTTTTCGTAGTTCTACTACCTTCATTTTGCCAACATCTATAACTGTTGAATCTGCCATTTCAAAATAAAAACAGGTATGCTTACTATTTCTAAAATATTTGGTTGTAATTGTGAAAGATCAACCGAACAAACAATACAGTAGTATAGTATAGTACAGATAACAATAACTAGTCACGGACGTCAAAGATATCATAAACTTGTAATGATCGACTAACATCGATGTTAACTCCAAAAATATTCGATAATTTCGACACATCTATGTCACAGATGACATCGACAAAGGAATGTTATTTGAAATAGGATCAGATACTTGATGACATAAATATTTTTTTGTAACATGATGATATATATCCTATATGATATGATAGTGGTAAGCCAAGAGGAAACATCAATATTTATTGTATTTCGATACTTCTCGTTAATTGGCATGGTAGATGAAGTTCGTTTTCGTTTGAAAACTGTCTCGTCATTTTATTACTGTCCTTATTAGTTTATACCATCTAGAATAGATACGTGAAGTTATGGTACCTTACTGGCCATTTAAATTTGTTAATATAAAAAAGAAATGTACCTATGATGTTTAATGTCACTCAATAATAAAATACGATTATATCTGTTTGCATATTTAAATGATCTTTCCTAAACTCTTTATTTACGGACTATATTTATCTTAAAATGGTAGCAGAGTATCGTGTATAATTGCAAAATCGCACGTAACGGTCGATTGCAATTTTTTTTTAAGAGTTATTAACACCAGATTATTTTCGTATACGTGGATAAAAGATTAAACTATAGTTATGACCATGGAAGGAAATACAAAGTTTCAAGTCTTACCACTAAACGAACACAACTGGGTTACATGGAAATTTCAAATAAGACTAGCTCTAAAAGGTCATGGTCTCCTACACGTTGTTGAGAAAGACTTCGTAGAAAAGGATAGAGCTACGACTGCTGAGCTTGAAAAATATGCCAAAGAAGATAGTACAGCATTTCTTATTATAACGACTAATTTGACACAAGAGAATATCATGAAGGTAATGCGTTTTGAAACAGCAAGAGAGGCTTGGCTAGAGTTGCACCGCATTTACGAAGGAGATATAGAAGATCGAGCATTTGATTTAATTATGACATTCTTTAAATTTGTAAAGGAACCTGCTGATAATATTGGCACGTATTTATCCAAACTAAGGAATGTATGGCGAGATCTCTCCCTTGAAATGGAGAAAGAAGGAGTCAAAGAACTACCAGAAATCTTTCTTATGGGTAAAGCTTTAGAAAGCTGTCCGGATGAATATTTCCAGTTTATCTCAAGTTGGAAGCTGTTAGCAAAAAAGGATCGTAGTATAGAGAAATTAACTGTTGATCTATGTTCTTACGAACGAGCATTACAATCTCAAGGGTCCCGAGCTGAAATGGAAGAAGCACTCGCGCTTACCGGAGGTAAATGCAAGTCTAAATTTCATAAAAAGGTAACTGTCAAAGACAAGTCAAAGAAATGTAGTTATTGTGGTCTGAACAATCATTTTGTTAAAGATTGTCGCAAATGGATTGCTGATGGATGTCCATTAACATTAGAAAAACCATCAACGTCAAAACAAGGTAATACTTCCTACAATAATAAATGCAAAGCTAACATGATGCTAATGAGTGTTGAAGTAAACTACACGGGAAACATTGATAAACATCAATGGTATGTCGACAATGGTGCAACTAGCCATGTCACAAACAGGTCAGATGTATTTGAAAATTTTGAACGATTTCAAAACAAGTCACATATAGTAACAACTGCCAATGGACATGCTATTGCTGCTACTGGTAAAGGATCCATAATAGTGGAAGCAGATATTTATGGTAGAAAGCAACTGATAACTTTAAATGATGTTTGGCTTGTTCCAGAAATTTCAAAAAATCTTTTTTCTGTCTTAGCTGCTCAAGATTGGTTGAACGATAGCACATTCATATCAAAAACAAACAACTGCCAATTGATTTTAGATGGAGAACCTGTCCTACTCGGTGAAAGAGAAAAATATGGAGGTCTCTATAAACTAAGATTGCGAAACAAACCATTGAATCCAATCGAAGTAAATATTAATGCAGTTGATACAACAGATATGCTACAGCTCTACCATGAAAGGTTTGTACATCAGAGCAAAGATCATGTAAGAAAAATTGTTGAACGAGAACTGGGCATAAAAATTGTACGTCCTACTCACAGAACCCTATGTGAAGGATGCATCTATGGAAAAACTCATCGTTTGAAATTTGGAACGCGAGAAGGAGCATCAAAGCCAGGCGAACGCATTTATGGTGATGTCTGTGGACCATTTATACTCTCCTATGCCAAATATCGTTACTTCCTATTACTAAAGGATGACTTCTCAAAATATCGCTATCTATTTTTAATTAGAAAGAAAAGTGAAGTCCAAGAGAAGCTGATACAATTTATAGCTCAAGTAAAAGCTACAGGGCACATTATTAAAGAATTCTTCACTGACAATGGAGGTGAATTCGTAAATGATGATGTGAAACGGATTCTACAAAAGGAAGGCATTACGCATAGATGTACTATGCCTCACACACCACAACAGAATGCAACTGAACGTGATAATAGAACAGTTATTGAGGCTGTCAGAGCTATAATGCATACTACTACAAGGGAACTACATGAAAACTTATGGGCTGAAATAACAAGTACTGTTGTTTATGTACTTAATACTGGTCCTACTCATTTGGAGAAAACTCCCTACGAGTTATGGCATGGGAAAAAGCCAAGGATTAAACATTTACGAATTATTGGAAGTCATTGTTATGCACATGTACCAAAGGCGTCACGCAAAAAGCTTGACAAGAAAGCGAAAAAAGGTATTCTTATAGGTTACAATGAGGACGAAGGGTATCGCATTTGGATAGAAAACACTCTGACAGTAATGAACTCCAGAGATGTAATCTTTGAAGAAAAGACATTAAATCCTATAGATGAAAATATAATCCCTACCGAAAGTAATCATGAAGAGAAGACTGCTAAATCAGTGATCATTCCACTTCAAGTCTGTAATGATCCAATGACTTAAGTCAAGAGCATGACGAGTCGAATGTATCGATTGATTTAACTAACGACTATACACATTCAGATACTACCGAATGCGAACATGATATTGTATCCAATGCAAACATTTTGCCACACATTGATACGAATGAACAAGATACATACGAAGATGATTTATTAAGAGAAGATACCTTATCTCAGGAAGAAATTCGTAATGAAAATCCTCGAGAGGAAAAGAGAATAATTTTAAGAGATCGATCTAAAATGAAAGCTCCTGCGAGATTTGACGAATTTGTTTTACATTGTGTAGAAAGAGTCTATAATCATGAAGAAGAACCAAAGACATTTAAAGATGCGATGAAATCTGCTGATAAAGACAAATGGCGAAAGGCTATGGATGATGAAATTAAATCCCTGAAAGAGAATCAAACATGGGACTTAGTGCCATTACCAAATGGACGTAAAGCTATATCCAGTAAATGGGTTTATAAAATCAAGCGAAACTCTGATGGGTCAACTGACAAATATAAAGCTAGACTTGTTGCTGTTGGGTACTCCCAAAAGAAAGGGATCGATTATGAAAAAACATTTAGTCCCGTCGCAAAAATGAGCACTATCAGAACACTATTAAGCATTGCTGCTCGTGATAATATGATACTCACCCAATTTGACGTCTCTACAGCATTTCTTTATGGAAGCCTAAAAGAAGAAATTTATGTCAAGCAACCTGAAGGGTATGATAATGGAACTAATAACGTATGCAAATTGAAACGTAGCCTATACGGACTGAAACAAGCTCCATTGTGCTGGAACAACTGTATTAAAGATTTCCTTATAGAACAAGGGTATGTACCTGGAGAAGATCCTTGTTTCTTCTCTATGAAGAGGGGAGAAGGTAGGCTACTATTAGCCCTTTATGTTGACGATGGCTTGATAGCTAGTACATCACAAGAGCTGACTAATGAGTTCCTTGAGGCGATAAAGAAACGGTTTAAGATAAAAATCCAAACTAACAAAAATTCTTATTATTTTCTAGGGCTTGAAATAGAAAAGGAGTCTAACTGTATTAAAGTACATCAATGCATACACCAAGAAGGTATTAGAAAGATTTGGTATGCAGAACAGTAAAACTGTTGCTACACCAATAGTGAAAGAGTCTGAATTAAGAGAAGAAGATGGGGATAACACATTTCCTTACAGAGAAGCAGTTGGAGCCCTTGCATATCTTATGGTAGGAACAAGACCTGACATTTCTTATGCGATAGGTGCTGTATCCAGACACTTAGAAGCTCCTACAAAAGCAGACATTACAAGACTGAAACGAATATTTCGTTATTTAAATGGTACAAGGGATTACTATATCACATACAGCCAAGATACGCAGAAAGAATTAATCTGCTATAGCGATATGATCATATTCAGGCCTGGTATGTATTTACGGAGGTCCAATATCATGGAGAAGTCAACTACAGTCGTCGGTGTCAATCTCTAGCACTGAAGCTGAAATAATATGCAAGAGAAATAATATGGCTTAAACGATTTATTGAAAATATAGAGCAATCATCAAAGATTCCTGTTCTTTACTTAGACAATGAATCAGCCATAAAACTTGCATTAAATCCACCCTATGAGTTCCATAACAGAACCAAGCATATTAAGCTAAGACATTTCTTCATACGAGAAGCCATAACTGAAGGAGTTATGAAAATTGCTAAAGTTGGTACTGAATTCCAAATTGCAGATATGTTCACCAAGGCTTTATACAAACCAAGATTGGCAATGCTATGCCGGCTGATTGGTGTACATGCATAGATTCAAGATTTCTTTTTCACAGGAAAGGAACCATCACTTCAAGAGAAGATATTAGTTTATACCATCTAGAATAGATACGTGAAGTTATGGTACCTTACTGGCCATTTAAATTTGTTAATATAAAAAAGAAATGTACCTATGATGTTTAATGTCACTCAATAATAAAATACGATTATATCTGTTTGCATATTTAAATGATCTTTCCTAAACTCTTTATTTACGGACTATATTTATCTTAAAAGTCCTTCCTGTTGATTATTTGTATTTCTCCAATTTATGAATAAATATATTTTATTAATATTTATGTTAGTCAGTAATAATTCATATTTTTGTGGTTTACATACATATTAATATTTACGATATTAAACTGTAAACTAACCATTTTTTTCTATCAAACAGCAAATTATTTTAAGTGTATGTTATTACATAGATAAAAAATAAAAGCCTAGATTTATGATTTATATATGTACATTTATCAACATATAGATTATTAAGTGTGTTAAAACATTTTACAACGATGAACGCTCCCAAATTATTCTTGAATATCCTGTAGAAATTGGTAATTAATATTATTTTCTATTACACAACACTATTTAAAAATCGCATATACCAAAATTGTTTGAATTTGACTCCCGGGATATATAAAAAAAGACTATGAAACCAAGATTATTAGTGTTCGATACTTTGGTTTCGATACTAAAAATCTTATATGTATTTACTTGTACTGGACATCCCTAAATGCATTTTGTGCTGAGGATTTAAAAAAAACTTAGGTACCTATTGCAGTTTTATGAAAATAAACAACTCATTATTAATTTACCGCTTTTTGCTTGCGCTATTGTAGGAATTTGAATTCATTTCTAAGAATTAACATTAATTTACTACCTTTATTTTTTGTTAGTTTTAATATTAATGGATTATCTAGAGACCGAAAATTTTATAGACCAATTAATCCAAGAATATGATGAAACTTCGATGTCTGTACCTGAAATTGAATTTCAACCACATCTTCTCATATCAAGAGTAAGTGCTATAATATTTCATTCATAAGTAAAATTATTCTAAAATAGCATTCCTGCTGAGATATTCAGTAAATGAATTTTATTATATTGAGAAACAAAAGTACCCACTACCGGCGAATTTGTATGAATATAGAAAAAATAAATAGACTACCCCAATGGGAGACAGGCGTAATGATATATACGGGTGTTTTAAAAATTCAACGCCTAATATCGGGTTAGTTATACAGTCACATTAAATCTACTTAATATGTATACATATATATATTTTAATGTTTCATAATGGAATAATATTTTTCTGGTTTGCATTATATGTAGTAATACGCTGGCGGCTAGTGATAAGCGGAGCAGTTTTAAAAGTTTTTTTTTATTCTATATTTCCTTTGGACTGCAATTTCAGCCAAGATGAATGATTAAGAAACTTGTCAGTTACTGTTTTAATAAATTCTAACTTTGTTTTTGTGAGATTATGAAATAGTACAATTTTATAAAATATTAAATATAGTGTAAGTTGCTGAGTAAAAAAAACAATAAGCCATAGTGATTAGAACACAGTAGCCCCTATAAGCAGCGCCTGTTCACAAGTTCAATCATTGTTTAGGGAGTTCATTCATATGTCCTTGTTGGACATATGAATAAACTCCCTAAACAATGATTATCCCTAAGCAGTCACCGCATGCTTTTTTTTTATGGATGATAATGGAATGGAGCTCCCGCCTGCGCTAACAGTTTATGCTAGTGGGGCACCAGTGAAGGATGATAAGATGAGCATGAGGTCAGGTCAGTTAGCCCATCGTGACAATTCACCAAGAATTTATCATGATTAGTTTCCAGGGGGAACCGTGTGGAGATCAACCTAACATGGTACATTGTTAGCAATAAGATCATCAGTCCACATTACTAACAATCCCCTTTCCGCCCAGTCACCGCATGTTAGAACATTTTAACAAGTGTGACAAACTGAATTATAATGGAAAACAAATCAATGAGGCAGAGTATGGTAGACTTGACAAGCCAAAATAATAGCAATTAGGATAATAATACTTATATACTTATACTTATATACAATAAAAACTTCTTGATTATCAATAAATTAAAAAAAATACATCTATGTAATCTGGTTTTGCCACAAAGCATTGTATACTGTTTTGGTTGAAGGGTGAACAGTGAACTTAGAGGACATAGAGGCAAGACACCTTCATCCTCTAAAAATGAATTGCATGAAGAGTATCACTGGCATTATGATATCACAGCACATGATATCATGTCTGTGGTGGGTGGAGTATATAGGCAATGATTGCCACTTACATTTGTATTGTTTGTAAGCTTGTTTGCCATTCCAGCAAAACAGTTATATATCTGAACATTATTCTGCTTATTTGCTATAGCTACTTGAAAAGTGCAATTTGCAGTCAATTAATGTGGTACTACTTTTAATGTTCTTTAATGTTTTTATACGAAATTCAGGTTAGTTATAACATGAATTTTCTAAAAAAAAATACCTATGAATAGCAAATATACTTCATCTTCAGTTTTTGTTTAAGATTTTTGACAAATGGTTAAAAATATTAAACAAAAATTAATACTTTTAGTTACATTATGTTAGTGCAAATAAATAATTTTAATAATAATAACGTAATACTTTCGTAATAATACAAATTTGTTTCTTTGGTTAACTGAATGGTGATTTTGCCAATGTCAGAAAATATATTAAAATTTATGTGATAACAGTAAATTTTTATACTTTCAGGTGCGGAAACATTATATGGATTATATAATAAAAATGTTATCTATTAACTATGAAACTAACCAAAGGCTATTGAATAAGAATATTTACTTGCCAAGTGCAATCTGGCGATGTGCAAAGAAAATAGAGATGACAGCTGCACAGACTTGCATGGTAGCACAAGTATATAGGAAGAATATTACAACTGTTGTTAGTATTATGCACATGTTGTTTTAGAAAAATGAGATGGCTTAATAAAGAAATGTATTTTGTTTTTATATTACAGATAAAAGATTTAAAAAATGATACTACCAAAGGGAAATTGTATAGAAGTTTGTATGATTGTCTAAAGAAACCACCAGAAAATGATAAGAAAACACAAACAACTGGCAAATCAAATGATTGTACATGCCCTTGTATTTGTAACCAACGAAAAAGGGCTCGGTTATCTGATTCACCGAAAATTTGCTTGAATGATAATTTAAATACAGATTCAGCAAAAATGGAACAAATGAATACCAATCAGGAAAAGCAATTTACAATACCAGTTATAGAAAATTTACAAGCTCAAAGTCCCAAAATTGCTATAGTATCTACTAACAATGCAGCACAAGCAATTAATGATCAATTATTAATCTTAAACCAAGAGTCAGTTCAATCATCTAAGCCACTCATCAGGATGTCTGTTGAATCTAGTGATTCAACTGATGAATTAATGTTACAATTAGAAAAGCTATTTCAAGGTGATCCCAATGATGATGATTTGTTTGAAGGTACCTTATGTGATACTTATGATGTTGCAACACATGTAGAAAAAAAATGTATTGATACTTTGAATAAAGAAAACCAAATAGTAATACAAAATCAAGATGAAATAAATGATAGTAATTCTGCCCTAAAAAAAACACTTGATGAAAGATTACAATCTCTAGCTGGCTTGCTTGTTAATAACAATAATGACGACTGTACCATACAACAAAAATCTGAAATATTAAAAAAGAAAAACAGATCAAGTAAATGGCTATGTGAAGAATATTTTCTTAAAGTAAAATTATACGAACTTATGGATCAGATTAGGGACTGTAACAGAAAGAAGTATTCACGGGTAAGCATTATTTACATATTTATTTTATGTAAACTAGTTAGTATGTCCACATTCATGGAATTGTAACGGTTACATTAGCTACTGACATGAATAATTTCATGGACATAATATAAAGAAAACTTTGTATTAAAATAATTCTGACAACCTTTCTCTATGATACTGGTGTCTAATATATGTTTGTGAACTATGATGTTCAACTTTTTATTAATACCGCAGATTTCTTGTGAAATTTTGACAAGACTGAAAAGAAAATTGTATTTGGTAATTTAAAATAATGTCAAAAAGTACAAATATCAAATAAGTTCTGCATTCATTGTTTATGTAATCTAATAATTGTATACATAATTTTAAAACATTTTTTACACCAACCAAATTAAACTATATATACTACAGAAGGCAGTGCATCCTTCCGATCGATCCCCTGTCCAATTCAAACCGGAATGGAAATTACGACGGATTGAGCCGATGTTCGAACCCTTTGTGGTCCCCTCAGAAGAAAGTTGTGTCTGTCAGGCAAGAATTGGCCTTCAGCCACTCCATAAGTTCTTCCGCGGATTTGGATTGCCATCTTCATTCACCCACTATCGTCTAGTGAAGCTGGAAAGGCCAGCTGCGGCCAACAGCATAAGAGTAGTCCGAAAAAAAACGATGTTCATCATATACACTTTCTACACCCACGATGCAGCAAATTTTTTTTTTTTCCCAGATAAAACAGAAATTGGTTTTATTATTTGGGGATGATTGTGATGATGACAGTATAATGTCGCCTTTAGATGAATCGTCAGAGTTCATTATTAGCTGTAAAGAACGAATTGCCCCATGGGTTGTAAAGCTATTAACACCTTACTATATTAAAGGTCGTATTAGGGGAAAAGTTCTATTTAAAGCTGTCGCCAAACACTTGATACGATTAATTTATCAATGCAGTAGATATCCACGTAAGTGTTATTTTTATTATAGTACATAGATAGATCGCGTAGATAAGTAGTATGTATTCCCATATTTTCGGCACGACTTTTTTTGCATGTTTGTGCAGAAAAGTATGGCATATTGAATACTTATATATGATTTTATTAATATTACAATAAAAAAATGTTGCTTTAATTCACGCAAACCGTGCTATTTTTTAAGCAATTCCTATTATTATTTTAGTACTAATATTTATTGACAATTAACTGCTACTCATGTGTGCATGCGTCCGCGTGGAATTGTAATATTATTTTTTAGTATTCGGTTTCATGGGCGTGAAATTTATTGCCTATCTGTTATTCTGATGTATAAGCTATATTACTGTAAAGTTTCATCAAAATCCGTTCAGTAGTTTTTGCGTGAAAGAATCCATACTCACAAACTTTCGCGTTTATAATATTAATAATATTTAAAAAATATATTACAGAAATCAAAATAGCATAGGTTATCGTTATAACATTAGCTATCTGAGGCTGAAAGCCACCTCAAAATCTGTCTAGCTTGTTGAGATTACCAAGAACAAACAGACAGACAATTAAAAATAATACGATGTTGATGTAAGAACTGTTTATAATTTCATATCTATTTAGTAAAAACTACTGATTTGAAATTACAGACATCAATTTGATATTAATATACATATTAACTACAAAGTAAAATCTTTGTATCTTTACTTTCCACCAGAAGTTGATATAATAAAATCCTAACCGCCGTGTATGCATAACATGAGATATGATAATGGATAAAAATTGTAGCAATGACAAAAACTTAGGATACACCAGTATTCCCAGTAATATGTGTGGAGATCGTAATTCCTCCTCAGGATTTAATAATCTGAATATTTTAGATAGAGAGCAAATGTTCTCACCAGTAACAAACATCCTCATTACTTACTGTCAAAATACTGTTCATACTGTTCATTCTATATCACCATCTATAATGTGTAACAGCTGACTTTTTTTGTAATCCTAAGTCTTGTCGGGAGATGTCTTATAATGGGGTTGCCAAAATTATCTAGAACTAGAGAATATAATTAATTAATTAATCAGATTAATTTTTAATTTCCAGATGAGTATGAGGTACATAGTTTTGTATCTGACTTCTTAGAAAACCACAAGATGATAAGATGTGAAGCTGATTTCAAACAATTTAGAATTGATAACCTGTAATGCTCTGGCTGTTTATTAAGGTTTAAATTTATATTGTTGATTTGAAATAATAAATTTAAAAAAATCACTTGCCATATTCTTGTTATCCAGACTATTTTAATTAAAATTGCGAGGTTTGTAATTATATATAATAGCTTTGTATTGTCTGTCTACGTTGTTCATTTTCAAAACAATGTTGAGAGCTACAGCTATACACCTCCTTTTGAAGTTGCGAACCAAAAAGGTAAAATATAAGCTATTTTACCTTTTCACATAAATCATTTTACTAACTCATCTATAGAAAATGCTACTTACATTACTATACTGATATATAATGTCTGTCTTTTCTGACCCGCGAGTCAAGAAGAGGTTAATATGGCCTATTTCTTCCTTGTTGAAAACTTTTATAATTGTTAAGTAAGTTAAGCATGGTCTATATTTATGCAAAAGAAAATGTTTGCATTGTTCCTCCTGGAAACTGTCACGATAAGTTCCTAGTGAATTTGTCCAATGCACTTACTTGACCTCATACTTATCTCATTTTCACTGGAACCCCACCATAATAAACATTAGGAGTCCATTATATCCAAAGAATGTTAAAATTGTTAAGATATATGTTTTTTTTTTCAAATATCATAACAATTTTAACATTTTTGGGCCGAAAGGAAATGATTGAGGAAATTGGACCCTGGCTTGGAGACTATTCCAGTCTTTGTTTCATGAGTTTCTTCTATAAATACACATTTTGGCCAGCACATCTTATTAAGTGTTAATTGACAATTTGTAAGAAAAAAATTGTTTATTTTGGAAGAAATAATAATCATATTTTCTGTTCTTTTAAAATAAGACTATATTAATCATTCTGCATTTTTGTCTTCTTGTGCTCTGGACTATCAGCACCATTATACTTCCTTTTTTCAGTTCTAGTGAACCAATTATTTAATGTTTTTTGTGTGCTTTTCTTATTTTCTAATATCCTTTTGTTACAAATTTTAGATTTATTTCTTGAATTGTTTACAATATTAGAGACAGGATGCCATGACAATAGTTTGATAGGTTTCAAGTAAGATATAGCCATATCCGCTTCTACATTATCAGTGTCAAGCCAAGCCTGGAATAAGATTGTTATTAAATATTAATTATAATTGAGAATTTAACTAATCCATCTAGAGTTCAAATTATACTTTAAACATTTAAACAAACTAGTAATTAAAAATACTCTACATACTGATATTAAAAAAACAGGTTATGTAGAACATACACACTTTTCTGAAACTTGATTGGATAATTTGTCCTTTTTAACTGTTCCCAGCCATCATATTAAGCAGTGGTGCCAATGAAATGCCAGTTAGACTCTACACATATAGTTCCAAACAATTAATTTAAATAGGTTTTACACCTACAATGTATAGACCCTAGAGATTAATATAGATAGAAGCACAAATTCCTACCATACAAGTTCCGTATTACCTTTTTGGTTTTGTTGAGCAGTTATATATTACAGAAGTTGATAGTCACACTAAACCAATTAGTATTAATATTAAATAAATGTGTAGAAATTACTCTGAATATTTCAGAGATATTACTTTTCATCTACAGATTACTTGTATATATAAAAATAATTATATTCAGTACTAGCTGTTCCCGCGACTTCTTCCGCATGGAATTTTATTTTATTTTTCTAAAATAAAAGTAGCCTAAGTTACTCCTTATTACATCAGCTACCTGCCAACAAAAGTCCCGTCAAAATCGGTCCAGCCATTTCAGAGATTAGCCGGAACAAACAGACAGACAGACAAAAATTGTAAAAATTGTTATTTTGGGGTATGTACAATATTTATATTCATATGCATGTAGTAAAAAACGGTTATTTCAGTATTACAAACAGACACTCCAATTTTATTTATATGTATACATAAAGAGAAAACCTATAATTAACTGTGATTAATGCTAATGAATTTTTTTCTCTGAATGATACCAAGTTTTATTTTATGTGATTTTTAACATGGTCATCTATTATAATTCATACATGTATATGGATAAGTATGTAAATTTAAAGGCCCAACAATTATTTTTACTGCGGAATAAAATATGCAATTCAAATTAACAATGTAACAGCAACAAGACATCTTCATTTCTTGATGTAATAAATTAATCAGTTATAAATGTAAATAACAGAAAAATGTAGATACTGACATCAATCTGTTCCTGTGTGTTTAAAATAGCTGGCATTCTATGGTGCAGCTAGCTTAAGGTACTGTTTGAATCCATTGTGATAACAGTGTATGAATAAATAACTTTATCTTCATGTTGCCATACATTATATAAACCAGCTATATGCATTAAATTAATACCTTTCCAGCCCCCTACTTCATCAAAGCTAATATTCCAAGTTAATTGATCATCCATCTGGAACAGAGATACCTATCCATGTTTATATTTTTTAATTTAAAGTTTAGCAGATGCTAGTTTATTATAATTGTCATTAAGTACTATAAATGTATTTCTAATCTAATCACCTCAACTTCTTTTTCTTGTGGCATGTAAATATAATAAGGTTGTTTAGTTTTTGATGATGCATCTGTTGTTGACCATTCATAAAATCCTTCAATAACAACAATACATCTACCTCCATTTCTTAATATAGGATTATAAAGTTTGGAGTTCTTTATGTTCTCTAATCTACAGTTGTTTGTACTCAGTTTTTGTTTCCGGTAATCTTCCTGTAATTATATATTAAAAACAATTGCAAAGCATTATATATAGAAAGTGGTAGTACTAGCTGATTGGAAAAACTGGTAAGGTCTGGAAGAGTTAGCACATATTATTTGACATTTTTTAATGTTTAGGCTTTAAATTTTTATCAGTGTTTTGCTTTGTATGTAAATCATCATAATAGGTGTCATAATCTTTTATAAGTACTTAAACTATAAAATATTTTGTAAAAATTTATAATAAATTTGAAAACAAATTATAACTTACGACATGCCATGGTGGTATTATACCCCACATCATGGGTTTCAGTACATGTTCATTTTTGGCTCCATTCTTATATTTACTTGCAGATACCAGGACAGGAGTGATATCAGATGGAGCTATATTATGTGAAGGTACATATTCTTTTCCATCGTTGTGTTCGTCAAGCCATTCTGCCTTTTTGTATTTGTTTGTATCTTTAGATTTACAACTACAAGCGCACTGAATTTGATCCTTAGTCAGTGACCTGTTGATACGATATTTTGTTATAATATTATTTTTATTTGGATAAAAAAGTTATACCTCGTATTGGTACAAAGATTAAGAATAGCTTTAAAAAAATGCAACACACAATAATAATTTACATACAAATATAAATAATTATTTATATAGTTCATTCATTCATGATACATGATACATACAAAACTGTGCGACCACACATGTTATCCTCATGTAACTAGTTAGCTTCAAAAATTTGCTAGTCTTAAAAACAAATCTTTTTAGAATTACCGAATCTAGACAAATAATAGGACCTGTAAATAAAACTTTTAGAAATAATGAACATAATATGTATACAATATAATAAACATTCCGATGATTCTGACATTTAGACTATTCCAAACAGATAAAAAATGTTCCAGTTTGTGTCAGAACCACGTTTTCATTATGTCTAGCTCGACTAAACTCAATTTGAATCGATTATATCACTAACGGTAATGACAAATTTTCTGTTAGTTACGGTAGATTTTGAGAAATAAATATGGTAACAATTTATATATATATTCTACTAAAAGAATTTTTTTATATAATTTGCGTCTATGGTATAGTAAAGTAGTAAATAGAAAAATAAATAATAGTAAAGTAATTATAGACATTGTAGTTTTAAATCTATCTGATTGAAATGTAAACATTCTCTTTAAACTAATTAATTTAAATAATTTTCTTTTAGTTCTGTATAATGTGGAAATATTTATTAAGACGATTTCGAGAAACCGTCGAACGTAGTGTAAATTGTTTCGATAAACGCAGTACAACAACTGGTATAGTCAATTCGATTGGTAATATACCAGAAGAAAATAATAACCAAACCGGCCCACCTTGCCGTTGGTTTCTTTCTTATAAGAAATGTTGGAAGTCATTTAGTGACGACAACGGTGCTAATAGTAAGAAATGGAATTTCGAAAACCTCAATCATTCCTATACTTGGCTAGGTGCCATAACATGGGTAAGATTACTTACAAAGTATATTATCTATTTTCTACTATTATTTCTAAAATTATACTAAGGTATTATAAATTATGTTGAAATATCTTGTCCAATTTTTAAATTAGGTGTAAGTTTGATAACTAAACTTAAATTATTTGTTTATAGAGTGGAGTACTTGTAATGGGATGGTACGCAACTCAGCTTACTTATTTGAAGCATAAATATCATTCAAAACAATGTAAGAATAAAAATACAAAACCCATTAGTAACTTGCTGTCGATTTTGTATCCATATGTTTCTTGTGTCAACAAGAATCCAGGTTCCTTGAACTCCTCCAGTAAAATAGAGAGTGTTATAAGAAACTTTACTCCCACTGTTCATTTGATGTCAAATGATAATCTTGATAGCCATGAAAAGAGTAATAGTGATACTAATGAGGATGATCCAACAGTAAAGGAATTCAAGAATGTGCTTAACGTAATTGAGAATAAGTTGGCACTCTCTGCAATTGAAAATGGTCAAGCCAAAGATGGATTGAAATTACTAAGGTAATTCTTTGTATTACCCATTTATCAATTTAGTAAAATTTTCATTCACTTAAAATATCTCATTGTCAGTGTAGTTTGATGAAAATAATATTGTTACTGTTTCCTAATGTAAACTATCAGATTGGAGATTTGCATCACAATGTGTATACTTTGTATACAAACGCAATACAGTGCAATCTGACTCACTGAGCCATCTAGTTTTAAGTTAGGCAGAGCTTATATTGTGGGTACTATACAACTGATAGAAATATATATATTTTTTGTAAATAAATACATACATAAGACAGATGAAAGACATTAAATTCAAATCATATACATATTTGGCTTATATATAGACAATGACACTCATAACTACAAATGTATGCTGCCTCAGCACCATACTTTATGTAAAAGTTCATTCATTCGTTCATAATTTAAGAGCTACACTCTCATTGGTGGAGCTCTTGCCACTTTCCAAGTTCTTTCATCATGCTCTTTAATTCTTGATACAACACAACTCCCATTTTGTCCTTAACTCTAAATCCTAATTTTTTTAAGTTGTCTTCAAAATAATATCTCCAATGTACTTGTAGGTTCTTAACTACTCTAGGACTATATGAACAGTGATAAACAGTTAAATGGTATGGAGAAGACATTGCAGTCCCCATACCTATATTTGTAGACTATCAAGATCTCACAGACCACAGCATAAGAAATACTATTAGGTATAACCAAATCAAGACTGATAAACGGTGGTTATATCACCAACACATTCTGTATCTAGTGTAGTCTATCTAGTTAGCCTGTGTGTGAAATACGAATCAATATTTTAACAGTATTACTTGTTTCAGATCTGCTGCTAATCGAAATTATGCACCAGCACTATATAATTTGGGATTATGCTATGAGAAGGGTATTGGAGTTCAAGTTGACGAAAAAATGGTAAATTTTTAATAATTTATTGCAAATTTTCATATAAACTAAACAGTATTGTTTTGGCGGAAAAGATTACCATAGATGTCCCACAAATCTAATACTAATCTAATAATGAGGATTCAAAGAAGCTTATTAGCCAAATGTTTAAAATTGTTAGATATAAAATTGCCAAGGTTGTTTACTTACATATTGGTTAAAAAAATTCACTTTATTGTACAAAAGTGATTAAATATTGCATTTTTTTTATAGGCAATGCAGCTGTATCAATCTGCTGCTGTTCTTGAGCATCCCGATGCCCTGTATAACTTGGGTGTCTATTATGGGCAAGGAAGAGGAGGCTTAATAAAGGATACAGAAATGGGAACCCGACTGTTACGTCTAGCTGCTGTTCAAGGACATGAAACTGCTGTAAAGGCCCTCAAATCACTGGATGGGGATATGCCGAGCATTGTTCAAGAGAATAAAATGGATATGTGGAATTTTAATTATTCACCTCTTGTACATGCTGGCAATATTGCACATACAACACTTTTTGTTGAGAATGTAAACTATTTGAATTCTCAAAAATATGTGCAGGAACTTGTATTCTAATTTTGTAAATTTCCTTAATATTGGTGAGGGATTATTTGCTAGATACGTAAATAAAATTTAGTAGGGATTTGGACTATTTCATTGTACAATATATAAAATTTCTATAGAATCCCGATAAAGATTGTCAGTCCTGAACTTTTGTTATTACGTAAGTAAAACATAGCGTTTTCGCATATTATTATAACGCAGTAATGCCACGTACTTACGGTATTAAGTATGCAGAAATTTATCTGCAGTCATTTATATTATACATACTTTGGAGCCAGTTTAAAGTAGAAATCTCAGACTAATGTGAACTCTATGTTATTATTAGTGGGGGCGCCACCTGAGAATAAAATGGACATATGCCATAATTTTACTAACATGTAATATATAATATTTTTGTAATATGGTTCGTAGGTTACCCTAGAGTTCTTTAAAAAGGGCGTTGTAAGTTTTTTACGGCGGTATCAGGTACGCTTGCTTGTCACCATTGTTGTGATATAAAAAAAACATGTTTCTGCTTTTGGTTTCTTATCATCTATTCCGCCTGAATCTATTTCTGATTTATGTATATTTGCGTCATAGTTGATTATGCAAGTAAACACCGTAAATTATGAACAATCATTGTGTGATGGGAAACCATCATTAGTTCACTGAAAATGCGATCCATTGCTAGTGCCAGCTTGCTAATCTATTCATAATTTTGAATTTATTGATACCAAACTGGTATTAGCTGCGGGACTTCCGTGTGGGTTCAATACTTTAAATATCCATTTGTCTGCTTAGGTTTATGTACATCAATTTTTATATATTTATTATTCTATTTAGTTAGTAAGTGTATTGTGATTTCTTGACTTAAATATAAATTTGTTAACAAATAAAAATATACAACAGAATAATATTATAATTGTATAAATCTAATGTATTTAATACAATAAAAAAACAGTTCTTTATATACGATATTTAGATATTTTTTATAATTAAATAGAACTAGAACTCTATTCTCACTGCTATGAGATGAAAAACATATGTGAAATATACCTATTACAAAGTTTATTTTTCAACATTTCGTAAATTGATAATTACAAATGTACTAACAATGGCCGATATTGGATTGTTGGCTGATTTTGAACAAATTAAGAGATTGTCTTAATATTGTTACATGTTGTATATGATACATTTTAATTTGTGATAGACTTAAGAGATTAAATCAATAAAGTTATTGATGTTAAACATGAGTTTTATTTAATATATAGTGTGAGTTCAGACAATATCTGTACTTTGTTATAGATTGTTGGTATGATTTTATAGTGGGTGATAATTTAAAGGAACGATGTAACAATAAGGTAGTCAGCTCGCTGTTACAAATTCACCACCATGGCTTAAGGGGGTAACCCCATGGAGGTCAAGCTGACGCTTATCGCCTATTGGCGTCTAGGCAACAGTACTTGCATCCTTTCAGTTTTTCTTTAATATGAGTTAATTTAAAAAAGTACTTTTTAATAAAATAACCTGGAGTTGTCTTATTAGTATCCAGTGGATTTATAATGTATTAATTACCAGTGTATAAGCTACATTTGACTGAAATTATGGAAATATGAATTACTTCTATAAAAATACTCCTGACAAAACTTTATATTAAAGCCATGAAATCAAGAATGTCACAAAAAATTATTGCTTGTAGTAAAACAAAATGTTATCTTTAGAAAACATTTACTAATATCAATAAACTTAAACTATGTAATTATGACATCACTCTGATAACTCAGATAATTTGGACTGACTACAAGTCACTTATTATTATAGCCATTTTTACAATCTCCTTAACAATTTAGTCATGAAGGAAACAAACAAAATATAAACTCGTGCTTACTCTACAAAAGTCAAAAGGAATGATTTACTTCATACATTTTATTGATAATGTACATATCGAAAATAAAGGCATTTTATAGTTGTATCATATTATTATTATATATAATAACTAAACTTAATCTATAATTATATTACAATGGTGACCTCTAACCTGTAAAAAGAAAAAGTATAATTAAAATTCATACAAAATTATAAATGCAAGTGTCTCTCCATCTGTTGGTTATATTTACAAAATTGAACGATATAAATAGAATTTCAAAATAATAAAAAAATGTCGATGGCAGCACACGCCTTTTTTTTTTAATGTATCTGTTGTATTATATAAAATTACTAGCAGACCCCGCTACGCGTTGCTGTGGCTAAGGTTTTTGCATAAAATAATATTGCGACTATAAATTGAGATGTAAGCTATTCTATCTTTTTAGTTGTATAAATATCGCGTTTATGTGCTAATCAAATTTGCAATCAGTACAGTAGTTTTTTTTTGTGGATGATAATGGAATGGTGCACTCGCCTGCGCTAACGGTTTACGCTGGCGGGGCAGTGGAGGATGATAAGATGAGCATGAGGTCAGGTCAGTTAGCCCATCGTGACAAATTCACCAGGAATTTAACACGATGGTTTCCAGGGGGAACCGCGTGGAGGTCGACCTGAAATGTTACATTGCTAGCAATGGGGTTATCAATCCACATTACTAACAATCCCCCCCCCCCCCCCCCCCCCCCCCGTACAGTAGTTTAGGGAGTCTATCGCGGACAAATAACGTGACACGTAATTTTTATATATAAAGAATATACATTTATGCTCGTGCGAAGCCCGGGCTAGCTACTTAGTAATATAATATTAATTACTTATTAATACTTTATTTGTAACCATACAATAAAGAAAACGCATAAGCAATGTATTACAGACCACATGTATAGTTACAATAAGGCTGTCTTTTTTTAATCTTTTCGAGGCAACCTTAGGTAAAAGGAAATAAATATCGCACAGGTAGTAAACATGCAACCCGGAAAAAGGAAAAAGTAACAATCATGCGTATAGTAGAGGTGAAGCGTCAATACCTGTGTGGCTAGTACTTGCGCGGGTAGTCCCTGGCCTGGGGCGCGTACCGGTCGGGGTAGGGCGCGCCGGGCGGCGGCGGCTGGTACTGCGGCGGGTAGCGCGCCTCGTAGGCGCCGTAGCGCGCGTCGCCGCCGCCGCCCGCCCAGCTCTCGCCGCCGCCCGCCCGCGCCACCACCGCGCCTGTGTCACATACACTCATCACATATCATTCAGGCGAAATAAACACCTAAAAATAAAAATGTATTCTATATAGAAAATATGGACCACTAAAGTATATGCAATTGGTTTAGTAAAGTATTTAGGAAATAAATCAATATTTCCTTTGCGAACTTTAAGAGCGATAAAAAACCCGGACATTATTACAATGATTTTTATAACTAGCACAGTTCAAATTAATCTTTTATCCTTACTAATTAATCTACACATATAAATAAAATTGGAATGTCTGTTTGTAATACTGAAATAACCATTTTTTACTACATACATGAATATGTTATTTTGGTGTATGTACCCTACATACACCAAAATAACATATTTTACAATTTTTGTCTGTCTGTCTTTCTGTCTGTTTGTAATGGCTGGACCGATTTTGACGGGACTTATGCAGCTAATATTATAATAAATACTGTCCGTCTATGTGTCACGCTTTCACGCCAAAACTATAAAATGATTTAAGTGAAATTTGGTAAACGAATATTCTGAGACCCTCAGAAAGTGTTGCGTATAGAAACTACGAGATCTGGATAACAACTGCTTTATTAATAATATGTAGGTACTTAAATAAAAAGTAAGAACTAAAACACGAACACCCTCAACATCTTTCCCTTTTAAAAGCAAAATATACTATTACTAAAATATATAATACAAACTATGAATTACTACTAATAAAATGTAATAACTAATAAAACTAAATACTAATAATAAAATGAATTACTATTCATTTAGTTAATAGACATTTTACCAAGTATAGATAGAACATTCAATTACTACATACCATTTATTCTATGATATTGTTATACAGTACAGACAGGTTTAATTCTATTTATGTTAACATTAGATAAAAACAAAAAAATCAAATTAAAATCAACTAACAACTGCAATATTATTTTGGTAACTGCCTGCGGGTACGTGGCGGTGAATAAGATTTGTAAAGGCTCTCTCTAATTTTGTAACTGGGTACATATATATAATTCATCATCATCATCTTCATTAGCCGATAGATAAGGACATTCCTCTTTTAAGCCTATTCGACATTTTCTTTATTAAATTTTAAATTAATTTTGCGAGCCCTGCTAAACAACGCTTTTAATCGTTTATCATGTTCATCTTTATTTCTACCACAAAAAATTATATCGTCAATAAATGAATCTACCCCCTCTAAGCCTTCAAATAATTGTTTTATTTTCGCGTGAAATATTTCTGGCGGACAATTTAACCCAAACGGTAATCTCAAATACTGATATCGCCCGAACGGCGTACTGAACGTACACAAATCGGCACTTTCACTATCTAGTTTGATAGACCAAAATCCAGAATTAGCATCTAAAACCGAAAAAGTGAACGTTGTATAGCTTTATTAAGTGGTCTCGGATCCAGACATATACGCAATTGACCATTTTTTTTTAGCTACTATAACTAAAGAGTTTACCCATGGTGTAGGCTGTGTTACCTTCCTGATAACACCCAAATGTATCATCCTATTTAGTTCTTCCTCTAACTTATCGCGCAATCCTAATGAGACCTTGCGAGTAGAACAAACCACTGGCGCCACTGATTTGTCTACGACAATGTGGTCTTCCTGGTAAACAACCTAAACCAGTGAATAAATCCTCATTATTAGACATTGTAACGCTGTGAATCCTCTTTATCAACCCCAAGCTTTCACACGATTCATATCCTAGCACACTTTGACAATCGATATCAGCTATAGCGAATTTTAATTCATAGAGAACATTCTTATACCACCACTATAAATTGAAGTTCCCCTTATAGGATTCGAATTACCTCCATATGCTTGGAGTATAATATTTGAATCCGTACAAATACTGTTTATATCATAACCTGATAACGTTTGAGATAACGTTTAAGGGATAAGACATTTATATCTGCTCCCGTATCCAATTTAAACTTCTCAAAACCATGCTCGCCTCGAAGTATCTCAAACCAGTTGTGAGACGAGTTAATTCCATTAATATTATAAACAGTAGAAATAAAAAATGGCTCACAGTCGCTGTCCGTAGACTTCTCGTCGTCCACACCGATCTCGATCTCGTGCATTTTTTTAACACTTTTTTTTAAACTTGCACATTCTAGCAAAATGACCGTAATTTTCACAAACATAACACTGAACCGTAGTAGCGGGACACGAGCCCGGTTCCGCACAGCGTCCTCCGCACCTAAGACACGGCGCGCTGCCAGAGCTCAGCCGCACCGGCAGCGCCGGGCCGCCCGCCGCGAGACTCCAACAGGCGACTGCTGTCGATTCGATATTTCATCCACTTGGCATATGTTTATTGTTTTCTCTAATGTCAAGTCCTCGGTTCTCAATAGACGATCACGTACCGTCGTGTTTTTAATGCCGCAAACTATGCGATTGCGAATGAGCTCCTCTTCTAATATCAAAATTTTTGCTCAACAATTTCAATGCTGTCACATATTGATTTATCGACTCGCCGATCTCTTGGTTTCGCATAAAAAAATTATACCTTGCCAAGTTATATTCTGTTTCACTCCAAAATACTCATCAATCATTTTCTTTTTCGCTTTTAAAAGTAAAAGTTTCGTAAACATCGAAACCTTCGGCCAACCAAATTTATTAATAGGCTCGCCTGCACACATTCCTCCTCTTGATGCACCCCCGATGCTTTCAAAAACAAATTAAATTGTATTTTCCACTTCTTCCACGCGTCAGCCCGGCTGACGGAGCTGCCCTCCAGACGACGACGTTCCGACGGTGGTCGCGCGTGTTCCATACTATATAGTTATCAATAGCACTTTTACCTACTGAAATATTACTAAACTAAACAGTCAACTCGTAATATTATTATTTTAATTGATTTTTTAAACCGCTGTCACCATGTTGTGTATAGAAACTACGAGATCTAGATAACAACTGCTTTTTTAATAATATGTAGGTACTTAAAAAAAAAGTAAGAACTAAAACACGAACACCCTCAACAGAAAGGACTTACTTATTGGTTGTACGCTATTTTTTATATCCTTAGGTGATAAGTGTGTCCAAATACAGTTAATATGGCAAAACAAAATTTGCTGGGTCCACTAGTAAAAGTCATACCTTTAGACGGCGGTGCTGCGTCAGGATATCGGCTGGAGGTGTTCCAACTGCGAGGCTCTGGTTTGCTTGGAGGAGATGGGCGGTATGATCTATTGTCGCGAGATTCGTAAGATCGACTGCAAATATTATTTTAGTTATTAGAAACGACATAAATTTAATTAAATAATTAGTGAAAATCATAACAAATACACTTCCATACCCACCTAGGTTCTTTAGGTCTGGCGCCTGGTGGTAACGGTTGTCGGGCATCGTCATTGGAACTACCATTACTAGGATATTTCATGCTATTAGCTGAAATTAACATAAATCAATATAAATTAGTTTGTATACATATATTTGATACGATTTGTATTGTTTCTAGAACATTCCAGTCAAAGTGATGCAATTTGTATGTGTAATTGGATTTCTTGAACTAAAATAGGTACTTTACATGATACAGTGACAAGCCGTATCACAATCTCAATCTTACCGATCTTACTTTACTTATTTTTATTGAGTACCCGATTTCCGTATAAATAATGACCATTCCAGTCAATAAAATAGAGAGTTTCTGATAAGACGCTTACAAAAAGTCGTTAAGTTACGATAGGCATTAGAGAGAATGATTATAGCCTTCAGTTGTTAATACAACAGCTGCCTTCAACAACACTTATTTTACACGAATAGTTTAAGCATTAGTGAAGTCATAAAAAAAATATCGATTGTATTTTAAAAATAAACAAAAGACACCTACCGTCACGACTATTATCCCAGATGGGGTAGTCAGAGGCGTGATGGCGTTTCTATGGGTATAATTCAGGGCAGCCGGCTACTACATTTTTACCTTCTTCTTCTATATTTAGTTTTTATTTATTTCTAATGTTATATAAGATTTTAAATAAATCTTGTGTTTGGAATGAAAATACATCCAATCATTGCTCAAATAGAGGCAAAATAGAACTTACATGAGACATGTCTGGGATATTCTCTCTTGTAGTCACGATCTCGGTCTCTCTTGTCCGCACCACGATCGTAGTTTGCGCCCATCTCGAAACGTGGTGGTGGTGGAGCTTCAAACTGGCCTCGACTTGATGACTGTTCCAAATGTTTGTATAAAGTTATAGTAATATGCATTTATGTTTGTAACACATAACATTCAACGGGAAAGGAGTGGGGTAGGTAATGTCAAGGCCAGGAAACTATTATATCTGTTTCGTTGTTAAACCATTTATCGTTTAATAGCCAAATCATTATATGTATTGAGGTTAATTTCGATTTTGTAATGCACTTCTGTCTTATTTGAATGATATTGAAACATAACAGAATTGTGATTATGTACAAATCATATAAATATATGAAAAAGATTATACCAATAATATTGCTACCATCATTTTGATACGTAGCATATTTAACAAATCATTAAATATGATATGAAACAATATGAAACAATTCGTCAGTAACAACTGAGATGGTTCTATTTATAATTCTTTAATTGTAGACACGAGTAGTAAGTTAAACAGCAACAGTTAAGACACGACATCGGATTGGGGTACGTCGCGCTGCTCTCGTAGCCGCGTCTGTGTTTGCGTACTGCGTACTGCGTACTGTACTGACCATGGGCGGCGGCGGCGGGCGCTTGTGTCGCGGCTCGCGCTCGTAGGCGGGCTCGGGCGGCGGCGACGACGCCGGCTTGCGGTACGTCGCGCTGCTCTCGTAGCCGCGTCTGTGTTTGCGTACTGCGTACTGCGTACTGTACTGACCATGGGCGGCGGCGGCGGGCGCTTGTGTCGCGGCTCGCGCTCGTAGGCGGGCTCGGGCGGCGGCGACGACGCCGGCTTGCGGTACGTCGCGCTGCTCTCGTAGCCGCGTTTGCGACGTTCTTCCTCCAATCTATATAGTTAAGGGAGATTTAATTATTCATAATAGGATTTGGTCTATTCGGTTGCTGATTAATTTCTTTTAATTACTTTTAATGATTATCCCTAATTTCATTGAAACAATTATCTTGTCTCTAATAATGTTCGACGTTCTGTCAAAAACTATATAGTTTTGGATTTTTTTAAACAGGATTTGGTCTATTCGGTTGCTGATTAATTTCTTTTAATTACTTTTAATGATTATCCCTAATTTCATTGAAACAATTATCTTGTCTCTAATAATGTTCAAGCTGTCTGTCAAAAACAAATTTTGGTTTTTAAACAGTATGTATCCTCTTACAGTAATACAAACTATAATCTCCTTCAATCCAGTTGTTTGGTAGACCTACATGTAGTTGTACTAGGAAACTATCTATGTTAATTCCTGTATCACATGTGCCCACAACAAGCGCCTATGGTTTTGTTACTTTTTATTCTTACTACTGAGGAATATCATGTCAAGAAAACCAACCTCAACTGTGCTCTCTTCAGTTCCAGTCGTTCCAGTTCTAGTTTTTCTCTCTCCAACCGATGTCTTTCACGTTCTAATCGTAATAGTTCATTTTTCTCGCGTTCAATTTTTTCCCTAAAAAGATAATACAGAAGGTGATGTAAGTGTAAGTGCACCGGAATCATAACAGAAATACTTTAACTGCCATTCGATTAAAGACTTTGTTTTCTAGATGTATCATCACCATTTTATCACATATAAAAGACACTATTTAGAAAAGTGTAAGCCAGAAAACTAAAGCCGCCGTCATGTCAATGTTTATTTTGCTATCTAGCATTGGATCGTCGATCAGACAGGTTAAGATCCAACATAGAGACAACACAGAGAGGTGTAAGGTCCATCAATAAATTACGTGTGGCGCAGTTTAAGGATCTATGCTAGGTTTACGGGTGTGCGACGGGTGGGTACGACTCGACCTCGTGCTCGTTTCAAGTGTGTACCTCTCCGCGCGCAGCTTGTCCCGCTCGAGCGCGAGGCGGTGCTTCTCCTGCCGCTGGCGCCGCTCGCGCTCGCGCAGCGCGTCCTCGGCCGCGCGCCGCCGCCGCTCCTCCTCGCGCGCCGCCCGCGACCGGTCCCGTGCACGCGCCACGTCGCGCTCCTTCTGCTCACAAAAATAGCTGCCTTTTGAGTACACATGTTTTCAGCGACAAATGATAGCTCCCGCTCCTTTTGCGCACAGCCGTCCGATCCTCATACTCATGCCTCGTGCATCTATACGACACTTTCACTCGCGAACTTAGCGCGGGAAAACCGGCGTACGCAATAGCGAGGGATTACATTTAACGATATTTGTTTACGCGTATGATTCATGTCAGTTTTACTTTTCTTTTATAATATTAGTATAGTTTTTACTTTAAAGATTTTATTTTACACACATACTTTTAAGATATATAAAATACAATAGCTCTATAATTATGTTTAGTTCCATAGTTAGAACTACGCCACTTTGACATGACAATAAGTTTAAACGTTTGAAGAACGCAGCAATGTGCGAATTGGCGGCGTGCGCGGTTTATGTTTCTCTTTATTTACATACACATTATTTCCTGCGTGAAAGACGTGCGTGTGCTAATATGCGCATCCGACCCTAGTTCCAATCTCACTAACTGTGATAATTCGTACCCAGCACCCAGTAAAATGTATGGCTGCTAGTTTTTTGACCATGTACAGTTTTAGACTACAGCTACAGACGTGTTAGGTAAGTAACTTAGGTTTGAAATCTGAATTTTCTTGGCAACTAGAAATTTGTGTACTAAATGTGTATAAGTGGCATATACACTGATACATTATCCGTTCGCTTGTGAGTTAATTACTTATGCATCATTCACTCATATCTATGAAACTCACCCATATCTTAGAAAAAGATAGAACTTCTCTAGGTGACCTCCTTCGTTCACGGCTCCTGGTACTTCGTCGCATCTTATCCTGAAATTATATTTTATGTTATAATACCTACACAAATTTGCAAATGTTTACATTAAAACAAACAGTGGGCTAATTATGTAACACGATATGAAATTGTTTCTGTTGAAGTTGTGATGCAATATGAAATCATTTCAATTTAAAAAATGCGATCAAGTAAGGTCGAATGTGCAACATAAATCATTTCTATCGATAAAACACTACTATGAAGTTGCAGCGGAATATTTTTAATCCGACCAATTTAAAAAGTCAGTACATTAGATAGCTTATACCTTTAGAGGGATACATTTTAATTTATTGGGTTGTTACACTAGTTGGTTGATTTGAAACAATTTTTATTGCGTTCAAAAATTACAAAATATACTGCAGCGTTCACTTGTTCTTTTATTTTAATTTTATTAATAGACATTTAATAAAATAAAATAAAGAAAGTCTATTCTATTCTAATGAAAAAATAAGGTTAATAATTTTGAATATAAAAGCATATTTTATACAAACTATTTATAATCATTATTAATATTAATCTAACCTACAAATTAAATTTTCTTTTCTGCTATAGATACCTAGGTACCTAATTTTATATTAAACATTTACTCTAGTTAATACAACATTCTATGTGATTTGGGACGAAAATAAAATATCGAATTGGCAACACTGATGTCATGTTGTGAGTCGTGACAATTTTCCCATTTTAATAAATTTAAAACCTTTTCATGACTTTCTACGTAATATTTAATATAATAAAAATATATGTAATACTGAAAATTACCAAAACAAGATAAATAATGCTGCTAATGCTGATATTTTAAAGATTGTAACAAAAGAAACACCTTCTAAATTGTTTCTCATAATGTAAAAATTTCCACGCTGTCATTTCGGCAAAATAGCGATTACGTGACGTTGCAACGAGGTTACTAAATCGACATTCGATAGAAATAATTTTTATCGATATGTAAAGTTGCGTTTACGTTGCAACTAGTTGACAGCGTCAAATGGCGTCAATATGATCGCATTATTGACAGATGACGTCATTTTCACTACGTTACATACGAAAATCGTTGCGAACGAAGTTACATAATTAGCCCACAGGGCCATGTATAATTTTTTATACGTACATTGACCAATATGCTACATGACTATATTTACCATTAGTTTAGATAAGAGAAGATATGGGAGAGCTTACTTTATCAGATCGATGTGACTTTTCTCGCGTTCCTGAGTTGGATCGTGTGCTTTCCGCTCCTGACATTTCTTCATCCTTCTTTAATTTGTTCTCATCATTTTTCTCTACTTCTTTACTGTCCTATAACCAGAGGGTATAGATATATCAAATACTAAATATACGAATTGTTACTTCTCTTTCACTAAGTTTATTTTTAGAGTTCCATATTCAGTTCCTAACAATACCGTCTGTTTATATGACCATTCAACATAAAATAATTAAAAAATAAATGACAAAATTATAAACAAGTTATACAGTAATTTTCTTTTTTAACAACAGTTTTCGAAGTCTCTAAAATGTGTAGTTATATTTAAAAATATTAACCAGGGACGATTTTGAATTAAATCACAATAACATATTAACAAGTAGTATCACTAGTAGCCTCAATATATATATACATGTATGCCTAGACATATTTTTGGCAGGGGACTGTTACTGCACTGTTACTGTTAATAATTGCCAGTAAATTTATTATGATAGTCCTGATCCTGATTTCACTGTATCAACTCTCTATGGTATTCCACATGCTAATATCATGAACAAAATATGAAATTAGAGTATCAAAATATACAAAAAAACCTCTATAGGCCGATTGTTTAAAACAGACCTCGTTTTCTTTTGTATCATCTTTGTGATCTTTGCTTGGATGACGTTCAGCTCTAGATGGTTGTCGACGTGATGAGGACTCCGATTCGGATTTAGCTTTCTCTACAGAGATCATTCGACCGTGCAGCTCTAGCAACATAAAAGGAGAAATAACGTTATTGATAATCAATCGCAATTCTAGTACCTTGGCCCTATTGACACCCACGGTGGTCTAGCAGTTTAGCATACAGTTTTACTTCTGATGGTCGTAGGTTTGATTCCTTGGATGTTTGGTCCAAACATTTGTATTCATGAGAATGATTATTTATATCAGTCTGTGTTTTCTACGCATATTGTGTTGTGTGAATTATCTAGATGTATTATTATTATATCTAGCTTGTTTGCTTTACTCTGTTCTTATTAGATGTACTAACCAGTTCTATGTAAGTTCTTAATGCAGTTTTCGGCATCCTGAGCACTAGCCATAGTCACATATCCATAGCATCGGGACCCTGGTGTTCTAGCATTAGTCACTACTTTGGCTCCAATTACCTAAAAAGTAACACAATTACTACAGTTTCAAGTGGTGTAGTATTTTCTAAGTACCTAAAATAAGGTGAGATAGCTATATAATTATGTACTAGCTGTTCCCGCGACTTCCCCCGCGTGGAAATTAACTTTATTTTTCTAAAATAAAAGTAGTCTAAGTTCGACATCGACGAAATCGGTCCAACAATTTCAGAGATTAGCCGTAACAAACAGACAGACAAAATTTGTAAAAAATGTTGTGATATAGTGATGCAAATCAGCACGTTCGATAGTAGATTGTGCCAGTGTACGTTTTATCTAACGACACGTAGGTCACGCAGTACCTCATACATTGTATTTTGTATACAAGATGTAACAGTTAATGTACAAGTTACACCCTACTGTGTGTGTTTACTCTCACCACCGCTCTTGTCATCACAATGTTATTTTGGTGTATGTACCGTATTTATATGCATGTAGTAAAAAACGGTTATTTCAATATTACAAACAAACACTCCAGTTTTATTTATATGTATAATTAAACAGTAAACTGTAAGTTAGATATATATTTATATCTTGAGGTATTATAACAACCAATGTGTGTATTCAAGTAGTTTCAATTTACTTTGATTTTGTCGTTATACATATCATTTTAAGCTAAGAATGTAATTAGTAAATTAATACTCTGCACTTACCTTTCCATGTTTGCTACATAACTGTTTTAGGTCTTTAGCTCGCGTGTCTCCCGACAAACCACTGACCCATAAATTACGAGCACCACCTTCTTTATTTTCATCTTTTTTATCTTTTTTTTCACTGTCAGCTTCTTTATCTTTCTCATCTACAAAAAAATAAAACTCAGAACTATTATAATATTCAATTCTTATATATTTTTATATTATCGAATATATTTGTAACTGGAAGTTTATTCCATCAAATATAAATGTTTTAAATTGATAGCAACTAACCTTTAGTGTCCTTATCATTTTTTTCATTATTGCTGAAAGAATAACACATTTTCAATTACTCATTTGCATTTTAAACACTATAAATTACATAAATATATAATTGAAAATATGATGTAGTAAAACTATAACGCAAGTAATTTTATATTGGTAACATATGTTTAAAGTGACACACACAATCAACTACAAAGTTTTGCACCGTTACTCCACCGTAAGTAGTAAATGCGTCGCAGTAGCGGCTCACGCTGATGATTCTGTATCCTCCGATGAGTCTTGTTGCTGAAGCTAGTAGAATATTGAGTATGGCAGAAAGGGACCCATTATGGTACCGCCACCAGTAGATATCGAGCCATCTCTGTAGCCACACGAAGATGCTGATGTGTAGATTAGCATACTGGATTCATTTTGAAGACTAAAGCAGGAGATTCTTCAGGGTCAGCCAGCTCTTCAGTATAGGTATATGGTGCAAAACGTTGTAGTGATAACGAAAATGAAATGTCGAGAATATCAGCGTATAATAGATGCGCGGGACGTCGCGACGAGCTTTCGACGTTCACCAACCTAGTGGCGGGGGCTTCGGCGTTTACTTGATGTTGGTCGTCAGCAGGCGCGGCAACACCGGACGAGGCGGTGACAGTGGGCGCCGACTCGTCGCTAGCTGCCTCCATCTTGGTCTCGAGCGTCGCCTCATCTATGTCAGTGTGAATTATCAGCTAAGTCAGTGTAGGTCGCTCGCCACATGGGGAGCGGCCCACTCTGCCTCCTTTCTTCTTCCGCAGCAATAGTTTGAAATCTTCACAAATTTCTTACTTCTTTGTTGATAAAACTAAAAATCTTGACCTGAAAACTTGATTGGATATTAGCACCACTGTCTGGCTATATAATAGCATTTTGTGACACTGTGCCACCTATCCATATTTACATATGAAATATGTTATACTGTTGTTGTATACCATAGGATTATGGAGTAACTGGAAGAATCCTCTATTATTAGCAAACCACATCTGCTTAATGTATTCGAGAACACCGCACTGTACATTTTGGTTGCAATTGCAGATAATTTCCATAGATAACTTGTAATTTTGGTGGCCTTCTGTTGCTTTATTGCACATCTTTTTGTATATGAATTACAGTCCTGTATTGCAGCTACTGATATTATTTCAATTATAATAGTGGTGCTTGAGGAATCTTATATTCTTCTCACATACCCCTGTTCATTCTTGCATAGCCTCATTTTATTTAAATTTTGTATTAATCTTGTATACCAAGGATGACAAAAAATATTCCTGATTGTCAAAATAAACTGAAAATCTCACTTAAAAATAATTATTCATGATTTTAGACACACTAAACTATATAATGAAAAGTTATTGTTATATTTTTTATAATTACATATTCGGGTTGACATATGTTTTCTGTATTACATTCAGGTATTACATACAGTTTCAGAAGTTAATGGTACATTATTTAAAAGACAAGATAAATCTACTATAAAATGTTGAAACTTACCTATTTTGTTGGGTTTAGTTGTGTTGTCAGTCTGAAAATCAGTAAACACACTTTAATATATCTGGCATGGTTCCAGACAGATTGTCGGGTCATTACAGAGTGATAATGATCAGCTCAGTCTTATTTGGTCAGTTAATAAATAACTATTGAGAAATAAAATATATAATAATAATATACATAATAAAAATATATTTAAATAACAAATAAGAAACAACAATATAACAAAGAATAAAACAAAGTAATATCTATCTAATCTATGTCCATCAGGAATCCATTAGTCAATTTGGAAGCAACTGATGATGATGATAATGTAACAGTGACCTTGAAGACATAAAAACATACCTCTTCATTGAGCAGTTCATCTTCGCCAAGATCAAGATTGATGCTATCCTCAGCATCTGTGTTATTCTCAATTTTATGATCATCTTCACATTTAATTTCTTTTTCTATACAGAGCTTTTTCGGTTGGCTAGCTTCCGGATCATCTTTTATGTCTCGTTTTCTACAAACTTTTTCATCAATATCCATTTTCTCGTCAAATAATTTTTGTTCATCTTCATTTGTTTTACTATCCTGATGAGAATCAGTCTGTTCGGTCTCTTCTTCCTCCCCGGCATCATCTTGTACGATCATATCCTCCATAGCTGGAGTATCTTCAGACTCTTGTTCTATAGCACTTTCGGATCTTCGTGTTCTTTTTGATGGTGTTTTATTCTCTGTGGCAAGATCAAACTTGAATGTTGTGGGATCCTCTCCCTCTTCCTCTAAATGCTAAAAAAATATTTGGGTTCATTATTGATATTATAAAAGAATCGACCATTTTATTACATATTTCCAAATTCTATGTACCTTTGATAGGCGTTGTAAGAGCACACCGCGTACGCCACTCTTGTCTAGGTTACGTTTTTCTAACTCAGCGCGCAAATCGATTACTCTAAGATCGTTGAGCAAACGCTTACGGTCCGACATGGCCAGACGTTATTTTAAAAACGTTTCTAATAATAAACTCGAGTTTTATATTTTATTTCCACAAGAAAATGAAATTCAGGAACAGGAAGTTAAAAATACAGATATAGATTAATAAAGAATTCAACATGGCGTCAGTGTTGCCATATGTAGGGTTGTGATCAGTAGATTTACAAGTCATTGAGTCATTAACCACTACTACTTACTTTGCTACAAACAAGACAAGTCGATAAGTCTATGTAAGTGGCATGTTGGACAAAACAAACACATTGCTAAGACTTGTGAGTAGTTGTGTTGTGTTATTTAATCTGTGGAATCTGTTCGTTTAATGTTGATCTATTGCTAGATATAAATTAATGACGTTTGTTTTGTTTTTGGCGCAATACCTAAAATCGGGTTGAATACCATACTACAAGAAAAAAAAAAATGATGTCATGTGATTGATTGATATAAATTTCCGTTTGCCTTTTCTTTACACGATATAAATAGTCATATAAAAAACCAATGATTATTTTTTTATTTATTTAAAGTATTTTCTAATCTAGATCTAATTATTTTTAAAAGTATGACTTTAGAGAATAAACGTAAGTGCACCTCGATATTTAACTACAATTAGCATTATTCCTCCGAAATTATATATTTACTCTCATTACTGTGTCTTATTATAATTATATTAAACATCCTGATGGGTAATTTGCATATTTTATGCAAATTAATATATTATCAAGATTTATTTATAATGTTTATTAGTTTTCTTCTGCATGTTGTAATTAAGTAAAAGTGCAAAAGAATCTTTACAGATTCTTTTACATGTACTCATAAATCTCTAAACTTAATCTTAAATATATTCCAGATGATTCAATGGCAGTTGACGTTGAAGTGGTCTCTGACTTATTGGATAAACTAGTATTGAAACAACTACACTTGATGGAGGAAAAAATGGTATATGAATTAAAGATAGAATCAAGTATTAACAATGGAAGCATTAATTTAGCCAAATCTCGTTACATTATGGGTCAAAGTTCTGTAAGCACAGCTCGATTACCTGTGGAAAACAGTCCAGAATTCTCTGCTTTGACTTCTTGTGAAACTACCATAGAAGATGGTGTGCAACAATTGAAAGTGGTTGAGAATACTGATAAAAGTAAAGTGAATCCAATTCGCTGGTTTGGTGTGTTAGTACCTCAAAATTTGCACAAGGCACAAAGCATTTTTCAGAATGCTATAAACTTTGTTGTAGAATGTGTAAATGTTCAATTACAGTTACATGAAAATATAAAAAATATAGAAGCATTGAAAAAATATATATCTCTAAATAAGTCATCATGAGTAGTTTCTAAATACATTCAATATTGATACAAGACTAGTTTGTTATGCAAATATTGAAAAAAGCTTTGTATATCATCATTTAGATAAGTTTATTTCTTTCATGAGTAATTATATTTATGTTTTGTTTGTGCTCATGTAATGTACCAAATATTACTAATGATAAAAAAAACATTATGATTAATTGTTTATTTTGATTCTCAAGAAATTGCATTTTCAAATATACATATATAGGAATCGTTGAAACTATACAACTAAAATAAGTTGAGCAAAACTGATTTGGGCCTTAATTATCTCATTATATGGACCTGCTTCTGAATATATGATTGTATATATATATTTTTTTCTCCTTTTCTCTTTCCATCTGCCATCAGCCTTATGGCTATAATCAGATATATTGATTTTTTTTTTTGGGATATGTCATCCATTGACGGCTATCCCTTTTATTTTACATAATTAGGTACTTATATTTTAGCCAAATGTTCCCTCTTCAAGCGAAATACATCATCATCCCTGGTATCTAGAAGCTTTAGGGCTAATTTGTTCCCATGGTATTCAAGTCTGTGCTTGTACATACAGTCAACTGATTTCATCCTTAATAGTTGGTATCTCGAGGTATTTGTGTACTTCATCATTCCTTGTAAACCATGGTGCATTTGTGATAATTTTTAAAGCATTGTTCTGGAATCTCTGTAGAATTTCGATATTCGTTCGGGAAGCTGAGCTCCATAGTTCGAATCCGTAAGTCCATACTGGTTTGATGATACATTTGTATACAATTGTTTTGTTTTCAAGACTTAAGGAGGATTGTCTACCTATTAGCCAGTTCATTTGACGAAACTTATTATTAAGTTGGTCTCTTTTTGCCTGAATGTGATTCCTCCAAGTTAGCTTTCTGTCCTAATGCATACCTAAGTACTTGACTGTGGATTGTAGTGGTAATAAGTTTCTATCTAGTGTGACCCATGGACAGTCTCCCTTCTTGAGTATAAATGTAATATGAGTTGACTTTGCAGTATTAACTCTTATTCTCCACTTTTTGAACCAGTAACTCATTTTTCCAGATGGATTTGGAGCTTTGTGGATGCCACGTTGGGGCTGACACTAGATGCTAGTAAAGCGGTATCGTCTGTTGTGTAGTTAGTTATGTTGTAGCTACTATATCTTGTGAAGTGGGTAAATCAGCGGTATAGATCGTATACAATAGGGGGTCCAGAACTGAACCCTGGGGTACTCCCACTTTAATTTCAAGTAGAATGGAAAGTTTATCTTCGCACTTGACCTGGAAAATCCTATGCATTAAGTAAGATTTAATTAGCATATAGGCAGTGCTTGGTAAACATAGTTTCAACTTGTATAGTAGACCCTTATGCCACACTCGATCAAAAGCCTGTTGAACATCCAAGAATACAGCCGAACAGTACTCTTTTTTTTCCAATGATTGCCTGATTTTATGTGCTACTCTATGAATCTGTTCAGTAGTTCCATGTTGAGATCGGAATCCAAATTGGTGTTCTGGTATGATCTTCTGTTCTTCTAAAGTTGGTGCAATCCGCTTATGGATTATCTTTTCAAATAGTTTGGATAGCAGCGGTAGTAGGCTAATTGGCCTCTATGAAGCTATATCGGTAGGTGGTTTACCTGGCTTGGCTATCATGTTTACTATAGAGACCTTCCAAAGCATTGGAAAATATTGTAGGCGAAGCATAGCATTAAATAATATTGTCAGCAGAACTATTGCTTTCCTTGGCAGTTTTCTTAAGACCTCTGCTGTTATGAGGTCATATCCAGGAGCCTTTTTGAGTTTCAAGTGTTCTATGGTGTTTTGAATTTCCTTTGGAGTCATTGGTCGCAGTGGAATTGACATTTGCAGATCGCTACTAAGCAGGTCATTAATTTCATCCTCTGAGATTTCGGTATCTGGGTCATTGGGTTTAAATCTTCTTGCAGGTAGAGAGTAAATACATCAGCTTTCTCTGCAGAGTTTCTACTCCATTTGCCGTTTGCTTTTTTAAGTGGAGCCATGTGGTTTTTTTGTCACTTTAGTGATTTCGTGATTTTCCACAGTGAATAATCTTCGGATTTAGACGGGGATAGAGACAGTAGCTGCTCCTGCAATGTGTTGTTTTTGTTTTCAATTAGTATTGCCTTTTTTTGATTGTACAACTGTACTTAAAATGCTAAATGTATTTTGAATTACCATAGCAATATGTTGTCAGAATGATTTTTACAATAATTTATTATAATATTTATTGTCAAATATTTAAAAGAAAAGTAAAGAAATATATATGCTATTGAAGACAAGAAATATATATCTATACATATAAATAAAATTGGAGTGTCTGTTTGTAATATTGAAATAATAGATTTTTAGTACATACGGTACATATACCAAAATATAATTTTTTATCATTTTTGTCTGTCTGTCTGTTTGTTCCGGCTAATCTCCGAAATGGCTAGACCGATTTTAATGGGACCATTTTTGACCCATAGCCGATTTAATAAAGAGTAACTTAGGCTATTTTTTATTTTAGAAAAATTATTTTATATTAGTAAAATAAAGTTAAATTCCACGGGGACGAAGTCGCGGGATCAGCTAGTATATAGTATATATTACTTATCATGGTGTCTAGTGTAATATTTTTATCTGCATCATAATGACCTCTTGGAATTAAGTGAATACTTTTGGTAACTTCATTTATTTTAAAAATTACTATATGCAGGCACTATATTTTATTTATTTTGATCCGGTGCCTGAATATGTAACCAGAGAATTTTTGTAATTTATCCTTAACATGCATATCTTTTGGCTATATTGTTGTTTATACATAGTAGATAAATATGTAAATAAAATAACAATTATAATTTGTTTTTCATTTATTGACGTTGAACAGTGAGGTGATCACTAGGTATAAAGTTATACTTATAGTTTTGTGATTCATTGTTCTGCATAAGCATGATTTTATTATCTAATGTGACATTTTTAATACCAATTTTAAACAATCAATTTAATATTAATAGAGGACTCATTAAGTAAATTATATTGTTACTATAACTGTTGAATACACACCTTCCACAGTAGATATAGTAGTAGTAGTAGTAGTATAGGTAATATGGTTATATGTAATATATTAACATTGGTTTTATATTTAGTTTGATGTTTATTTTATAAGAAAAATGTAATAATCTTTCACAGCCACAACATATTTTATAAGCAACTTGCATTAATTATTATTACGATACAATCTTTTATGAAATTGGTGTTGCTGTATATACTAGATGATTTCTAGCACATTTACCATACTTGGCCTCAATTTGGTCCGCATAGGCTTGAAATATTGATTTCCTCAGATAAAAGTAGCCTAGCGTCCTTTCCCCTCTATTATGTGTACATTTATCACACCAAGTGAAAACAAATCAATTTATACATGATAAGGATCTGTGTAATTAAAATTCATTTTGTAAGAGGAGCTTAAGAATTAATTTTTAAATAAAGATAATTTAAAAAATATATTAATTTGGTTATAAATCCAAATATACTACAAACTATGTATTATAAATATAAATGCATATTTTGGAATTGCCAGTTGATAATTGTTTCCATTTTATATACATATAAGTACGTAATTATAGCTGGTACAATTCTAGTTATTATTAGCATAACAGTTCAATCATCAATATCAAACATTATAGAAATGTTGCACATCGTTATTGCATTCTGATCTTTTGAATTAAAGTAACTGATTTTAATTTTTAACGATGCTATTTTGCTATGTTTATGACGTTTGATCATTTTTTTAAGCGTCATATAAAACACATAGTGTGTGGTTGAGCAGCCTATATGGTTAACGGTTCAAGCCAGTTGGTCTTGGCCACAGACGATGTATACCTACTTTACTAAACATGCATCCATTGAAACTTAATCTGATTATTTCACCAAACATGCAGTATCAAACAATATTTACCAACTCCAATAACATGCTACAACCTACAAAACATTTTATTGCGAGAAATATACCTGGCAAATGGATTGTGTAACGTGGTAGACCCAGGACCAAAAATATGTTACAGTCACATATATATTCTTGCATTTATTCACTGGAAGGTGACTCATGAACAAATTCGTTATAAAAGAAGGAGTTGGAGTAATTGGTAATAATTTGTTAATTATTATTATTATTAACAATAAGTAATACCCTGATAAACAATTTTATTTTATTTGTGTTGATAAATTAACGAAATTTATATTTTAACCTGGTCTTAACACGTATAATTTATGGTAAATATAGGTATTTAACTCAGCTCGTGACCAGGGCTAGACGAAACGTCTAGAGAGGTAAATAACTTTATTTGCAATAAATTATTCGTGTTAAGACCTGGTTAATAATATAAATAATGTATAATATTAAACACGAACGATTAAAAATAACTAAACTCGTTAATTATAAAGTACGAGTGCCTATTGTTTATAACACAGTAGATAACTACAATAAATTAACGAATTGTTTAAAAAAAAATACAATGACTTTACATTTAGGTACCTACATAATTATAATTTAACAATAGTAGATATAAAATAAATACAACTTAAATATTTGTTTTTTAGTACAAGAAATGCTTTTCGCCATCTATGGATATCACAAATTGTAACAGCTACTTGGTACCTATACAACTACAAATAAGCCAATTAATCTACATAATAGAAGAACTTCTCACAGAAGTTAAAAATATCTAAAATGAAAATAGTAGTAGATATGAATAATGTAAATTACTTAAAAATAAATATTATAGAACTAGTAAATATCTATGTAATAAACAGGTCATTATTTTGTGCATAGACGTGTTAAAGAAAAAACGTGAAATAACATTTGTGTGCTCAATTTCAATGGCGTCGTGACTAGACACGTTGAGCCTCAACTTACTTGGTACAACAATTTAAACGTACCTACTTACTAAATTAAAACTAGGTAACTTAATGGCTATAATAAATAGATACTAATTGCTTAAAAATTATTTAACTTAACATAAAATCCACATATTTTTTGTCATTAAGTATTTTTAGAAGATAGGTACTTAAAAATTTTGTATTTCCTATAACTTGTCTTTTGAATTTCGACTATTAGAATTGTCACCTATAGGTATTGGTTACTAGACTTGTATTTAAGCCTCCACAAATCAGTCTTATAAAGACTTATTCATTTATTAACATATCTATTAAGTAAAAATCTTAGAAATTAATATAAAAGTTATCAAATAATATTTTCATAAACAAAAGTTATAATAATAAGTACATTAGACGAGATATACCTATTTATATGGTAAAGCTCGAATATATTATTATACACATACCTACATACTGAAGCGTTCAAAGAAGGACCATAAAGCTCGAGATTAGATGAGAAAAAAAGTAATACTAAATCTCAAAAATATACAAGACATAAGCAATTCTTGAAACAACTTAAAAAAGAATGACTAACGGTGTACAGAATTAGATAGACAGTAGAATATTGATAAATAATAATAATAACTGGTCAATTCACACAGTGCCAAGCTAAGCAGAGATTGTGTTATGGTTACTAAACTACGACAGCGAGTAGAATATTACAGAAGAAATATTTGTTTTTGTTTATAAAATACCTACATACATATAAAACAGAAAACACCTAAGCCAATACAAATAAATAACATTTATAAATACATATGTTTGCGTCGTGCCAGAAAGCGAACACCGCGGTCGTTAATAATGATACGATCAAGTGCTATAAGGATTGACATAAAATGTTGGTACGTGTAGTGTAGTAGGAAAGAAACTGAATTATTGACATGTCATGAATAGGCTTGTTCCTTTTCTGAACGTTACAATACTTAATTTATTTAATGAAGTTAAGGCATAATACTAATGGCATTTTATGCTTTTGTGATCGATGTTACATATATATAAATAATAATATAATATTCCATAGGTAAGATCTACCATCACATGAATTGCGGAAAGAGAAGAAACGCACGTGAGATATAGTCATACTGTAGTTTAGTATGCTTGGATACTATTTATAAACAAAAAAAAGTAAATTTTTTTTATGAGTTAGAATAGAATAGAATATTCTAGAATAGAATAGAATACAATATTCTATTCTAAGAAGTTCTCTGAAAAGTCACTTCAGGAGCAACTGTGGGAGGCAAAGGCGAACTGGAAGCCTCGAGATGAAGGGGACAAGCCCCGGGAGGAGGAGTACGACGACTGCGAGCGATCGGGCCGGAACGAGCAGAGTGAACGCCCGCCTATACTCGATCATACGGCGCCCATGCGGCTAAACCTACCACCGCCTTTTGCAACCTCGAATGTTCTCCGAATATTCACAAAATTCGGCTAAAGACATGGGATGAGTGCCCTTTTCCAATGGGGATTCAATTTAAAAATCTAAACTAATTCGCTTAATGACTTAGATAATTACATTAATTGTAAATAGATGGAGATTAGGGAAGTCACCATACTCCGTCGCTGATTGTTTAAAATGCCTACAGCTTTTGTATTAACTTTTCAGATGAGTTTAGGTAGTACATTATACAGTTTACTATTATAGTACATATATTTATTTAAAAAATGGACGCGAATATATATTTCATTCACAGGTATTAGCTCCATATTTACATTACTCAATCCCACAGGTAATGTTATCTCGATTGCGGACGATCATTTTAATTTAAATAATTGATCTTATAGAGTTTATAATAGGTATGTATTTTTACACAAAACCCAATAATACCTGGTATTAGCTTATTATTCAACAGGCATTTACCTGTTAGAGTTGGCTTACATAATTTTGTTTATTTCAAAGTACGAAGATACATAGATACATATATTTTCACTTGATTATATGGAGCGGAATTCGAAATACATAAACAACTAGTGTTGAACACTATTTCAGTCTGATCCATGAATCAAGGCATGAATCGTATGACTTATGACAGTTATTACAGACAGAGATCTACACCAATAATGGTAACAATTCTCATTTCCTCATACTTAGGCATCTGTTTACCCGAGAAAATGGAGCCAAAGTTGTGTCGAATGGGATACAACACGCACACAGTGGTGAATATAAGATATATACGTAGCCTATCTTATATATTAAGATAGAAAGACATAACGCGTCCAGGGTCTTATAAAATGCAAACCGCACGGGCATACGGGGATTAAGAAGATAACTGTATATTGGCAATAATAAAACCTAACTTAAATGAATATATCCGATCAACGAAATGACTTCAAGATTTGTATATTCATACTCGAGAAAAGTTGATCAGTTTAAGGAACACTAGGCTTCGTTTCGAATATCTATTCTACACAAAACGTTTCGTCTGTCATTTATAGAACCCTGGACAGCATCGGTGTTACGACTCAAGATGGCGTCATATGGGGTAGTGGTGTCTATCCGTTTTCCCTGGTGTCGTGTTCCGTGGCGCGCCACTCGCCACGTGTGCACGATCCGTCACGCCACCACGCCTGCACGTCGGTGTAGTGTGCGCTGCGCTGGCGTCGCTCGTTGGCGTGCACCATTGCGCACACGCGACAGAAGAAGTACGTGTTTATGAACTCTCCTGTACCCTGTTAGTAAATTATCCTTATCAGCATAACAATAACATAGTCCAACTATCAGGCATTTTTACTTTCTTAAGAGGTAGTTTTAGCCTAATAGGTATAATCACAATTAATTAACTTGGTGTGGAGTGTTATTTTTAACATTCCTTTTATTACATTAATCAATTTATGCTTTCATTAATTACATTTAGAGAGATTAGATAAAGCAAGCAGTGACAGATTGCAAATATTTTTCTTCATTTTCATTTGGAAAAGTCTAGAAAAACAACTACATAGATACCTACCTGAGATATAGTATAAAAAGTCGTTTACGTGGGTACCTCAGGCTTACTTATTTCAGCCGCTAAGCAGCTTGCTTTGTAAGTTGTATTAGTGACATAATAGGATAAGTGGCAACATATTAGTCCTTTTACATTGCAATGCGTTAGTGGTATCTCAGGCGTGACACCATAACGTGATGGGACTAAATAGACGTCTACGAGTATACCTATCCGTCAGGTTCTTTGCAATTCTCATTACATAAAAAAACTGAACAGAGAGATATAAATGAATTACCTTCCACTTGAAATAAGAATTGTAAAGCGTGTCATCTTCATCCAGACGCTTTAAGTACGAGGCCAACTCTTCGGTGCCCGCGAACTCCTCTACGTGAACGTACGAGTTGTGCGGCGCGGCTGCAGCGTACTCAGACGCCCGAGCGCCCATTACGATTGGTAGCACATTGTGCCTGCAAACAATATAAGTATGATATATATATATTACAATAATTTACCTATAACAGAATAGCAGAGAGGGTGGACTCAGTGCCCCCTCTGAGTTGTAGATCATTATGTCTTAATTTTATGATAAGCAGGAATTGTAACAGTTCATTATTTGAGATGAAATGAAAAAATGAAGATGATTATTATTATATAAACAAATTAAATCAATGTATCTTTATAACATACCACCACACAAAGCTCTTTAATAAATAGAGCACGAATGCCATCTTTATGTAGGTTTAATACAGATATTTATAGTAAGTCATATTTACCCAGGGCCCTATATGCGGAGTGTGTGGCGCACATGAGCGCCAAGGCAATAGGGGCGCCGTGCTGGTAAAATGCCAGTGAAAATTATTTAAATCGACTCTTACACAACAATGTATTCCTTCTAGTTGAGTCATCAATAAGTAAGTAACTGACAAAAAACCGGTCTTATTCTTTTTAAATGAGCTTGTACACGATTAGAACAATACATATTCAGGTTTAAATTTAATTCGGAAGAATATAGTAATCGATTAGCATATGAAATTAAACGATATCTTAGTCCTACAAAATGGCAATGCTTGAGTAATGTCCTTAGTGCTGCACGTGTATGTACGTATATAGGCTACAGATACCAATTAACATTTGGATGAAATATTTTTTTTTAAATAATGAACTTACTGTAGTCCATTGACGAAGAACTTTTCTGTAATATAATCTCGACAATTGGAATTTTCAAAGGCGAGATAGAATTTATATTCTCTATCGAGCATTTCTAAACAGTTGGGATCCGTTCTTGGACAATGGTGTGAACCACATGCCCCGTAGATGTCCACCGAGATGAATTTAGCAAGTTGGCGAGCGTATTGCAGACGACGATTACGCGCATGGCAATTGGAAACAAACCACGCTACCTGTAAAAAAACGGAAAAGTGGTAATCAGACACTGAGAGTTCGGAACAATATAAAAATTTGTTATTATATTTGTTCACTGCTTACTACAATGCAATTAGGATTTCGTTGGTTTATTATGTAGGAATATAAGTTTGTTTATAAAGAATTCTTAAATTGAATCGATAGTTACCTACTTTATTTTTGCAAGTCGAAAACATAATTGATTTTGTTCTGAAGTTCAAGTTTATGGTTTTCACTTATGAAGAGATTCACTGCCCTCTGCTACTTTTACATTACAATTTTGAAATTTAAATACATTATTCACCCATAAGAAGTATAAACCTTTATCAAATACTATAATAGACAGAGTAAATGTGTATATAGTTAGTCATTATTTCAGATTTTTCGCTTCAGAGATAAAGTCTTATCTTTGAAGTCATTAGTTAAAAATAAATACAGTTATTGTTGAAAATATTTTTATGTAGCTGGAGTGACAAACAGGCTGACAGGTAACCACTACGACTTAATAGTGAGCGATGACTTTCATATATATATATATATTAATAGCACCACTGACATCACGTTATCATGTGACGCTTGTTAGTATCACAATGAGTCGCTATTCCGAAAAACTAAGATGTTATACCCTCTATTCTGCAACTTTACCGCGTTTTTTCGGTCTCGTCTTTTCTCGTTAACTACTTGGCGGCTGGATAAGGAATTGAGGGTACCAAGCAGACAATTTTTTACAAAGTCAATATAAAGTTATTTTGTCTACGCACTACCACCGCGGGCTGCGAGGGTCGAGGTGACCGCGGACGGCGGATACTAGCTACTTCTCGTCCTACTCGCACCACTACCTAACGGTTTATCTAATGTTTCTTACTCATTTAAAGTTTAAACTAATTGTCATTATAGAAGTTTCCTGATTATACATTTTATATAACAATCAACTGAAGTATTATTTGAGTTATCCAGGACATATACAACCTACTTTTTTAGTTTTATTGGCTGCATAATTCCTGTCAAGATCCTTTTCAGTGACCAGTGGGTCGTGGTACACCCATCGCTCGTATGGCGCGACGATATCCGAGTCCCTACGGTACGTTGACGTCCAGTTGAACACGTTGAACGACGTCGGTCGCAACGACGCCGTGTGGTAAGGACACTCCAAGTAGTATAGGATCCATATCTATAGTATAAAATATCATATTATTAATTTTAGTTTTTATTACGTTCTATTTATCTTATTATAGTTCTAGGTATCTAATAAAAGGTTCGAATAAAAAAACCCTAACCGCGCAGTCAGTCTAATCATGCGATGATTAGAAATTTCACATAAAATGGAAAATTACTTTACATTTATATACATATATTCCGATTGAATAATTCGGAATATTTATAAATATAGTATATATGGTATCGGTAGGTACCATTTTAACTTGTAACGTTAGCGTAAATTTTACTGACACAAAATTTTACCTATACAGTTTCTGTAGGTAACTTTTTACTATATTATTAGAATAACTAAATAAGAATATATGTAAGAATTTTATATAACTTACCTGATTAGGCGGTCGTTTTATATTGAAAGGTGTGTGATGATCCTTGTATAGAATAGCATCAGCTGTGGCCGCCTCTCTAGAATCAGCGGTTAATGAGCAGCGGTCTACTGGACATTTGTTACGGATGAATTCAGTTCGGCCGGCGGGTACACCCCAGGCTCCCAAACCGTTGGCAAGAAGAATTTTCTTAATAGGCGCCGTTTCGTCCTTCGGCAATGTGTACATTAACTGTTGTACTACTCTGAAACGACGATAATTTACGACAGGTAAATAAATGTCGAACAGTGAGAAATGAGAGGCATTGTCAACTTACGCCGTATAGGTGAATAAAATGTTTAACATGCTCATTATTTTTATAAACATATTGCGACTAGGAATAATCAATAATAATAACCCAGGACAATTTACACAAAGCCATCTCAGTTTCAAACTGAACGGAGAATGGATTATGGGTATTAGGCAAGTGATAGATGTACTTAAGTAAATTTATTTTTTAAATGTATAATAATATATATAGAAAACACTCAAACCTTGCGAGAAATTGAACCGGTGACTCGCGCCTCGGTGGTCTAAACCATCATAAGGCTGTTCAGCACACCGCACCGCCTTACTGTCTTACTTACCGTCTAGACCCCCGAGGCCGAAATTTGTTATCGGCGTTAAATATACAAATTTTCGGTATCTATCAGATTTTGAAAAATAAGAGAGACGGTGAGGTGAAGATTATAATTTCTTAATTAATTCGAAATTAATAATCTATGTCTATGATGTGGTTTAAAGCAAGGAAACCTCGCGGGACGGCATGTTAATGGAATACGGTAGCGTTTTAATTTGAATAACCTAAATAAAAATAACCTTATTAAATACTTTTATGAGCCCCGCACATTTTCGATACGAGTCGGATGACACGTGCCGACGACGCCATTTTAACAGCCACAGCAGGTTCGACTTGATGGCTTAGCTGATTATAAGCCAAGTATCAATATTGAAAATTAAAATATAATATTTAGTTATAAAGATAAAAAATGTTGACCTAATATAGTTTCGACTTATTCGTAGCATTGTATTTATTTGCTCAGACGAATAAAATCGTTCAATTTCCTTAATCACCTGTTTACAATTTATTTTTATTATATTATGTAACAAAAAATACAGAGGACCAATTTTGATGTAAATGTAAAATTCTTTATGCCATGTCCAAGAAAATGGGAATATTATTTATTATCCATCGGTAATATATGTACTTATACATATAGATCAAACTGATGATGAGTGACTTACCTGTCATCACCTGGTGCATCCTCTGGGAACAAGCCCGCATTCGGATCGCTGTATTTGGGACGTTGTTCCCCACCACGCATGTACCACGGCCGGCGTGCTACCTCATCCTCCTCATGGTCTTCCTCTTCCTTCTCTATTACTGATATCTATAAACGGAGCATATTATATTATCTAACAAACTCTCTATATCATTATTTCATATTGAGAGTAGCAAGTTTCTCTTTTCCATCGCTTCCCAATAGTTTTCTTATTGAGGTGCACTTTTTTAAGTTTTTCTATCCCATTCATGTTCGGTTTTTAATTCAATTATTTAACCATAATATTATAACATAATTTAAAGAAGGGTTTACATATGAATTGTCGCCAAGGTTGTAGACCTCCGAACAAAAGATAGAATGACTAAGTGAAGGTAAATTGAGTGTAAGTTGTGATAATAGGATGACGCGAAGGTATAATGTGCCGACGACAAATAATGGAATAGAGAAAGGTTTGATGATTACTGGCTAGGTATGGCATTATACAGGTATTTTTGTTATTAGTAGATACAAACATATATATAAAATGGGGCGAGGTTGCGTAAGTGTATATTGTATATACAAATTAATTAGCTACTATAATTACATAAAAATGTGCTTTACAATATACCCAACTACTGAAATTGACTGTGGCATAACCACAAAATATAGATATGTGAGTAAAATTTATAAATATAGTATAGTTATTAAATTAAATTAAAAATTATATAGTTTTGGAGGATGTGTATGTATAAATGATAATTAAAACAAAGCAAATTGGTACATACCACGCAAGTGACGCATTTCACGTATAATTAGGTACCAGTATACCTATATTTTATACAATTGAAAATGATAAAAATATGTTCTCGATTCATTAAGCACTTTAAAAATTCAATGTAATTAAAAACAGGTTTAAACCAATCCAATTTTTTAACAATGCATCTACAAAAATGTCTTTAAGACACATAAAATAACAATTTTTATTATACCAAAGGACGTCTACGTCTTTCAGAACCTACTAGGTATCTAATTATTAATTTAAATCTGCAAATGCATTGTTATTAATGTAAATTTTCAGTTAAATCTGTTCTGTTAATACTCTTTATTCATTATTTAAGAAAGAGCCAATTTATTATAGGTAAATTAAGTTAATTATGGGGGTCTTCCTATGTGACGGCCTGTTTTTTAGGGATATTTTAGGATTTTTTTTCTACGACCAGTAAATATTTAGAGCTTCAAGTTTTTTATCATTTATTAACACATATTTGGACAGTATAAATATAAAATTTCAGCTAAAAATATTCAGTCAAACTAGAGTTACAGCGCTCTGAACACCCCCGCCTCGAAAAAAAGAGCTCCCACTTCCTCCACGATTCCGGCTGATCGGCTTATCTGAAAAAAAAAAAAAACGGCGTTTTAATTTGTAGGCTTAAAAGCACGGAATGACCTATAATCAAATGAATATAAAAAAAATTGGATTTTTGATAGACATTTGAAATAAAAGTTGCAAATTAGGCGTTTTTTTTTTTGTTTTTTGCTATAAAAAAATCGAAGTTTTGAAAATTTTCGATTGATAATAGTTCATTCCATGCGTTTACATATATTGAGTGTGCCCTGTAAATTTCAAGTAATTCGGTCCAGCCGTTTCTGAGATACAATGGAGGAAAGTTTGAAAAACACAATTTTGAGAAAAACGCGTTTAAAGTTTCAAGTCCGTTAAAAACTATTAAAATATCAACTTACTCTCAATCGGCGATGCCTGGTCCATAGAGTATTCCTTCCTCTTCCTCGTGAAACTCTTTTAAAGCAGATTGTTCAGCTCTTGAGTCAATCTTGGCTTGTTTAACGACATCACTTACGCGCCGCTCAGAGCGTAAGATTCGCTTTTCATCCCGTTTCTCAACATACGCTTGGGCTTCACGACCAACAGGCATCCCATAATCGACATAACTTTTAAAATACCTTGAAAACCTTCATTAAAGATAATAACTGCTAAGTAGCTAGCAATTTCAACAACCTTGGGACCAGAATGAAGATGTTTAGGAGCGAAAGTCCAAATCAAAGAATTCAAAGATTCGTTATTGTTTTGTGTCTCTGCTCCTAAACAACGAATTAATAATTCGTCTTTCGATAAATCTTCGAAAACCGGTTTGATAGCTTCTTGGACTTACGGAATTAGAGGTGGTTTATCGTGATGAAATTGGTCCAGTTCATTATTAGCTTCAGCCTTACGCCATTTACACCAACTGTCTTCGCCTTCTGGACAAAATTGATGCTGAGGGTTTTCATCAGAAGAACATTTGTGATAGTACGTTGCCCAAACTTCCTTTCTCATATCTTCAAGCGAATCTGGATGGCGTCGAATTGCTAATCCGTAGAATTTTGTAATTTCTTGGATAACTTTATCAGTAAGTTTACCTGCTCCTTTTCCTCCTATTCCTTTATTGGTTTTATCCTTTTTAACAGCCCGAAGTCGTGTTCTCATCCTCTTTTCTACGTGACCCACACATTCTTTTTTTGTTACCGCAGTATCTCCATACGGTTTAGTATCTAGGATGCCCTTGAAAGTTTTGCTGTCACCGTCGCCAATGTATGTTAGATACTTTACGCCATATTTTTCTACAGACCTCAGAAACATTTTCGTGATGGCACTTATTTCCATTTTACCGGAACTTCCGGAATGGTTTATGGTGCATTCATCTACATGCGTTTCATACCACATCTCGTATTCTAAAGGATTTGTTTTTTTTTTATTTTTCCACAAATTACATCCACCACAAAAACTACTCATGACCATGACATCTAAAACTTTCCCAGTGTACTTGCCGATCAACGTAGATACGCCGAGCAGAGATGAAAAGCCTCTTTTCTTCCAAGTACCGTCACCTGACACAATCAATTCATCCTGTGGTTTTCCTGATTCTTCATTCATAGTTTTTTCTTGCGTAACAGCGAATGCCAATAAAGTATCACACAGTGAAGATGTAGCAATATGAATGTTTTCCAGTAGTGCAGTATAAGTAGAATTTGCAACACCCGAACACATGTCCATAAAGCTACAGAAAAGATTTATTCCTTCTTGACCAACTCCCAATAATCGCATCGCAAATACAAACCGACGATTAACCTCAAATGCATTTCCGATCAACGGGCCTGAGTTTATAACTGTCTGTTTTTCACACTCACACGATAAAATAATTTTAAAGCCTAGGCCTCGGAAACTTGATCGCGAAATAGACACGTCACTTTTACAAGTTTTACATATAACTATTTCAGAGATTGCAGCAAATACAGAAACAAACTCCAAAATGCAATATGCGAAATTCGAAGCGATGGGAACATTCATGTTCATGTTATTTTTAAGTTTTTTGGCCGAAGCTGATGTAAATACCGTATCATTTTGGTGGGTAAAACGGTTTCCACTAAACTTTCTTTTTTTACTACGACCAGGATGAACATTTCCACTCGTACTTCCTTTCCGTCCACTCATTATGAAAAAAAATAATTTGTAGCTGTTGCTCTCTTCGAAGTTCAACCAAGACTAAAATATATCGGTAAAATATTATAACAATAGAAATTTCTGTTTAAGTCTGTAGAAACGTGTCTAAACTTGTATAAACAAATATATTAATAAAAGGGAGGCCAGGTATAAATATACACAATATATGCCAACTCACCGCTCCGAACCGCTCTTTCTTTTACCTGCTGTATCTTTAAAACGACTTCGAATTTTCTAAAATCGCTTTACTACCGTATTCTAGACATGTTAAGGGAGCAATTTATGAAAAAAAAAAATCGATTTTTTCAACCCATCACATAGGAAGACCCCCTTATGTAGAACAGACCATTGAGTTTTTTGTTTTTTTGTTTTATTTTGACACTATTTACGTAAAATAAAATCGTAATAATATTATTTAGTAATTACAAAATATAAATATTTATAATAATCCATATAAATATTTAGAGCCAGCTCCAAGATAAAATGGATGTTTTCATAATTTATTTATTTTTTTATGGTGTATTCTTTACATTAATCTCGACATTACGTAATGTCCCTGGTGTCCTTACTAGGTCATTATAATGGCTTGTATCAAGGACATCCAGTTGATTCCCAGTAGAAATAATAACTACTTAACAGCTCTTTGATACATTCCTCAAATATACGCTAACAAACAAATAAATAAGAGTTGGATATCGTGGGTGAATGGCATTTAATCTATCTTTAATTGTTATTATTTTATTTATTTATTTAAGGGTTCTAATGACAAATATTATACATACTTTACAGACTAACTTATAGTCTTTTATTTATTTATTATGGTCGTCTCGGTAATATAATAATATTGTTAACCTGGATGTGTTGTGGGATTTCTTCGTGAGGTGGTGCCGGCGCTGGTGGTGAGGGGCTTCGCGGCGACGACTCTAGAGGTGGCGGGCGAGGTAGCAGCAGCAGCGCCAGCGCTGTCAATGCTAGGGGCAGGAGTAATACGCCGCGCCGTAAAGCTCGCAGCGCCCGCGCAACCCTCATCCACATGCCGCCGGCGCCCCTTATCCGTCCGTGGCACCTCTACGTCGCCGGCTTCCCCTAGAGCTCATTCTTCCACTGTGTATCTATGACTTGTCTTAGACATCTGTGAATTAGATATTGGTACTTAAACATTTAACATCACAAATGAGGAATTATTATATGTATAGGTTTGGTAGAATAACCAACTATCGTCATAGTTGTATTGTAGTCATTTTATTTAGGACACACCCCAGCAGATTGCTCATAACTTTGTGAGTTTGTATTTAAACTTCATAAATAACTTATCTCACTCTGGTAAAACCATATAGGTAATGTATCAACCACTGAAACAGTGGTACAAACGATTATAATATGATAGACTAGTGTATTTTCTACTAATAATCATTGCAGTTTGATAAGGAATGACCATAACAATTTTTATTCATAAAATTAAGTGGCGCTCTCCCAACAAAATGGTTCCAAAAAGATACCAGATGATTAGATTTTTTTATCTATCGTAACGAACCCATTAGCTTCTGATCAAACTTAGATCTATGTGTACCTATAAGTACTTAATATAAAAACATCAAAAAAAAAATACGTCTACCATCTAGCTATAGATAGTACCTATCTATAAGAGTTTAATAACTGTTTCTGACGAGAGACTTTGTTGAATCAATAACATCTATTTATTTTTAAACCAACTTATATGATTAATGTTACAGTCATGTATTCATATTAAGTGAGATCGTTAGATAATTCAAATGTACACAATAATGTACATCTCTTGCTGTACAGTGCCGTCTGCACTTCAAACGAAAATTTAGAAACACGCGAAATATATAACAGAAAAAAGTATGATTTAATTGTCAATCCCTTTTAGTCAATTAATTGTTTGTATTGATTATTGTACTATTAATTATTTTTAATATTGTAACAAGAGGCTTAATAAAAAGTTTTTAGTTAGTGATACAATTACACTATATATTCTTACAGCTTAATTAAGATTATTTACGTATTTATAAATACGACCTACATAAAACCTAGTGGACTGTACATAATAAATGCAATATATTGTTGTCAATATATGAATGAATAAATATGTTCGGGATAAAGCAAACAAATAGTCAAACAGACAAAAACAAAAAATCATTGTTTCATGTTAATTATTACGTTAATAAAATTTTCCATAATAGTATAAGAAATTATCTCCCTTATATGGAACACTATTAAAGCTATTTATTTTGTTACTGAAAACAAATGAATGTTGTAAATATGTAAATCAATAGCAATTTTCGCTGAATTTATTATTATGCATTAACACCATTTGTAGTCGTGTTTGATAAAAATTTTATCACCAGCGAATAGCCATAAAAAATTATAGCTAGCGAAAGGAGATATGTACGTACGTACCTACGATTAGGTTTGTAGCTAGTGCGAGATATTGATTTTTAAATCTAAATCATCGTTACTATGTAATATTATGTTATCTGTGCTGCTACTATTATTCAAAGTTTTAAACTAATAGTAACGTATATGATATAATAATTATAAGGCAAGCAGCAATGCTTGCCGTGGCATTTGGAAATAAGGAGCAATCCTTATTTCCAAATGCCACGGCTACTATATTAGCTAAGTATACCAAAATGGCTGTGTAACTGTAATGGTTTTTTATATAAAATTATGGCAGTCTTACCAGTTCTATTTATTAGTACATTTTACAACTAGATCGAGGTTACTTTATGAATGCTAATTTTATACCGTTTGGACATGTAAGTTGCTACTTATAATATGACACGTTCACATGTACGGAAATATATATTTAAAAAATATATAATGCCAATTAGTCTATATGGGCTATCACGTCGCTATCGTTGTTACTTCGACACCTTCCCCTTTACCTTACACATTACCCTTCTCCTCCTCTACCGTCCCTGTCAAATAAATAAATCGCTGGTCTAAATAAACACATAACAAATCCCGATGGGATATTCACAATGATACAAAGTTAGTATATTGTAGATTGTTTAGTATGGACTATTTAATATTATTATTAAAATGTAAAAATAGTAATTAATTACCATTAGATCTAATATTATGTTATCTGTGGCCATTAGTCATTGTAACATTTATAATCATTATAGTTCAAAACGCGTTTGTTAGATGCTAACGTACCTCTTTTTAATAAGAATTCATGTAGATCGTTGTAGGGGTTGAGTCCTACACTTGGTTGATACTGATAAAATGACAAAGTTGATGATTTCTGATAAGATACGTCCGATGTAAGTACTTATTGATTCATACTGATTTTATTTCCTCTATTTTAATGACACATGTAGTGTGTGGATATCGCGGAGTTATAGATACTGCTGTATTAGCAAAATTATAATACATAAATATATATTATTGTTTTCCGTACAGTATTCATTATTATATATATTGCTCTCTAGCTAGCGTGATAAAAAATACTATAGATTCTGACTACTTACTAAGGATATTTGCATGTATCTGTATAGAGTAGTATACCGTAATTGATTAGATGAAATACATACAAATACATTATACAGCCTGTATGTTGTTACTCTATATGTTTACTCGTACTACAGAACGTTAGATTCTCAGGTTCATAAAACTTCGTATATTTCAATACGTGAAATGAAACCCTCTACCTACCTCTCAGTTTACTTTAGCAACTTATATGGCAATCGTTCACCATTTATAAATTTATGAGAAATGTACCTAATAATGAATTGTCAAATATTTTCCGTTTCAGTAGTTTTTTTCTAAAAGATATAGTTATTATTCTACTTCTTTTTATTACTCTCCTGGTTATTCCACAGCATATATATAGTTAATACCAGAGATGTTAGGGAGCTCCGTAACAGTACCTAACCGAAACTATCGGATATCGTAACAGTAACAGAATCCGAAATAAAAGTTTCGGATAATATCGGATAGGTGCGGAGCCTAATTGAGACACGTTATGTAACCATTTTATTAGCTATTTGTATTTTACTTTAGAAATTCTTTAAAAAATAATACTCGTAACACGAATTATCCGAAACTAACGGATGATCCGAAATCATTTCATATCGGCATCCGTATCTGTATCCGGTATAATAATCATTCCTATATCCGAAATTTCATATCCATAACATCCCTGGTTAATACCAGATATTACTGTATCTAAGAATTTTTTGGAAAATAAAATGATAATATCCGCTTGGCCATTACAATTGCCTATACCTATACCATTACAATGGGAGCTAATTCAAAAACAGGCAGTTAAGAAATAACACTATAACATAATATGTACGTCAATAGGTATAGAAGTAGATGTCAACAGGTACACGTCTCGACAAACCATAACAAATGGCCAAAATCTCATTATCAAGGAAAATTAATGCAGCTTTCACCTAGTTGATCGGAAGTCTTTAACAAATAAATCGCATTACGGCGTTAAATTACGCTGGCGTGACCAATTTTCACCAAAATGACATTCATTTATAATATTTTTTTTATGGTGTTTTCTAAAAGATTCTGTATCTATTGTAGTAAATCCTATACTTATACTATCCTACTCTCTATACTATATGCGTTTATATACCTACATATTAACAATGTTAGTATGTTGGAAACCCAGGAAAAAGTCAGTTTATCCTGCATATTATGTCAATACTCATACATAGTAAGGAATAGCCTGTTATGACGTGGTTGTTACTGTTTTATTCAATAATACTAAATGGGTGTGGTTTTTCCATTACATTAGTTATTAGATATAAACTACAGTTTTTAATGCTTGTGGGAATTGAAGGTAATGAAATTAAAAACACCTGAGAGTACATATTATAATTCCAACGGCATTGACAGGTAGGTATATATTAAGTAGGAATTTATTTACGAAGAAGAAAATCATTTATTCAAATAAACTTACGATTATATCCATTTTTTTTTTTTTTTTTAACTTATTTTTTTCAGGTATTGGAGGTACTTATTATTTCCTGAAATATCACGTTGAATTTGGGTTAATTGAACTACCGTAATTGCAAGACATGGAAGAAGGTAAACGGGAACTTAAAACCTTGGCACTGTGATTATAAGAAAGCTCTTGAGAACCCGTAGATTTACCCTGTAGTGAAGTTATAATTCACTATAGGATTTTGGTGAGTAAGAATCGTATCCCTAAAACGAATTGCTATGAAAATAAGAAGTTTGAGACTCAGATCATCCAATATACAGAAAGTACCTAATAGTTGATAAATAAAATTAAATCGTAGGAGTCTCTTTTAAATGTCAATTGGAAAACGGTTTTTTCTGAATAATATTATTCACAGACTGTCTTTCATTAAGATAGGAAGAAACAATGGTAACATGAATTATTTCCATATTTTTATATCAGTCCGTTAATCAGTTTGCAAATAATATGTACCTACCTACCTATGACATTTTATAAATTGCTAGGAAGCCCTTTTCAAAATTATTTTTAAAATTGGGCATCTATAATTATCTAGTACATAAGTTTAGCCGCACCGCCTTGCCTTCGATTGTTGCGGGTTTGATTCTAGCATTATACGCATTATAGTTTCTACTGGTGTTTTCTATGTATTAAAAACAGTTGTTATCCACAAGCTCTGCTTAGTTTAGTACTATATAGTGCTGTGCAGACTTTATTATTGTAATATAAACCTATACCTATAAAAATGTATTACGAGTACATTTTTATAGGTTTCGCAGTTTCACGACTAACTTTTATAGTAAACACAGACTGTAAAATGATAATGATTGGCGCTATTGTATAGTTAGATAAAGCCATACAACACGTACTATTAAACTGAAGCATACATCCACATATAAACATTTATCATTCATATCTCTTTGAAAATATAGTTAACAATGTAATATGATATTTTGTTGATAACAGAGGTAACTCAGTTCATATCTCGTAATACTGAGTTTTTTATCTAATCCCATTAATTAGTGGATACTACCCAGATATACATGCCAGTTTATTTGTTTGTTTAAATGTAAACGGAATTAATAACTAGTGGAGAATGTCTGAAATTACATACATATATTATATTATTGGATATTAACGGTAAACTTTGGCACTACGGATCTGAGTTT